AATCGTGATCTCGGAAATGAGTTGCATTGTGGGTAAAACTACACGCTTGGATGGGTTGATTTGTGTCATCTTCTTTCAGCCTGAGTGATCTCCGCTGTAAATATTTTGTTGTTGGGATTTCCCCAATTCGTATAAAGCTGTTACTGTTACCCGAGTTTGTCTTTAGGTTTCTCTCTTCGGTATCATTATCATAGTATTAATTTGAATATGGACAGGGCGAAGACTTTATTAGCGTTTTTTTTCGCGGTGCAGGCGCTGGTCTTATGGTTGCACACCAGAAGAATAAGGCGGTCTAGGACGTTGCTGGCGTTAACTCAGTGGGGAGCTGAAAGAATTCCGAGAAAAATATGGATGGAGTACCGGTAATTCTTTTATTCTATATATAGGCATGTACAAAACAAACTACAGTAAGTTTTTTAAATTATAATGGCACCGTGGGTAATATATTAGCCTATATGGAGCATAAATTTAGTGTGTACTGACAACAACTCGTATCAGTACCGTACTGCAGTATATATTTGCTCTAGTGATGTCAGTGACCTCAAATTCAATGATAGTCTTAAACTAAGTGATTTCATGACTCTCAATATCAGATCTACGTCATCAAAATTGGCAGCCTGATTTCTCATCTATGATAAATTTGAATTGATATCAATTGCGTTACATTAAGTAAATGAAGGAATGATCCTGTGAAATAACAATCCTAATTCCTTTGTCCTTGCAGAAGTCAATATCTAAGATTGAAAAAACAACCTTACTTATAACCTTGGTAACCAACATATTCCTATTTCCCGTCATCCTACCTTAATTAGTTATACTGTTACTTGTACCTTTAAATACTTATTACAATCTGGACTATAATTTTGCAGTAATAGCCTCTAGCTATTATTAGCCTCTAACTGTAATCAGCATGGCAATATATTTTTAATAAAAGTTTATCTCTATTGTTTACTCCCATTTACAAAATCGATCAATTCGGCAGTGGCAAAAGTTGTAAATTTAATAATATGGTGTGGCAAGTAATTTTCATTAATTTTTTTAACTACCCATATGTAATTTATAACCTCTGTTTGGTTGTGAGCGTGTGTGAAATATTTCCATTATTTTAGGTGAGTGAACACGTACCACTTCGTCTTGGCAAAACCTTCCATCTTGTATACATTCTGTACGTTTTAACCTTTTCTAAGGTTTTGTTTGCTCTCCTGATTTCATAAATAGTTTTTATTTATTCTTTTACCAATCAATTTATTGTTATGCTGATTATGGAGTCGAAATAAACTTACACTTATTTATTATACTTATTTGTACAATAACAGCAGTAACATATGAGCTAAAATTTTGACAATATGCTTTTCAGGCCAGATGATTGGTGGCTAAATGCATTAAAAAAATTTCGGTGAACAAGAATGGTTGTCGAATTTTAGAATCAGAAGAGAAACATTTTCCAAGTTAACAACGTTAATGCGTGACGATTTAGAGCCGGGTAAATGATTTATTTAATGATATTATCTTATGTTTAGCAATGCAAACTACATAACGATGAAGACATAAATTACAGTTGCATAGAGTTTCAGGCTCCTTCAATATGTTTACTAATTTTGTGCATTCTTTTTATGTAGACGAAAGGTGTGTTCGTACGCCACTCTCACTAGACAAACGAATAGCAATTGCAATATACCAATTGGCATCAACCGCAGAATTCAGAACCACAGGTAACATGTTTGGGGTACATCGAACATCTGTTCACAGGTATTTGCACAGGTATGTATATTTCACCAATAGTTGAAGTTTCACTCTCATGATTGCTTGTATTCTCATTTATCCATATCTGAGTAGATTTTGTGAATGTCTGATCAAGCACCAAAAGAAATTCATTTTTCTGCCAACCGCTGCTGAAGCAAAAACAATCGCAGCAGCCAATCAGCAACTAACTGGGTTTCCACAATGTTTCGGGGCTATAGATGGGAGCCACATTCATGTAAAACCACCAAGATCTGGGTTTAGAGATTATGTGAATCGAAAGATGTACCCATCTATAGTCCTACAGGCTGTAGCTGACAATCACTACAGGTTAGTCCATTTTTTAAGTTTTTGCTAGTGTACAATTGATTTATTTCATTACATTTTGGTTTTTCTATTACTTTTCGGGTTTTTCTGTTATGTGTTGAATGTGCAAATTATAAAGTGCGACTACACCACAGTTTTTGTGTTGGCACTAGGGATGTCCGTATCCGAATACTAAACTATTCTAGAATGCTTCTGAAAAAACATTTCGAATATCGTTTAAACTAAATTACTAGAACCAAAATTATACTTCACAAGTGTTTCAGTAACTTTATTTCCCAACATAAGTGGGTGAAATGAACATGTGACATAGTCTGTCAAACTAAACTGATGCGAATCACTGGAGCATTCTCTGAGAAAGTTATTTCTCTGAATTAAAGAAAACATACTGTTGCCATCACAAGCTTCTAATCAGGGCTGGGAAGCTGATTCTTAATCACAGTGGCTTTGGCTACAGCTCCAGGGACCACAGTTCCTTTTTAGAGCTCCTGAAGTATGTGCATGGCTCACAACCTGAACCCTAAACTGGTACACATAATAATGTTCATGTTGTGCGGCACAGTGCCGTATGACTGTACTAGTACCGTAGCCTACTGGCACAGATAAACTCCGATTCCATTAGGCTACCGGTACGGTACTGCTGCACTGCTATTCAATCAAACGACACCGTACCCATCTTTACCTTTAAAACTTCCACCGTGCGTTATGCAGTTATGATAAACTCGCAATAAAAAACTAATCACTTCCATAACAGAGATACTGTACCGTGTTTTTAATAGAGTTCTATTCAGTTATATACCGGTATGTTTAAAACACACTCCTAAAATAATATTTTTTATGCGCCAAAATTTCTATTGAACAACCTTGAACTTGCGAGATTTTGTGTCTAGTAGAGGTTAATTAATTTTTATTTCAACGTTTTCTTGTGTTATTTTCCAACAGAACAACACCAAAACCACTATTATAGCAAGAATGGATACTCTAAAATTCACGATTGTATTTACAGAATTTTCAAATTCAAGGCTTCATTTGACAATTTTGATGATGTCATACCTCTAATTATTACTGCACAGTTTATTGTAATTTATTTCCTGTCTGAGTCACTCTAACGATTTTACATGCCACTCAATGTATCGAACTAGTATTCAAAGCGAAGCTAGAGTCCCTTTTTCGTGAAACATACGACTCTACTATAGAACATTAACTGTAAAAGACCATTATTCCAGTTGGTTAGGCTTGAATTATACTGTGTACATGCCATCCCCCATAGTATGGTTTAAACATATTCAATTGAGTTTTGTTTTTGTTTTCCTCTGTGTTAGTTTTGTTAATTTATTTTCGGTGTATGCTACTTCAGCTCAATTTCGTTTAAAAAATGGTAATTTTATATTTTTTAAAGGCTGTGACTGACTCGATGACCTAACGGTCGCTTTGTCACAGCCTCGTCACAATGCCTTGGAAAATTAATTTTGAAATGTTGTATGTTGTATTTTGATTTTGACATTGTTGACGAAATAAAATACTACTACTACCGTACCGGTTGCCTGCACCGTCAACATCAGATTGTCGGCAATAATCGCACAAGTCTGGACATGCCCAGACATGCCCGTTTCGTCACGCTTGATAGAAAGCAGAGGTCACTATGGTTCACGCGACGGACGATTCAGCACTTACTAACGTACTTTGAAAAAAAAAATACCGAAAAAGATCGTGCGCGACGTCGCAAGTTTCATACATGTTAAATTACGATTAACCGAAATTGGAAAAAACTATTCGAATACAGCTCTAAACGAAAACGAAACGAAAACGGAAACGATAAGGACATCCCTAGTTGGCACTAAGACTTTTGTTTGTTCAAGTTAATCACATTTTATGTCTTATGTCCATTTACTGTCTTCTTTTGTATGTGCAATCAATGTCATATTTGTTGTGTTGTTTTTTGTTCATGTCCGTGCAATAAAAGCTAAAATTTTGATATCATTCTGCCATCAATGCGACTACACCACAGTTTTTGTGTTGGCACTAAGACTTTTGTTTGTTCAAGTCAATCACATTTTATGTCTTATGTCCATTTACTGTCTTCTTTTGTATGTGCAATCAATGTCATATTTGTTGTGTTGTTTTTTGTTCATGTCTGTGCAATAAAAGATAAAATTTTGATATCATTCTGTAGTGTTATTTGTTAGTGTTAAATCTCAGATTCAGAGACATCAGTATAAAGATGCCGGGCAGTGTTCATGATGCCACAGTCTTGAGGGCTTCTGGACTATATAAGAATGCTGAAATGCTCCCTTCGGTAGAAAGCTTGAGCATTCCAGACTCTAAAATTATGTTGATTACTACTAAATATTGTATTCTTGCGCAGGGTGAGATCACCATTAATGGATATCCAGTGCCCTTATGCATCGTGGGTGATAGCGCGTATCCCTCTTTACCATGGCTGTTACGCCCATACACTGGGTCTTCTCTCACGCCCAGGCAAGAGAGATATAATGAGCACCATAGCAAGGTAAACAGGCACTTTTATGTGTTCAAACACACTCGTTATAACAAACTAGCATGAGCTATTTCTGCAGGTGCGCGTAACAGTCGAAAACTGTTTTGGCCGGCTGAAAGCCAGGTGGCGAATCCTTCGTCGGCTGGATGTTAGAGTCGCTGAGGCACCAAAGATCATTGCAGCGTGTTGCATAATGCACAATATCTGCGAAACAGAACAAGCCCCAGTGCCAAGGAAGCCCTTAAATGAAGAGCCACAACCTCCAACTATTGGCATCCGAAATGAAGGGGCTAATAATAACGCCCAAGGGGTCATTGCCGACTACCTTTTTGAACTCTATGGACGTGTGTGACTAATTTGTTATTTTTTTAAATTTTTGTTCATTTGTTAATTTCTGTTCAATTTTTCCTTGTTTAGTTGAATAAATAATTCATAATTATTACAGTTTCTCCAATATTTTATTTGTCAAATTCTCCAAAGCTGATGCAAAGGCAAGCCTATCCTTTTCAGATTCTTCCCTAAATACTCTCAACAGAGCTTCAGTTCTGGAATCTGAAAGTTATAAAATAGAACATCAGTAACAGCTATGATGAGCCATCAGCTAGTAATTCTTATATATCTAGGTTGCACTAACCATAATTTTCTCTACTACTCTGTCTCCTCCTGCCTCGCTGGCTTGAAGTTGGTGGAGCATGGCTGACACTTTCATCAACTAAAGATAAAGCATTGGATTAGAAAAAATTCCATTTTATTGAAGACATCTGTGATTCTAAACAGCAAATTGTAATGTTTCCAACTTTTTTTCATTATTATAGCTTTTCTGATCTTTATAATGACATGCAATCGTATTTAAAAATTTTATCATGTAAAACCAAGGTATAAACTGTGTTTTACTAAGTGCAAGATACATATCTATAAATGTAAACTTCGGAATGAAAGGCCTCAATTTGATCAATTTTTATATATGATAAAAAGTATTTTAAATTATTGCAACTAAAAAAGGTTAACTGTGTATAAAAAGTGATTTTTAATAATAATAAATACATAAAAAAACTGAAGATGAAGCATATTAAAACAATTTATAAATACATTGCAACAAACCATAATTTGGTTTGGATACGCTAATCATAAACATAAAAATTATAAACGACTCTTCGACAAACCTTGCGGCAGGTCCTGTTGCAACTCGCCCTCCGACTCTTCTTGCAGGAGACTGCTATCTGGATTGTCAACTAAAAATAATGTATTAAGTTAAAAAAGTGTTTGATGATGCCACCAACCCTTCCACCAATTTCATTGCATAAGATCCTGTACTGACCCTCTATTTCAGCCACAAACTGAGCGATGGTTTCGTCGAAAACTATGGTCTCGCATGATTGACGGCTCGCTGGTATCAACACCCAATCATGGAGGCCAAGGCCTGAAAATATAAATAAATGATTATTCAAATATCAATCACGGCGATAAAAAAATTGAGTAGAAGCAAATAATAAAACAGTGTAAAACATGAAAATCATAAAATTACAAAACTTGCTAGCTTCAAAATTATTTAACCACTCACCTGCACTCTTGGTCTGGAGCCAAGAAGCTCATGCATGGCCCTAAAATATGGCCAATTCAACGCAGACCTAGAACTTTCTCCAGATTGTGACGTTTTTGTTCTGATATGATTATATTTTGCCTTTAATCGCTTCCACTTGTTCTTCACAGTAACACTATTCAAGCAACATGAAAAAATCTTCACTTATTTTTGTAGCGAGTGTGGAAAATTCACTCCTAATATAAACCAGGCTAACATTTTTATATTTCGTGGCAAACTTACACGTCCATATCGCGATATCCCTTCTCCACTAGCATTCTCGCCACCTCCTTCATCACAACAACATTTCTAACCGCAGTGCTGTCGCTTTTCTCAACCAGCTTAACCTGCTTAGCAGCATCGATCAAGTCAAATGTCGCTTCTGGTGACCAACTGAACATTCTAAATAAAAATCAATTCCCTTTCCTCAATATGACAACTATCATACCATCTAACTTTGCCCTGCCAATCTGTACACAACTGGTTTAATGAGGAAGCAATTTTTTCTTATTGCAAAATGTATATATTTGACACACAAAACATGAAAAAATAAACTAGACATAGAAGCACAATAACACAGAAACATGATTGGATGCGCAACAACAAAATACATATATACATGGGAAAAATAAATTAGACAGACATAGGGATAAACTGAACACATACTGACATACAACAGTCAGTTAACAAAAACATTTGAAAGTTCGACGGGGAGGACAATAAAACAGAAATATGCAAAACAAAATAATAACATATTAACAGTGGCTTTTTACAAATAAAGATACACAAAATAGTTGACAAAATCTATATCAACTATGCACAGACAAATATCAAAACAAAATCCAATCAGAAAGCAAAACTGACATAGGGATAAACTGAACACATACAACAGTCAGTTAACAAACACATTTACAAGTTTGACTTGAGAACAATAAAACAGAAATATGCAAAACAAAATAATAACATTGGCTTTTTTACAAACAAAGACACACCAAATAGTTGACAAAATCTATATAAAATATGCACAGTCAAATATAAAAACAAAATCCATTTAGAGCTGTAGAAAGCAAAACTCAAATCAAAACAAGATAGCTGTGGCAAAAATTTTCATTTGATAGGCTATACCAGCTACGGTATAAGTATAACTTTATTTCGACTCCATAATCAGCAGTAGACGATAAAATAATACATAAAAAAAAAAAAAAGAATCGGGAGAGCAAACAAAACCTAGGTAAGTTTTGAAGCGTACAAATTTTAGATGGAAAGGTATCGATAAAAAAAAAGTAGTACGTGTTCGCTCACCCAAAAGTATATAAAAAATAAATAAAGCACACACACTCATACAATAATCAAGACATGGTGAGGTTGGAAGTTGAAAAAGCCAGACTTGAAATCAAATAAATTACTCAGTAAAAAGGAAAATATACAAACAAATAAAAAAAATGAATAATGGTTATAGCCTAGTAAGCTACCGGTATGTCAGTATGTATAAATTTTGTTCACTCACTTGTATTTGTCTAGTATTAAATCTGCCAATGTTTTGGACGAAAAATTGTAGATACTGTTGGTGTCCGTATATCAAGATATGCTACTAATCCAACAGTTGTTGAAGCAATCACAGCATTCACGAAAATTAAATAAGTTAATGGTCCAATAGGTTGTCCATACGGCATATGTGATACAAAAATAAAAAGAATACAGGCTTGAGAAGTAAGCATTAGTCTACATAAAAAGTTATCGAGAGATACGGTACCGTTGAATGTTTAGTCTGCTACCGTACCGTTTACACTAATTCTTCATCTGCCATCGTGAGTTTGAAGGTTGAGGTACGGTACCGCATCTTACAATGCCATTACTTACAACTGACAAGTTTAAACCCATGTGGATCCCCCACGAAGAAAAGCCGCAAAAATGTCATCTGCGAGAAACATCGAAAGTCGCTATAACGGAAAATAACGTATAAGCGTCTTGAATACTAGGACTCAGTAGGACGAAAACCCGGTGAAGAAGTAGGACGTACTAGGACGCGCCATGACGTCATATCGTTGACCATATAAGGAATGCGCGTCCTACTGCGTCCTAGTCCGTCCTAGTAAACTTGCCCATGGAAACACACTTAATAATATTCTTTATTTCCAATATAATACTTATTTTTGCATACATTTTACCTACTAAAACTAGTGCAGAAGTGAGACTTGCGCATAACACTAGTTCTAAATCGGTAGAAGATTGAACAAATAACAGTATTTTTTTTACAGTAGGAATAAAGAGTTACAAATTAGGCGAAGGGGGGTATTTATTGAAAAGGGGTTGGGGTCGTGATAGTGGTTTAATGACCCTGAATTAAATTGTGTGTTTGGGGTCGTCGTTGTGGCCAGTTAGTGATGATACAAGAGCAGGAGTGTGCAACAGGTGTTCTGCGGCCACAAGCGACCCGCCAAGTTATTTGGTGTGGCCTTGTCAACACTCCGATTTCTCCCCAGCAAACATAAAATCCGAAATGTTCAAAGGTGCTCACACGGATAGTCGCTCTGGTATCTGCGTTAAATCTTTTGCCGTTTATTACTGTAGGGTTAGGCGATACCACATCCCTTTTCTTGACTTTCCCGATATTTTTTTTTTGTGTGGGCCACCGATCAAAAATGTTGTACATACTTGTACCAGAGATACTTAAAATGGCGTGCAACTTTTAGAATTTGGCCTTACACATTCTGAGAGACATGCAATTGCAATTTATGCTGATCGCGTACTCGCCGAACCCGACTAGTTTCCACGCTCCTTATATATATGAATAATACGCACACGCCCAAATGAACGATTAAGATCGCTTACGGTCTTAGTCAATTTCGCACCGATCATATTAATGAATTTACATTATTAGTTAAATAAAAAATTAATAGAAACTCATCGGTCGTAAGCACTATGGCTCAACTATGCTAATGGGCGTTTTATCTCTCTGGATAAATAAACCATCTTTCACGGTTATATTTAGATGACAAGTAAAAAGATAAATGCCCGAAACTTCATGTTTGTGTAAACATTAAAATAATCGTTTCCATGCTGGGTATGGACCAACGTTTGCCTTGTAAAACCAGTTGGTGAACATCTCTCTTATCTGACTGACAACTCTGTGTTTGATGCATTGTTTTCCAATGAGTGTTCTTTCAAAAAGTACGAACAGGTAGCTAGATTTATTGCCGACCATCCCACAAAGCTTGTGTTGAGGACATGGAAATGAACAAGTCGTGTTGGAAATGACTATCACTGAATAAATCACAATCACCAAATACGAGTCAAACCAGGACATTTGTGGGTTATTGCATCAAATTATTCAATAATCATTTTCTCTCCAAACCCCCAGCAGAACAAAGCACTACTTTTCTGAGCTTGTCCTAGTTTCACTTTTCTTTTATCAAGCTAACAACAATTTTGAGATCACGCAACAGATTAGTGATCAATCCGCCATTTTTAATCGCCTGACTCTTTGGGATTTTACTCAAAATGGCGAGACAACAGCTAAGGCGCTGCTGCATTTCCCAATTCAAAACCTGTAACCATTCGACGTTTCAAATTAATAAAAAGCATAAAAGTTTGTTGGGACGGTCATTGGAAAAACAAATAATTGCCGACAGGGAAAATTTGTTCATAAATATTCTAATACTTCAGCGCCGGGCAAATCAAAACTATCCGAAATGCAGAAGAGATGTATATTTCTGCTCTTTTTCTGTTTAAATTATCTTCGGGTCGCACATAGGGGTATGCAAAAACAGAGCTAAAGTTTTTACATATTCTAGATTTTTCATTATTCGCTGACTCCGTCCACCCTTACCCACGTGACCTATCCAATCCAATATGTCACGTGACCATAGTGACGAAAGGCGCCATCTTTTCCTTGTCAATAACTGTTGAGGTTGGTCGTGTTTTCGTTGCTCTATATTTTATCTGACCTATCAGTTCCATTTCGCTGATAATAAAGTTATTTAGTTGCGCCATCACACTTTTGTGGGGTTTTCCAACCCACGGAATCTAATTTTTTACGGGCTTTATAGCGAGTATCGTTGCAGATATCCCAAAAGACTAGATTTGGGCATTATTGTGTAATGAATTGTTTTATAATTTATATTAAAATTCTCGTAACATTCTAAAAATTTAAAATACAAACTCATCCAAATATGCGACGTCGCTTACTTCAGCCGTTTACCTGTATCGAAATATGGGTACCGGTAACGTTTTTCTGTATTGGGTATTTGATACAGGCTAAAAGTATGATGTCGGCTGTTAACATTTTACTAGTTGTGTGGTGTTTATGACAAATGGATAAAACAGCAATTATTTATACTTAAAGCCGCAGAAATATTTCAAGATATTTAAACACTTATAATGCTGTTTACTTTATGCGTCGCTGGAATAAATGAAGTTGAACTGACCTCGCGTCCTGTGCATTGTTGCTGTGCTGTCCAAAATTGTTCCGGAGCGCTTAAAAGGATCTTAAGGCGCTTAAAAGGATAAAAATTTAAAGCTATTATGGAATGTCACTAAAGCTGCAAACTCAAGGTTTATCTATGTAGTTTTGTTTGCAGCCAATTTTTGAGCAAAAAAGTACATTTTTCCAAAGTATATAATTTGGATGCGTAATTATGTATATAGTCTGGTTAGATAATTGTTACTTTGAAAATTCTGAACAAAAAATCGAAATACAATATTTTATGCTAATGATTTGATTACTGCGGGACTAACTACTTATCCTTCTTCTATGTTTTTGTGTCATTGGATCCATATGCATATAATGCAAGGATGCTGTAGCAAGAGTGAAGATAACTATCTTAAGTGATTCAAGAGTCTTGCGACACACCAACACAAATATATCAATAAATAATGACTTAAGAACGATATTTTATGTTGCATTATAACAAATTAAAATAAATCTATATCTAAAAGCACACCAATTATAATGACATCCTTCACCAGGGTTGCCATGACCACCCATACATCGATGTTTCTACAAGAATGAGGTCCGCGGTGTCAGAGTATTTTAATGTCGGAGTCTAGTGACTGCGGAATTGATATTTCTTCGCGCACTGACTTCATTGGCTACTTCTGTAACATTGGTTAATCAGCAGGCTATAAATGAAAATCATTTTCCTGGTTTTGCCACTAATTTTAGAACTTTACCAAAATTTAGGTAGAAAACGAAAAATCCATCATTTTATCTTTCGAAGAGTTTTGGTATTGTTGTAATAGACTAAAATTAACTTCGAAAAGCTGCGATAGACGGAGCTATAATTATCTGTAAGCACAGCAGATAATTGAATATATTGGTAAAAATAACAGGTATGTTAACAATATGTAATCGCTAGTTCGCAAAACACCTTCAAAACAGGCATCCTAAATTTGGCAATGGTGAAATATAGGAATGATTTGTCTAGGACAGGGGTTCTCAACCTTTTTTCTGTCAAGTATTCCCGAGTCACGAAACAATCAACGCGAACCGCCGGTAATCTGACACCGAACAAAGTTGTGATATATCGACTAACAATTTGTTGAAACAACAATTTATTGACCAGATAAAACTAAATTTAATTTCCCTGTTACTGATATTCCCCCAGTCCTTCGTCTAACTAATAAATTCTTGAAATCCCTCTCAAATTTCAATAAGGATATCACTTTCTCCAATGCTTGCAGGCTTGCAGCACACTGTATTTGGAAATTTCATTTTCCTGCAAAGCCGTGAATTTCACATTGTTTACGTCACAATCACAACAACGCAAAATCAGGGAAAATCTATGTTTCAATTGGCATCCAGTTTCAATCGGCACCCAATTTTCGGTACTCCAGAAGTATGCGCACCAAGATGTCTCACAACCTGAATCCTAACCGGTACACACATACTATGTTCAGGTTGTGCGCCATCTTGATGCGCATACTTCTGGAGGTCCCAATTTTCTCTGGTAGTAATAAAAGATAATAAAAAACAGCAACACACAAAAACTCGACCGCCATCCAAGTATCCCCTGAAATCTTCTCGCGAACCCCTGGTCTAGGGTCAAAGGTAGGTAAAGCATCTATTGACATCAAAACGAATTCTTGTTTTCTGTGATTCTCATGTGGTGATTCTTTTATACGGAAACCTAAACGAAATTGAAAATATGAAAGCTTAAAAATCTTTTGTTTCTCCTCTTTGGTAATTCTTGTTGGGCTGGCAAGTTTATGGTTCTGAATACAATCGCTACGTGGTACTATCTGTATTTTTAAACAAAATTCTATCTGAATGACCGGAATATGGTGTTTATGCCACGGTACTATTGGAATGGAACATCAATTTTATCGCCACCCTCAAGAGCGAACAATCGGCACTGTTGCAAAAATGTTCAGAAAAGTTTACTTCGGCCAAACTGATAAAATACTGATAAATATTTCGTGGATTCGACAATTTAGTTTCATTTCGTATATTTAACACAATGTAATTAAGCAATGGAATAGGATTTTTATTTATAAACTGAAATAACTTTAAGTCACTAAATAGAAGCCATGGTCTAATTTTTGCACGGCATCTTAGCAAATAAAGATACAAAGAGCATGAGATATTTCGTACTTTTAGTGGGAGAAGAATGGCGATAAGACGGTGATCACATAGCGCCTCGTACGATTACCTGTCCATGTCGGATATGGGATTAGTTATTCATTTAATATTTGTTTCGGATGCATAGACTCTTCAAAAAAATCTTTACCAATATTTTGACCAATTTATCATAAAATGTAATTTCACTGCAAAAATATGCAAATTAAAAATAATGCTCTCATTTTTAGGTTGAAAAATACCTTTTCTAAATACCATCAATATTGAATTATATTCATAAATAAACCTAAGACATTTTTAGCAAAAATAAAATGTCTAAATATTTGGATTCATATTTTGTTTGCGCCCAACGACGGGCTCTTTCAGGAATTTATTTTATTTTATTCAGGTTTACAATTACTTAAACATTCTTCCTGTTATATTTTAACGGAACTATAACTAAACGATATTTGCATTTGTCGCCACTTCCGTACCTGTTACCATTGGTTTATGATGAGGGCGTTTGAGCCATATCTTGCTTTTTAATCTGCCTAGTCCGTAGCGCAGCAGTGTACGACAGTCACCGATGTAAACAATGCTTTTCAGGGCTATCTCCTACAACGAGAGTTTGTAGTTATAATCTACCCCTTTGTTTATGTGTTTAATGTACTAAGGCACGAGATTGCGTATATGTTGTGATGCTTATTTTCATTTATTTTTTGCTGCAAAATTTGGGATGCAACTCGCCAATTTTGGGTCTGTCTATTTATATAAAAAAGGAAAGTTGTAGTATTGTTGTGGATTAGTGCGTTCATTGATATCCCCATGGAATACGTATCTTCATCCATACAATGGCCGAAGTTGAAAATCAGAGCCATGATGTCACCAAATCACACTCCTATAGTTAAAGACAGGCCCTGCATGTAATGTTTTTTGTATCGGATTCGAGGTGTTTAGAGCTGATATTTCAAAAATTACTAGAAAATGCATATATATATATTATTAAACGTCGGTATTATTTTTATTGTAATAAATAAACGTTTTAATTTTTACCAATTCAAATATTTGCATCATCAATTGTGATACTTTTTCAAATATATGGAACCGGATAATTAGCGAATTGAACCGTGTTCAAGTATAAATTGGTAACGAATGTTCGATAAATGTTGAAATGACGTCACCAATTCGTGTTACGTCATACAATTTTACATCGAAGTGTCGGAAAATCAGCGGTTTAGACCTTATTCAAATATATATCGGAATCGAAACATTTCAGCAATATTCGTAACGGGAACCAAAACAAATCGGATTGGTTATGTCGGTCCGGAAGAGATCCGAAGTTCTCAGATGCCCTTGTTCATCGCGTCTAAAGAACTTCCTCCCAAAGCCTTATTTGGGACAATAGTTTTACATAAGTTCCGACGAATATTGTTCACAAAACGATGGCCGTTTAAACAATGAACTTTGCAGATTAGCTAACTCTTCAAGTTTCGGGCATTGCTTTTATCGTATTACTTTCATGACGCTGATTCAAAGGTATGGAATGCGTTACATCATTCTTTTAAATAGCAAACTTTCGTACCAGCTGTCTCCATGACTACCGAAATAGCAAACCTAAGTTCATTTTGACGACACAAATAAAAGAAAAATGTAAACAAAAGCCGGTGGTATCCCGCCCGCGTGTTCAATAATTCCATAAAATTTTGTGTACTTCGCCGGTTCCAATTTTTGCAAAAAAAAATTAATTTTTGTTCAATGCTTTCATTTTCGTTCAAATATTATTCCAGAAACAAAAAAGCGTTTCTTATCGGTAATTGCCTTTTTCTTGATTATTAGACACAGCGCTAACTGACACCATTTATCTACTTTAATTTTTTACAACGAAATTTCTAAATATTTATAACTTTGCGGTAGGACGTCTCGCCGGATGGTACCGCCGGATCCCTAGCATTAATTCGCCTAGATTATTATGATTATGGTCAGTATGATGCCACGCTAAATCGACCTTGATTTGGACTAATTTGTTGCGTAAAAGTGAAGAAAAAATGAGAAAAAAATTATTGTTTTATGTTTCAAGATTACGAGCCGTCATTTAAAACAAACTCCATGTAACGTATAACTTAACACATGAAAATTAAGAAAAAATGATTACCAAAGATGATTAGATTTATCGTTGAATATTATATTCATATCTAGTATATATTTTGATTATTCAAGCAATCACACAAGAAAAAAAACGCAGTATATTTTTCTAGTTAATTTTGACTTGAACGATGCAAAATCCATTTTAAATATTATCATCTTAAGTTCATAATTTGGCGCTTCAGAAGTATGTGCACCAATATGGAGGTAACTAATTTTGTTCGCCTATTTTACATCAAGTTGTGTAAAGGAACGGAAGCCAATGGGCAGATGGTATATTCACTCGGCTACACAGACAGTCCACGCAATAGAAATAAGGAAAATCGGAATGGTACACACGGGAGTACCGCTAATTTAATCAAGGCATAAACGAGAATATCGGTCAGAGACCGAAGACTTATCGATCAAAAGTTAGGGGATCTCCAAAACAGAGCTCTTACTCCATAGTAACATCTTGTGTCCCATCACTAATTGATTAATAAATCGCTTATTATACGACATAATTCATCCAAAATCCATAGGCTTCTGGTCCGACATATGATGAATGCACATGCAAAATCTGGAGCAGATTCAATCTTGCCTTCGTGAGATATCGCGTGCATCTAACAGACAGACAGACAAATACCTATCAACATACTTACCGATTGAGATCGATAAGTAATGGCCTACAACTAAGTTTCTTATATGCATACTCGTATAAATATATGTCTTGAAGATATTATTGCACAAATCTGCTATGTATCGATTAAGCCATTAAGGTGTCAGAGTTGTAAAAACAAGGGGGGGTAGTTGATTACTGGGCTGCTAAAGTTCGAAACCGAGATGGTTGACATACTTCACCAACTTGCATCCTTGTCTATATAGTTTCTTCTGGGTAAAGATGTCGAGATTTTGATACATTTCTCATGACAGTTGATCATAATATTTAATTTCAAAAAATTAAATAATTAAATCGTGCCAAACATTTGAGTTTTGCATGCTCTTCAAAATAAATAGAAATAAAATAGATAAATGCAATTTTTTTTTTAATTTTGTAAAACAACACGGGTGGTGTCAAAATGCTTGCATGCCAGTGGGTAAGATTTTTTTTTTTGCCAATAGGAAACACAGTGTACACACTCGTAATTATGTTCCTATTAACCTGAAAATTGTTTTTAATTTGTTATTTTTTTGGCAGTAAATTGTTTAGGTGTTTAGTTAACCCTCGTATCACTCCACATATTTTTGTCTTTATTTTCTAATTTCAACATACCCACGAACCTATCTATCACAATCAAAATATTTCGCTTCATCAGAAATGTCGTACAATTTCTCTTCTCAATACCGCGGTGCGCTCTCGGACGGGCCAGCGCGTGTCTCTACCTGGTATTGATCGACGTTTATCAGCCCGAGGCAGTCGTATCTTCTCGGTAATACGGCCTATTAGTGGTATTATGTTCCTAACACGAGTTAAATGTTGTTTTTATGATAAAACACGTACATGCTTGGTTTTCTTTGTTTCGTAGCAATACAAAAAATTTATCTTTGACGACATTATTATAATCGCTTTACCTCATTTTGCTATAATGGCTACATTTCCAGTTACAAATTTATAAATTGCTCTTCCGACTGTTTTTCGATTGAGTTGACCAACACCGATTTTTTATGCTATATTTCATGAATTGGAAATAAATATTTCCAAAGATACGCAACATTTATATTTTCATTTTTTTTTGCCTAAAATTAACATATTTATCATCGCATACACCATCATTTATTTTTGCTGCATGGCATATATTCGTTTATCTTTCGCTGCGTTAGTGAAAACGATACACTATTATCAAAAATTGTCATTGTTTACTTTTTTCAGATACCATCACTTTTTATCAGCATTTCATTTCCTGCTATTTTCGTAAAATCCTCAAATTCGCATTATTACTTCACATAGATGGAACAATCGCCAAAAATCGACATGAACATCTATTGACTATGATTCAAAATTCATTTGCACATTGTGACGTGACGTTTAGGTAACGTTCCCTGGAACCGGCTTCTAATTCATACTAAATACAGTTAACGCGAATAACAATTATTATTTATAAATATATATATATTAAATCTATTTTCAAACTATTTTATGTGAATAATTTTCTTTTTAATACTCATTGATATATTAGTTTCCAGGTGTAAAGATTTAACCATTTCCGAATAGCCCGGTCTTCTTCGAAAACATATAAATGTTCTCCATGAGTTTTATATTTTTCTGTTAAACTGAATAAAACTATTAGCTTTTTATTCAACATGTTCATTTTTCAGTGAAATTAGTTCGTCCACTTAAAGTCAATTAAGCTTTTCCGAAAATTTAAATTTATTGATGACATCCGCGCTAATTACTACTTATATTTAATTGTCCTATTTATTTTCAGATTGGCAATATTGAAGAAAAAACGTAATAGTTCGGATTGATTTTTTCCGATAATAGCTACCAGCTGAAATATCGTTCTGTTGCCTCAGAATTCTTCAGTTTACAATTGATAATTACTTGTAGTTTTAACCTATAACCTTTTTTGGAATTTGGAGGAAGTTGAGACACAATGTTAATTATTGTTCCGACAATTAAAATGTTAAAGTTCATGATTTAAATTGCCCTGCGACATTCTTCCGTTTCATGTTATATTTGACCTTTTGAAAAGTTGGCCTATTTACGAGAATTTTAACATAAATTACAATAGAAGTGAATCGCTCTGTTCTCAATATTGTGAACAATAACGTTTAACCGACAGTTCAATTAGCAACAACAGCTTCTCTGAATCTAATAAATTTAGCGACTAATTTCCACAAAATGCGTGCTATGTTTTTAGTCTATTTTTCTCTGATCTGCTGTTTATCTTAGCCCAGACCGTCGCTCACAGTAGTCCTTGGTAAATCTTATTACAATCTTGCGTATATTTTTTCACGCATACTGCATAAGCTTTAAGTAAACTTAAAACGGTACTCCCGTAGTATGTGTACCAGGTTTAGTTATATTACGAGTTCGGGGACTGTGTGTGTTAGCCAAGTGAATATACCCCCTGCCCAGGTTTCAGTCGCTTTACACAACTTGATGTAAAGTAGGCAAACAAAATTAGTTACCTCCATATTGGTACACATACTTCTGGAGCGCTAAAAACAGCATAGACTATTAATAGAAATTCCTTTCTTGACTCAGTCAACCATTTTAAATCCGGTATTTACAGAACCGCATGTAGTTGTGTATTAACGTCATAATGCCACGCTAACAGAACATTCACTCTCGTATGTCTAAAAATAAATAGTCTAGTTTCAAGTGAGATTTCGACTGTTCTTCTTCAAAAACCGCAAATTCGCATATCACTCTTGATTTAAAAAGTGTGTGAAGTTTATGCACGATAGAACAGCAAATAGTTAACAGAGGCTTACCATACGTCCCGCTTTAGGCGGGACAGTCCCGCTTTTTGGCGTCTTGTCCCGCCGTCCCGACAAGTCAGCCAAATGTCCCGTTTTTGCGTTCAGCCATCCAGCATAATACACGAACATGTTCTCGTTACTGTTGTTTCTGTGTTGCGCAACGCTAGCCTACTTACTGGAGTTGAATGCGTTTGTTTTCCGCTGATTCCCATTGATAGCAGACGCATCGCATGTAAAACCAATACTAATTAGTCTAAATTCGAATTATTTGTACCGATTTCGTTACCGTCAATTCCTTTCTATTTTCGAACTGAACCCGATATTTGGACAGAAGATATGCGCATGAAATTTCGATAACAATATGGTCAATAAAGACAGCTTTAAATGTAGGCATATGTAGTAAAATCGGAAAATGTAAAGTTACAAAATCACAGCTAAGGGGTCGTTGTCTTTTGAGGCGTCCCGTCCCGCTTTGAAGTCACAAAAATATGGTAACCCTACGTGTTAACATAACACTTTTATTTTGATCATTCAACAAAACAATTCTGAGGGGGGAGCCGAGATAACGGTTTAAACATGCCGAACCACGGCCTCTCATCCGACAGTTCATGGTGGGTATGGGACTAGTTAGCCAGCTATTTGCTCCAGATGCATGAACTTGATCACACAATGGACGACTGACAAGGCTAGCTATATATTAGAAGGTACTCCCGTAGGCGTAGTATGTTAACCGAGACACCAAAACGTAGTATGTAGTAGGTTAGGCCATAATTTCAGGTACAAATACTACGGGAGTCACGTGGCTAGTCCCCGAACTCGTAATAAAATGAAAATAAGGAAAATTAGAATAAAATTATGGCCTAACCCACGTGCCGGTGTCCACCATCTTGGTTCGCATACGACAGGTGTACCGATTAGAATGCCGGCAGATATCCTTCGTATAATCGTATGCATAGACGTGGAAATTTTAATTGAACCCTCAATAATCATTTAATCACTGGATTGAAGAATCCTAAAATTGAGGGTTTTGTGTTTTTATTCCTGTCGGAAAGGGAGGAGAATGGAACTTAATAATCATACCAGGATATAAAACATATATTCACACAAGATATAACAGGATGGTTTAATTAGCTCCCGCGAGTGTCCTGTGTATGTTATGAATTTACCGGCAATGTTAATTATAATGAATTCCAAGCACTGTGAAAGCTTTCAACACCGCATTCAAAATGTTTCTCATTTGGATGAATGATTCAACTTACTGCCTGACACATGAAGTAATGAATTGAGCAGTGGCTGCACCAGGCCTTTCCGAAACATTGCCGCTTCACATATATCAGTGGATGGGCGCCTGTTCAAAGTATTACTCAGCGCTAGAGCGTAGAACACCCTTCGAATCTTCAATGCCGATTATTCCTATCTTACAGTACAATGCAAAAAAAATGTATCAAAATCGAACATTTTACCATTTTCAAGTCATAAGGCAAGTCATATCATTTCACTCGCGAGTGGTCTTCCATATAAAATCAAGTTCGATTTTAATATCGGGATGACTTCGGCCTAGCAATAACGGGCATTTGAGGTTCTCTGTGGTTGATTCAATTTTCCGGCATCATGGTCAAGATGATATTTCCGGGGTCAGGGTTCAGGGAAGTAAAATGTCACGTTATGCCATTTAAGGAAAAAGGGCACTTTATATATATTTATTTCAAAAGCGGTTAGATCTTCGGAATTCTAATTTTAACCTCGTCCAATGCTCGTTACAATCGCGTATATTGTATACATGGGCTCTAAGGCGAATCAAAAGTCATTTTTTCTCCTAATCGCATGGTAAATGATGTAAACATCATGTTAAAGACACCATTTAAAATCTAAATTAAAATTTTAGATCGTACATCCTCAATTTATCGTAGTTTGTGGCGAACATGACTATTAAACACCAAAACCGTTTTTATTTAGATTTGCGTCCGCCAATAGAGGCCATGTTTACAGCAAAATGACATACGTCATTTTTTATCCATCTTATATTACGAGGGCATTGTTTATATTATTGAACGTTGTTGGACGTATTGCCTTGTTATAGAACGTCAGGTGAATAGTTCGCCATCGTGTCTCCGTGTTTGTTTTCTTTGTGGCAATAAAATTTATTCAAGTCACCCATGCCAGATTTATACACAGATGGTAACGTAAAAATATGTTCGCTATATTCTGAGATATAGTTAACCATGGCCTATCAAAATTATACAACACTCCTTTAACGGCTGAATTTTCTTGTCTGTACATGTGGGTGCCTGGTTCACCAACAGTTTTCGCGTTGCAGTGTGATGGATTATTGCTTAAACACACACACACACACACACCACTTCTTTATTAATATCATCATAAGCTTGTGGAAGTTTTGGTGAGATTTTTCGTTATGAGGCTTTTTCATATGAAACCAATTCGAGATAGCAAAACCCATTTGTTGCACTCCAGTAAAATTGTTGAACCTTTTCTACAAAGCCTCGCCACCATAAATGTGAGATTTGAGAACAACACACCCGCCACTTGGGAATGCTCTAAAAATTTGAATTCCCAGTGCAATTTGCATTCTTAACCGTTTTTTTTTTATTTTGAGTGTTGGAGGTTTTTTTCGGCGGGAACTTTGTACGAAGGATTCAAATTGCTTGCACGCACTTGAGAATGGACGACATACTTTAATATAGAACGGCATTGTGACTTTGTTGATATGTTAGACAGAACTTGACAATTGATTCATCAAACCAATAATAGAACTAAACTCGAACTAATTGTTTTAGTTGTGATAGCCATGTATCAAAACAGCTCCAATCAAAAAACGAGAATATCGGTCAGAGACCGAAGACTTATCGATCGAAAGTTAGGGTATCCCCCAAAACAGCGCTCTTACTCCATAGTGACACCTCGTGTCCCATCACTAATTAATTAATAACTCGCTAATTATACGACATAATTCATCCAAAATCAATAGACTTCTGGTCCGAGATATGATGAATGCACATGCAAAATCTGGAGCAGATTCAATCTCGCTTTCGTGAGATATCGCGTGCATCAAACAGACAAATACCTATCGACATACTTACCGATTAAAATCAATAAGTAATAAAAATCACTCTGTATACTTCTCATTACTGTGTATTCCCCAAAGGAAATCAATTTCCTTTCAATATGTTCAATTGACCATATTATATGCAAAATATTACATAATAATATATTTTGTATAAACGCAAATAAATGACGGCATTTATGTAGATTGTTACTGCACGGGGAAATAGTAAACGAGGTCCGTTCCACTCGGAGCAATTTTCAGTTAATATTCACGGTGATTGCACCATTAAGTTTGCTCGGACCCGAGAAATATAAGAAAATAACATATGGCGTTTAAAACGGGGGTAATTTTATGTAATATTATCAAATTTAGAATAAACTTGGTTTTCTATGACGTCACAGTTTCAATCTAGCATCCAGAATAGAAGTATTTGTGGTTGACAATCATTATAATAGTTAAATGTGATACTAAATTCTCTTTTGAAGGCATAGTTGTGACGTCAGGTCACGTGATTCCGACCAAAATTAGGATGTTCCAAAGGACTGGAATTTAGTAATGATGGTCATCTCTAGAGCCAAGCTAATACTTGTAGTTTAACATTAACACAAATTGCTAAAAAAATCGTAAATTTAGCATAGTTTTGGTGTAAGTTATGATAGTTCTATGGTGGGAATATTTCGAATTGGTTCTACAGTAGTACGCGTTGGTAATTATGAAGCCTTTTTAACAAAATTTTTGTTCAGCTTATAAAAAAATTTCCTTAGAAAATATTATTTAATTTGCTGATTTTTTTTTCATACGATAATCATAGTTTAAGCACAATAGTACATCCTATGAACGATGAACGATAGATAGCTCGGTGCCGGGCCGCGCCGCCGTTTTTCGCCGCTTTATTCGTACTTCTAATGCGCCGTAGCCTCCGGCAAGGTCGTCGAGAAATCGATGATATAAAGAGCCTCAACTCACTCGGCAACACAGATCGCTTTTCACTGGGTTCAGTACTAGAACTAATAGCCCAATAATTCGTTCTGCAGCCACGAAACCTTCGCATAGCCAAGAAAGAGGATTAAACCAAAGGTAAGACTTCAATTTTTTTTTGTAAATTGTAATATTACATATAAATTTAAATAATAAAACGACTTTCGATGAATTAATTTCTCTAAAACGATATTCGACAAAATGAAATTAATTGTAATTTGTTAGTTTTATAAAAAATAATTTAGTTTTATTATTTTTGTGAAATGTTCATTCCAGTAAAACCCCAAGTATTTCTCCTCAGAGTAAAACTTGAATATTTTTCGGACATAGTCAATGTCCTATTATAGGTAGATCAGTTCTTGTTTTTGGTAGTAAAGAGAAAAAAGTATCGTCCAAAAATTGAAGCTGATAAACATTCAAATTTGCCCAAAATTGCTGTAGCTAGATACCTAAAACTTCATAATATATTGAAAAAAGGATAACTTTATTATTATACTTTATTGTAACTTTTCAGTGGACGGGCTTTTGTAGACATAACGTTTTCTTTTTTCCACAGATAAAAAATAAGTAGCGTATTTCTATGGGAACACTATATTTATTTTATTAACGCCATGGGAAAATAACGCGGCAATTTTTTTCTGTTTTCAGAAATGAAGCTTTTCGCTATTATTACATGCCTGGTGGCGTTTGCCTCGGCAACCTACGATCCTGACTACGAAAGCACAAAAATGTTCTTGATGAGCTCAAAACCAGAGGACGTGCAAGATATGATTAAGAAACTCGAAGCTAATGGAAACGAACTCCCTAAAAACGTTAAACGAGTCATTGAGGAACATCCCGAACTCCTGCCACCACAAGCCCCGGCTTCCACCAGTGAACATCTGTTGGTATTTGAAGGCTCTGAAAAGTTGAGTAAACGTAAATTGACCACCATCACGAGAAAAGTTGAAGGTCTCCGTAAAAAACAAGAAGAAAGCAAAAAAACATTCGTTCCCAAAAAAATCACACCCAAAAGAAAGGGAAAAGGTAAGTTTTTTTTTGTATTTTCCCAGATAGAATATCCTTACGGAGTCAACCATTAACTTATTACTTGCCAACTCGAGTTATTAATCAATTCAATTGTCGACCAAAGGATAGTACAAGCGCCGAATGGTTTTATTTAAAAAAAAATTTAATGTTGACACAAAAACGGCGCGACGGACCCATTTCGTGAGAGCTATTATTTGAAAATAAAAATAAAATAATGGAGCAATGTTTGTCTAACTATTGTTTTTTGAAATATTTTGATGTCAAATCTCATACATTATTGTTTATTAACGTTGACTCAATAACTTTTAGAACTTGGCGTTCTCTCATATCCAATAATTGTTTCTCTCTTTTTTTGCGAAATTAAACAACATATCAGTACGGTGAAACTTTATTTTATGAATATATATAAGTAAAATGTTTCTCCTTTTTTCCAGATAAAATCTTTTTTAAATTTTCAAATCAAAAATCTAATATTTTTAATTCGCTCTCGGGCTTGATTTTTTTACTTTAGCACTATGTTATTATAACAATGCGAGATATCCCCAAACGTCGGGGATGGCGCTGAATGGTAGCGCTTATCTCGTATTAAAAGTTTATTTAAATATTCGATTTGCCTTCGGGCTAGGGCGGAAGGAGGGATGCAAAGAGAAAGCACACCGCGCGTTCATGCGATGTCTCTACTAAACGATAATGATCTTGTATTTAAACGTTCCTGTCACTGCCATGTTGCTGTAGTTCTTTTTCTTTTTTTCATTAAATATAATAAGCAGAAAGAAGTTTTACACTACGTATCAGAATTTGTTTCAACCAAGTATGATTTAAATAAATTCCTCTTTACAAATCGATCGATTGTCAAAACAATCTTTAGAACAAAATTAAAAAAATTATATATACGTAATCATGCATGAAATTGTGTCACCATTTCCAGTCTTCCCCGATGGCTTAAGACGACATTGAGACGCTGTATTGAATAAATTATAACATACTCTCATGGTTTTTAATACAAACTCAAAGTTAGGAAAAAATTTTACTGAAAAGAATTTGAGATAGTAAAAATAATATTTAAATACACAACAGTAAAGTTTCCAGTCTTTAAATTATTACCGATTACGAAATTATATAATAATTTATTGATTTCCTAATTTTTACAACCAAACATACTCGGAATGATTTTTGATCGCTTCATTATAATCAAATATCTTATCTTATAGCATGCAATGTTGATGACGATTGTCCTTACATGCATTACTGCGAGGATGTCGCCGACAGACTGAAAGAAAATTTGGATGCTCACAACTCGTCCGAATACTTCAACTTCACCAAACAAAGGTTGGACATCACCACTAAAGAATGTGTTAAGCGAATCGATGAATTCATGAGAACAAATGGAGCCAGAAATATCCCTAATGTGTACAAGACTCACAATTCAGTTGTCAGCGTACTTCAAAAAGTTGGTGCTCGCAAAGAAAAGGGTTTACAGAACTATGCTACCACATTCAAATTCGTTCAAACATACAATATCACTTCCAATATGGTGGAACCGATGGCAAGACACGGGGAAATGTGTGAGTTATCTTTAATTATAAAGCTTACAAGAATGGTTTATTACAGAGGATTTCGTTTCGAATTGCGCTGGAAATAGCATACCAAGTAGTTCCTTTGTGATAATTACTGCTAAAACTTTGGATGTAAGATATTGCATAAGTTCAGGAAGTGTATGTTAATGATTATGATATAATTTGCTGATATTTATTTCAAATTTACAGCTTACGAAGGCGGCACTGGTGAGATGGATCCGAGTTTACTGATGATCATGCTAATGAGTGGATTGCTAGGAAATGGCGGCGGAGACGACGACGACCAGTTCGAAACTTTCCTAATGATGTCTATGATGGGAGGGGGCGGCGGTAACATGATGAATAATCCGTTCCTTATGCTGTCACTTTTGGATGGGGAGGGTGGATTAGGGGGCGGAGATGATTTAATGATGATGATTATGCTCACACAAATGGGCGGCGTTGGCGGCGCAAACACCGCCATGCTGCCTCTATTTATATCCATGTTAACCAAGAACGATAACGGTGATGAAGATGACGACTCGCTGAAAAGTTTATTACCGTTGATCCTTTCAGGAAGTCTTGGAGGTGGAAAATGTCATGGTGGATCAGACGGCGGCATGGGTGGCCTCATGCAATACCTGTTGTATAGCTCTCTGTTCGATGAGCTAGACAGCAACTTGATGCTTATGATACTCCTCGGTGGAAATGGATGCGGCTCAGGCGGCGGGGATATAATGCAAATGATCCTTCTGCTAAACGCCTTTGACGATGACGGTGAGGGCTCATTAGGAGGTTTGGGCGCACTCCCACTTTTGATGATATTGGGTGGAATGGGAAGCGGAAGCGGCAAAATGGATCCATCAATCCTGATTTTGGCTTTGTCAGGTGGCATGGAAATTTCGGAACTTATGCCTTTTTTGATATTCTCTGACCCTCGATATGCCAATAGTCCATTGCCGATGTTACTTTTACTCGGCGGTGATTTACTCGGCGGTGACATCGACCCTATCCTCATGATGGCATTGCTCTTTTCCGGTGGAGATTCAGGTTATACCGGCAATCAAGTCTATACGCATCAAGCTGTCCAGGTTAATAGCCAGTACCAGGACATTCCGCCAGCGGCTGGATCTCAATACGCAGGCGGTAGTTGGACAGTATCTGGATCTGGCGGACAGTCGCACTCTTCATCGGGCGGCGGAATGTTTGGCGGTTTATTAAGTGGAAAGGGATCAGGTAAATAAAAAATTATCATCTTCCAAAATTTAAGATTTAAACCAGTGTTCTTCAAACCCTCTTGGCACGGCCACATTTTTTCGCGAACCTCAGAAACTAAAATCAAAATAAAATAAAATTTAATAATACAGAAAATATTTAAAAAAAAAATAATAAAATTTGCAATACTTTCAATGAGACCGACATGCTCGCATATTCTCACAACAAAGATCGAATCTTGGCTCTATTTATTTCAGTGATGGTGGGTTCTGGTTCCAAATCTTTTCAAATTTAATCGATTCTTTGTTATACTGTTGAAAATTTGTCTATGAAAATGTTCGCGGTGCCCCCATTTGCATGTGCTTATTAACATAAGTAAGTGTCAATTTTACCATTGAGTCTGACCCCTTTCGAGACGCACCGGAAGGGCGGGAGTCTTAATTAAACCATGCAGTCGTGAAATGCGGAGCAAGGTTCGCTTGGGCTGTTAATTTTTTGAATGATAATGATTCGTCAATAGCTTTAGGGCGCTTCCAAGCTGTAGATTGTTTTAGTTGAAGGCGATTGATCAAAAACTACTTGAGATGAACTTGACAAAATAATATCCAAACGTACAATAACAAGTTAAACGCTGAAAAATATCTTTTCTGTAACAATACTGTCTACCACCTGCTAAAAAAACATGTTTTTTTCAATAAAAAAATCAATCTCTCTTACAGGTGGTGGAATTTTCGAATTCTTCTTGTTTATGAAGTTGTTTGACACTGAAGGTGAGGGGAATGATGATATTCTCCCGTTATTGTTAATGATGACATTGCTTGGAGGCGGAGGTGGGTTTGGTGGTAGCCAAGATCACGGTCACCATCATTATCAGGATCCTACCCATTATGGCTATCAACAAGGCGCACAAGTCGCACCACAAGGATATCTTGCAATCACAGGACAGGCACAACAACACCAAGGAGGATTATTAGGAGGACAGGTTATACAGGGTTAATATCCAGTCAAACTTTTTAACACTTGTCGCCATTGTTGACTTCATTGCGTCACAGTGGTTATCGAAACTCCCATCAAATAAAATAAAAAGAAGAAGGCATTGGAAATGAATTGTTAGCAACAGACTTACTATACAGTTAAGTTTTACGTTGTAACAAGAGTCAAATTTTGAGGCACCGGAACAAACTGGACGCTATCATTTATTTTAAAGAAGAAAGGCCCATTCTGACCTCACAATCCCGAAATGGTGATTTTTAATTTATTTTTCTTGTAATACAATATGTTTTGAGCCTACATATTAAATATATGCTTAGTAACAGATTCTTTGTTTTTTGATTTTGTAAGCTTCAGACAGTTCATGCAAGAGACAAAAAGTACTACAAAGTTTACTCCGACCCCTCGGGAGAAGTCTTCCGCGGTTGGGAAACGCTGTACTGGAGCTCGAATAGCATAATACCTGACGTGTAAAGTTGAAATATATGTAGGCTTACCATACGTCTCGCTTTAGGCGGGACAATCCCGCTTTTTAGCGTCTTGTCCCGCCGTCCCGACAAGTCAGCCAAAAGTCCAGGTTTTGCGTTCAGCCATCCAGCATAATACACGAACATGTTCTCGTTCCTGTTGTTGCTGTGTAGCGCAACGCTAGCGTAATTACTGAAGGTGAATGCGTTATTTTGTTTGTTTCGTTGTTTCCCGCTAACATTGTTCGCGAACGTATCACATGTAAAATCAATTTCTAATTGGCCCTGTTCGGACGTTCGCGTGAATGTAACATTGAACAACGTTTTTTTAAAGGTGTTATCTACAGAAAAGCATGCTTGGGCGAATAAGTAAATTCTCAATGCTTAAAAACGGCAGACTATTTCATTACTTTTTTTGCTGTTCATAAAAAAAACTAAATTCGGAACATATGCGCATGGACTCTCGATGACAACATGGCCAATGAAGACCAGTGGCGTAGCCAAGGGGTGGTTTTGCCAGCCCCCCCCCCCCCCTCTTTGGAATGTAAAAAAAAATCATTTTTCTGTATCATAGATATGAATTTTTACATAACTTAAAATGCTTTTTAGACCCTCAAGAGGCAAGACTAATAAAAACAGGCGCATTCTAGCGTTCGATCGGACCTAGCAAATAAAAATGTCAGAATACCCCTTTGGAAATTTCTGGCTACGCTCCTGATGAAGACATCCGGGATGGCTTAAATGTAGGCCTATATGTAGTGAAATCGGAAACGGCTAAGTTACAGGAGGCGTCCCGCTTCGAAGTCAAAAAGATATGGTAACCCTAAATATATGGGCCTTGTCGTCAGGAGATTTATTGGAAAAGGGGGCTCCATTTCAGATAAAAGTAGATCGGTTGGAATACTCCCAACTCATCCAATATATTGGTATTCATTCGACGACACGATCAAAGGCTAGTTTCTCCTTTACCCGGATTCTCGATTCATCCGCTTTTTGCGAGCCAGTGATGGCTTAGTTCGTTCGGAACTGCTGTGATATTTCGGCCTAACTTTTTTTTTACATTTTGGTTGTCAGACTAATGTATCATATATAATGATTGTTTCAAACCAGGGGCAGAAGAGGCAAATCCATATTGGTAAAGCACCCACTATATCCGTGATTTCCAATTGGCGGTTAATGAATCCCCACAGATTCATGGGTATATTTGGAGAAGATTTCCATGAGCTTTTTATGCGTACGGGGAAAACAAGATAGCGCTCCCGGAATATGTGCACTAAGATGGCGCACAACCTGAACCCTGTCCTGGTACACATACTATTTTCAGGTCGTGCGACATCTTTGTGCACATACTTCTGGAGGTCCAATAAAAGGACATGCCGTTTGATTTCGAGGGAATTTATGCAAACTAACAGACTGACTTTTTTTTTCAAAAATTCAATATGGCTCCATGGATGTTTAAACGGTTAGTTTTTGAGTAGAGTTGCCTAGTTTTGTAAAAAAAAATTTTTTTTTTGGAAAGGACTATTTGTGAATAATATTATTGTTTATGTGTTTTTTCACCTAACTTTCTATCAAATCATCGAAAGGACCGCCGAAGAGGTTGGAAGTCACTGCACAATTTGGAGTCACGCCATCGAATTTCAGTTAAAATACACGACTTTTTTTCTAAAATCCTTTCGTTTTAGACAATAAAAAATTGAATATAATGGCATTTTGATATGCTATATAGTTTATACAATTCAGACAATAAAGGACGATCAGATCATTGCAGAGGCGTTCCTGGAGCCTCTAGAGCAGTGCTCTTCAACCGGGTATACTGTATACCTAAGTGTATACCAGACCATTCGTAGGTTATACAACTAATAAAGGGTATACGAAGGGTGTACAGCCTAAATTAGGAATTGTGAGCTCTAATAAAATATTCAATTAGAGACAACAATGCAAACGCGACGCACATGAAATATGAAATTTTCATTCACGCAATGAACCGACTTGAGCACATTGTTTCATCACAAATTATGTAGATAATGCAGGCACGTGTCTGGGTTTTGATGATTTTGGCTGCCGTGCACGTCGATTTATTTCGCTTGAGCTGCGGAAAGAAAATTAAATACACGATGTTCTACGGGTAGTCGTATATTTTGTGAATACAATTAAAAAAAAATTCAAAACGAACGAGACTTTTCTCGAAACTGTGTGAAGAAACAACCGCCACTTCATAAAACATCTTCTACATTCAGAAGTACGGTGGCTGCCCCGAGGAAAAGTTCTTTCTCGTGTGTTTGAACTTCGCGAGCATTCAGGGGCGTATTACACTAAAAGAGGAAACCAAAAAGCCACCAAGTTTCGTAATACATATTGGGTTGCAAAATTAGCGTACATGGCGTCGATTTTTGATCGTTTGAATCAAGTGAACGTCAGTTTTCAAGGTAAAGTAGGTGATATATTTCGATCAACCAGCAAAACCAATGCTCTGAAGATGAAAATTCAACTTTCAGGAAACTTCATTGACTTTCCTCTTATCAATTTTTGAAAAAGTCAGGGTGGGAGTTTGTGGACGTTTCAACGATAAATACCACGTCTACCCTAACTGTTGGTCATTTGAACTTACTGAGTGATAAATTGGCTTTGTACTTTCCTGAGAATAATAACAGACGCCTGGAAGAAAACTCATGGATAATGCAGCCATTTACTAGTAAACCAACAGAAGACGAAGAATTGTTGAAACTCCGGGAGGATTTAAATCAAAAAATTTAATTCCGCGAAATGGATTACTCGGAGTTTTGGATTCCTTTTTTTGAATTTCCCAAGTACAAAAATCTGGCGGAAAACGCCGTTGCTCTCCTGGTACAGATGCCTACGACTTATTTGTGTGAAGAAGGGTTTTCCAGTCTTGTTGAAATCAAGTCGAAAAATATAAACTCAATACTTGATATTGATTCACTAATGGGGGGAGCAATTGAAAAGGAAGTAAAACCCCGTTATGAACGAATTGCCGAAACTATACAAGAACAAAAGAGGGAAAGGAAACTAAATTAACATTGTCTTTACATTTTTACACATTTGGATGTTAAGTTAATTGCAGCTGTGAGTAAAAATTAAAAGAAGCATTTATAATGACTCGCCCCGCCACCTAGATTTTAGTTTTTCTCAATATATGCCTAACGTTTAATGTTCATTTTAGCTTGAAATAAACATTGGTATTTGTAAGGTATACGAAGTTCTCGAAAAACTGTAAAAGGTATACCACGGTAAAAAAGGTTGAAGAACACTGCTCTAGAGTCTAGAACAGGGTCGTCAAACCCGTGATCCGCGGGCCATTTGTGGCCGGGTACGACTAGAGGCGTTGATTTGTTGAAAGCTGCGATGAAAATGATCAAGCTTCTTGGATTGTCTTTGGCGAAACTTTCGGGAATAACCACTGATGGCGCCCTATCAATGATTGGGAAACAACAGCTTCATTGGTATAATATTGTGAAAGGGTATTGTTTGTTTTTTCATTAACCTGTTGTCAGTGTAGCGAAACTAAAACATAACTACCATGGTTAAGTGGTCCGCGCGATTATTATTAAACTACTTGTGGCCCTTCGGCCAAAAAGGTTGGACGACCCTGCTCTAGAATTATTCATTGAGGTTAAGCGTCGCTAAAAGATTGGAAACCATTTGCCAGGTACTCTCGCCAGGTACTATGAGCAGGGGGTATATCACTTGGCTAACACAGACAGTCCCGAACTCGTAATGGACTTTTCCCCGACCTTCGACCCCGAAAATTTCTTTCATACTTTACCATTGCAAAATTTTCGAAGCAATTTCAGAGTGATTTTGTGAGTTGGCGCCTGTAAAATGGGGTATGTGTTTCAAACCATCATTATTATTCATCGCATACAACAATCTGTTTTTTAAAAGTACCGGTAAAGAATTTTATCCTAATCTATCACAGCTATTTCTACAATAATTTTTGTATTACTGCAATTAAATTAAAACTCCTAGGAAGGCAGAGTGATCATTACGTTATATGATTTATATTTAATTTTCCGAAACACAACAGAAAACGAAGTAATGTTTACGACCACGCTTGAAAATCTGTCTGAGTGAGAAAAGTGTCTGAGCGGGTGCGAAGAGGGAGAATTGTTAAGTCACTTTTTGCATCTTGCTGATTGGCCAATTTCACGAAGTAAACAAGAAAGTCGATGCTCGGGGAAAGGTCCATATAACTAGAATAATAAAAATCAGAATAAAATTATGGCCTAACCCTAACCTGGTGGCACGGCGCTGTGGCTCATCGTGCTAAGCGGTAGGAATTACTCTCACTCTGCCTGGATTCGCATGTTCGAATCCCACGTGAAGATGGTTATGTGCGAAAGGATTGCTGGACTGTTCATGTTTATAATAGTGTTGACGTTGTGTTTGTGGCAACAAATCTATCTGTCTCTGTCTTCCTCAATGTTAGGAACCCCTGAACGGCTGTAATTGTAGCACTTGCTGTAACCGCTTGGACTTGTGAGGCGACCAGTGAAGATGAGGAGTCCAGCTCTCTCATAAGATTTGTCTTAGATAGTGGGATTCAAACTCTTTTACTTAATATTTTTTGTTTTTATATCTCGGCAGTATTATCAATAAAATAAAATATTTAAAAGTTTTTAAAGTTAGATTCATGCTGCGTTTTTGCAGACGTGTATGTCGGTAACAGGCGCAGCACTCCTCCGTCTCACGTGACCACGAACCCCATTACCTTGCTATCTTGTATTCCGGTACCGTACTATTTAGCTATTGCTGAGTTGGAGGATAAGGTTTAAAACGTACAGAATGTATATAGGATGGAAGGTGTTGCAAATCCTATCCTATCCATTAAACTAACATAGACTAACTGAAAATTTCCAACCGATAAAAATTTCAAATATTTTTTAGTTTTTGTAGAGCAGTACCAGTACCGGTACCGTACTGATGGATTTTTGTCTGTTATTTTTTTTTTTTACCAGTAAGGCATTGGCATGAGAAGTAAAAATAATTACCTATATCAATTAGGTTCCAATTAGGTATTCTGTTGTTGCTTATTTGGTACCGTACCGGGTACTGGGGTACGGTACCGGTACAGTACGTTATCTACCTAGTTATTTCATTGTCTGATTGTACATTCTGACATTATAGGCCTAGTATCTGAGTATCGTAAAAAACTATTTAGGTACCGGTACTATTAGAAATAAAAATGTCCGACAGTCGTGAGCCACCACCAGATGATGATGATTTATATGATTTGGATGAAAAAGATGATATGTTCACTTCTACAAAAGAGGTTAGTTTCACAGTATCACTGATTCATCTTTGTGGGGTAAAAATTTGGAAAGATTTCAATGATAATTTTGTTATATCCTCGCGTATCCACCCCTTAAAAATGGGGAATTTATGAAAATTTTTGTACATAAGCCACTTTGCGGCCACGACCTATTTGCGGCCATCAACTTCATCCATTAAGATTAATGCCGAAAAAATTAATGAATCGCGACTATATTTATCACATGTTATCGTCCACTTCTCCCTCGTAGCTCTGCGAAATTACACTAAAATGCGGCTACAAACAAAAAAGTTACGACCGAAAACCCGACCGAAGAAAAAAAAACAGACAATTTTTTCATGTTGCCAACTACCCATTGTCCCTTTAAAAATGCTTGAAAATCCATACAAATATAAGAGATGAAAAGATGAAACTTGGCAGGTGGGTAGAGTTGTGTTTATTTTAACCATCTTCAAATTTTCGCGTTTTTACATTTGAAGGAGGGGGAATAGGGGGTGCGCATTTCCAATACGTCGATAATATTTTTGTTGACCAATTTGCGACCACCAGGTGTCGTACTATGGTGGTTTGTATAGCTTTAACCCCTGGTCGTAGAAAGTTAATTCGAGGTTTAGCATGTAGAATAAATGCCAATGCATCTACAATGAAAAAATTAACGGGTCAGAAATATTGGTTTTTGTTTTATAGCGGTTTGAATGAAATCGTCCGCAGACTGGCTACACCACCCTAACACGCCGCACGCACAGCGAATAGTTTCAGAAGAAAATTATTGAAAATGATGACCATTATTGTTATGTTTTACTTTTATTAATGAAATTAAGCGATCACATATATATGACAACCAATCACAGACAGTACGGCACACTATACAAATCGAAAGACATTGTCTCGTTTCAGAAAATCCCATTTTGTCTATGAATAAACACCCCTCCTTTCAGAGACGTCTGGACATTGTTGTCCCTCAATATCGGTAAAAATACAGTGAAATGAGGTTGCACAAAAACTATAAAGAAGCGCTATCTAAAAATGTCATCATTGAATTCCTCGAGAGAAAATAATCTGTGCCAGACGTGCCCCGTTTGTGAGACTCATGGAGTGTTCGTTTTATTGAACCAAATTCTTGAACATTCTTGGAATTTGGAAAGTGTGCCATCGCGAGAACTTGTCATGGTTCGAGTTGTAGCTATTGGAATTAAGTTAGCATAATGTCATTTCGTCTGAATATGTCGGAGTTAAGCGCGTATAAGCCAAATTTTTACTGCGATCAGAGTTATGCACATATATAAGCTAGCCCCTTAATTTGGCAACTTTTGTGGGAATTTTCAACTCTGCTTATATGCGAGGATATACGTTAATATTATATATAGCTCACAATTTTCTATGGTTTGTAATAACATTTTTCTTTTAGACGCCTCAGGAAGAGATTGATTTGAATGACGAAAAAGAGGACTCTGCTCCACCCGTTGATGTGGACACAGATAAAAAGTTCCAACTAGTAGATAATAGTGGTGATGCTCCTCAGAAAAAAGAGGATGAACATTTGACCCAGGAAGTATCTAAACCAGAGGAGGAGGATGATGATCTTTTTAAAGATGCAGATACAGCTGAGTAAGTCCTAAGTGTGTATGTATGAAGTTATTGAAAAAGTGGATTCCTTGTCAACTCAGTGGAAGGAATTTCATATGTTATTAAGGAAAGGAAAGCCATTATTAGGACGAACCATGACCTATTGTTAGATTACTGATTCCTTTCGGGTATGGGATTGGTTAGCCAGTTATTCGTCTCAGAAGCATGGACTTGATGGTGGAGGAATGTCATAACCAACCAGGGGTACATAAAGAGGAGTCGAGCAATTCTACCACATGTACCGAATATGCTCGCGAATAGGCCAAGTTTAAAACTCAAAAAAAAAAGTTGCCAAACGAAGGGGCCGTCTTATTCGCCCATAACTCAGATTGCACAAAAAAATCAGCTCATTCGCGCATCAGAATTCGATCACGCAACGAGATGATATTATGCTGACTTGCCGGTAATTCCAAATGCTTCAAACCATACCAAGTTCTCACGATAAAAAGCGTGCACGCACACACACAATCGCTTGTGAAGGTGGATTGTCTTATCATACAGCTGATGGCTTGTACAGTCTGTGATTGGTTGTTTAACACGTGACGCTTGTACAGTCTGTGATTGGTTTGTTTTCGCTCGCTTGTGCAACAGTGTCGATTTACGGCCAGTTGTTTCGTGGTGAAAATGTTATTATTCGTTAAGGGGCGATCTTATCGAAATTAACCGCGTTGTGGACGATTAAAGGAAATTTTTTTATGCTGACTCAGGGACTCTCTTAAACTCCCACAACAATCCCTTCCATTAATACAAATCACGACGCATGAAAAGTAATATAGACTTTATTAACATGAATTTACAAGTAAGAGTTAGAGTAACAATCTACGGCCGTCGTTATAAAATCGCCGTTTTAGGGCCGTTTTTAGGGAGTCGGCCTATTTGCGAGATAGGCGTAATTTCAAAAAAATACTGTAATTACCGAACCCTCTCACAGAATTAAATCTGTACAGAGTAATAATAGGTGCGATTGCAAATGTATTCCACACGCTATGCACGATGTGCCAACTGTCTAGCGTAGTTTGCATAGTTGCTGACTGATTGCATATGAATTCACAGCTGTGCGATGGAATACCTATTCATAGAACTTAGGACCGATAAGATACATTGAGTCAAGTCTTACAGCAAAAGGAATTTGCTGATGCGTAGTGCATTACCATACATCTATAATTTAAAACAGGGGTGTTCAACCTACGACTCGCGGCACACAAGGAGGAATTGCACAGCTTGTGGAGAAGTGCCAACTTTGAATGGTGTGTGACCCGCGTGTGTGCTTTCTCGTAAAGTTACTAGGGATGAGTCTCAATGACAGATAAAGTCTTTACAGGCGAATGGGTGATTGCACGTGATCTTTCTTTGCGTGAGTTACTCAAATATGAAAAAAATAATATTATTTCAGAATGTCAGATGTTACGCTGGATAAAACACCCGAGTCTCCTGAGCCAAAACCTATGGAGACAAAACCTGAGAAACCAAAAGTTGAAGTAAAAGAAGTTAAAGAAGAAATTAAAAAAGAAGAGAAAGTTGAAGATAAAGATGATGTAAGTAGGCCCATTGTCTTTTCACTCCTAACGAGGCTGTTAGCCAGGCCAGTATACTCTTAAGCTGACAACTTTTCTGTCTTAGTTTAGGCCAATTGTTCTCAAATTGGTACTCCTGTAGTATGTCAACCAAGGTGGCGGACATCGGAACTTAGTATGTGTACCAGGTTAAGGTTAGGCCATAATTTCAGGTACTAATACTATGGAAGTCACTTGTCTAGTCCCCGAACTCGTAATAGAACTAAAATGAGGAAAGTTGGAATAAAATTTTGGCCTAACTCTAACCTGGTACGCATGCTATGTTCCGGTATCCGACATCTTGGTTCACATACTACAGAAGTGCCAACCAGTGTACTCTTTCGAGGGCATCTTTCCTGTCTTTGTTTAGGCTAGTGGTTCTTAAATTTCATGATCACATGACATAGTGAAGGAATTTGCTTGAGGTTCCCAGAGAAGACGAATCACAAGCAGGGGTGCAGCCAGGATTTTTTTCAACTCTGTGGTTACGTTGGAGTTATAACAGTGCGTAAAGCTGACCGTAAAACGACGCTGTTGTTTTTTACAAGTAAATGGTAGAAATTTTGCATTAAAATGAATTTTCAAACAGGAGTTACGACCCCTGTAACCCCTCTTGGAGTCACAGTTCATTGGAGTCAGAGTCTGGAGTTGAGCACTGTGTCTCACTGGAGGATAGTTTTGTCAAGTTTGAGTCACTCTATCTGGATGACTCACTCGCTTTGAGTCTTCGGATAAATACTGATTCGAGCTCCCAAACATTGCTTTTGCTGCAAAGTACATTGAAATTGTTCTTACCTCTAGAATGTCTGGTACCTCCATTTTCAAATATTATGGTAATATTAGCTTCAACTGCAACTGCAACAAAAGCCCAACAACAGCACCCATCCCCACCCAATTTCCCATCCCTACCTTAACCCACTTTTTTCTCATAGGCGTAGCGTTATGCTTTTATGAGTGAATTGATGGCTTATTAACATATTTTTAGATGTTTGATCTCGAGGAAGATAAAGACAAAGTACATGATTTGAATATCTCTGTTTCTGAGCCACATAAGAAGGGAGAAGGAATGAACGCTTATATGACATATAAAGTCAAAACCAAGGTTTGTTTAGAAGATATGTCGAGATTTTAAATAAATTTGGTTTGGCACGAGGCTTATTGTTTCTCACTTTTGCTTTTGTAACACTTTAATTAATATTCATAAAATGTAACTTTTTACCTCACGTCAAAAAATTGTTATGCTATGCCCACAAGAAGTAGGTTAGGTACGAAACTACACAAGACCCCAAAATCCATCAGTACCGCCCTCCAAAAACTTCATGAATAAGCTTCACATCAAAAAATTTTACATTCAAAATCTTTTTTATTTTTTATTATCAGACTACAATGCCGATGTTCAAACGTCCTGAACTGGTCGTCGACCGTCGTTTCAGTGATTTCCTCGGCCTTCATGAGAAACTTGTTGCTAAGCATCGCCATGTCGGACGTATTGTTCCCCCTGCCCCCGAGAAAAGTTTGGTTGGTAAGTAGCCTACTATGAACTCAGTGTCATTATCTACAGATTTTGAATAGAATTTGACAATATTACAGTCATGTACTTGTGTTTTTCTAGTTTCCCTGCACAAAGAATTTTCATGTATTTATTGAAAAAAAATTTCCGTATTTTTGCTCATTCCTTTTAATTCATGGGATCACTTTTTATGACATCTTGCTTACCTTTCATGACAATATATTAATCATTTCTTTCTTGTTCTACTAGGTATGACGAGAGTAAAAATGTCAAAAACCGAAGAAGAAGCTCAGGCCATAGATTTCATCGAGCGACGTCGGGCTGCACTAGAAAGATATTTGAACAGATTAGGACGACATACTGTTCTATTACAAGATCCTGATTTCAGAGATTTTCTTGAACAAGACGAGGTTTGTAATTTGCAATATTCTCATTTGTATAATCTCCCAATGGTTTTCTCTGGGGTACTCTTGTAGTGTGTGTATCAGGTTAGGGTTAGGCCATAAATTTATTCTTATTGTTCCTATTTTAGTTCTATTACGAGTTCAATGACTGTCCGTGTTAGCCAAGTGAATATACCTCTTGCCCAAAGGTTTCAGTCCCTTTACACAACCTGATGTATAGTAGACGAACAAAATTAGTTATCTCCATATTGGTACATACTCTAGGATTCCTATATATTTACTCTGGGGAGAGGAAATGATGTTGGGGCAATAACCACCCTACGATGGCGAGGAGGCTTAATCCTCTCGCACATAATTATCTCCCAACAGAATTCGAACATGCGCAGGGTAATCAGAGATGCGATGGTGAGAGTCTTAGCACAATGAGCTAACAGCCGAGCAACAATATTTAATGATATTCAAACGCATTTTTAGAATGAATTTTTAATTTTCCTTTATTTTATCAGTTGCCGCAAGCAACGAGTACCAGAGCATTGAGTGGGGCCGGTATGATGCGTCTCATGAAAAATGTGGAAGGAGCGATAAGCAAAATAACGATACGCATGACTGAGGATGACGTTTGGTTTGAAGAGAAGCAACAACAGGTGAGAGAAGATCTCTTTTCGGAGAATTATTCTACTTTGTTATCTATGAGTTTTATATTGATTTTTAATGAAAACGCTCAGGTATTGAATTGATAAATTAAAATAATTAGAGTCTTAGAGAATCAGTTACAGTATTTCATTTGTTGATTGTTATTTTTCATGGGTGCAAAGTATGCATATGTGTCAGGTTGATAAATGGTTAGAAAGCTATCACTATTATTTTCAAATCCTGATGTTCATTATCTCGTCCAAAATTTTACCCTTTTACCCATTATAATTATAGTGGAACACTCCTTTATTTTGTCACATTTGACCACTTTTGTCACGCTCGTCTGATGATATTTTCAGCAAACTCTTCTGTGCTCAGGCCTTACTGATACTTGTTGTTGTTTGTTTGTTACTCTTTTATAATTTCAGATTGAAAGTTTGGACAACAAACTGAGGATGCTACACAGTGCTGTCGAAGATTTGGTCCGACATAGAAAAGGTATTGAAAAGATCTATTCACTGCTTAAATTCACATTCATGAATATAATAACAAACGCGAAATAACGAACCACTGTCATGATCAGTATAAGCCTAAAGGATTTACCTTGATGTCCTTTTTATTGCTATCTGAGTTGGAACTGGAATCATATTAAAAACTTGTCATAGCCAAAGTCTAAAGTTTGAATTCTCATAAATTTTGAGTTATATGATAATGATCTAAAAAGTTATCCTCAATTAGCGCAAAGTTGCCTTAGCATTCTCAATGGACGGTCAAGAACGGTTGACTTAGCCAAAGTATTTGTTATCAAAAATTGGTGGACCAAAGTTGCTTTTTGAACATCTTGTAGTCTCATGTAAAATTTCTCAGACACCACAGCCATCCATGGCTATCATCCAAAGCAATGAATTTTTAAATCCCTCTGCCTATTTTGGGATTTTTAATTCCTTCCTCACTATGCACAGAAACTACATTTACTATGTATTTAAACCCTAATAATGTACCCTTACTTAGTGTTATGCGCGATTCATACTTCCCAACATCTTTACCGTATAAGGAATGTGTGTATAAATAAATATTATGATAATAATACAGAATTAAAGAATAGTATTGATGCTACAGCAGATACAAAGCAAAATTCCTCCCCTAAAACCGTCAAAATTTTCCCCGAAGAGGATTCCTCCCCGGTTACAAGACATGGGATTGAGATTATCTGCTTTACATTTTTTTACCACTAAACCAAGGGTGTGCAACCCGCAGAGAAATATAAATTTTGAAGAGTGTAAGGGTCCATTCAATTTGAAGACCAAAAAATCTTTGGGGCTCCCGATGTATGCGAACCAAGATGGCGGACATCGGAACGTAACATGGGTAACAGGTTAGGGTTAGGCGATAATTTTTTTCCGATTTTCCTTATTTTAGTCCTATTATCAGTTCGAAGACTAGCCAAGAGCCTCCCATAGTATATATACCTAAAATTATGGCCTAACCCTAACCTAGTACAGATATTACATTCCAATGTCCGCCATCTTGGTTCGCATACTTCGGGAGCCCCAAATCTCTAAATAGAGGTGCGGCCCGCATTCTCATCCAGTTATTTGTATCTGGCCCTCCTGTATTGAAGATTGCACACCCCTGCTCGAAACAATAAATAACAACTTTTGCTATAATTTATAGAGCTTGCCAGCAATACTGCTTCGTTCGCAAAGAGCGCTGCCACTTTGGGAAACTCTGAAGAACATACTGCATTGTCTCGAGCTCTTGCTCAACTATCTGAAGCTTTTGAAAAGGTCGAAGGGCTCCACCAGGAGGTTGCAAATTCCGATTACTACAATGTTGCTGAAGTTATCGGAGATTATATTAGAATCATTGGAGAGATAAAGGTGATGAATAGTTATTCGATACACTTGAATACTTTGCTGTAAAAATGGACTATTGCAGGTTCCTGTTGCATTTGATCAATTTTCCTATACTATTAGATTTGTACCCCCGTAGTGTGTATACCAGGTTAGGGTTAGGCCATAATTTTATTCCGATTTTCCTTATTTTAGTTCTATTACGAGTTCGGGGACTGTCTGTGTTAGCCAAGTGAATATACCCCCTGCCCATAGGATTCCGTCCCTTTACACAACTTGATGTAAAGTATGCGAACAAAATTAGTTACCTCCATATTGGTACACAAACTTCTGGAGCGCCGTTAGATCTTCATGTAACCAGTGTCACACAGATGATAGAATACATATTGTTAACAGGGATGGCCAATTCGAATAAAGTATTCGAATGTATTCGAATATCTCGTCATTCGAATATCGGAATTCACGTTCATAAGAATATTGGATATTTGTGTGACGTCACACATTTTCGGCGCCGCTTTCAAGATGTTTCCGTTGAATGAAAACATTCTCGATAGAAAACTTGCGCGTGATTGTTTTCATCACTCATCAGCGTAACGTGTTATTTAGGCCCGTAAACAAACGCCTTTACGATTGTGTTATTTTCTCTAAAACGAAAATTTTCCACAAATTTGTTCCACGATAACGATAACATTTATTTTATTTTTGTATGCGCACGGAATTGTGAATCTGGTAAATACGTTCATCGGCGGCGAGTTTCTAAAGACAACGCAACTTTTTGATTGAAAAGCGGCAATTTAAAATACTGAAAATAAAACCGTAAACATCAATAAGTTTTATTGAGGCCCGCGAAAATTTAAAAAACCCTTTTCTAGGCAGTGAAAATCGCAAAATTTCGTGTGCCTCTGGCACACATTATGTTTGGTCGGCGTTTAGAAACATTTCGTCACTAATTGAGGGCGGGATTTGCCTGATTATCCATTTAAATTGCTGTCGAATATTTTCGTGTTAACACGATACAAGGTTTGAATGAAACGCGACTTTTTCCCTGGTTGTGAGGATGTATATAATATAATTAATCTAAAGTATATTCAATCAATTTTATTGTGATGAAATAAATTTTACTCTGAGATATTTTACTCTGAGCATTTCGATCGAGCGGAGTCACTGTTAACAAGTACATCTAAATATTTGCCGAATTCGCAAAATACGGATAAAAACAATATTTAATCGGACAGTTACCTCACGTTTTTATTTTTATGGCCGCGGATTGCAGTGGTATATAAGAGTGGTGAGGATTTTATTTTGTCGACGCAACCGCAGGTTAAATTGAAGACAAAAAAATTAATAAGAGCAAGACATTTTAAATATGTCCGTATCGGTCACGAATTCATCACTTTGCACAACAGAAAAATATATATTCGTTGTTATATTATTTCTTGTAAAAGTCGACTCTTTTAACAGGTGGCATAATCGCGGCGATGAATATGTATTTCTAATTTACTGCTAAACTTTATATGTATATTCATTGTATGAAATGAATTATTCTCTACACTTAACATGATTTTATATAAATATTTGAGATTTTTCTAACGGCGATAACGAGTTGGCAAGATTGCAAAAATACATATTAAAATTAAATACATCAAGCAGTTTATCTCGTAATTTTAGGTCACAGATTGCCGTGGACCGAATAGTAATGTTTTTTTTTTTGACGTAAGAAGAAGCAACCGCGAGTTATGTTGGACACATTAAATTAATATATAAAGATATTTTAGAATCTCGTAGTTGTCATGGATTGAATATTTTACGTAACAGAATGATCATTATACGCTGACAAGACGGCTCTTTTAACGAGTGCGGAATCGCGGTGGGTGTTACAGGCGGCAATGGGAATTTCCGATTTCGAAAATCCTGGCTGCGCGCTGGCAGTGGTGGTCATCTATTCTCTACTAATTTATTTCTAACTCCAAACACAACAATATGTTACACATAATAACAATATGGTTCACATAAATTTATATACAAATATACTGGTAGGTAGTAGAATACTCGAGGCTCAAATATTAGAATTTTTAAAGGCATGATGGATTTTCGATTGTTGTTTTATGTTGTTTTAGTAGTATTTTTGTCAATAGACTCGACTATTATCGTAATATCATGATACCAATGATAGGAAGCGTCAGACAACTCCTTGGCTATCTTTTCATATGGTCATTTGTACAAAGTGAATAATTTTAATAAACACTCGTAAAAAAAGAGTCATTTGTCAGTTTGCAATATAAAAATGACGGATTCACGTGGGTCTTTGGCGAATGAAAAAAACAACAATATGGCAGCTATTTGAAATTGTAGTCTGAACCGATTCGAAAATTTATTGTTCGACTTCAATTTTTTGTTCAAAATGCCCAGCCCTGATTATGACTCGGTTATATGCTAAGTGGAGAAGATTACCCATCTTTCCAATAGCACAGTAGTCTTTTACATCAATAACAGCATGTGTTAGGGCCTTAGAAGTGAAATTATCAAAATTTCTGAAGTTTTTTTAACATTTTCTCTGTTTTTTGTTCCTGTGTTTTCAGGAAGTGTTCCAAATTCGTGTTAAAAGTTGGCACAACTGGCAAACTGCTGAACAGAACTTGGCCAAAAAGAAGGAATTGGAGGTGAATTGATTTAGTGTTTTTGTTTAAGAAATTGGGACAATTGGTGAAAAATTAAGACCTAGTATTTGAAAATCTTTTTTTACAAAATGAAAAAAACATTTGTTCATTCATTTCATTATAAAAAAGAAGCAAAGAAATTTAGTAGAAAAGGAAAAAGTTTTCTATTTTTAATAATGACATTGGTATGCTATAAAATAATCTTGAATAATGATTTCCCCAAAATTACATATACCACCACTAATTGCAATTCCAAATTGCAACTTCATTGAAATGCCATTAATTAAATTGAAATAAAAATAAATTTTTGTTTAATATTCTTTTCCACTTCTAGTCTAAACTCCAACAGCAAGGACGAAATGACAAACTACCAAATGTACAATCTGAAATTAAGGAGGTAAATACTTGATTAATAAATTTTTACTGAATCTCCAAAATCTCGAGAAAAATTTTAGACTTCATTAGACTTCAAAAACTAGTTGAATTTTTAAAATTTTTATGCTTGATTTTGAGATTTATTTATTACTGATATTGATATTACATGTTTGACAAAAGAGAAATGAATTTGAAAAAGTATGTTACATTGTATGGTTGTGCATGTGAATATTAGGGTATCCTATAATTTGATTTTGCAATTTATTGGATTTTGTCTGTTGTTAGATTTATTAAAATTGCAAACATATATATAGGTTAAATTTTATTTCATAGAAGTTTACATATATAATAATTTATCAGAAAAGTGACGAATTGAATTCTGATTTTTATCTCAAATATTATAAATAGTAATGATTTCCAATATTGCTCGTACTTTTGTGAAAAGCTTACTTAGTCAAATATTGCTGTGGATCGTAAAACTTTTTTTCGAAAAGTTTCATTTAAAATATTTTCCAATCAGCTACCTGCAACTTGATGAACTGAATTTTTTTCAACTCAGTATTTTTATCCCCCCTTTTTTGCTAACAAATTGGAAAGAAGATTTACCATGAGGTGAAATACTCGAAATATGTAACGTCAATTCAACTAAAACAAGTATTTTTTCAGTGTTTTGTGTTTTAAATCGTAATGTGTAAATATGCGACTATATGTGAAGTTTATTTTAGAATTATGTGTTTCAGTGGCATGAAAAACATGAAAATTGTAATGCGTTTTGGTGTGATAGATTGTGTTTTGACACTGTCTTTAATATGCTTAAGAAATATATTTATTATAAACTCGTGGTTGAAAAAATACAACTATGACTTTTGGAAATTTAGGCTATATTCCAATTAATTGGGTTTTGGATTTCAAGTTTTCCTGCCAGTATCATAATTCAATTTCTGTATACCGTTATACACAAGGATAGTGTATTGTATCTATTAAACAAGCCCAAATTGATATTATCTATGAGTTGTTTTAAGAAGATTTTTCTATCAGGATATATTTGTATCGGAATATAAGTCCGTTTTTGCTATCCTGTCTTTAAAAATGAATATTACCAATATACCTGGTTCATGCTAATTGGAATTGTGCATTCCATACAGTTTCTCTCTTGTGGATCTGTATGCTGTTATGCTTTAACATCGAGGATGCTGTGTAGGAGATTTGAAATTGGTATGCTGAGTGATTCATCTGAGTGTTTCGTCTGACCAAATTTTAATTACCAGAAGCAAGCAGTTTATACCAGTTTCAAACTTATAAAGCCACACCCCATTTTTAGAATTTGTCAAGTGTCCCACGCCACCTCAAATATAACTAGCTAACGATAAGCTACAAATAACAGATAGTAAGGTGAAAGTATGTTTTATTCAAAAAACACTTTGAAAATATATGGATGGAACGTAAATATCCAAAATAAAGAAATGTAAACATCCAACAACAATATTCGATTGTCTGTGGAAGTCTTACATTGGTCAGACGAAACTTGACAAAACAAAATTTGTAACAAAAGTGTGATGCAAAACTTTTAGATCTCCTATATGCTTTTCCTACTATGTTTTGATAAATTTATATTTCATAACATAGCTTGAGAGCAGAGTGAAAACATGCAAGCAAGAATTTGACGATCTATCTACAACGATTAAAAAAGAAATCATGAAATTCGAGCAAAACAGAGTCATGGATTTCAAGCAAATCATTCTGGTATTTTTGAAGATGTTGATGAAAAGCCAAGAACAGGTAGAATGACTGCAATGAGATTATTCAGTTAAAGACTGGAGAAAAAGTTTTGTTGATTCAAAATTGCATTTTCAAATTATATTTGTATAATTTTCAGTTGTATTTCTCTAAGGTTAAAGGTTGCCTACAAATTTGCTCGGAGATGAGCCTGAGAGCGTGTGCATGTGACCTGAGTTTGTTCAAATTTTCTAAAAAACTTACGAGTGAACATGTGTCAGATTTAAAGAACAATCGTCCATAAGCAGTTGTACATTATCATTCAGTAATATTTATAGGCATTCATATCATTTTTCGCTTGAGTTTGGCGGAAATTGAAAGAATAATGTTTGTGTACTGCAATACTTGATATTATGAGCCTAGGGAACAAAGAATACATTGAATTTGTATGTTTTGTGTATTCATGTCATTCAGTTTTCATATAGCCAGGAATAGTGCTGTTTAGAAACACTGTTTTTTCCATTAAGTTCAAAACACATTATATACCGTACATTTCAACAAATTACTCAATTAATCAATATTTTTTTTGTTTCAGAACATCAAGTTCTGGGAAGGCTTTCTTCCAGAGGCAAGAGCAATAGCCTGAGAGAGATATTGTTTGAAAATTGACAGATCCTGATGATTCCCGATATTAAGATGATTATGAGATTTCTAATCAAGATTGACACTACCATTGCAGAATGGATGGAGAGTGTCCCTTTACCTTATGAATGGCCTCTTAAATTGTGATATATATCGATATACGCATTATTATTATATTCCCAATATTTTCATTTTTTAATAGAAATTCAATGATAATGTTCCTTTCAAAATTACAAAATTAGTGCCAGGTGCATAAAATTCCACCATCAAGTGCCTCTTTAATAATATCAGCGATTCAGCCCCTTTTCTGTCAATTGATTCACATTTGTAAAAGGTATCATGAAAGATAATTGGAGTTTCGATTAGCAGTCTATATGTTTTTTTAATTGCTATTAGCCCAAGTTTATATGCTTTGCGTTGTCAGATTGATTTGATATCCATGCGTATTGTGTCATCTTTGTCTAAGACCAATTGTAACCATGTATACCATAAATTTTATATTATCATGTCATGTGCAATGTAGTCCTTAATGTTTAAACATATTTGAATCTGGAGCATTGATTATTTAATTTTTAAATTCTGGATTAAAATCCCCCAAATAAGAGCACAAATCACAATGTTCATGCATCTATAGGATTCAAACTAGTTATCTTTCTTACCAGTTACCTGGAATGGTAACCAATCAGTTATCCGCCTATATCTTCACGGTAGAAATTTGAAAAGCTTAGGCTACCTCCATCTTGTGCTGTATTTTGTAAACAGCATGGATAACAGTAAAACGTTGACTTTTCACCGATCTTCCATATGGAATAGCATTTTAGAATGAGGTTTCAATATTCCAAATTGTTTTATTCCGCATATAAAAGCAGTTATCGATTTGAAAGCCACAAAAAATTTGTCTACGCCTAGAAAATCAAAGAAATCCACTCTGTTGCCCTCCTGCTTCTATTCCTAATTGTATCTCTTGTGTGTGATGTCTAGTGTGATGAGACAACATGTTATGTAATTTACACATTAATAATGATAATCTATTGCTATAAGATATATTTGTTTTGGTGGGAGATCTTAAGCAATAAGCTTCTGGAGTTTGTACAGGATTTCACAAGTGACTGACATGGTTTTACGATCCGGACTTTTAAACACTAGTTTCTCGTTGCCAAAATAAAACCGTATAAAACTTCTTCAGAAAGGTTTTAAAAAAGACTGTTCTGAAGTAATCGTCATTCTAATTTTACTACTAATCTAATACATGTAACAGGCACGGGGAACTGCTGGAACTTGGCAGCTGAAGCCACGATTTCCCGCTGGTTCATTCTCTGGCCATCGTGCCTAATGTTTGCGTAATTTGTTGTCGATCAAGATGGGCAGAAATGCGAAAAATATAGGGTTTGGCTCCAAGAAATTGTACTCACCACTGAACTGGAAATATCTATGTCGTACTCACTGACTGACGTGGCGTTGATTTTCAGTGCCACAAGTTTGCCGCGCATGCCACTATTTTATTTTCCTGTGGCTCAGCATTATCTGGTTCGGTAATCGGTTGCGCTGTTTAATTTATCGCTGTTATCGAAAGTGGGACTGAAAAGTATGGCTCATTACGGACAACCTGCACCTGGTTATGGTGCTCCGCCTCAACCTGGCTATGGAGCCCCCCAAGGCCAACCTGCACCTTATGGTGCACCACCGGGACAGGCTTATGGCGCTCCTGCACCTGGGTACGGGGCTCCTCCTGGTCAACCAGCCCCTGGTTACGGAGCTCCCCCGGGACAACCGGGGTATGGAGGTGCACCTGCATATGGCGCTCCACAAGTCGATCCAGCGGTTTTGGCATGGTTTCAAGCGGTTGATGCAGATAGGAGCGGAAGAATTTCTGCATTAGAGCTTCAGCAGGTTTGTAGTCTATTAATATTTCAATATTTTGGATACCGGTACTGAAATGGTAGTGTAGTCCACTGGTACCGTATTCGCCCAACCCACAATCTGGCTTTTGAAAAGTTCATAACAATATTACCTGAATACCGAAAAGGTCGAAAATTTGAGCAAGCATGAAGTAGAAATTTTCCCCTAAAAACAATAAAAAAAAATTTGTTGCGGGAGTTCCTCCCCGCAGCCCTTGTTGGAAAACCCTGCATTACCGGAACAGCATCAATTTACAATATGAAAAAACTATATAAACCAGCATATGTGTTTTGCAATATTATTTTGCCACAAATGGAACGATTTTTATTATCATATTTTGTAAATCCAAATTCTTGAAACAATTAGATCTGTTTTAAACATGGAATCATAGTTCAAAAATCATATAACGAGACCGTGTACAGGTGTAGGCTACATACAGATATATGCAGCCTGAAGCTCTTGTTGAAATCAGAATCAATTCTGTATGTGTAATTCATAATAAATTTTGATAAATTTATTGTCTTAATACTGTAATTATAATACAACTTTTACAATATGAACATCATATGGCAGTATGGCGAACCACGGCCTCTCTTCTGGAATGGTAACCGGACGAGAGGCCGTAGTTCTCTATATGATTAAACAGTCTCGTAGGTTTCCCGCTCCACCAGGGTAAATATGTAAATCCTATCCAAAAATAGGCTCTAACAAACAATGATTGGACAAGATTTTCCATTGCAACTTGTTATGGAATGATCGGACTTTTCGACAGAGATTTCTCCGGAACGATTGATATTAATGAATTCGGACAATTGTGGGGATTCATTAACCAATGGAGGGGAGTGTTCAGCAGTTTTGATCAAGATAGATCTGGTACTATCAGCCACCAAGAACTTCATACTGCTATTTCTAGGCTAGGGTATGTATATTTTACATTTATAAAAATGGAAATTTGTCAAAATTTTGAATAAATCTCTGTTAATCTTGGCTAATGATCATACTATAACTATACTTACAAACAATTTATAGCCAAATATGACATTACGTGATAAATTATTTACAGAGTCTTGTATATATAAATTCAAACTGACTTCTTTTTATTAATGTTTCATCATCCAGAAGATAGCCTTCTGAACTATTAATGCATGGATTGTATGCTCACTTATAATGAGGGCCTAATTCCAATTACTTGAAAAATTATGTACCAAATCACTGACTTTTCTATAAACGCTTTCCCCGAGTTCAAGTGAAATGATGGTCTTGTTCCAAAGTTCATTTGGAATATTTGAAAAAATTGATTAAACACCTTTCCGACCTGCCGACACATTATTCATCAAATTCGAATTGTGGACAATTCTTGGAATCTATGATCATTCTATCAGAATTCTATCATGTCAAAATATGACAGAAAATTGTATATTTGTGTCTCATTAATTTGAGCTGAATCAAACTAAATTATGAATTGATGCATTACAAATACAAAAATACATGGTACATTGTTCAAACATAATCGCAGCAATGATTATCTATATACAGGGAGTCCTCGACTTACGAGTTACGACGTTGTTCCGTTCTTGAGACGCGGTGTAACCCGAATTTCAGTGTAAGTCTGAACAACCGAAATTGCGTACAGTATCACTGAAACTGTGTACCATGTGACTGAAGCTTAGTGATTATTCGTTTATAATCGTAATAGTTCACAATTGTTCACATCATTTACTATGTAAATGACAAAAATCAATTACCTTAACCTCGAAACGGCGTTATGAGTGTGCCTTCGTAACAGCGTAAGTCGCGACCGTCGTAACCTGAGGACTCCCTGTACCTAAGCAATAATAAAAAAAAATAAGAGTATTCAAAAATATTTTAGGGAATCTGCCATGAACAATCCTTTTGAAATTTATAAAATTATGTTTACGGTAATACAAAATTAATGGTTTGTCCATTTGTAGAAAAAGTTAGAATAGCATCTTATTCATGACGTTGATCATATCAATCAAGTCAATCCCACCCAGCATTTTAGGGCCAATTAATGTATCTGTATGTATATATATTTTGGCATTTTATTTTTAATCATTGTACTGAGGAATTGTGTGAGTAGATGTCAAACTTTATTATCTTCCAAACTTTCTCCTGTGGTACTCCCGTGGTTTGTGTACTGGGTCAGGGTTAGGTCATGATTTTATTTCGATTTTCCCTATTTTAGTTCTATGACGAGTTCAGGGACTGTCTTTCTGTGCTAGCCAAGTTAATATACCCGAATACCCCCTGTCCATAGGTTTCAGTCCCTTCACACAACTTGATGTAAAGTAGGCGAACAAAATTAGTTAACTCCATATTGACACAAACACTACTGAAGCGCCCTCTTATGTACATTGCTGCAACTTCTAACATTAACTCTTATATCATCTTTTTTACAGTTACAACTTGTCACCAACATTTGTGAATATAGCGATGTACAAGTTTGACCACGATCGTAGAGGATCTCTAAATTTTGAAGGTTTCATTAATTGCTGTATGATGCTGCAGCAATGCACACATCATTTCCAAATGAAGGATACTCAACGCTCTGGAAGAGGACAATTTAATTATGATGATTTTATGTATGCAGGATTGATATGTCTTAAACCCTGAATTTTTTACTGAGTTTGGGAATGTTATTTGTGTTCCAAATTAGGTACTACCACTATTATTCTGATATTTTTTTGACGAAAGTCAATCTCCAATTTGTAGTTCATTTTACTATATCTATATAATATTTGCTCAAATTTGTTTAGCAGATGTAGAATTCCAGCTTTGAATTTTCTTCCAGTTTTGTCTGCCAATATGGAGATGATAATTAGGAAAACTTGATTTTCTGATGAGTGTCAAAATTCATCTGTTGTACTGAGGGTTGTAATTTTTTTTATGCATTTCCTGAATCTTCACAATCTTATTATATATATAGAACCCTGTACATCTACATATTATACTGCACATTGGGTTATATTGCATATTCTACTATGATCTCACTCGTTACTGAAAATAAATTTTAGTTGTAGCTAGTATTACTCAAAATTGTCAAGTTCTGATATGGATATTTTGTATGAAGCATGGTTCATCTTTTGATGATGCATCAGTAATTGTATTGACCAACGTGTAGTTACCAACATGTTAACTATCAAAGTTATGCTCGGTAAAATTTTATGAAAAATGTCTTTTATGATAAAAAAAAGTAGGTGATTTTTATCATCTATTGCATATATTTTGGGGAAATTGATCTTTTGCGCTTCTGACTATAAATATGCTAGGCGTGTCAGGACATAGATAATTTTCAATTCCAAAATGTGCCATCTGGCCATAGGCAAAAATGGATGGGTTTTGCATACTGTCATGTTTTAACAATGAATTTTCAAACGTGATTTTTTAATTAAATTGCAGTAATTTTTCATTCATTAACAGTAATGTCTTCACAAAATGTTTCAAACCTATTAAAAATTCCTAAATAGTAATCGTTTTTTTCTCTTAATCTATGAATAACTTTGTCATTACATTCGCAATGATCATATTCTTCTGAGATATAGTGATAACCGGACTAGGGCATAGAATTCAACCGTTTTATCAACTTTACCGTCACAAATGACGGGATGAAACCCTAAATCCCTATTTGAAATCAATTCACATTGGTACGCAATTTAGTTTTCATCTGACAATGCAATACCCACAGCTAATGGACAGTTCCCCCACAGCTAATGGACCAGTAAAGTTCAAAATTTCAGTACCATACTTGTATATGCTTGAAGAGCATAGTGGGCTATTACTTCTAATATTTATTCTAAGGGTCCTTTTTTAGTTCATGAGAACACTTCTTTATAAAACATGGGATCACTTTTTAGCCAAACTCCGTACTCAGAAGAGGCCGTACTGATAGCGACATTTGTGTGTGTTTCAAGAATTGCTCTGTAATTAGTGGTGTAGTAATCCTGAACCACCATCTTGTTGAAGTGTTCGAGATGTTCATCAGGAAGCTAGGAAGTCGATCCTGAGAAACATCTTTTGATTGCCATCTCTAGCCGCATACAGGCGTTACTTTTTGATCAAGTGTGTATCCGAAGAAAAAAAAGATTCTCGCAAACGCACATTAAAATAAACCGTTTCCGGGGTTTTGGTGCGATACCTTACAATTTAGGTCTTGGTCTATCATTTTAGTCGTGAAAAATCAATCGATCAACTACGCTATCTCCAGGATAGATGTTAATACCAAAATTCCCTGCTTATCGACGTTTCTATGATGGACATGACGATGTTACCGCGAAAAGAGAATGTCTTAATTTTCGCGCAAATTAACGATTTTGCATTTGTGTGACCTGATAGCGCTCTTGGTCAACAGTCGCATTCATGACGGTATCTGTTTATCTCAATATTAATTCAGTAATTCCACTGGTGATAATGATGTGTAAGGCTGTAGGATTGGTCCGGATGCTAAGGTATAAAGATAGTTATGGATTTATTTTGACTCCACGCGGACATGGTACCGTGCTGGTAGTCTATCAGTGTGCAGACGGACTGAATTTATTCACGTTACAGCGTTACTTGAAAATAGATTTCGTACCGGTATCTACTAAACTCCTGCCAGTCATTAAGCTTTCTATATGTCAAAATCAAAAATAGATATCGGTACCCGGTAGTACCGGTACCCTATTACTTTATTTTCTTAACTGAGTTTAGCGAACATGAGTGATTATTTTAGTATTTCTGTATTTTGAAAGAAAAGAGGAGTTGACCTTTTGCCTCTCTGGCCTTTATTCTTCATAAAATTGATTTTTGAATGAAGACAGCAGAGATGCGCTGCAAGTTTTTTTCCTGATAATTTGGCGTCGTTCAAACAAAAAGTTGCGGAATTTGTTATTCATAGTTTATTTTACAGCTAGTCTAAATTAAGCAACTTTTAGGGCTTTTGCAATTTTTTTTATATTAGGGCAATTTTTTTGCAAATAACGGCAATGCAATGTTTGAGACGAACTATACAAATCGGATGGAATACCAATGTGAATGTAACAAGGATTACGCAGTCAATATTACACGTCGAGCCTACAAAACTATGTGTTGTTTGTGTGAATCAAAGACTACTCAACAGTTCAAGTCTGCAAAGCAAAAATTTCACATCAAAATTTACGAAGGGTTTTATGAGTCGCAAACTTGAATATTCTGAGCGGAAAACTTTAAGATATCCCTTAGAACTCATGTATTGCATTGTTGAAGATGTAGATCGCTACAGCGAATTCGTACCTTGGTGCAAAAAAAGTAATGTTATATCAACGAAAGGTCCAGTGAAGCGTGCAAAACTTGAAGTCGGGTTTGGTAAAATTACGGAGAAATACAATTCCACTGTTACCTGTGCAAAACCACATTTAGTGAAAGCGATCTGTACCGATGGATTGCTTTTTAATTCTTTACTATGCATATGGCATTTTACGCCAGGACGGACTAAAAATTCATGTGTCATTGATTTTCAGGTTTCTTTTGAATTCCGATCTCTTTTATATTCTCAACTAGCAAATATGGTTTTTAATGAGATTGTAAGAACTATGGTAAAAGCTTTTGAAAAAAGAGCTTATGAAATTCAAGCACTAAATAAAAAAGAAAATGATGACATTTTAAAACAAACTTTACCTTGATACGTAATAGCCCAAAAATAAGTTCAAACCTCCAATTATTGTAGCACATCAAAATAAATTGAAAAAAATTTAAGTTGTGTATATACATCTCCAAACAAGGCTTTAAATAAGATTCTACTGATAGGTTAAAAGTTATTTGTTTATGAAATAATTTGAATCATACTGTCACAGGCTAAACAGAATTTTTGGGTTAAACCTATTTATATTAACTACCCATGATACCATAAATAATCAGATTACCTTCGATATCAAATCGGGAACATTCTGAGTATTCAAATTTCCAAACATAGCTTTTTATGTATCATTGAGGGCACGTTCAAAGTCTTAAGAGCTAAATAAAACTTCATATGGAAAAAATTATTTATCCCAATATTGTATTATTTGTTATGTGTATTTTTCATGACGATGTCACGATTGCATCTGATGGAGTAATTGATTATAAATACCAGTGGTTGTTCAAAAAAATAATAATTTTTGGTTAATGTGTTTGTGATGTTAAATGTGTCTGATCTACAATGTGAGGAAACTTGACTGTTTCTATTAACATATTATGTTAATTATTTTGTTAAAGATATTTCAACGATATTTTGTGAATAAGTAAGTTGATAACTTGTAAAATGTTTGAGAAAGAAAAAGTAAATGAAAGTGTTTCTATGAACGTTGAATTCAAGGTTGGCACAAGGGAAATTGAATAATATATTTGAGTCAGTTACGGTAGCTGATGAGTCGATTATCTGAGAATTACCTAATTGTCTGAAAAATGTGTTTCTGATTAACTCTACTATAAGGAAAAATATGCTTATTATAAACAGTCAACAATCAGTCTCTTTTACTGATGTTTACAGTTATTTATGTTTTGTTTTGAGTAAGAAAAAAAATTGGCTCAGTAAGCTTTCATTCTCTAGTGTATTTTTAAATTGCATGACTTTTTTCAGCTATATATCAAATTTGTTAATCAAATTGTAGGAAATTTTAATTGATCTAATATTTTATTTTAGGAAATTTTTTTGTGATATTTTATTTAAAATAAACTGAAAAAAACAAACTATGTCTCGAGGGGCACAAGGAATGCATATTCGAGCTTCATATAATATATTTGACGTTTTATTTTTGATGTTTACTACATCTGGATTATCGCCGAAGTGAACTGTTTATAAGGGATATTATTTGGGATTTATAGCCTGTATATGCGGTATTATGCTAGGTCCATTTATATCATACTACTCAGATATACCCAAAACAATAATTACAGTTTTCTGAAATCATAAAAAAAATTTTTTGACATTAATGTGAACTATTATTATAAAGAATATTTTGCGCTCCAGAAGTATGTGTACCAATATGGGGGGAACTAATTTTGTTCGCCTACTTTACATCAAGTTGTGTAAAGGGACGGAAACCTATGGGCAGGGCAGGGGGTATATTCACTTGGCTAATACAGACAGTCCCCGAACTGGTAATAGAACTAAAATAAGGAGAATCTGAATAAAATTATGGCCTAACCCTAAACTGTTACACACACTACGGGACTACCGAATATTCTGATTATGGTTCTAAGTTTTCTGGGTATAGGTTTGATACTGGAACTTATTTCAGAACTATATAGGCTATTGCTTTTTGATATCTGGAGAAACTTTTTGTTTCTAACTTTTTTGCTCTTATCTCGAGGCTTTTATCAGCATATTTAAATGAGTGCTCATATTATGTGCTTTTAATTTATTAGTACAAATTAACTTATACTATACGTCTATTTGCATGTATCATTTCTATTTCAGATTACTAGTATGTCTTGTTTTAATTAATTATAATTACACACAAATTTGGCGTTAATTTACATCAATTGGTCTTGATATTAACTTCTGATGGAAATATAGTACAGCAAGAATTATGTTCCCTGCATCTCTGGGCCAAGGGCACCAGCCTATGAGCTTAAAAGCAATTGATGAAATTCCGCACCAAAAGCGTAAGAACATTTGTACTTTCATCGATTATTCAATCACATTGCAGGATGGTTATTGGGAGCTTTTAGTAACCGAGCTCGGATTTAACGAAACAGATAGTAAAAATTTTCTTCTTGCCTTCGCAAAAAAACAAAGTCCGACTGATAATTTGCTACGAGAATGCGGATACAGGAATTACAAAATTGTTACGCTGTCTCACGTATTAAAAAAGATTGGACTTGTTAAATTAGTGGCAGAAAATTTGGAAAACCTTGAAGAAATTAGTAGTCCGGTCTTGCCTAATGCGCAATATGGTTTCGGTGGAATGCATTTCTACGACAAACCACGGAGGCCTACGGAAAGTGACTCCTCAAGCTCGTCTCATTCTGGAGGTACGGACGTGGAAAAAATTGGCGGAATCGACACTACACATCATTCCTACGCTGATATTAAAAAAGGGACAAAAAACTTCGCTTCAGAAATGAAATTAGGTGCCGGGGCTTTTGGTAAAGTATATAAAGTCGTTCTAAAGAATACTGTATATGCGTGTAAAGTGTTAACAATGACAACGAACAACACCCATATGTCGTTGCGAGGTAAATACAAGGGGAACACTGATTTGAGGAATGAGTTACGTTATCTTGCGGATTATAGGCATCCACATATTGTCCCATTGTACGGCTGGTCTGTGGATGGTGACAATCCATGTTTAATTTATGAGTACATGAAAAATGGTTCGTTACAGGACTGTCTTCAGCGTTTGAGAGAAAAGGAATCTTTAAGTTGGTTAACAAGATTGAATGTCGCTTGTGGCGCAGCCAGGGGCCTTCGTTTTCTACATGAAGAAAAATCTAAACCTTTAATACATGGTGATATCAAAACTGCGAATATACTACTCGGAGACAGTTATCATGCGAAGCTCGGAGATTTTGGTCTTGCGAGAGAGGGTCCTAGCAGGCATAAGACAGGGAGTTATATTGATTTGGGTGATGAACACACCCCAGGTACAATTGGGTATCTTGCACCTGAGTACTTACAGAGTAAAAAATTATCTGTTGAAGTGGATACTTATGCGTTTGGTGTTGTATTACATGAGCTTTACACTGGTCGCAGAGCATTTGATCGAAATCAGAAAAGGGCTGTAACCTTGCTCAGAGACTATATGGATGATCTTGCGAATGGTTTGGGTAGAGGAGGTCGAGAAGGGGCAGAGGACCGTCTGTTTGAGCACCAATCTCCAGAGTTGGAGAGACTACCTCAAATTATTGCACTGAGATTCGTGAGATTGGCACTCGGTTGCTGTCACGAAAGACGTAACAAAAGGCCATCTATGTTGGCGATTTTAACAAGACTCGAAGCAATATGTGCTGATATTAAGATGTTACCCAAAGAGCAAGTTTCTGATACATCCTCTACCGACCTGACTCCGAATGCTTCAATTACTTCAAACAAACCCCAGTTGGGTAAACCCTCATCTCCGAATTTGCGTACGAACGATATGAGATACGACACTCGAAATTTAATTCCGGTGGAATCTGAGGATCCGTCTCTTGTAATGCCGTCACAAAATATTGAATCTTCAATTCCGCATAAAAATAGCGACATTTATGCCCCACCTGGAGTGGATGCTGTGAATGAAGCCCTAAAACAACTCGAGTTAAAAAACTCAATAAAATCGAATTCCGAGGCAAGGAGTTACACCCCTTCAAGAGAAAACAGCGTATACGCCACTTCAAGACAAAACAGCGTGTTTGAGAATCAAAAACCGAATCCTATACCATCTAGAGAAAACAATGTTTTTGAGGGTTATACACCACAACCCCATATATCTATACCACAGTATTTTGGCAATGTAATGTACCACCACCCACACGCTGCCGCAGCTGTGCCAGTAAATTGGGACCCATCAGGGCACAATATGCTTCCAATTTCTCCAGTATTTTCAATGTGGCCCCCGCAAATGCCTCATAATATACCAGTCCTGGGACCTTATTCACCCTACGTCTCTGGTCCAAGTTATCCAACGCAAGGAGCACAACAATATGGTCAAGTACCGTTTCCGAACACTCCAGATTTCCTGGGAATACCTTCTGGAATGGATCAAAACGATCCTTCAGATTCCAAACCTGGTAACACCCCCGTGTCCCCAAGCACCCCCGGCCTTGTTAGCACCCCAGAACCATTTGACAGCTTGGAGTTGAACCAACCTTTACATGTAACAACTGCTCAATCCCCTCAGGTATCCAACCCATTTACTAATTCAAACATAAATGGGGGTTATTCTAATTTACCCCCTTCGAACCCATTCCATATTTCAGGGGGTAATGACGCACACTTTTCTACCCCACAACAATATGATCAATTTTCTCCTACATCGAAACCAGAAGCAGAAAACAGCCATCAAAGGAGTTCCACATCTGCGGACAATGAGGGTATTTCCCCTCCCAGAACTTATAGTGTCAAAGTCAGCGGCCCGAAGGCAAGTTTGTTGGATAATCTTGACAATATAGAAGATGAAGACCTAAATTTATCCGTTTCTCACTATTTTAGTAAGTAAAAGAACTACAAGAATTGTCGTGGCCTAGTGGGTGAAGCGCTAGACTTAACTACGTTGGTATCATATGTAATAATCACAGGTTTGAATCCCACGCCATCCACTTTACTCAGGATATAATTCGGTACACAATGCCGAACCAGCCTGAAAGAATAGAATGTTATATATTCTCGGATTTCTGTGGCTACTTATGTGAGTCCTTGTCAGATCGAATGGAGTAAATACGAACCATACAAAAAGTTGTCTCACTTTATATAATTTGAGAATTGATTTTGCGAAGGTCGGGCTGGGCCTATTTCTGGGTGGAAACAATTGACTTCACCTGACAATTTTACTGATATGTCTGCAATTTGAATCTTTATAATGCACAGGTTCTTTATGGTACAACAAACTGACTTGTTACATGCTGAGAATTTATTTTATTCTCACTAATATCAGAACAGTAGTTTTAAACGTAAAATTTTTTCAGTTTTGAAAGATTTTTTAAAAATTGGATGGTTCGGTAATCATAATAATCGTTCTACCTAAAAACTTCTGGGTCACAATTTGTTGGTATGAGATATTCCCTTTTCACTGTTGATTTTTATTACCATTACTGGTATGTATATTTTCTACTTTAAAGTTTTGCAACCTGCCTATTCCTTGTTCTTCTTTTACTTTGCTTTTTACCCCTTATTGCAGTTATTGCCTTATGTTGATACACTTTTATTTGCATTTTCATTGAGGGTATGTTTTTTTCGTGGAAATACAGTTTCGTTTTATCATTTATGTTCCTTGCCGCTTCACTCATACACATAGGCATTGTCTTCGAAATTGACAATACTTTGCTTTTACTTATGCCTATGTTTTTTCGCAGTACATAATAACAATTTTTATTTTTTTTATTTTTGAAGTTTTTTTTAGCATACATAGTTGCATAGTCTTAATTAGCGATATATATTTCTAATATTAATTGTGGTATTATAAAATAACAAGATATATGGATAACTTAAGCGTGCTTGATGAAATAAAAACAGTGTTTAAATGAATTAAAATAAAACCTGAGATTATAGGTGAAATATCGTATCACATAGGTCAGTGGTTCTCAAACTTTATAAGCCGCGCCCCTTTTTAGAATTTGTCAAGTCTCGTGCCCCACCTCAAAAATAACTACGGTATTTATTAATAAGCTACAAATAACAGATAGTAAGGCGAAAGTAAGTTTTATTAAAAAACAAATAAAATATATGTGAATGGAATGTAAATGATGAAATAAATGAAAAGTTTTGAGATGTAAATGTCCAAAATAAGGCGGGTAAGATCAAATCTAACAAATATTTTTATTTTTAATTAGTTTCACGCCCCCTCAGAAAATTGTCCACGACCCACCGTTTGAAAACCACTGGTTCGAAGATTTTAAACGAATTAACAAGCTTAAAAAAGCAAGAATAATTTGATATTCAGTTTTGTATTGTATTTTGAAGACAACTGTTGCATTTTCAATTTTAATTTCAATGGTTTTGCGCAAGACCGTCGCCCATGTTATTCTAGGATAGGTATGATTGAATAGCTTGGCAGATTATACTCTACTCTTTTTGATGCATGATTGCTCAATTTATGGGAAAACCGTAGTTATTTACGGATGAATCAATTTTTTTTGCAATTCTCAATGGGTGATTTATGTCGTATAAATGCTAATATTTGTATTAAAATTTATGTTATTGACTAAGTATGTATTTATAGCCTAACCTTGGAAACAAATTGTATTTATTTTTTATGTCTGATATACATTGGTATTACAACATGCTGTTGACAGTTGGTATTTATCACATTATAAAATTGACACATTATAAGGTTTCCTTGCATTTACTTCTCACAATATCCCAAGCATGGTCCATACTTCTCTTACACCATATATCAATATCCCCATGCAAGTTCGATGATAATACGATTATGAATTCAAGCCAAATGTGACCTGTCAAAAGACTATATACCATTAATATAATACCACAATGTGCATAAGGTCAAGCCGGCTATTTTTATAGTCTTTTGTCAGTAAAACGATCTTAATCAAAGAGTCGTTTCAATGTGACCTATGTGTTGGAGACATGCCTGTTTGGATTATTCAAATTTTTGGATACTCAGGTCATTTAAAGTATATCTAAATTCGTTATTATAATTGGTGATTTGAATCCCACTAAATATGTATAATTTCCAATTCCGAAATCTTAAATGATATTTTAAAATATGGAATATGTAAATAGGGTCATGTTATACGGAAAGCACATAAAAGTCAATCTATAGCCTATGTATTTCATATAGGTTTAAAAAATTATATTAAAGCATTTTTGGCCATATTGTGAAACTCTTTGAATAAACAAAACGATAATTTTTCAAAAGGGATTATTTTTAAAATCAAGAATTTGTAACTACCGATATTTAATATATTTATACTTAGCATACTGATTTGCTGTGTGCATCTCTGGTTTAGAAAATGTGACATATATATTCTAAACATGAATGGAATAGTAGTTCAACAAAAGTCGAAAAAGAAATGAAAATTTTGTCTTGTTAGTTTTACCTGCTTATCTGTGCCCAATACATATAAGAATAAACAAATTCAAAAGATATTATATGATTTTTTTTGCCACTGATATATCTTCCAATTAGATATATTAATTGATCGTTTGGCCAACAAAATAGTTATATAATTTGAAAATAATTGGGTTTTTATTACAGTATTTATACAGTTAAGTATGAAAAATTAGCGTAAAAATAAAATATGATTAAATGCATATTTAGAAGTTTTTTTTAGAATATAGCTAATTTGCTAAAATTCACGTTTTGATCATTTGTTATAACAGAACTATTCATTGCGAGGAATAAATAACCAAAATAAAATAATTTACTATTCTAAATTTTGTTTTGTTAACCGTAGAATACCTATCGAATATATTCTAAATTGAGGCATCTTCAACAGAGAAATTCGCACAAAATTTTCATTTAGTAATGCAGAATATTTGAGATAACATTGTTCTATATCTATTTTTTACAATGTCAGTTCTTGTAATATAGATATTACCATTCAAATTGTAATCAATTTGCTATTAATATTTGACTAATTTTGAGAATGCCCTTCTTGTATCATATCAAAAATTTCTATGGCACCAAAATATTTTTGTCAGGGCTTTCCAAGAATATTAGGTAATTTTATGTCTAATAATTTTAATATGAATAAATATCATTCGTTTAATATTTATTTGAAGAAACATTCCAATAATTAGGATTCCATTCCACTTGAAATATACGGTGCTTGAAATGATTAAAATTATAATCTTAAATAGAATAGTATTTATATTTGGAAATACCAGTGGACTTTCCCATACAATGGGAATTGAAAATCAAAATTGTGGTCTCAAAATGGAAATATATTTTATTCAAAACAAGACTTTCGTCTCTGTAATTCATTCAAATGTGTTTTATATGATTATTTGATTAAAAATATTAAAATTAAAATTTGTTAAAAGGAAAATTATGCTTAGTCATTTATTGTGTTAAAATCCTAATCTTACTCTGGCACAGAATATAATTGGCAATGTATTTATAGATCATGTCAAAATTGACAAGATAGTGATTACTCAACGGTATTATTCCTACGGATCCACATATTTAATAGTTCAATGAAATTTTTATATAAATTTTCATTTTAACTAAATTTAAAGGGTTCCATTACATTTGAACCCACGTACATTTGAACCCATGACAATTGCACCTGTATGCTATTGCACCTATGGAATTTTTTTTTGTTTCACGGATAGTTAAACCCATACTAACCCTAACCCATGGGTTTTAGAACCCGCATATAGATTGAACCTGTGGATATACGCATGGGTTCAAATGTACATGGGTTCAAATGTACGGTCACCAATTTAAAGTATTGATTGGTTGTTTGTTGATGTAAAACATCATACACACTTGTAAGTCGATGATACAAATTTTGCCAATTTTTCGAATTTCTGTACCAGGGATCCTCAGCCAAATGTATATTTTGGAAGTAAGAAAGCACAGGCTAAATGTGGCTGTTCACCACATGGAAGATTGCAAAGTACCCTTTTGAGCAATTGATGCTCATTATTGCTCTCGCTGATGTGAGACCGACATAGTAGTTGTTTAGATATTTTACGCGTTTTTATTTTTATAACCGGTAGGTCTTCAGAAATAGTTGGTGTCAAAAAATAGAAATTTTAAAGTTTTTCCTAAACTGTTTTATGAAATGTCCAAAATCATGGAACTTTTTTCATACATTTTTTCAATTATTTGCTTCAACTGCTTAAATATGGTTTACAATGAGCTAAGTTATGTTAACATGATTAAGTTGTTGTATTGAAATCAGTTTCCCATGGTAGGTTTCGAAAAAGATATCGTCAAATTTCAAGTATGTATTATACTTGTTTTATGTTTGTTTACACTCATGCATCAGAAATAAAATCCAATATTACCGTATATTAGGGTATCTGGTCATAAGGCGTTCTCTTGTTTTTGGTGTTAAAACGTGTGATGTGACTCACCATTATGTTGGGACATTAATACCTATGACACAGATGCATTGCTTCCTATTATATTGATATATATGGCCTGCATATTAATCCTTGATTTTGAATTACAGCTTTTTATTACTTTCTAAATTTCTTTTCTGTTTAGACATTGGTTACACAAACTGGTTTTTATCAATAATTATTTGGATTTTTATTTCGACTTTTCTGATAATGGCTTGGGTAATAATTGCTTAGTATGTTTGTGATATTACCAGCATGAACAGCTGGTCTGTGAATTCGTTACTGTGTCGCGTGACTATTTAAATAGGGTTATGGAATTCATATATCATGGTGTACAAGGCAAGAGCATTCATGTGATTTCTTGTGATGTATTTCTTTCAATCGCATCAAATTTATAAAAATTTGTTGATCAACTTTTTCGATTTTAAATATTCAAACTTATCAGGGAACAGGGGTTACACTGATAAAACTACATATCATTTAACACGTTCACATATTTTGTATCCATGGGTATATGTTGATAAGCCCCATGTCTCAATGAGAAACTTTCAGCAAAAACAGTTCAAATCATTTACAATTTAATTCCCTTCCGAATATTCGAAGTATTTCACCCATCATATGCCCAACAGACATATTAGTGAGAATATCTTGACATATAGGCTGATTTGCATATAAGCCAACCCCCTAAAAGCGGCCCTAAGACGGTGAATTTATAAAAATTCGCATATAAGCTGACCCTACAAATCGTAACACGTCGTAGGAGTTGTAGCTGTTAAATTAGCTTAATTTCGTTTCAGTGTGATCAGAGTTATGCGCATATAAGCCGACTCCTTAATTTGGCATTTTTTTTAGGTTTCTAGTTTTAAACTCGACTTATATGCCAAGATATACGGTAAGTTTAATTAGATTTTCCATAAAGGCATCACAGGCAAATAAAAAAATGCACCCATTTTTTTTCTGAAAATATTTGTTCAAAGTAACAAATCAGAATGTAAAGACAATGATCCCTGAGGTAAGCGAAATCCGTAAAAAAGACAAAACTCAAAGCAAAGTTTCTTCTTTATCACTGAACGTTGTCTGTCAAGTGTTTGGCATTGAGTTTTGCAGTCATTTTCCTACCCTACCTTACCTTGACTTTTAAATGCGTCAGTTATTGCTTTTGTTACTACTTATTGTGTTGGAAATCATATTATATAAACAAGCGTGGGCCATATAATAATTTCCTTTGACATGTTTTTACATCAGACTTAGTTTCTACTCGTCATGTCTGTATCCTGAATTCTAATAATGAGTATTAATGCTTTATGCATTGTTTAGCATTGTGTGTAAGATGACTACAGTCTTCAGATCTGCTTCAAATTTTTTAAAAGGTAGTTCAAGTGGACTTCATGGCATGGCTATAAAATAGTTTAATATATATAATAAAGTATGTTTTCATTTTTTTCCCAAAAAAATTTGCTCAAAGCTGAGTCATAAACACTCACTCTGAAGTAAAAGAGACAAATATCTCAGCAAAGTGACAAGAGCTAATAAAATATAAAGAATTATAGCGTATATTAAATGTCAGATAAGTCTGCCTGATGTGAGACTTAAAAGATTCAAGTCAAGGAGTTTTAAAGTAGGGTATTCTACATAATTGAGGTTTATGAAAAAAAATTGACTATCATACTATTTTGATATTGACATCCATAGAATAAGTGTTTTATCAGGTGTATAACTTAATCTCTTCCTCACTCATAGTGTGTATCGTTTCAATAAAATATAATAAATAGTAATACTATTATTGTGTGCAACGTTTTCTATAGTTTATGCTATAAACCGTGAATTTTATGTATTTTTTGGGTACATTTTTGTGTTATAATTGAATATTTTCACGATTTTTAAGTGTTTTGCGGTAATTTTTCTTACTATGGATGTTTCCCTGACCATTCTTAACCTCTGAAAAAATTATCCTTATACTTTACAAACTGTCTGAGGGGCTTTAAAAATTCCTATTGTAACGTCATCATTGACTTTTTGCCGATTGGTCATCGTTGCGGAAATAAACAAGGAAATTAATGCTCTGGGAAACACCCATTGATGTAAAATATACAAAAGTTTTTTTCCGAAAATTGAGTTCTGTGAAGTTACTATTTTACTTGTAAAATATGTCTTATTCGCGACCAAATTATAATAATATATTTCTATTTTAACTGAAAAAGTTTGACCAAATTTCGATTTTGTCATATTAATTCATTAATAATTTCTGATATTTAAATTTTTAATTATAAAGAAGACTTTTCCGAGGACAATGTTGCCAGTTATCAACTAAAACGTTAGCTAATTCCGATTATTATGCTTTTAATCATGTATCGACTGCTTTTATAGCCGAATCATAAAGATCATTTACTTTTGATAGTTGAGTAAATATTCTGGTATATGGTACATATTGCCCTCTCCTTGTTTGCTTTTTGTCTCGTCTTTTATACTGTATCAATGAATTATCCTCAATTATGCTTGATATATTGATGAATTGTGTCATTATGGTTTGATCAAGCTGTATTTATCCTCGGCCTATCTTGATCACATGATATAATATTTATAAAATGAGATAACTTTTTAGTTACCTGTAAACTTAATTTGACTGTCTGTCAGCATTATCCACTATTTGGTTTTATTTTTTTACAATTATGCCTGAATATCATGTTTTCAGGAATAATGTTGAACAGACTGGAAACATATTTCTGTCTTGCTGCCTTTAAAGACAATTAAAAAGGTTTCATCAATTTTATTTTGTATTTCAACAAAATTGTGATTTGAGCGATTTTACCGTTTAAGAAATTACAATTTTTGGTTCCAAAATATTGATTCATGTCAATAGATTATTTTAAAATAAAAAAATTGCTATGAGTCTCAATTCTAGAATATTAAACTCGTTAGTATAGCCATGATGGTATTCCCGTAGTGTGAGTACCAGGCCATAATTTTATTCTGATTTTCCTTATTTTAGTTCTATCAGAAGTTCGGGGACTGTCTGTGTTAACCAAGTGAATATACCCCCTGCCTATAGGTTTCCGTCGCTTTACACAACTTGATGTAAAGTGGGCAAACAAACCTAGTTACCTCCATATTGGTACACATACTTTGGATCGCCGACACATTTAAAACAATTGTTTTGCAGTCACATAGCAAGTAGGTCTCACCCTGTGTTGAAAAGATGTATCGACCAAATTTTTTTTATCAATTTTGCTGTAAACTAGAGTGAGATTTTATATTTTTTTGCCATTTTTTTTTTGTATTCTAGTAATGATACTTTTAGTACTGCTTGGTATTTGCTTTTTTGGAAATTATTTTGCAGTTAAAAATATGTGAAAAGTATTTTAATGGAAAGTGCTTGTATTTCTATCGGTTACATTGTATTAAGCATGGTATTGATTGATATTGTAGAAATTTTTAAGTATGTTAGTAAGAGCAAATGTTTGCTGGAATTGGTCCAAATTGTTTGTCTCAGTGAAAAGTTATTACACAATTCTTATCTAATCATTAAAAAAAAAAAATCAAATGTCCATATTTTGCTTAAATGTAATTCTTGTGGTTATTCAATTCTATTTTGATTATCTGGATGATCCTTTTGCCATTTTTCGTCCAAATCCCTCTCAATACCTTTGGTATTTTGCAATATTTTCACTTACCGAAAGGTTCTACTCCTATCAGACCCTTGATTTAAGCATGGTCAATGATATTTCCACTGACTCAAGGACCCGGAACCGTCTTTACTTTAATTTATCCAATGATATTTTCACTGACAAAGAGATCCTGATACCATTTTTCGTCCAACTTTCACTTGACTCTTGCTTATATAGGTTTCATTAACCTACTCAATAATATTTCACTGATGAAGAACCACCATTTTTTGTCCAACTTTCACTTATCAACCCTTTGCTTTTGTAGGTGCAATACCATGATAATGTTATCGATTTTTTTGCTTGTTTTTTCTTAGATGTAAACATGAGCTAATAAATTAATTTATTTCGATAACCGATTTACCTTTATCGGTGCGGATTAATATTTCCTAAAGATGACAACCCTGAGTGGGCCGTCCTTCATCTCATATACTGACAAAGCGGAGAGAGATGAGAAGGTATTGTATAAATAATTATAATCTTTCATTCACCTTCGAGTGACACTTGAACCCTTTTTCATGCGCTGTAGCCAACTTGATTTTGTGGTAAGTAGTAACAGTTGGAGAGGTTTCTTTACCATGTTTTTTGTGAGTTTGGTGGTTGTTAGTCTGTATGTATTTTGTCTGTATTCTGTCTATAAAACTGGTTGTTATACAATCTTGTTTCTAAGACTTTTCATGAATTGCATATAGAACATAGTGTATGACTTTACTGTCGGATGAATATGAAAAAATCCACCATACATTTTCACAGAAACTCGCTAAACAGGAAATTATGTTGTTAAAGATAACAAACATGACTATTAAATGTGAAGGCTGTTTAACATTTGGAGTATTAGCTTTGTAATGTTGATAGCAGATGTTAGATAATTCATACTTCTGGAGTGAGAGGACAATGAGCAGTTTTTAGTAACTTTTGAATTGATTTTACTTCTGAAAAATTCACATAATTCTATATTACACTATAAAGAGAGTTTCAAATTTTGCAACTTAAAAATGAAATTAGTAATTGCATTATTTATATGGAATTGAAAAAAAATTTAAATTATTCAAATGAACTTCCATCAAATCTTCTACTCCATTTTATTTACTTAATCATCGAATGCTCGTATCTGCATATCATACGGCGCCCCAGAAGTATGTGTACCAATATGGAGGTAACTAATTTTGTTCGCCTACTTTACATCAAGTTGTGTAAAGGGACTGAAACCTATGGGCAGGGGATATATTCACTTGGCTAACGCAGATAGTCCCCGAACTCTTAGTCTTAATAGAACTAAAATAGGGAAAATTGGAATAAAATTATGGCCTAACCTGGTACACACACTACGGAGTTCCTCCTCTCAATATCATGCAGTTGCTCAATGCTACATTACAGTATTTCACTATTACATTATCAAAGCTGTGATGCTAGCTTCTGAGCTTATATCATTTTGTTAATTAATCATTATGATCTTTTTTATATTGAAGTTCTCGATCACACAATTTGTCACATCACACTATTACATATAAAAATTGGATGACACAAAATATTCTTTGCTGTATTACATCATAATCGATGATATCTGGTTTAAAGTTTGTAATCGTTTATTAAAGTTTTTACATCTACACAAGTGTTAAATGAATATATCTGTATGAATCATGAGACGTCGTAACCGTCAATAATTTGATCATCAGCTTAGTGATGTTATTTAGGCGTTTTATTCTTAACCAATGAAGTATTAGTAAATGATGTGATTTGTGATGTCATAGTCTAATAAATTGGTTGAAGATGACTTCTGGTTCCAAGTTCTGTTGTGTTTTCTCAGGTTATAAGGGTGGGATAGGTGATGTATATCTGTGTGGAGCTCCCAGTCCAGTATGCTACTTATTGAATGAAAGCTTAAGATTGAAAATAGTGTTGTAAAATTATCCATATAGAATAGTTGACTTTTTCAGCTAAAAAAATTTTCGTAATGTGGTATGTTGTAAAAATAGACAATATAATCGCGATAAGTAATGTTTTCATGATTTTGTCAACTTTGAGCAGGCCGAATTCATTTAGAAATCTTAAAAATCCATAGGGAGAGAAAAATGGCAGCAACTGGCATTTTTGTTATGTTATTCATAGTAGGATTACATGTTGTTGCAGCGTCAAGTGTTATTTATAAATTATTTTCAACTGGAGAATGATTGTTCTGAAGGTAAATTAATAATAACAATATCTGCAGTTTTGAACCATGATTTTGTATATCAATAATGGGTAGGCCTACTCCTGAAGTATGTGAACCAAGATGACGGACACCGGAACGTAATATGTGTATCAGGTTAGGCCATAGTTTTATTCCAATTTTTCATTATTTCAGTTCTATTACGAGTTCGGAGACTAGCCAAGTGACTCACATAGTATTTGTACCTTAAATTATGGCAGGTGCACATACTACATTCCAGTGTCCGTCATCTTGGTTCACATACTTCGGAAGTGCCCAATATTGTATATATTAATAAATTAGGGCAGCCCATTCTAGCATCTTGTTTGTACCATGGTTTTATCGACATTTGCGATTCGATATACATTTTAAACAATTCTTAAAATATTTCGTTTTCTAATATAGCGGGATCAAAAACTTGCTCAAGCTATGACGCGGATGTATGAAAGACCAGAAAAAGAATTGGAAAAGAGATTATTGGAAGGAGAACTAGCTATTGGGCATGCTAAGAAGGTATTATTATGTTGATATGATTTTGAACAATTGGAATTGAGTAATTGAACAGTAAATTTGTTATGCAATTTCTCGATATAGTTTAAAAATAAATTTATGATAATAGTATTTTATTTTTTTTTGTAATTTTATTTAATCCAATTTTATTATGTGTCCATGGTATTGTTGCCATAATACTATTATATTTGCATCCTTCGATTGTTCAGATTACAAAAATAATAATTCTACGCGGAATTTGTTGTTTATGTACTTTGTCTCATAATTGCAGTTACCAGTACGTACTGTTGGCAGATTGTTTTCAATCATAACACACTATAATCTAAATCATCATTATCTTAAATCTGGTAACGCTTTTTCACTGAATCTCTCAATTTTCTGTCAAGTTTTATTTATTTATTAAGATTGTTTATTATGGATTTAAATTTAGGCCTATATGTTACGTTAAAAAAATTTTTTTTTATTTGAAGCTGTAATGTAGTTTCATGTTTTCTGATGCTGGCTAGTTTATCATTCTTGATTAGGCTCGTGTTCATATGATCGTTTTTAAGGTGAGAAACGTGTTTGAAAGTTTTATACTTCAAACTATATCCAGTGATTCCTTAACTCTTCAGAAGTCATGGGTTGTATGTCAGAGCCTCGCGAATCAATTGTGAATAATTTGGAGTGTGTCACAAAGTATTAATCCTTTTTTAAATCATCATGTCCATATTCAAAATATTATCAAATCTTTTACACTTACCGGTAACTTCGAGAGAGATATGTTATTCAGGACCACTTATGTGCACAAAACATATGATTTTTATTTCATAGAGTAAATGCTCCATTAGATTCGGAAATATGGGTCCACTGATGTATGCATTGTTAGTCTCAGTAAAATTTATCTATTCCTGTTGTACTGTAGAAAAAATATAATAAATTCAACTTCTTTTGTCAGGTTATCAGATACAATGTTCATGATGATCCAACTCGAGGTATATCAGGAACTCTCGTTTGTACTAATTTTCGACTCATTTTTATCACTGCGGAAAAAGCAACTTATGATTTGGTAAGTTAGCTATTATAATTTATCGGCGTCTGCAACCTCAAGTGTTTAATTAGCTTTCTAGAATTTCTAATTTTGTGTCAAATGGCATTTGCTAGCAGGGTTAGTTCAGTGGTTTTTATGTGCTTGAAAATTTTTCAAAACGAAATATTCTTCTGAATACTTTTCACGCAAATACTGTTGAAAAGTTTGTGGGGTTTTCTAAAAATGTGTAGACCAGGGGTGGGCAAGGTTTTTTGACCAGGGGCACAAAATTTTGCCCACCTAGACTGGCGGGCCATGTAAGTGACGTAAAAAAAATACATATACAACAATATTTACAGTGTTGCAAAAGTTGATTTTCCTTTAGCTATTTTGTGGCTGAAACATCAAAATTTGGTTTTAGTTTGGTTGTGGCAGCATCAGGCATACCAAATTGAATTACTAAACAGGACGGATTTGGCCTATAGGCTGTAGTTTGCCCATTTCTGTTGTAGAATATGAAATCATGATTAGGATTTTTGGACTTCCTGAAGTAGGCACACTAAAATGGCACACAACCTGAACTCAGGGTGTGTACCAGGTTAGGGTTCAGGGTATGCGACATCTTGGTGCGCATACTTCAGGAGTACCGGCTTTTTGTCTCAAATAGGGGCAGCTACGAAAGTTGTGAAGTGCCAATCAAATGCATACGAACATTTTTCATCCAATTCACCTTTATTTCAATATAATAATGGAATAAGGAAGCAATTATGTTTCATTATAAATCATTCAAATTTAATATTCAAAATAATAACTTAAAAACCACCAATAATCAGTTCCTTCATCATCGTTGCTATTATTGAAATTCACTGGATTCCAATTTCATATTACGGAGTGACTTTTCTTTTTGTTCCTTTATATATCGTATACCCTCTTAAATAATCTGAGTTTGAAACTCAAAAAAAGTTGCCAAACTAAGGGGTTATCCTATACGCGCATAATTCTGATCGCACTGAACATTTGGCTTATTAGCGTTAAGTTTAAGTCACGATAAGATTGTACACTTGAAGCTGTGCTTGGTACACTATGACAGCGATAACAGTTTGTGATAGGTTGTCGTACATGTGATCGCTTGCGTGTTTACACTATGGCGGATTTTGAGACACTTCTTACCGTTATTAATAAAAGTGTAACATATTAGTAATCATTTTCATTAATTCTCTTCTGAAAACATTTGCTGTGCGTATGGCGAGTTTCGCTTTGTAGAGCCGGCTTATATGCGAATTTTTATAAATTCACTGTTATAGAGCGAGTTCGGCTGTTATGTTTTCATTTCATACACAGATTGAATCCGAAAAGCTAAAATAAAATCCTTTACTGAGTGACCAATAAACCAATATCGTGTTTTCTTTCATACAGATTGAACTACATAATAGATTGGTGAATGAACATGATATTTTGTTGAACAATATTGACTCAATATATGTTGGTAAGTACTTTTGAAATATTAAACGCTATTAGAAACTTAGAAGATTAGATTTACATTTGCAGCTAGAAATCTGAACCCAAACTGAGTGTTTACATACATTAGAGGTCAAATAATCTGAATGTATTCTAACATGATATCTTCAATTCTGGAATTATAAATTTACAATAAAATTATTTGGAATCATTCCCCAAATTAGGAAGTCAAATTATCCAGTATGACCAATTTCAAATCAGTTCGAGTATTCGATTCATTGTGGACATCACTGGAACAAAATTTGAAATGTGTATCTCAAATCCATAATGGATTGAGAAAAGTTTTTCTTGTATGTGCTTCGGGAATAAAATTTTCTATTAATTTGAGGCTTTAATTAATAATAAACCAGTCTGCTAAATGAGTAAAAGCTCTATCTATCCCCTTAATAATTATTCAGAATATCCGAACAAGCGTAAAAAGTTAGTACCTGGATCTAAAATTAAAGATGGAATCCATCGACTTGAACTACATTGCAAAGATTTTCGAGTGGCCGCCTTCAATTTTAAACTCACTGTAAAAGGAGAAGAGAAAGGAGTAATTATGACTTATTTATTATGAAAACTTAGCATGCAATATATTGTGATGAAAATCTCAAATTTTACAAGTTTTTCTCGACATTGAGGGAATACTAAATTATCTGATAAAAGCTTTCCAAAATCAGTTTTTGTGAGTCATATTGTAAAAATAAATATAAAATTTTTATGTTTCACCGGGGGAGAGAGGAAAGGGTACTCCAGTAGTTGGGCCATAATTTCATCCCGATTTTCCTTATTTCCGTTGTATTACGAGTTCGGGGACTGTCTGTGTTAGCCAAGTGAATATACCCCCTGCCCATAGATTTCAGTCTCTTTACACAACTTGATGTAAAGTAGGTGAACAAAATTAGTTATCTCCGTATTGGTACTCACACTCCTGGAGCGCCGAGGAAAGACAATAAGTTGGATTAATCGTATAGTGATGAAATTGAGTCTAGTTTCTTGTCTTGCTGCACACAGATACAAATAGTGAAAAAATATAAACTTTAACATTGCTCTTTAGAAATCTTACAAATTTTTAAATTAGAATGGTGACGCTTTCTCCAATAATGTGTAAAAATAACTTATTTTTAGGTTATAAATTCTCTCCGCAAATAAAGACAACGATATTAAAAATTTTGTTTTATCTTTACTCTTGACAATACTTTCGATAATTATACGTAAAATTAATTCTTATTTTCAGGTAATCAAGTCTCTTCTCCATCACACTTATCCATCAACAGTCAATTTATTATTTGCATTTGATTATGTTCATGAAATAGATGTTGAAAATGGTAAGCATCCTAATTGTCGATATTAATATTATCAGCAATAGCATAGGGCAGTGGGTTAGTGCGTCACGGAGATTTGCTAAATCGCCTTTAAAATTAATAGAATTGTGTTAAACATAACTAAAATATGATCGAATATTCTACACATTGTATTTTTTATAAATGTTTTCTTTTTCTTATTTTGAATGCTGTGGATATGAAGCAATGAATTCATTTTACCTTTCTATGTCGTTTACTTTCTGTTATGTAGTCTCTGCCTCTATTGTTAGGTAACAATAGAGGTATAAACTACTTGGTCCAATTTTGCGAGCTGCAGTTTATTTATCTGGTGAATCGAGATTGGCGAACATGAGTAATTTTTTTAGTATTTTCAAGGAAAATCAGGCAGAGTTCACCTTTTGCCTGTATTCTTAGGCCTACATGTTTACAAACTTTAAAAAGCATAAAGTATATAATATCGATCACAAAATCAAGTTTTATTTCAATGTTTCTTATTTTAGCATGCAAAATACCACTGTATCGAACGCAATTAGATTGGGAAAATGAACTACGAAGATGTGCTGTTTCTAAAAAATTTTGGAGAGTTACAGTTGTGAATAGGAAGTTTACAGAGTTTCCAACGTAAGAAATAATTTATATTTGTCAAAATTCATGCAGTCAAGATTTTCAAATACCAAAGACAGTCTTTTTTTGATTGAACAAAAAAAATAGTTTTCTGGAACTTTTTAAAATGTGTGTTTTCTCTACACAAGGAGTAGGCAAGGTTTCCGGATCAAGGTCTAAAAATTTTGCCTATCTTGACTGGCGGACCATGTAAGTGTGACGTAAAAAGTTACATTTTATGAACAATATTTACAGTGTTAGAAAAGCAAAATTGGAAAACAATAAGCCTCGTGCCCAAACTCAATTTAATCGCAATCTCACCAAATTCCTTGAGCTATTTTACAGCTAAAACATCAAATTTTTGGTTTAGTTTGGTTGTGACAGCATCAGGCGGACCAGATAAAATTGCCCACCGGGCTGGATTTGCCCATGTTAGCTCTGCACACTTATCTTTTCTCTCACCTCAAATGCTATTAAAAAAACGTGTAAATTCCCAAATATTATTAGAAAATATCCTACATTATTTGATTCAGAATGGGTTCTTGCATCGTCGTTCCAGCTTTAATGAAAGACAATGAACTTACAACAGCAGCTGAGCAGTTTTCTGGAACAAGAATTCCGGTTCGTGTATTTTTATTTTACAATATGAATTTAAAATAGTAAATAATCCGGTTTCGACCAATGCTCTCTTTTATGGCAACCTAATATCCATCTTTTCGGAGAATTGCGAAATTTTTCTGTCTTTCTCTTGTTCCGTATTCTGATAAAATTCTTCTTTTTAGTGTTGGTGTTGGTCTGATAGCAACGGTTGTTCATTAGTTCGGGCGTCAACATTGCGACCAGAAGTTGAACAACAATATTTTGAAAATAAATTTCATGAAGCCATTGTGGACGCTGACCCAAACAAAAGGCCCATAAAGTAAGCAGTCTCAAGATGAATAGAGTGTTTGGGTTACTGAATTTAGGGTTAGGCCAAAATTTTATTCCAATTTTCCTTTTTTTGTTCTAATACGAGTTCGGGGACTAGCCAAGTGACACCCTTAGTATTTGTATCTAAAATTATGGCCTAACCCTAACCTGGTACACATACTACGTTCCGGTGTCTGCCATCTTGGTTCACATACTCCGGGAGTACCCTAAAATCTGTATCAAACTGAAGTATGATACTTGATTTAAAATGAATGTAAACAATGTAGGCTATTTTTAAACATGCTGTCTTGTCACGAACTGGGCCTATGGATTGTTTTTCTACTAAATTCTTGTCGTGCGGGGAAAAAAGTTGCTTTTCTCCGAAACTAAGTGACCGATTAAATTCTAATTTTGGTACTTCCGTAATGTGTACCAGGTTAGGGTTAGGGCATAATTTTATTCTGATTATTCTTATTTTAGTTCTATTGCGAGTTCGGGGACTGTCTGTGTTAGTCAAGTGAATATACTCCCTGTCCGTGGGTTCTATTTAAACAACTTGATGTAAATAAAGTGGGCGAACAAAAGTAGTTACCTCCATATTGGTACACATACTTCTGAAGTGCCCCTATTCGTTCCAGTCATCTTGATTACTCATTACTATATAGTCATAACCTTACATTGACGTTATCACGTATCACCTATTATTAATTATCACAGGGTCATTGACGTGTCAGAACATAAATGTCCTTCCTGTTTGCAGCTGCAACAATCCTTTCACAAGTTGAAGTCTATTTGTATGCCCGGTAAGTGTTATTTTGTTTATATGGATCAACAGAAAGCCCCACCAGAAATACTATTACTAGTGTAAGTACGTGTTAAATCATTGGGTTTCAGTTATTTTGGTCTTGCTATATTATCCATTTAATATCAGTATATTATTATGCATGTGGTACTCGAACTTTATTCATGGTGCGTCGCCCACTGCTCTTGTATAAAAATACTCTGTTTTGATTGTAACATGTTTCAATTAGTTTTTATGCGCCGTTTAAGCATAAAAAATACATAAAATGAATACATTACAGTTAAATAATTTAACAAAAGACAGACACTTCACTCAAAATTGACGTAGGGAACGAGTAAAGGCTTCGTTTTAACCCGCCCTTCTGTGGCCCTCGAGGGGTACCAGTTCGAGAAACCCTGCAGTAAATTCTCTTAAGCAGGGTTTCCCATACTTTTTGGGCTGCGGACCCCTGTTTGTGAATCTTATTTTCGATGGAACCCCATCCTATGCCGTAACAATTTCTTTGCCTAATCAACGAATAAGGATAATGTTTCATTTGACGAAAGAAAACTCATTAAAGACTGAATCAATACATACAACCGTTAAATACGAGCAGGCTAACGGCAATTCGATAAGATCATGATCTAATTGTATGTGTTTCAGACTCTTTTCATGTTGTTGTGAACCCCCCATGCAGTCATCACAGAACCCCCTGGGGTTCGCTGATCCCAGTTTTAGAAACCCTGCTTTAGAGTCCTAATAAAAACTGTTTTGCAGCCACGGAAAGTGAATTCTGGGAAACAGACACACATTGGCATGGCCAACTTCACGCAACTAAATGGCTTCAATATGTTGGTACTGTGTTGGAAACTGCAACAGAGGCAGCAAAATGTTTGAGGGAAAGAGAGTTGAATGTTGTTATCAAGGGTAAGGATGAAACTCTTTGGTTTACCACAATGTTAGTGTCTCCTCAAGAATATTGTGTGCCACTCATCCCACGCTTGTCTGAAAAAATAGGATACAATATCCCCACTATTCTCAAATTTTTTGTCATATTTTATTAATCTCATATTTTCACAACTAAAGATTTTAAAAACAAAACAAATGGAATATTCAAATATTGCTTGATTTTAGGAATATTTGAGATTTTAGAAAGAACTTTTTTTTTAGCAAATATGAATCAGGAAAAAAGTTATAAAAAATTGAGATTTTTTCTTTATTCAATTACTCTGATTATCAAATAATTTTCCTATTGTATGATAGAATAGTGGCAAATAATACTTCAAAAGACCCAATATTATCTTTTCGTCTCTCGTCAATTCTTGTTGGCAATCAGTTATGTCATTTGAGTCAAGTCATTTTATTAAAATGATTGAGTCACTTTTACCCACCCTTTAAAAAAGGCATATCGAGTCTCGAGACCCCACACGGCAGGTGTAAACAAGATTTATTTTGAATTCTATGAAAGCAAATCACTTCTGATTATTTCAAATTGAAGGAATAATAGAAGACTATCTGTTACAGAGCATGACGGCATTGACATTTCATCAGCCATAACCAGTTTAGTCCAGTTAATACTGGATCCAACCTGTCGAACATTGGAAGGGATTCAAGCACTCATACAAAGAGAATGGGTGGTTGCAGGACATCCTTTCCTTGATCGACTTGGACACTTGTTGCAACCAACAAAGCGAGGGAAACAAGTCACTTCAGTGTCTTCAGCAGGGGACACAACTCAACTTGTGAGTATAACCTGCGTCCTTAACACATTGTGTATTTGTCGTAATATAGTGTTGATGTTCAACTCTAGCTATTTCTCAGGTATGGTCATTTTTGAAAATTCAACTATTCTGAATACGTTCTGAAATATTATTACTTGATATATTCTGCATTGATTGACTGCTTAATAGGCAGCTCTTATATTTTTATTGAATGAAATCGTTACGGTTCAGCATTGCTTAATGCTTACCCAAGGGTAGGTGGGTCTTCAAACTAGACTGCTAGTATGTCTTCAATTATATCTAGAGTATCATATTATGTACACCAAGACCCAGCCAAGTGCGAAGTTGGAGTCATGCACTCAACTCGAGTGAGACTTGAGTGACACGACCGCCACTGGGACTTACGGTAACTCAGGGATTGACTCATAAACCCCAAAGGTATGCTGGCGTCAGGCACTCAACTTGAGTATGACTTTGAGTGACGCGACCGCCACTGAGAAACTCAGGAATTGACTAAAGAGTCCGAATGGGATGCTGGAGACATTTACTCTACTCGAGTTAGACTTCAATCACCATTTACGAAAGTGACACTGAGACTTAAGTCAGGGATTGCCTCATTAGCCCAATGCGAGTTTGACTTGATCCACCATTTACCAAAAACTGAATGACTGAGTGACTTGCTCAAAATTAAGGGTTGCAAGTCATTGGCGGGCCGCATATATTTTTAGAAAGTTGAAAGTCAAATGGATGATACTTTATATAATGAAAATCGAGCAGCTGGCCCCTAGTTTAGGACTTCAATCCAACACTAGTTGCATTAAACAAAAGTATAAAAATTATTGGAAAATTTTTATATGAACGACTTTCTACAAGACTTTATATTTGTTTTTTACAGGCACCCGTATTCCTCCTGTTTCTTGATTGTGTTTATCAACTTATGGTCCAATATCCAGCAAGATTTGAACCCAGTGTAACGTTTTTAACTGTTCTTTACGATGCGACACGCACGACCGCTTTCGATACCTTTATGTTTAATAATGAGAGACAAAGACATAAGAGTGTGATGGCGGCCGAGGTTTGAATTTTTGCCTAATTTTCGTTGTTTATCATAAAAAAATATTTTCAGAAGTTGGGAGAAATGATCAATCAATATGCAAGCCCTTGATGTATCAAAAGTTGAATACAAAAAATTATTTTTCTGCTTTTTCCAACTTCTTGCCTAGCAGAGAGGACTTTTTTTTGGTTTATCGAAATTGAATGTAAATCATGATCTTGCTACAAAACTTCAACAATTTTTGAAAAAAATACCAATTATTTTTAAGACATAAATTTTGAAATATATCTTCTAATTTTGAATTACACAATCTTTTTAGTATATTTAAAATAGAAACCAATTGCAGAAAAGGATTCAAAATACTTAACAAATGAAACTTCTTGTCTTCGCCTCACTTTTAATTCTATATTTAGCATCCTTCATTTGCAATCAAAGCTGCCACTGAAACAATGTCAAGACGATTTTTGCCTGTTTGGGTATGGAAATCACAGTTCAACAAATCTGACATGACTTTATTCAACAATCCTTTGTACAAGTAAGTTGGACTCGTGTTAGGCGTGCTCGAGTCATTTAATCGAATTTTGAAATTGGGCAAGACATTTTAAATGCTTGTATTGGTCATGAATTGAATCTTTTGTGCAACAAAAAAAATCACTTTCCCATGAAAAAGTCTTTTTTTTTGTTGAGAGGCGAGACTCTTTCAAAAGACGTTACACTGAAATTTCTGATTCCAGTTTCGAACTTTTTGAAAATCCTGACTGCACGTCTGACCATTTCCCAAAGCAAAGTTAGAGGTGTGTGTCCTACTCTAACTTAGATAACTAACTGCCAGATATTTACAACCTTTTACAATTCTTCGTTTCAAGGATGCGAACCATGGAAAACTACAGGAAATATGTTGAGGAAAGTTCAGATAATTCTGGTAGAAAAGAAAGGATTATTACAAACGATGTTTATATCACTGATGACCTTCAAAAGTAAATAATATAATTTTGTAATGAATGTATAGTATAACTACATTGCGCGAGACTAACTGCCATGGCCAATTGTCTGGTTACCAGTTTAGGTAGGGTATGGGATTACATGTTTCAGATGCATGGATTGGAACCTACACAGGGTAATCCTAGATGCAGTGACAAGCTTTTACCTAATGCTCATAACGATGCATCATACAACTGAGCTCTAACTTTTGTTTTCTGGGTTTTACAAAGCTATGAAAAAATTAAAAAGAATAAAGTTCAAACTGTTTCATTGTTTGTTTATAGGATGGATGGTGACAATATAAATGGTGACATACCCGATGGTTCCTCTTTGCATTCTCGATCTCCGAAAAGTCCGACGCACGGAAAAAAGAAAACAAGCGTCAAAGACAAAAAACTAGAAGAGCATCGTCGTAAAATTGAACAAGACAATCCTCTCCCTTTAAACAAAATCAAAAATAAGAGTGGGAGCTTAGAAGAGAAAAACAAAAGTACAAGAAGAGAAAGTAGTGAGAGTACAGAAGAGAATAAAAACCCTCAATTGAGAAAAGTACCACCCCCAGCAGGCCATTTTCCGAAAGTAGCGCTTATGCCGGGGCAAAAAGTCACTTGGACCGCATCTCCGCAAGACTCTGAGAAAGACCGACGACCGTCAAGATCAAAAAGCGACAGCGAGTGTAAGGATGATGATCAAGTCGGGGAATTGAATGAAAAAGTAAACGGTGACGATCATTTGGAACGATTGGACGATGATTCAATGTTAAAACCTGTCGATCCAAATTCTCCGAAACTCAAATCAAGGTTTGTTCATTTATTTCAATTCAAATTCTTTTACATATTTGTTTTTGTGTTGTTGTTTCCTAACATGATCAAGTCCATATAAATTTCATTTCAAGAATGGAAATTTTTCTTATTCATAAGTTTTTTCAATTTAATGTCCAGTTCTCTAAAATGCACCTTTTTTCCTGATAAGCCACTTATAGTTATTCTTGATTTGCTTCAAGCCTTCCTCAGTTCGTAGTCAGTTAAAGAGTTGTCATGTGCATATACAGCCAAATCATATACAGATAGTGCCAGCATATATAGGCAAGGTCATATGCGTATACAGCCAATTTCATATGCATTTACAGCCAATGCCAGATGCACATACAGCCAACTCATATGCATATAGAGCCAACAACATATACATATACAGCCAATGTCATATAGTGTTGATTTTATTTCTTGCTCATTATTAGTATTAACTTATTATTATATATTATAGTATTATATATTATATAGTATTAGTTATTATTAGTATTAACTGACAAGCCAATCTAGCTCAAATTAACTGATTCCGATGTCTTTGTCTGCAACAGGTTTTCATTGCGTCGTAAAAAAACTAAGGAGAATGTTTTAGAACAACCTGAATCAACAGATGATTTTATTAACGTCGCAACATATAATATCAAATTCAAAGATCTTTCTATGCAAAAACGTGTGACTGATACTGCAGGTGCGTAATATTGTGGTGTCACAAAGATATTTTTACTCCATAAAAAGAATCCCGAATACTATATTTTGATTCAATAACTGGGATTTGATGTCTCACCTGCCGCCATAGTCATATTTTTAACTAGGAAATTTCTTTGAATAGCACAAATTTGGGTACACCCGTAGTATGTGTACCAGGTTGGGGTAAGCCAAAATTTTATTCTGATTTTCCTTATTTTAGTTCTATTACAAGTTCGGGGACTGTTTGTGCCAAGTGAATATACCCTATACCAGGGGTCGGCAACCTACGGCCCGCGGGCGGCATCCGGCCCGCGGATAAATTATATTATAACGTAACAAGTATATAATTCACAATTACTCGTTTAATGAGCCTATAATTTAATTATAATTTAGAAAAATGACAACAAAACGCAGAAAAGTTGATGCTAAGTGCAAATGGTTTAATGGCACAAAAAATTTTCAAATGTTCAGTTATTGCGCGTTGCTTAAAATTTAACTTCTGATCTGTGTGATAAAATGTGATTCATCTGTCATCCATTCGATTTTTAATATTCTAAAAATATGTGCGGCCCGCCAATGACTTGCAACCTTTTATTTGGCCCGCGAGCGACAAAAGGTTGACGACCCCTGCCCTATACTATAAGATAGGCTTTCGTCCCTTTACACAGTTTGATGTAAAATAGGCAAACAAAATTTGTACCTCCATATTGGTACTCGCACTTCTGGAGCGCCAAATTTGTGACGTCTATACCGGTAAGTGTAGAAATGTAAAATGAACTAAATTGAAAACAGTCTTTCATTGGTATTTCGATGACTTCACTCTGAGTGGACCGGGATCATTTCGGATTTGATATTGCTCACCCAATTTATTCGTTTAACATTCCTTACCCAATATTTATACCCTGGGTGAAGTGCCACCATCTTTAGTCTACTTTTTTTCTCATTCTTTTGTAATCAGGATAAGAGGCCTGCAGTTGCAGTTAATTTTTTTAGCCCATGGTAAGGCTTCAGTCTTTTTTCATCAGGAGAAACTTTTCTTCGACTCTGCAGTCTTGTGACGATAAATAAACTAAAATCATTGTCTTTGCAGAACATGTTCATCCTCTCTATCCATGTACAGCAATTCGGAAATTACAGTTCTGGCGACAGTGTTATTTCCGATGGCTTCCATGGTCTCAAATATATGGCGGAGGTCCTGCAGCAATGCTACAACAGGAATCTATATTGTATGATGAAATACACATCTTACATAATAAGGTGCAGGTTCTTATATCGACTTTTTTATACGATAATTCAACATCATCACTGTCATAAAAGCTCTTTATGCCTCTACTAGAAATCTTTCTGTTTTTGCATTGCATAATTCATTATGCTAAGGGTAAAGTGCAATGCAGGGGTTTCTGATAATGATGCTTCTATAAGAAACTTTAAACATAATTCATGGGATAAACAAATTATAGATGTTGTTATGAGGATGAATAAATTAAAAGTCAAGTAAGAGTGAAATGTTTGTTTTATTGCCAACCACATGAAGACCAGACGAGCACATTGGCTGGAAAAGGACACTCAGACATTGCTGACTCAATATTACCACAAGACTATATACGTAATGTTAGCTTTTACTTAAATAAAAACACATCGAGAAAACATGTGCAATAACCCAAACTCTACAACTTGCAATTCCCCTGCATTGTGTCATATTTCACAGAATTTGAATCTGCAAACTCACACCTACAATTAATCAGCAAATATTTTGCAGACAGAATATCTCAAGTAGTTCGTATATCAGGGAGAGTTGTTATTCAAATTTCAATAAAAAGTTACTTAATTTTACCTTTTTTTTCTACAGCTTCAAATGTTGAAGCGGAAACTTTATAATGACTCCCTTCATCTAAGTAGCGGAGAGGAGGACTCGTTTAATGTAAGCGGAATGTATTTCAACCACTCGGTGTCGCAAGAGAATATTTCTGTGTTCGATTCGTCAAAATCGTCGAGTCAAAACAGTCTGAATGTGTTGTCGAGTTATTTTCCTTACTCCCCAATAAAAGGTCTTCGTAGCAAGTCTGTTTTAGGTAAGGAAGATTAATGATTTTTACTGATTCTGGAATATATGTCCAACTTTGGAAATTATTACTTATATCATAATAAAGTGATTTTCAAACTTTTTGTGCCGCGCCCACTTTTTAGAATTTGTCAAGTCTCGGGCCCCACCTCAAAAATAACTAGCTAACAATAAGCTATAAATAACAAATAGTAAAGTGAAAGTATGTTTTATTCAAAAAACATGTTGAAAGTATGTGGATGGAACATAAATATGGAAAATAAAAAAAATGTTAATATCCAAAATAAGATGAGCGAAATCAAATCTAAAAAATAGTTTTATTTTTAATTAGCTTCACGGCCCCTTGAAAAATTGAAGGGGGCACGCCGCACCGTTTGAGAACCACTGTCATAATGGATAGGCATGTCTCTCCAACCTTTATTTCGTCACACTGATCCTAAAAACAGTTCATCGACAAAAAAATATATTTTAGGTACTCCAATAACCAACTTCCTCCAGGGCGGATCGCTATTCAGTTTCGGACGGATTCGATCAAAACATTCTCGCTCACCTTCAAATATATCAATCACTCACTCAACGGACGATCTGCTCTCGAGTACGGACAACACGAGCGACATGGTGTCTCCTGTATCGAAAAGTTTGGAAGATTTGACCCTTGAACCTGAAATTGTTTTAGACTCTCCTTCAACTCCCTCTAGTGGTACTAAAGACGACCATCGTTATCGTACTCAGAGTGATACTCCTGGTAGGGTGAGATCAAAGTTGCTAGATTCTTCCGTGACAAAACCGAAAAAACTCACTCCCCCCAGCACCCCTACAGTACCAGAAAATATTACGTACATAACCTCATTGTAGCTGATTATAACTAAATTGCGCAATAACGCAAATATGTAAATTGTCTCCTAATTTTCAAATCGAGTGCATTATTAATTCAAGTATTTGATTAATATGTTTTGCCAATATCTTGAAGGTAGCTCGGTAGTCAATAATGGTGCAAGCTTTCTCATCTCCAAATTTGGTCATTTTAAATATAAGGTGGCTATGAATTAGGGATGTCTATGATCTCAGAAATAAGTTTGACTAAATTTGATTTCTATATTTTAAAGAATCGTGTTTTATTCGAAGATCGGAACAATTGAATCCAAAATTTTGGAAACTTTCTGCGACGCCATTTGCTCTAGAATAGTGGTTCTAAAACTTTTTAAGCCGCGCCGCTGCTTTTCCAGAAGCTGCTTTTCCGGAATAACAGACTAGTTAATACAACTTTGTGTTGTTTTCTATATGTAGCATGCAATATTGCTACCGTTAAAAGTAAGTATTATCAAATAATGAAGGATTTGCACATGGATTCATGGATAAAACGGTATAAATTTTGATTAAATTCTATTTAATTCGAAGTTTTGATTTCGGATTCCACTAAATTATTCTTGATTCTGAATTCTGTAAAGTTTTTGTTTTCCAACAAAATCCTTGTAAATCGTAACTTGTAATTTCACTGCAAAAAATATCAAATTTACATCTTATTTATCTCAATTTGTGGAATGACCGTATGTCAGAACTAAGCACCCGTACTCAAAATGACATGTTTTTATAACAAAACCTTGAAAAGTTTTTTTTGGTGAAATCCGGACGTTTTTATATATTGCCAAAAATGTCACAAAATTATATTCTTGATCTCAAGCTGAGTAAGTGCTCTCCTCATGCCGTAGCGTGAGTGCTCTGAACATTTTTCAAATTTTATCTCCAGTAGTATTTAGAATTCTTAATATAAGTGCCTTGTTAGTATTTTTATCCTAACCCACTTTGTGCTAATAATTTTTTTTTGTTGATATTTTTTATTTGAAAATATTGGTTGAATCATGACAATTTTGAATCTATAAATATGATCAATGATCAAAAACCTTCAAAAAGTGCATTTTTTAAAAAAGATTCATTTTTAGATGTTCCCTTCATTTCTTTTCTGTTTTTAGTTTTTCTTATTTTGACTTTATTTTTGGTACATGGTGCATTCTTCATGCTTTTCATTCAACTACTAACTGAATAATCTAGAAATACTGCTATACTGGGCATTTCTGCCTTTAATTGGTGATTACCATTAGTGAAACTACAAAGCCTGTTAAATATGTGAAGCCATTTTTGAAATTCAAGTTTCATAAAATTCATTTTTTATTCTTTGTCATTTCAAAAATGGCTGATTCAGTAATAAAAAATACTTTTTATGTTTTGAGCGCCCTTATCTCCGAAGAAGGCTTTGTTCAAGAGCCACTGCTACGTATGGGCGCTTCTATAGCTGCGAACGATAGGATTCCGGGCTGGCATTGCCTACACCCCGGGTGAGATGTGGACCTACGGAATTCTTCCAGTGTGGCTTTGCCAACTTAATTTACTATTTGCTGGGTGATAAGAAGGAACGTAACCTTTTCTGTTTGACATTGCCTACGCCGGGGCTACTCAACTATTTTTATCGAAGGTCCGCAAACAAAACTTCAAAATTATTTGGGTCCGGTCTTTCCAGAAATGATATTTCGGCATCCTTAAACGAGCACTTCCTCGACCGACTAATGATTAGTAGCAAATTAAAATTGTTTATTATGGTGTTATAGTTCTTTTCGTATATATTCAAAACTATGAAAGTCATTTTATAATAGAAAATTCAAAAAGTGGGGCTAATGATCCAAAATAAATAATTAGGTGCGGTCCAAATCCAATACTCGAAAGGTCCGGATTCGGACCGCGGTCCGCCAGTTGAGTAGCCCTGGCCTACGTAATTTATTACCCAAGGGTGATGTGGCGTATATGGGATTCGAACCAAAGACAGGCCTACTGATGGATATAGTAGACTAGGGGTGTGCAACCTGCAGTCAGCGGGCCAAATGCGGCCCTCAGGGAAAATTTGTGCGGCCTGTGAAACGAGTTTTCAATTAAGTATTTCCATCCCTTTGCGTTGCGAAGCCTATACAGTAGTATGCCTATGACGTTACAATGCCCTAGCAGCTAACTTGTGCGAAGCGAACAACCCATGTCCTAAGATTAAAAACCAGCCCGGCCCGCATTTACATTCAGTCAGTCATTTCCATCTGGCCCTCCTGTATCAAAGATTGCACACCCCTGTTCTAGACCAAGCCTCGCCGATGTAATGAATAATGTAAATATCAGGAATGATTATTTTTTTGGAAAAAAATTTGCGTATGTAATTTGTTTTGCGCCTGCAAGAGTTCTTTTCTGCCAAATTTAAAATTTAGATAAATTAATGTTAATCATGTATATTTTAATTAACATTGATTCTATTGTTAGATCACGATTGATCAATAGTTTTTATTGATCTAATATTAATCAGCAGTCTCTAGCAGTACACATCCACATAAGCAATGAAAAATCGGACAGTTGTAAGCACTTTGACTCAATTTGAAATATTCCATTATGATCAAGATGTTTTATTGGCTCTACTGTTCTTGAATGAAATGATAGGAAATCTATCAAGAAATAGGCTGGTGGTCAACTTTCATCATCTGTGCCACCAAACAAAGACTCTGCTCTTCCATGGCTCGCCCCTCCCCGCCCACCCCCCCAAAGTGTTGGGATTCAATTTTTTTATCAGTCGGTTCCATCACAAAAGTCATATTTGTCAGCCAGTTCTGTTACAAAAAGTCGTGTTTTTTATAGCAATGCTAACCGGTTTGCTGATCTCATAAAATCTTGTGAGACGGTTCTATAGAACCGGTGCGAACCGGCTGAATCCCACCACTGGGCCTCTCACTCTTCCATAACAATGTAGTTACGTTTTTAACAGGTTTCCCTCAATTATTTTGAAAGTCACATTTAACAATAAAAAAGGCAACAAACGAAAAGGAAACAATAAATTCATAACAGTCAAAGAAATAGACAAAGACAATTTATTTTAAATTAATATACCGGTAGTCATCACGAAATGGCACCTAGTGAAGGCTTTTGTTTGTGGCACTCGAAGAAATATGTCATGGCCCACTAGGAGGCCGAGGGCCCAGTTTGAGACACTCTCGAATAGATCGATGCACATATCGAACAGTGAGCTTTATCATCAAGCAAACATATCTGATCTCGATTACTTTTTGTTTAAAAAATATGTGTAAGCATTATAAAAATGAAGCTTTATATGTGTTTTATCGCCTGAAGCATCATTTTTACCACTCATTAACGCAGAAAAAAATTATATGTTTTTGTTCGGGGGAGGGGCTTAGCTCATCAATGCATGTATTAATAAAGGCTTTTTTTGCTTTTAAACATAAAAAAAATTTGACAATCAAGTTGCAATTTATCCTGACACCATGATGCCTGCTTTTGATTATTGCACTCACTGTAAAAAAAATGAATCAAATTTAATGGTAATTTTGTGGTATTTGATTCAACGGCACATTGAGATTTTTAGGCTTAATAGATTGTTGATAAAATATGCCTTCAAGGTGCAGATCAAATTGGCCCCTATTTGAAACCATATCAGTCAAATGCTTGGCAATAAGTAAATTGGACCCTATTTCCTATAGGTATATTATGTTTATCCTACCAGTGGGTGATTTTTTCGGGAACAATTCAAATTTCTGAATGTCTTTTCTTCATATATTTCTCCCAATTGTCAGATGAATTTCAACTTCTAAAAATTCCTATTTTCCTTGTAAGTACAATTCTGAAAGTGGGTCCTAGGGGGAACAAAATGTTGCCCCTTTCCCTAGTGGGCACTGGCCCTGATCATTTCTAAGAATTTGTCTTCTATTTCATTTTTGCTTCACCTCAAAGACTTTGTTATTATTCTCATAATATGGTTGCACCAATCCCAAAAGTTTCACGTTTCATGATGTCATTATTTTATGACGTAGTAGTAGAGCTGCTAGTAAACGGTGGCATTGTTATTTTGATTTCCCGTTTTTATGATATCTTACGTCTACGACGTAATTTTTATGATTTTATTGTACAATTAAATTAGTTCTATCAGTATCCTACTTCGTTGACGTCATTTATTGATGACGTCACGTTCTGAGCTGGTTATGATGTTATTGCATGTTTGTTAAATTGACGCTGCCGCGAGTTTTGATTCAAAGCAATATAATGTTTTCAATGAGTTCGTTATAAAATGCAATTTTTGTGGCTCGTTTTTCTATCCATCGATTTGTAGGATTTTAACGCTCGTCTTTGGCAGAGAAATGCAGCTAGGTCAATATACAAACAGTCTTGATCAAGCTGCTCTCACCAGTGCTTTTCTTAAAAAACTTCCAACTTTTTCAGTCTTATGAGAATTTTTTCGTACATGGGTATTTCGATCATGAGTAGAGTACAAACTGACATCGCACCGAAGTCTAGGCCGACCATCTAAATTCCAGGAGACGTTGAAAACAAACATGATTATTATGGTGCATTACAGACCACTAAATATCGATCGGTGGAGAAAAAATCTCGTAAAAAAAATACGAAAACTTGTGCTTGAATACTTAGTAGTGTAATCATATTCAGATGTTTCTTGAAGTTTGTTGTCTGACAGAAATTTTCCCTGACGTCATCAAAAATATTCTCAAACTCTGAAGTCGTGAGGATAAGTTTGAAAGGTGTGTGCATTTTGCTCTGTAATGAAGGTAAAATGGCTCAATCATGGAGACGGACTCGTTACCAGATTTGGTATTGAAATTTAGTCAATAACTTAATAATGCAAGTTCCCCAACTAATTATTATCCAGTCTTGTCTTCTTGGAATGAACCAAAATTTCAATGGCAGTCGTTCCAATGCCTTGAATTAGAGCAAAAATTCTATTCATATTCTTCTGTTGACGGTTACTGGTATGTTATATTTGTGGTTTGTTGCCTTTATGGTCCATTTGTTAATTAAGCGTCTCGCCATCGCCGAAACCTGTTATTATACCCAAAAACCGTTGCCAAAAACGAGGGTGTATCGCAGCAATCGGAAACCGCGTCACCCTCGATTTGCACCGTTGCAAAACGCCTGTCGTGTTTTTGTTGAAAAGACATGCGATTTTCTGGATCTCTGACTGAATGGTATTTGGCATGACAAGTGGTCGCTATCTATATATTCGTATACCTAGCAGCTTATTACACCGTTTGTGTCGCTATCGCCACACGCATTACATTTTCGCTATCTTAATCGGCGCCTATAAGATCCAATAAGACTAGACATGGCGATGAAGAATATAATTTTTGTAGTTGCTACATTTGTGTTGTTCGCTGGTGATGTCATAAGTAAGAGATATCCTCCAATGCCCATTGAAGATTGCCCAGAAAGATGCTACTGCAGAGATGTGGATTGTTTGAAAGGTAAGCGAAAGTATGATTTTGGTAAATATATGAAATTGAAATATATGGAAGTCCACTCATGTCCAGAGCAAATTAATGTGTAGCCAGATGAGTGAGTTCGGTTTAACCGTTGTAGGCGGTGGCGGTCTGCAACAACAACAGCAAGAAATAAGTCATTTTTTAATACATTTTTGCTATAAGCTCGATATTTGTTGGACGGTCGTATCTATTTACTTTAGGGCAATTGCACATCTTGTCTTCAGTAAAATGAGACTCGTAATGAAATATTGACTTTTTCAGAGAAAGGAGAATTGTTCTGTCGTGAAGTTGATTTCATCTGCTTCAATGCTAACGTTGCTGATCGACTTGATGTTCTTCCCGTTAATACCACAAGGCAAGTTTATTTTGAGAGAAATGTGTGAATGGCGGATATAAAGGTTTCGACCATGTATAAAGTAAACTTATATCAGCCCTCGTCATTATGATAACGATTTTGCAAATAGCACACAAGCGCGCGAGACTTGTACTTGCAGACTGTTGCAGTAATGTTAATCCATTCTGTAGGTCCGATCTTATCGCATGATTTTTAATTGAATTTTAGGCATATATATATATTATGATGAAACACTTCAATGAGAATAGTAGAGAGTATTTTAAACATTGTAGTGTAGTCAATATGTATTTAATGTAACAATATTTCAAGTCTATTCATGCATCTGGAACAAGTGAAGGTAACTAATATTATACTCAATTTGTACTGGTGAGTGGTACCCAACGGGAGGTCGTGGAATTAAGCTTTCTTATCGTTTTTCCTGGTATAAACTTCTGTACAAGGTCAGTGTATTGTTTCGTCTGTGGGCCTAATACAAAATAATATTCGAGGTTCGACTAGATGAGGACCACGTCAAACATTAATTTCCTACGCGGAAAAAATCGTGCTCGTTTCTGTTGCCAGATTCATTGAAAAGCATAGAGCTTAAACCGAGCCGTTGTACTATTTTTTACAGATTATCTATCATTGGAGAAAACATGGGACACATAACCTTGGACATGTTTTCACGTTTCTTTGAGCTGAAAAAATTGAACCTGTCGCAGAATTCAATCAGAAGTCTGAAGATAACTAAAGCTATGAGGTAAATGTATTATAATAACAACTGGGCCGATTCATTCGGATTTGTACGCCTGTTTTTTGCTCATTTTGCCGGGTGTATAATTAGATTAATTCATAAAAGAAGAAACTTGTCCTGCGAACTACTTTTTAGTTTTGTGGAAGACGGCTACAAATTTTAATCTATCACATAACCGGACAAATCTATGGTTTAAATGTTCATTTCTAATTCTAACAATAGAGCAATGCGTGAATACATCAATGAGAAGGCCGCGCATCTATACCGGTAGCTGCGGCCTCAGAGAACCGAGTTTGCAATCGACGACAAACATAAGGAAGGTGGCCAAGCGTGAAAGAATAGAAAAGCGTTCGAACGAATTAAAATAAAACAGCAAAGGCAATTTGACTAACTTCGCTCGGATAACATTTATAAAATGGTTTACTGTTTTAAATGCAATTGCAACTTTTCTATTTTTTTTTCAGATTTCTCGACTTCCTTAACCTCGACAATAACCGACTTTGTTACTTTCCTCTGGAGGAGATGGTTAAGCTTCTACCGGCATTGAAGATCTTGAAGGCTCGACATAATAATTTGACATTTTTGCACGGTATGTTCATAGTTGTTAAGTTATAAACTCTCCTTTACTAGTTCAGTTGGCGAAATCATGTTTTTATAAGAAGATGAACACCTTCACCCCAATCCCAATATATTGACGTTTTTGACTAGTGACATAATACAAACTGAATAAAGCAAATGTTATAATTATGATTTGGGATTTTTAGGACAAAATTTTCAGTTTTAAAATAGATACGTAGTGCAGTAATGCACGGGTGTGCAACCTTTTATTCGAAATTATGACAATTATAATAATTATTCGCACATACCGAATTAAATTAAAAACTTGTTTCGCGGGCAGCACATAATTCAAATTGGCACTTCTCCACGGGCCGCACAGTTTTCCCGCAGGTTGCACACCCATGCAGTTAGAGTTGCCGATACTTGACATATCCTATTGGGGTATTTACGGACCAAAAAGATTCCATTTCTTATCACAGTAAAGTAGCTTCAAAGGCATCAGTTGGCCGTCATTTTAAAACCTGTGTGGCATTTATTAGACAATACGAAGTACAAGCGTGACCAAAGCTCTGATATTCTGATTTTTTTCCCGATTTCAGATATTCAGTTCCCACCGCGCCTTGTGAGACTTGATTTGAGTAACAACCATATTGAGTCACCGGTGAAAGGAAGTTTCAGAAGATTGAAAAAACTTGAGTTCCTAAACCTCGCAAATAATTCAATTCGAGAAATTCATCCCGTTGCTTTCAGACATCTAAAAAAACTACAAGTGAGTGTAAAGTATTACTAATTTACATAGTACAATTTGTATGTACTTTGCTGTTATATATACTGTTTTATAGGCCGTCAAATTTGACGAGGTTAATGTAATTTCTTTGTAACCGAAACTCTTAAAGTGTTATTCGAGATAATAGGATATGATTTTCCTATACCGTGGTGAGAGGAAAACGGATATAGTTTATGGTCGTCCATATGATCCATAATTATCCACGGCATCTACACTGGTTACCAGTTATTTGTTTCAGATGTATGGACTTAGTGGTGGAGGAAGCCGTTACCGTTCAGCGGTTACGCGAACCACTCATGTGCAAACCAAAACCACATTTGTATTTAATTTACCACAATTCCCGTTATTACGATTTGTTTGTTTCCCAAACGAAATGGTAGCAGTAACCTTGTAATAATTTTAATAAATTATTCTTAATATGGGGACATTAAATCAAAGAAAACCCGTGTGGGCTACATATTGTTCAAAGTGATAGAAGAGCATAAGAAACGAGCCCGATATAATCTGCGTAGTTATTCCTATATATTTTCGCTGACTATGTAGACTTAATTTAGGATCCTCTTCCTAGCAAATTCGATTTATTACTATGTTACAGATTTTAGACTTGGACCGCAACCAAATCACCCAACTTCTGCCGGGATCGTTCGCTCACCTTCCCAGCATCTCTTTCCTTAGTTTACGTCACAATAGGATAGAGTTCATTGGGCAAAAGGCTTTCAGACAGATTGGCGTGAGGTGGCATGGTCAACATCAGATTAGACTGGAGCACAACCGCATTAAGATATTACGAAAAGAATCGATAGACGTTTTGTTCAGTAGGCGGTAAGTTTTATATAGAATGATTAAATAAGAAGATCACTATTTAATTCTTAAGCTTTTTAAAATAAAACAGTTTTAAAAATCTCAAGAAGTGTAGACTGTAGAATGTGCTTTTTATGTTTCAAGGTTTATAACATTAATGATAGTATGTATATAAGCAACAAACGCAAAACTCTCCGAATTAATGTCCCAATAATAATACTTTTCACGGTGTTGAAAATTACGAAAACTTTTCGCTCCACGATATAATCGCGATCTAATGTTTGTATCAGTGTTGGTAAGGGGGGGGCGCTCGAGGTTCAACTCACTGACTCAACACGAGTTGGACCAGAGTCTCCATTTATCACAAGTGACTCCAATAATCTAAATAAAGTGACTCGAAATTATAAAAACTCAACTCATAGTTTAACTTCCCTCGAGACACGGATGAGCCGTTACTAGATTTGACAGGTGACTCCATTATATTATCCAATTGAAGAATCCAGCTGCACACTAACACAAATGTAGTTCTGTAACGTTTCGTCCGACCAACGTCACACTTCCTCAGACGAGCAGTTTACAACAATGACAATAAATGAACAATCAAGCAGTGGATGATGAGTTAGTCTCGGAAATCCAATTCAAAGTTAGGACTGGATTATAGCTACAAATTTTATAGATCGTATAAATGCTGAACCCATTTCTGGTTTAAATATTCCTATTTCTGTATTCCCAATTTAAATTTCCTAATTCTCATCGGTACTGGCAATACCGCAACTGGGCAAGGATTTAGGAACTTCTATCGTTATGCATTGTTCTCATTTTCTTCTGCATTCATTCCAGTGACATTTATTCCCTTTACTTGGCCGGGAATCCCATATTCTGTGACTGTGGAATGATGCTGATTCGAGACACGGCTGGTGACATGCTTCGAGACGCAGACACAACACTTTGCCATTCACCGTCCGATTTGAAGGGATTTTACGTTGGCGATCTCGATTTTCCGGGATGCGTCGAAGAGGAGGAAGATAATTACGAGGATGATTACTACGACGACTATTATTAAATCTACTTGATTGGGAGGCGAAGTGGTTAAGGTAGCGACTATTGAGCGAATTTCAATTTTGCTTCTTATCTTGAACTGTGTTGGTAACAGAGAGATACAATTACTTCCTATGGGGGTGTTCAGAAAAACTTTTTTTTTTTCATTTTTTTAGATCCTATTGGTAAATTGTTGTTACTGGTGGTGTTAAAATTTCTTTTTTCCACAACAATCGAACTGATCACTTTCACATTTTCAGTAGCTGGAGATAGGGTTATCTACTTATCTCTATGACATACTATGTGTAACATACCGGTACGTTAAATGTGCTGAAATGAATATGTTTTATTGTCAAGTCCATGCATCTGAAATTAAAAAAATACTGGCTTTATGGATTGGTAACCGGACGAGAGGCCGTTGTTCGCAATATGATGATGTCGTCTTCTCGGGTTTTGTTTTTAGGATAAATATAATATGTAAATCCTAACATTTCTAACAAAGCACCAACAAATCTTCCTTGTGTAATTTCGCTTGTAGCAAAATTTATCCTTTTTGGTATTTTATTAACTTTCAAAAATATACTAAACTAACAAATTCCGCATGTTCTTTTACAATGTTTCTTCATAAAACTTGAAAAAATAGAACTTGAACAATGTTTAATATTCTTTCTGCAAGTGGATTGGAACGTTGGTTCGTCTTGACATTGACTCGGTCCTAGATTGAATAAATATTGTGTCAAAATAAGGCAGAGAAAGGCTGACAATACAAAAGGTTCTGTAAGCGTATGATAGATATGAATAGAAAGAAATAATGAGTTGGTAATCTAAACTAAAGCGCAGTACTATAAGTGGCATTGTTGATTTTGTAATACATATTAGTGTATATAGTCCTAAAATCATGTATATATACATTCGTTATTCGGATATATTAGTTTTCTATGATTTTGTCTCGAATAGCCAGACATGAACTCATAACCAAAGCCAAAGAAAATGTATTTATGTTTCAAGATTGTATATTTACTCCGTTCATATCACAATATTTTGTTAGGGATTTTTGGTCCCTATCGTAGACTGGACACCCAAAAATCAACCTTCTGAATGTTATTTCAACCGCGAAAAAAAACTTTATAATTTCCTTACTTGTGCCATATTTCAGTCTGCAACAGGTCGCTGCACAATTGGTTTTCATATAATCGGGAAATTTTGTGCATCGCTCCATCATTGATGAACATTTAGTATCGTTGTCAGAGAGATTTTGACAAGCTTTTTCGGGGCCTGAAATAAGTTAGTTTGTATTGTATTGTAAAACGGACTCGGAACACCGAAAGATAGATAACCATGGTAACTGCAGTACAGAGCATACTTAAAGTAGGGAGATAGTCATTCCAAGGCGTTGTCTATATACTTCTTTCGGTACTCTCGTAGTGTGTGTACCAGATTAGGGTCAGACCATAATTTTATTCCGATTTCCCTTATTTTAGTTCTATTACGAGTTTGGGCACTGTCTGTGTTAGCCAAGTAAATATACCCCCTGCCCATAAGTTTCAGTTTCTTTACACAACTCGATGTGAAGAAGGCGAACATTAGTTACCTCCATATTGGTACACATACTTCTGGAGCGCCCATCTTTTTTTTCCTATCACTACTTACAGATGTCATTCGTTGCTTCCTCCCCTATGTGCCGTCTTATCCACCTCTGGTGTGCTTTCATGCTGGTGTAGACTCCGTACACCCCTTTCAGTCCGCAACCACCTTTGCCAAACGAAACTATACCAGCTTGGTACCATTGACAAGAGTCTCTTCGTTGGCACATTAAAGGTCCTCCGGAGTCGCCTTAACATAGAATACTCTAACTATATTATTTTTGTGAAGTTATTGCAAATTTATAATGTGCTATGATGGAGTTAAGGAAGTCTATTGATTGTTTAAACTAAATCATGGAGAATGGGGGCGCATTGAAAAAGTAGGCTGTTGGATATCAACTTACCGTTCCGAGGTACGGTATAACAAAAAATTGCCTTTTTCAGACTATGTATCTATATGGTTATTAAAACACCCATTTATGCAATTTCGCTGTACTTAGCACAGAGCCCGGAGTCGACGGCAAAATAATAACGTACCGTTGCACGCATCCTTTTCCCCTTCTTTATGTCCGGCACAGATCATGTGATCTTGCTGCAATATTCTTCCACTATCTGCATATACCTTGGAACAACTTTTCATCGAAGCTATTGGTACATCTACTTCGCGTAATGCTCCCGAATCTTTGTCGTCATCTAAATAAGGAGCGTTGAAAAACAATGCTTCATTAGAATTTTGATCAGAATAAAGTCTACTTTTTGGGGGGAGTTTACATATATATAAGGAACGTGATGTCATGATTAGGCTTACCATACGTCCCGGTTTTGCCGGGACAGTCCCGGTTTTAGGACGTTTTTCTGCCGTCCCGGCGATAGACTTAAATGTCCCGGTTTCGCATGATGACATTCATAAATCATTTTTCTATTTGATATTGATACTATTACAAAATTGTTTTTTTGTTTTTCGACGGAGACAGCCGATTTACCACTGATTTGCGTCTCATTTCACTAGTTCAGATAGAGAGAAAAATTGTTATGTAATAGTTATGATATTAAGTACCGGTATATATGAACCATGTGTTAATTTAATACCCAACTGTACTGTCGTTGAATCACCAAAATGACGGAAACAAAGTGCAACTTTTCTAATGAGTTGAACGATTTCCAATATTTGAAGCAAAGACCAATAGTGGATATTTTAATAAGATTTGGTAAGATTTGATAAGATGGTGTGGAACACGTTTAAAACTATTACTAAGCCCCTGGATTTGAACCAAGGTTGACTTGTCCGATCCGTGCCGTCCCGGTTTTTTGCTTCAGAAATATGGTAAGCCTAGTCATGATGCCTCTTCAAGATCTATTCACTGGCCACCGCATTTACAATTTACTTATGGTATCGCATAAACTGTGAGAAAATATTGTTAAGTTCCAACCGTTCTCCCTAAGGAATGTGTTTGAATTTATTTCATGATATTCATTGACTTTTTCTGACCATCTTAAAATTTATGATGTACTAAAATTATTTTCTATATTTGGGTGGTGACATGAATGACAATAATATACATTTAGGCTAGAAAAAATAACTTTGTTACGACATGAACATTAAAAAAACAGACTGTCGAATAATCATATTTTGTAAAGGTTTTTCTAACCTGTTTTCCCGTATCCTACAGTCCAACACATGTCTCCCTCTTGTGGAGTCTCTAAGCACGGTAAGCAAATCGGTTTTATGACATCACTATAGTTGACTTGGGATTCCAACTTGACCAAGGCAATGTCGTGATGATAAAAAAGGTTGTGCTCTGGGTGTATAATAACCTGGAAATTTGGGGAATATATATATTTATTAAGCAAATTGACACAATAAATAGATTGTGTATCCGCGTAATTTATTGACAAGGCCGTCGGAGCTGTTGTCAAAACCGATAAAATCGTGCAGCGATGTTCAAACGCGAAAAACTGTCAGCTGTTAATTTATCGGAACCCCAGACGTAATCTAACTAGAGTTCTTAACGAATCCTTGATTGTTTTATGAAAGCTTCCATAGTTTTCTATCTATTGATAATTTGAATGTCCGATCATTTTGTTTTATTATCTAGTCAAGCTCCTCGATAATCTACATCCGACCCCCAACTCCGGTTAAACGGTTTATTTTTACTTTGCGGCTTTCAACTCGAGCAAAAAAATCTCAATCAACTTTGTTCAGTTTATATTTTAAATTCAGTTTTTTATCTTAATAATTCCACCTCACATCGCGATTCTAAACATTTCAAAGTTAGGTTCCGAATTCAGATCCTTGAACGTTCTAACTCACTACTCACTTACTTACAACTTCCTAACAAAATACCCAAATCCCATACCAATGCCTTGTCATTACCTCTTCCAGCATTCTTATTTCTAACCCGTCGGATAGCAATCTCATATTCAGAAAGTTTTGACTTGTACCAAGTATTGCTGTCCACGTGTTTATAGGATACGAATATTTGTTCCTGAAATTGCAAAAGAAATCAATTCGATAGGTATAATGTATATATGTTCAGTAATATACGAATAAATAATATCCTACTAGACTTTCGTCATAAAACTATCGATAACACCGCTTTGGAGTATATATAATTTTCTCCGATATTTTAACTTCAGTAATGCCATGCGTCAGATTATTTCTGATGTAGTATATTATCCTAAGATTGAATGAACGGAAGTGTGCCGTTTCAAATATAAAAGACAACGACAGCAAACGTTAATAGAAAGATAGAACCATGGTAAAGTCAAAAATGAAACGAGGTATTTAAATCCAAAAAGATGGAGAACCTAGTTTTTATTAATTTAAATTGCTAAATTCTACTCGTTTCTTCGTTATTCCTATTGCTAAATTTGCAAACGAATTCTTATTGCTAAATTTGCAAACGAATTTTCAAGCAAAATTTTGCAATACTTCGGCTTTCTTTACTTGTCCCAACTTACCGAAAGCAATGCGCCGCAGTAACAACCCACTTCTTGCTAAGTAAAGATCCTCCGCATATACCCGGTTCTAGATTTTCAGGAGTTGAGATTAATTGCACCTGAAATTTGGGAAATGATATTCCGTGAACAATATTTTTTAATTTATCTTTATAATAAAGCTTGCTAAGTTCATCTTAGAGCGACATTTTTCAACTGTTGCATTCGGTGGAAGTATGGACACAAATAATGTTCCTTATGTCCAAATTTTGATTTATAACTAAACGACTGAATTATTTTGTCACTGGCATATTGGCGAGCCCACATCTCTCCACCCAATGATAGATAATCTTTGAGTAAAGTTACGCCGACTACTGCCATTGTATGAAGTTATTATAGTGGTCACATATGCCTTGGCCACTTTGCTATCCCTGGTATTACAATAAATAAATACTGTATCATCAAATATGCGTATAAATAATACTAAATGAAATGATAAATAGGCCAATCTTTTACCATCCAGGGCCATCTTCCCTTTCGGCTTCTCAATCCCCCATAGATTCGCATGTTCTTCCAATGAGTTCCTGGATTTGAAGACGCCATTGTGCTATCGTAGCCACAGGTACCTTGAAACAAATTAGGATACGTATGCTTTTCATATTTTTGTATGAACACGTTTCCTAACTGGAGAGGAATTTCTCTCCGGGAGGGAATTTTTTTCCTCTGGAAGAATTTTTCTTTATATTTTTGAGCGGTAAAGCAACATGATCATATAGCGGACTACTTCCTATACGGCCCGGCTACCAGACAATACTGGGTGTAGCAATAGTTATTCAGTTAATCGTTTCCAGGGCATGTACTTGAAGTGACGCAGTTGTTACCACCAGGGGGGTAGAGGCAATCAATCTTTTCGCCAAAGAGATACAATTAATGTAGCGAGAGGGCAAATACGGCCCAAACTTCTCTTCTCATAATTGGGTTAGCCTAAATTTTGAATGCATAAATCTTACTTTTGTGGACTTTGCAAACACGTTTTCCGTTAATAATACATCATCATATCCGTCATTAATGAGAGCAAGTTGGCGCATCGTTGTACTGAAACCGGACGGTGTTTTGTTCAGTGGTCACGTGACAAACCTGGAACAACGATTCAGTGGATTGTCTTCACATTCGTCAATATCTGAACGTATAAACTTGTATGTATGTGTGTTTTATTTATCTCAAAATATAACAGTATCTACATATGCAAAATTCCGGTGATTGTTATAACACATTCCAATTAATTTAAGTTGAAACACAACAATCAGCTGAGGTCCGAATTAGGGTCAAAAAACAGTTTACGAAAACGGAATTTGCAAAACATAACACACTTTGGGCCTGTGCCTTACCGCTGGCAGGTCCTGTTGTCAGCATTGAGTTTGAATCCGACATTGCAGTGCAGTAGTTAATCTTCTCATCCCATGACATTGTTGTTCGCCATCCGCCATTATTTTCAAAACATTTATCTGAAAACAAGTCATAGCTATATAGTATATAATATCAAAAGTTTATTCATGTTATGTCGAATTGTCAGGAAGGCGGAGAAACAAAAATAAGAAAAATAGTAGGTGATCGAATAAATGAAGGAGTAAATAAATCCAAAGTAAAAACATTAAAAAAACAAATCTGAAACACGAATCCGATTTACCGTTGTCTCTGATATTCGTAATATTCGTTGTGCATTATTTGCTACTGTACCAGCAATTGAATGAATATAACCAAGTTTTGCGAAAAAGAGAAAGCAGTCGTCACATTAAATGAATATATGTAATGAACTAATATGCTAATTTCGTTTTCGATAAATGAGCATCATGAAGTACATTGGGGTAAATCTAGTAACCAGCTAAGAGAGAGGGGAAAAGTCGAAAAATGCTTAAGAACCACTGCTATAGATTGACTATACAGTGAAGCGATAGCCTATGAGCCTAATATGGTAAGTGAGATAATATGCTATAAAGAAACACACTTACCTAATGGACAGAAATTGCACGTTGCCGTGCAATATAGTTTCATATTATTTCCAGCCGTTCCATTATCGTTGCACAAGTTAACCAACTTTTTACATTCAGAAAATTTATCTGTACAATGTGGACCTAAAATTAAACAAAATCATCATATAATTTTCCACCCACCAACTTGTTATTATTTTCTAATTTTGCTTGGATTCTAATGCGCTGTTGCCAGAGAAGACGATTCGAAGAATGTCTTGCCGGACCTTGGTTCGAAAACTATTTTTCAATCTGTTACCATTGTAAGCATCTTGTTGTTTCTTTAGTTATAGGATTTCATTGTAATTTGGCTTTTTGCAACTGTTTGGCATCTTTCAAAATAATGCTTTGTATGAAATTATCCGAGCAGATGGGAATAAAGAGAAATTAACTAATTTTATCATAGTCTATTGTAATTCTTTTGTGAACGTTTTTGAGGGCTGCAGTATAACTTGAGCTCTGAAAACAAAATAGCTAATTTTAGGATTTATAACCAAGTTTTGCGTTGTTCACAAACAGCTCGAAAATCTGAATAAAAAGTGCTTAAATCCTGATTATTGCATCTCCATTAGCATCTTGCTGATTAACCATTGTAAAATAAATAAACACGAAAGTTGATACTCGGGAAAACATGTATTATAAAAAATACATTTTATATAAACTAAATCAAAATATTTCATTTTACTTACTTATTATTGCCCAACTTGTTTGCAACAAATACATAAAGCTGTCAAAATAAAATATTTTTTTTTATTTTTGAATTTTGCCTGCTAACAATCCGTTCAAAATGGAGGACTTACCAGACAAATAAAGTGATATAATATGGACTCCTTAGCAGCAAGTTCATGTTTAGCTTTGTAGATATTAAAAACAAATGCTATACGTGTTACTCTGGGTTATACTTAAATATTTACCATGAAAAAAAAAATATATTAATGCATCTAGCATATTTGGGATTTCATTTTTCACAATTTAACAGCGTAATACTAATCTTTACTCTTGCTACAGCATCCTTGCATTATATGCATACGGATCCATCGACACAAAAGCATAGAAAAAAGATAAGTAGTTAGTCTCACAAAAAACAAATCATAAACGTATCTGATATGCTGTTTCTGCGTGTGTGGTGTTATTTTAGCCAAAATATAACAAACTCTCCTCTAGTTGTCATCCTATTTTCTCCCATACATGATAAACAACTAATACTCGCAAGTTCAGTTTTACCAAGTCATATATGTGTTTCGTAAACACTTTCGCTGTCTTGTTATGTGAGCCCTTTTGCGTGTTGTCTGTGACTGACACTTACGGAAGCTACGATGATTCATACTTCCCACATACATTTATCGTTGTTTTAAAAACTTACATGTGTTAAAATAATACTAAATAAAAGGGTACTCCCGTGGTATGTGAACCAAGTTTGGGTTAGGCCATAATTTTATTCCGATTTTCCTTATTTTAGTTCTAAGACGAGTTCGGAGACTGTATGTGTTAGCCAAGTGAATATACCCTCTGTTCATATACTGTACTTCCGTTCCTTTACACAACTTGATGTAAAATAGGCAAAATTAGTTACCCCCATTTTGGTACACATACTTCTGGTGCGCCATAAAACAATAAATGAACTTAAAAAAAATGCACAAATGTAGTCAGTCATAAGATCCACTAAGTACCCAAACGAATGCCTTTATTACTTATCGATCTTAAGATCGGTAAGTATGTTGATAGGTATTTGTCTGTATGTCTGTGTGTTAGATGCACGCGATATCTCACGAAAGCGAGGTTGAATCTGCTCCAAATTTGGCATGTGCATTCATCATAGCTCGGTTCAGAAGCTTATTGATTTTGGATGGATTATGTTTTATAATTAGCGAGTTATTAATTAATTAGTGATGGGACACACGATGTCACTATGGAGTAAGACCACTGTTTTGGCGGATCCCCTAACCTTCGATCGATAAGTCTTCGGTTTCTAACCGATATTCTAGTTTTATTCATTATTTCTGATTACAAGTATACATACAACTTGGGGCTCTTCAGAAGTGTGTGTACTAATATGGAGATAACTAATTTTGTTCGCCTACTTTACATCAAGTTGTGTAAAGGGACCGAAACCTATGGGCAGGGGGGTATATTCACTTCGCTAACACAGACAGTCTCCGAACTTGTAATAGAACTAAAATAAAAAAAATCGGAATAAAATTATGGCCTAACCCTAACCTGGTACATACTTAATAAGGGAGTACCGACGGACTTTACTAAACTCAAACAAGCTCACAAATACAAATTAATAGACGATTCCGTACTTATATACAGAAACCTATTCTCGAACCTTTGTATCTTTCGGTTTTCAACCACGCATAGATCGAAAACGATTATCCTACACGTTTTCGTTTATCAACTGGATAAAATGTCTCGAAGTATAGTATGGATATGAAATTCAACCCGTATAATACACTTTTGTAAATCTGCAGAAATTATTGTGAATTTTCAAGTGTGTGCTTGCTTCCAGAATAACAGTTTATAAACCTATTTTTGCAATAAAATATTTTACATATCCTTGTTCATTTCTGAATATTGTTGGATAATGTTACAATATATTTATAGTACAATATACGATCAGTTTTGGTTTTCATCTCAAAATTGAATTTTAGCGTGGTGCGTTCGTGTATTATCATGTTGCGAATCTAAAAATACTATGTGGGATAACGCAAAGGTAATATGATAAATTTAAGACGTAAGTATATATAATTTTAAAAACTCGTGCACGCTAAACTAAATAATTCTCATTTCCCAATTTATCGCCAAGCAGACAAATCCCATGCACACAGAGTAATGAGTCTCAAAAAGGCTTTTCGTCACAGATTGGGTTTAAACCAGACCGGCTTGGATTTACAAACATTAGACAGTAATTTTTTATTTAAACATCAATCTCAGCCATTACTGTTGTGGGCGCTTCAGAAGTATGTGTACCAATATGGAAGTAACTTACTTTGTTCGCCTACTTTACATCAAGTTGTGTGAAAGGGACTGAAACCTATAGGCAGGGGTTATATTCAGAAACAGTCCCCGAACTCGTAATAGAACTAAAATAGGGAAAATCGGAATAAAATTATGGCGTAACCCTAACATGGTACACATACTTCGAGAGTACCCTGTTGTAGACCAGATGACACATGTTACCTGATTTTGTGATCAGTTCAAGCTTCAATCGAATATTTTTTGAATTTAGTGGGGTCGGGAAATTTGCGGTTAACCACTTTCAGTTTCCAAAACTTCCAAAGTAATAATCAACTTACTACTCTGAGCTGCCATGTTTAATAAAAATGTGTTAATATTTGTTTGAAACTTTTGATGTTATATTTATATGATAAATTAGACAATAATCATTCAAAAATTAATTTGTTATTTTCACAATAAAAGTTTTTGTTAAAACTTGTTAAAAATGTCAAAAAGAGCAATTTCAGTGTCACCGAATGTTGTAGGCATTACTCATAGTTATTTTTTACATCATGTTTATGAGAGAGTTTCACTTTTTATTCGGTTCATGTAGTTGTAGATCAATGTTTATTCCCGAATTTGTATATTGGCGTGTCGTCTTTCATATTTATGAACGATTTTATAAATGTCTCACGAAAATGCAAGTGCCTTCTCATCTAAATAAAATTTATTTTTAGCCGTAGTGTTTAAGGATATTCACTACATATGGGACATATAAATAGCACTGTATTCGGTTTGCTAAAGTGTGCTTATGACGTAATAGAATATATGGTTATATTTGAATACCATTTTTTACAGGGAGCTTCGTTATGATTTATAACTACAGCATGTATTACGTTGTGTCTCTTTATTTTACCTAGTCAACACCCATGTTTCTTTCATCTCTTGGCACGAGACACGAAATATTAACATTATTTGCTAAACTCGATATTTTAGTGCTGTGTAAATTTCATCTAAGAAGGGGGATATTTCTCTTACAGACGGTTGATGTCTAAATCATTGACAAGGTACAAAAATCATTTCTGATAGAACGCTATTCATGTTAAAATCAAGTAGCAATTGTGCCACTCGTGACATATTATTCCCTTTCTCCTATTGTACCCGCACATATCGGTTGGGTTAAAATTTAACAAATAAAAATGAAAGATATCTATGAGATTAATTTCGCCAGACAAAAATAGGTCACTGAGTAGCGATAAAATTATGAATAAAAACAAGATAAACTGCACTGCAATTTTAAAGTAATTGTCTAAACATACGCGGAAACTAGTGAGCATATAAGTTATTCCACACACTCGCTCTGAAAATAAGCCCTACAGTCTAGCAGGTGATAACGTAGGTTTGTCCATAATTTTATTCCGATGTTTCTTATTTTAGTTATATTACGAGCTCGTGGACTGTCTGTCAGCTAAGTGAACATACCCCCTGTCCATACGTTTCAGTCCCTTTACACAACTTGATGTAAAGTAGGCGAACAAAACTAGTTCCCCCATATTGGTACACACACTTCTGGAGCGCCCGTAGGAAACTATCATGGTGGTTCCCAAACTTTTTTGTTGAATTCCTCTCTTTTGCCTATTTTGAAATCTTCATTCCTCCCTATGCATAAAACTACTTTATTTGTTCAATCTTCAATGGATCCTTTACTAGTGTTATGCACAAGTCACACTTTCGTTTTTCTACAGTTTAATTAAATAGTTTATTATGTGTTCAGGATTTCAACTGATTTATTCGTTTGTTATATTATATATCATATAGTGATAAAAGTATTGAAATACCTAGCGCGTCATACTCACTCGTGACTCGTCATCATCATTAAACAAGCAAAATTGTTTGTGTGTTAGTATAAATATTGACGACGTCCTAATTATATAGATGGCAGGTTCAGAGTACCCATAGTGGTTTTATAATTCGAAGAAAAGCATTGAAAAAAAATATGCAGTACCACGTACGTTCGTTTAGTTACCAATCTATGCTTGATATCGAGAGCAGTTTAGTATACTCAGTTAGTTTTCAATAGAAATATTAGAACTCTCATAACAAGACTTTGGGTAGGTAACCCATACGTAAGCACAGGGGGTGGTTTTGGGGGTCGGAACCCCTCCCTTTTAAAATGTAAAAAAATAAAAGAATCTTTCTGTATCATATACATAGCAATTTTTCGTAGCTTTGAACTATTTTACTCTCAAGACTTATGAAAACACACGTTTTCCGTTTGTCCGGACCCGCCAGCTATTTTGGTCTAACTTGGCAAATACAATTCCGCGAACTAGTATGTGGCATAGTATGTGTACCAGGTTAGGATTAGGCCATAATTTCATCCCAATTTTGCTCATTTTAGTTTTATTACGAGTTAGGGGACTAGTCAAGTGACTCCCGTAGTATTTGTACCTGAAATTATGGCCTAACCCTAACCTGGTACATATACTACGTTCCCACCATCTTGTTGCACATACTACGAGAGTATACGCGATAATTAGAGTAAGGTCCCTTAATTCAATGCCGATCAGCTGTTGATAGGGCAACATTTATTAACATTCAAAGTGATTTGAGTCACTTGAAAACAATAATTTGGGCCGCTCTTCATTTATCCGCCAGCACAATTTAACATTGGGATTGATTTGACTCGTCTTTGGTTTCAGACTCAAATCGGATGGCCCATGTCACGTGACTTGTGCTTAAGGGACTTGCATTCAACGCTGGTATCTTATAAACGTAAACGTTATAAACAAATAAACGTAACAAACGGTAAAATTCGTCTTCCAATCTATTCTCTTCTGATTATTTTTTAATGAACGAGAAAGGCGTTTCCTCTAGTTCTAGTAGATGATACACCTTGCTATCGAAGTTAATTAGCTCGTTATGTTGATCAAACATCTAGGAAAAGATTGAACATAGAAGAGACTGAATAATTAAAATATTTCATCACATGAGCTGGTGTCATAAATTATATAGTTTTAGTACCAAGCAAGCAAAGGTCAGTGACTTGGCCAAACAAACATTTACCGTTTTCTTCTTTATATCAATGTAAATTTTATTCTTATAAATAATTCTTACTCTTATTGCTATTTGAAAATATTACATCGAAGGTTTTCAATTTGCAGATAGTTTATGGAAAATATCATCATGTTTCATTAAAATTGTGTTTGTGTGCGACATGGCTTCAAAAGTAGCGCGCCTTCTATATTTTCACGATGAATTTTTCACACATCTGCTTCGATTAATCCGGACCCCCCAATAACTTTACCCTGTAACGCCAACAAATAGTTATGTCCTCCGCTCAGATCAATCATTTTTATCTCAATTCTACTCACTCACATGGAGTGGGAAAAGAAATTTTATGAAATTTTCAACGTTCAGTACAAAACTCCATACAGTCGAGCAGTGATTTCACTATAATTTCAAAAGAAACAAAATATTTTCAATTGGAGTTCATCCACCTAATTTCATTACGTCCAAATCAGAAATAGCTACTTCTTGTAGAGCATTTTAAAGCAAATGTATAAATAAATGCCATTCTAGTAGAACAAAAAAAAATGACAAAACGAACAGGGTGACTAAATAACGAACTAAGGTTATTTGAAATATAATCAAGAGAACAGAACATTTGCGCGAATTGCCCTAGAAATTATTAAAATAAACTTTATGTGTTAGTTAAACTCTCTTAATTTTTGTAGAAGTCTGTTTTTGGCTGTAAAACGAAAGAAGATATAAAAGATATATAATTGTAAGATTTGAAATAGAACGTTTTGCAATATTGTAGCAACGTAGGGACAAAGTACACATATTGTTGAAATTTTGAGACGAAGACAAATTTACTTAGCGATTAATATTGTCCTGCATTTAGACAATAATTAATAGTATTTCGTAAAAATCTCGTGACTCCCGCCTTGTGTGCGAAATAAATGATTCATTTTTTAAAATATCAATCTGCACTCTGAGATACTGAAACGGTCGAAATAGCCTCGGTCGAATGTGACCCGCCACTGCGAGACCCTCATAACATGCATGATGTAAAAGGTTGTAAACATAGCTCCGATATATCGTTTACTTTGGGCAGTTGGTAATTAATTTTGTTTTCCAGGAAACAGATTTTGTCTCTTATCACTGTGTAAATGTGCTTTCAGGCATTAGAACTTACCAGCTTACAGTTAACGGTGCATATAGATAATATTTGGTAAAGTCAGAAATAAAAAATTTCATTTGAATTTTTCTTTGGTTTAAAGATTTTTTATGTTTTTCATTAATGTAGTTCTGTAGTTTGAGATTTTATATTTTTTAGTCAACAATTTTATTCTTACAATAATTTCAATTTTCTGTATCAAAGTTGACTAATTCTGTTTTAAAGCCCTTTCATATAAAAAGATATCTACTAATTGGTAAATACCCCAAAACCGAAAACAAGCGAGAAAATCATAATATTGTATTCCATTTTGTCGAGGACAACTAAAATATTAATAAAGTTCATTAAAAATTTACAAGTTTTCGCGCTAATAGAGGAAGCGGCATCAATATTAATTAACACCTACAAACAGAAGAAGCAACCTAATTGCAGAACACAGTTTATTAGGAATTCAATATAAGGCGAAAGGGTGGTACTCCTGAAGTATGCGCACCAAGATGTCGCATAACCTGAACCCTAACTTCGTACACAACCTGAGTTCAGGTTGTGCGCCATCTTGGTGCGCATACTTCAGGACGTTCGAAAGTGGTTTATGTATCTAAAAGTAAGGTGAAAGATTAAACTACAAGTGAACCGACATTTTACTAAACTGTTGTGATATATGACACTGTCGTTCGGAAAGTAATATTCAAAAAGTAGATGCTCTAAGTACTCATATTTTGAGTAATATACGATTTTCTTTAAATTTACCTATTATGATGTTTTGAGTGGTTTAAATACTTTGCTTCGAATTTTCACCGTTTTTTATTTTTCAACATTCCGTTCCAACAAAGTCAGACTTCATCAACAATAGTGTTGTAAACTGATCGTCTGGGAAAATATAATTTTGTTTAGACTTTAGACGATAAGTTATAAAGTAAAATTTGGAAAAGTTTGATATTTTGAGCACTTAATATAGCCGTTTCGATTTTTCTACGATATCCAATGCATGCTTTTCCATTAACAAATAGGCAGAGTGAACGCGCCCCAACCATGTATATATATATATATGACTTTTAACTTTTTTTTCTTCAGCTTATACCAAATAACCAGTAATTACCTTTTCAGTTAGGGTTAGCAATGCAGATTGCGCTGGTAATTTAACGTTTCAAATCATTCCTCGCCCTAGCCCTGACTGAATAATTACTAATTTTTTGTGACGGGGGTGTTTCATCGAATCTCGCATTTTTGCATTTGTGGCGGGGAGTTAGTACAAAAGGTCCCTTTAAGTTTCATTTCTAAAAAATTAGTTGATTTACTCAGTCTTACGTCAGTAAGTAACGTAAAACCCGTGAAATTTTGTTTAACGCGCAAAAGTTTTCCTGATAGTTCAGTGCATATATTTTTTAAGCTTAGATTTCGTCTGTAGAATTGCACGGCAACAAGAATCGTTTATTCGAGCGAATTCTTATTTTACTTTTCATTTCAAGAGTGCTTTCTCAGAGCAAGTTAACGCGCGCTCACTCCAAAGTGAAGGAGAATGACTCATCTCTGTTCGTAGTTATGGCAACCACTCAAATGCTAAGAGTTACTGTAACTCTTTCGAGTGATTGTGGTGAATTACGCAACAGTAACTTTCGAAAGACGCGGGACTACTTGGAGCAGATCAGCGAATTTCAAGTTTTTGGTTGTACTGGTGTTATTATATTGTTATCGCAACAACTTTCAGTCTCACTTGCATTTCTTGCACTAAACCAAAATCATAAATTTCGAAATTACTTCAATTTTAGGATTCTTTTGAAATTAAGATTTTTTATTATACATATAAATCATATGGTTAGAATTTTTTTATAATATTAATTTTCTTATTTTCTGCAGAAATATAAATTTTAGTTTTACTAAATAGAAACATTTAACAATAATCATGTGCTGGTTCTCAATGGCGAAGTATCTTCTTTTTGCTTTCAATTTTGTGTTGTGGGTATGTTGAATTTTTCTTGGCTTCTAATTTTCAAGGCTTGGGGGTTGTATTTTTTAGGAGAGAGAGAGAGAGAGAGAGAGAATTATTTCGTCAACTAAAATCGAGAGAGTTTGTTTTATTTGCCAAACCAAGAAAACACGAAATATCCATACATATATATATAGAGATTAATTATAAATAAAAAAGGTGCTCCCGAAGTATGCGTGCCATGATGGCGCACAACCTGATCATATTAAGTGTACCAGGTTAGGGTTCATGTTGTGCGTCATCTTGGTGCACATACATTCGGAGCGCCATAAAAATTGCTTTCGGTTTATGGCCGGGAGGCAACGATACGACCTTTGGGGTTCATGATAGTCAGTTGCCACAACTAAAAGGCGATTTTTCATTTTTCCTCGGAGTCCTATGGTAACCGATATTTGAGATACTATTTTATAGTATATGGGAACACTTCAATAACTTTTGTCCTTGGTATTTATTTATTTTCTCTTTTGTTATTTATCTACGACGAAGATTTGATAGATCGTTTTACAATTTTGTATATATATATATACAACAGTCCACTCTACAAAATAGCATCGTTAAAGAGAGAAGGCTTTTTCATGATTTATTTTAGATTGAAGAAAATATGAGGCACATGTTCGAATGATTAAAATGTGATGGATTCACATTATTTCAAACTTTCTTTTTTATCCTAATAAGTGATTCAATGGTCTTATTGCGTTGTGTAGCGTTTCGTCTGACGAGGCCAGACTTCTACAGACGTACATAGTTCAACTATAACAAGAAAAGCAGTTGCTTGCATATTCAAACAATCAGTGTAAAACTATGGGAGTTACAAATGTTAAATAATCAATAACATCGTCGAATTCTGGATTAAATTTATGATTTCTTTTTTTTATGTCTGCAATTACATTATCCCTGCACGCATTGCATACTCATCCACTTATATATTTGTAATTTATGACAGGACGAGAAGAGAAGTAGTGAATCAAACATTAACCAGATGGATGTCATAACGAGCTATTATTAACGGCGTCGGCTAAATGAAATACATCAATAAATCATCGCTTGTACAAGTTATTTCCATATCTAATTTCTGCATTTTTGTGAATTCTATTTTGCTCCAATTTCAGCTCGGTGGTGCTGCTGTACTCGGAGTTGGAATATGGCTCGTAGAAAGCGGCAATGAACACGTTGAAGTGGTTGGGATAACGATATATGAAAGCGGTATGTTTCATATTGTCATTTTATATCAAATGTAATGATATTTTACGGTAGGCAGCAGGGGTGGAAAATCCTCCAAATTTAATATATTTTATAGTGAAGTCCCTGGCGTTCTGTACTTATTATGCGTGACGTCATAATACAATGTCGTTCATGTAATTTTTACTGTGGTGAAGAATTTGTTGTGACGTCATATTGGACTGTCATAAATTACATTATAACACAATAATTGTTTTCTTGTTCTCCGTGAAATATACTATGAAGTCATAAATTGATTTTTTTCAAATAAAAACAAAATTGAAGTTACGTGCAAGATACGTACGTGTGCTCATTGCGTAAGTACGCTAATGACTATTAGGTGTGCTGTGTAAATAAGCTGACCTTGATTTTATTGACTGTGACTTTGACAAACTGAATTGTTTAACTTTGATTTTTCATTATCCACAGGAGCGTATGTTTTAATAGCAGCTGGCTCTGCCGCATTTCTTCTGGGCTTTCTTGGTTGCTGTGGAGCATCGAAAGAAAATACGTGTCTGCTGGGATTGGTAGGCTACGTTTATTTCTGATTTCAGTTTTACTGTAGTTTATATTGACTCGAGAAAAGTTATTATGCAAACAGCAGCACGAGTCATGAAAGATTGGGAACCACTGGAGATTTTATTAAATTCTAGTATAATTGCGCTCTGTGCTTCTAAATTGTAAACTTAGTGTTATTATTTTTCCAGTATTTTGGTTGTGTGCTAGTCCTGGTCATTTTACAAGTTGCTGTTGGAATCTGGGCTTTGGCTAATTTTAACGACGTAAGTATATGTAGGCCTATATGTAGTGTTTATTTTGAATTTTTCGTTTTTCTTTATTGAGAGAGAAAATCCGATATAGATGAGGGAGGAAGTCACATCTAATCGGAGGTTAGGAGAATCATCTTGTGGAGATAAGGAGTCCTGATATAGGGTTGATAACGTGCTATGAATATACAGCCAAATATGCATATCCAGCCGACTAATATACATATAGAGCCAATCAAATATGCATATATAGCCAATGTCATACATGCATTCAAACTCGTTATACATGTAGATACAGCTATTAGGAGAATGTGTATTAGATCTAGCCGGTGCATTGCTTTCGTGACCACACAAGCAGTTAAAGCATTTGTTATTAATTTTTAGATCGACGACGCGGTTGCCACAAGCTTGGATGCGTTTGATCTGTCAAAACAAAGTAATGCAGACGCTTACAGAGATATAGAGCAGGCGGTATGTATTTTTTAAAATTAGTTTAATTGAGACAATTCTATAAAATTAAGATTACTAAAAAGCAAGAGTAACTAAAATTTGATTCTGTTTTTGAGATGAATTCCAATGATTTCATATTATTTTTATCAAAAAATTCTACAGTTTCAATGCTGCGGCAAGACTAACAACACCTGCCAAGACTGGAAAGGCGAAATATCACCTTATAATCCGTACGGCTGTGAATGTGATCCATCTGCTTATACCGATGCCACAATATGTAAGGCTTACCCGACCGAATGTACTCCAACTGAAAATAAAACGTACGACTTTATATTTACCAAGGTATGTTACTTTAGACATTTTTCCAAACTTTTCCGTCGTACACATTTGCCACGGGTGGAACGGCAGAGTCCTTCTTCTAATATTGATGCTCCTTGTTACAGTTAAAGAAACTGATATAACGGTGTATGAAAAAGATGCATATATCATTTTTACATGTCCGTAGATGCAAGTAGATTGCATCCATTGACGTAGCATATTATAAAAACCGGTACTCCAAAAGTATTTGTACCAGGAGAGTGTTAGGCCATAATTTCATTCCGATTTTCCTTAGTTTAATTCCATTACGAGTTCGGTGACTGTCTGTGTTAGCCAAGTGAATATACCCCCTGCCCATTGGTTTCAGTCCCTTTACACAATTTGATGTAAAATAAGCGAACAAAATTAGTTACCTCCATATTGGTACAATACTTCTGGAGCGCCCAAAAACCTTTACGCCATAAATACAAAGTTTTGATACCCCAATATCATCTGACGACCGGGACGCAGCGCAAAAAATCCATGCTGCGCTAATATTCCTATAGCACTCATACGACATTTTACCGAAGACCACAAAATTGTACATGTCTAAGTTATAATCTGCCCAAACTACCCAGTTAAGGTCATTTTTGAGCAAATCCAATGGTTCCCAACCAAGGGCTCAAAAATCTCTCTGGGTCCGAGAGATTTCGATGGGTCCGTGGGCATTGTGTAAATAGGACGAAAATAAGAATTGATGTGGTCAGTGGGGCAGCAAAAAAAAATAACTTTGACATATATCATTCTCAAGTCAGTCATTATTTTTTGTTTATTGGACACGAAAATGCACCTATGGATCATTTTGTTATTATGTTGTTGTTGTTGTTGTTGTTGTTAGAATTCTTTTTGTGCACTGGACCAATTGCTTTGAAATTTACAGTTTTAAAGATTGTTGTTGTTGCCTTTACATTTATTTTATTAAATTTTTGGACCTCTTGAAGTATGCGCACCAAGATGGCGCATAACCTGAACTCAGGTTGTGTACCAGGTTAGGGTTCAGGTTATGCGACATCTTGGTGCGAATACCTCAGGAGCACCAAATTTTTTTCCTGGGCTCTATTGGGTTCGTTTGTCACTTTGACGTTTCCCTGATGACGTCGTCAAAAATAAAAATTGCGCAACGTGTGGCGAATCCGCGTCCATATTTCAGCGATCTATCTAGTGGTCAGACTACCGATACTGTAAAAGATTTGATACTACTCCGTTTTGGCTTTCGTGTCCTTATATTTGAGGATTGCTGTTTTGTTTTCCTAACTAAGATGGCATTGCTACTTACAATGATACTCGTTAATTTTTTTTTGTACTTGCAGAGTTGTCAGAAGGCAATCACAGACTTTGTGATTGATAACATGGAAATCATCGCTGGAATTGGGCTCGCCATTGGGCTAATCGAGGTAAGTTTGGTTTGGACGTATTTTATGCCTCTGTTTTTCAACAATGTGCATTGAAAGCAATGCGGTGGTCGGGCAATGCATATTAAAAATATTCTTTGATTTGAATAAAACTCTGCTGAAATTTTATATAAGGCTCTTCATCAGCCCCTTTAATACCCCTATTTTCTCAACAAGATGAACGGACAAAATTTGAAAAAAAAAAAATTTTTAAATGTTAAAATAAAACTACAAATTTTTGGTGAAATGTCGGGCCTGACTGTAAAATGAGGAAATCAGAAAAAATAATACAAACGTAGCCTAATACCCTTCTAGCGACGTCTTCGAGTTGTAAGTACCAAAAGTGTGTAATTGATTGATCCATTAGATTCAGCGATTTTTCCTAACAACAAGAATATTACTTCAACAACAATAATTTGGCGAAACTAACCATAGGCCCATTTTGTGTCCAAAAGATCTCGGCCTACCTATGTGAGCCCAATATAATATATCAACAATAACTTCTATGGTATGTAAAAATGCTTTATTATATAATTATGAATTATCATTATTTTTCTTTTTAGATTCTGGGACTCATATTTTCATGCTGTATGTGCCAAGCTATCAAGAAAAACCAAGGATATGCATAAACATGTTATTCATTGGACCGATAAGATTTAATTTTAGCTATTAGTTATTGATCACATAATTTTAATCGAACCGTACTTATCGTTTAAGCTTGTAAAGCCAGATGAACGCAAATAAAATTTTGACTTGACAAAATAACTCTTATCCTTTTTAAGTTTTCTCATTATACTTAAAAATAATTCAGAATACAATGAATTACACGTTTTTATCGAAAACAGATTTTTAAAAATAATTAACTGAAAATATATATTCAAAATTACATCAATTTCAAATTAAAATTCAGTACAATATCCATATCTTTTAGCAGTGTTTACATACCAAGTATGACGAGTCTAATCTTGTTATTTGAATAATATTTGGTACATATTTCGAGTAAAGTTCTATTTGTAACTCGTTTCGAATAAACCTAGTCTCTAGAATTAGCTGATTGCAGTTCAGTAAACGTCCCATTTTGACAATAGTTTCGTCATGTATTTGTATCTATTGGGTACCATACATACTTGGAGTGAAAGTTCATTTGTAATTTGCAATTCAGTAAATGTCCCATCTTGACAACAGTTTTGATATATCGATGTTCAATGGATAAAATGTTTTACAAGGTTGACGATTCTGATGTGTATTATTATCTGTTTATGCTAATTTCAACTGAAAACTCGTTTAATTTCTCGTGCTTCGTTAGTGGTTAATTTTTATCAAATAATTGCTTATATATGTTTAATAAAAATGACAAATGAAAATCTGCTTTTTGTGGATTATTTGTGCTTGGAAGAGAGCTACCAACGGTTATCAATAAATAACCAAATCACATTTTATCTCGTGTGATGTGTATATTTCTGGTAGATCGAAATTAGTGATGGAAATTGCGCACAGATCTATGAAACGCTAGTATTGAAAGAAAAGACTGAGGTAGCTCTTTTATGTAACCATTCCGAAAGCACGTTTATGAGTTTAAACAGTGTAAAGATAGAAAATTTTGTGAATATTTATGTTATTGTTGGAAGTGTTTCCACTGGCACAAGAGTCAATGTGACTCTTCTTCGGTGACTAACATTGGGGTGGGATTTGAACAGTATGTAATTCTTTACATTAATGTACAAGACCTCAAACTTATTTTATTTAAAGAACTCTAAACAAGGCTTCGGAGTTTAGTATGTTTTTATTGAAGTAGGATTTTCAAAATCGTCGACATTCCTAATTCTCCTGAGTCGGGAATTGGAATTACAGACTTTCAACAAAAGAAGTCAAAATCTTCCACCGTTGTTGAATAGGCAATATTAAAATAGAGAAAGAAGCCTTTAGCAAATCCTCGACTGGTTCTAAATATGTAAGACAAGGATATTTATTCGCAATGTAAATAGTTCCATCCGCCATTTAACAATAATTATCATTTGTTCAATTAAAACAATTGTTAAAACGATGGCCACAAAGATTTCAGCAATGTTGTAAACAGCGCCTCTATATTTAGCCTGGCAATCTACTATGTTGTGTACCCTGTGATGTTCTCGGCTCTATGACTGTAAATATTTCTTCTGCTTTAGAGTCATTCCCTTCTTTGCGAATTTATCTAGTACTTTATTGATAAATTTCAAACACATATTTATGCACCCAACATGTAAACAAAAATTAGTATAAATGTCAATTCAAGCACAAGTCGCGACACTGTCGAATAATTGGCAATAATGACCTTAGCGAGTTCATTCAATCTTTGCTGCTATCTCGCGGAATTGATAATATCTGTATGTGATTTTCTGTAGTCACGTGATAAGCACTACGCTCACTGATTGGCCGGCGCTTCATTCTGGCATCATCGTTTGCGAGGTCGGCTGATAAAGATGGCGAATCCCCGAAAATTTTCGGAAAAAATTGCTTTACACAATCAAAAGCAAGCCGAGGAGACGGCTGCTTTTGAAAGGATTATGCAAGAAGTTTCTGTTACAAGGGTAAGCAAAAGTTTAATTACGTTTCACGGATATTTCATCATTTTTTATCGTTTGTTTTGGCGGAAAAACGCAAAATCAGCACGCCCATGAAAATAATGGCAATATCTGTATTTGTTTTACTACAGTACTATTGCCAAATCGGCCACACAGACCCCGAATGTATTCGATCTAGCGCAGAGGTCATTAATTCTTACACCTTTCAATTTTCTTTTTACATTTGATTACACTTGAAATACAAATAAACGCCGATATTGCTGTATTAGTCTCTGATTTTAAATATATTGACACAATGTATTACATGTTTGCATTGGTCGGTCTCAGTTTCACTACACTGTCAAAGTTTATCAATTCTTTTGATGATACAGTACTGCAGTTATTGTTTTAAGAAGATTGTTTAACTCTGCCAATCTACGTTTTGGCGGGTCTGGTATAGTTTAGTACCACATGCACTTCTAGTTGGCCTTGCTCAACAATTTTTGCATATGTCAATCCTAACCCTCACCTGACTACGTCACCCAAAAATTACGTCATTTCGACGTCACAGTGGCGTAATAATGCCCACCAAAGTATGCGAATGGTCGTCCAAAACGCGCAGACGAGCACCCGAAATCGAGCAAGCTATCTCTCTCGTTTTCTCGTCACAACGATCACGATAGGAGAGAGTTCGCCGGCTTTAGCGAGTTCGTTATCGGCGGCGCAGATGTCATTTCGGGCGATCGTAATTATACTTTGGCAAGACCTATGACGTGATGGCGACGTCGCAGTGACGTAATTTTTGGATGGCATAGACAGGTGGGGGTTAGGAATAACATATGCAAAATTCGGTATGCTACGCCCACTGGAAGTACCTGTGGTACTAAACTATACTAGACCCGTTTTGGCTTACTACTCTCCGACTCTATCGGGCTGTCCGTAGCTGGTAAATTTTTGCAAGACCCTCGCAATTGTTCAACCCATTACACTACTTACAAAACTGAAAGATTCTGGGATTGCACATTGTCATGGAAATCATGAAATATACCGCACAATACAGGATAGCGCTATTCTTTTATTCTGATAATAACCCCTATATTTCAGACATTCAATATAATGATGAATGCAAACCCCTTCTTTGCAGGACAGTCTGGCAACATGTACCTATCCGTTTCGTAACAAAATCAGCAATCTGGTATTGTGCAATAGACTAAAAAAACTCATTCAGTACGTAAGAATAACCCCTATATTTGAAGACATTAATTATAACAGTGGAAGCAAACCCCTTCTTTGGGAGACAGTGTGGAGCCTCCAGATCGCCACAAATTTTCAAATGGGTACTGCACAATAAACTGAAAGGAAAAGAAGTCTAAAAACGTCACCGTTAGATTCATTGAAAAAAAATTACCGAAGCGTTCAAGATCTTTAGCAAAAACAATTTGCTGAAATCTTAAAATGTCGCAATTAAATTTTCGATATGTTCCACAGGGAAAAAATTACATCTGTGATCAAGAAATGATCGATGTGAATTAGTTTCGTTCGCGTAACATTCATTGTACGTAGAGATACTTATTGCTGCAAACATAATGCTATCTTGAACATTTACCACTGTACCCAAATGTCCTTGTTTTAGGGATAAATTTTTTTTTTTTCCATTATTTATATATATTTTGATTGAACCTGGTTAGCTACCTAACAGCTAATAACTCTATTAAAAGCAGCACTTAATAGTCTTTAGAATTTTCATGGTTTGTTTTGTTTGGCATTTTAAAGTTTCATGACGGCAATTATAACAGTGTATTAGAATCCCTTTATTACTAGACTGCCATGGTCTCTTAATTTAATGCAAAAGACGTGAAATAGAGCTTCACAATAAACTAAAAAGATGTGAAATCCAAAAAATGACTACCACCACATGTCATAATATTATAATGGCAAATATCGCAGTCTTTGCAGATCTTGGGCATGGTTTTACAATTCCCAACTATTTAATCATGTGACCTCTTTGCTTTTCAGCAACCTCAACGTCTCCATCCCCATCCACAAGCATTTCTCAGGCCTTCGTATCTTGGAGGATCTTTACCAAATGTCAATCAAATGTCTGGACCACCGATGGAAATGCAGATGCGACAGGTAAGTCAGAATTCTCATTTTTTTGTGACTGGGCATTTGATGTTAAGGTATAATTAATCTCCTTGAGTAAGTTTTAACTCATTTTGAAAATTCATTCGGAAAATTCGCTAGAGAGTTTATAGATGCTAAATTGGAAGAAAACATCATATCTGTAATGCTTTGTGGAAATTGGATATATGCTCAACACAAAACATATAGATAGTATCTTCAAATTTAGAGAAAATTCAGTTCAAAAGTCTGTTTAATTCACAAATTTTATATGAAGTTGTTGACAATAGGTTGCATCTTGTGAGATGACGTGCATGCTAGTACATTATTCTGATTTATAATTTCAATTTTCTGTTTTATGATTTTTTTCAGGGCATGTATGAGGATTTTAAGCCACCTCATATGCGCCACCAAGTGCGCTTTGACTCTCGTCCAAGGCCGTATAGGAGGCCAGATTTTCAAAACCGACATCCTCGTCACGTTGAAGGAATGCCCGGTGGGCCGTATAGCGGGCCCTATTTGTCACCTCCTGCCGATACCAGTTGGAGAAGGTACATGTAGTAATTGTATTGTATTCATACGTAGATTGCTTTGGCATTTGATCAGTTTCATCTGCTTGCTAGTCTTGTAGTTGTATAATCGTAGTCACAACAACATTATTGTATGTAGAGTTAATTGAACATGCTTGTGTTAATTTAAGTCTTGATTTGAAATAATTTGTTTAAGTTCGTGTTTCTTAGATGTTAAACTATATAATGAAAATCATAAAAATTATGGCTAGCAGTTTTTTCCAGGTATAAATTGTAGTAGTAATTAAATGTCAGTGTTTTTTTTAAAATCTGAAAGTAATATTAAAACTAGCCAAGTCATGGTGTAACCTAATTATTTTATGTTGAGGTATCTAACATGACATTAGTGATAGATTTTAATGTGAGAAACTTTGATAGCAATAGAAGTTGTTGATTTTCTTTCAAACATTGTATGGAGGCTTTTTGGCAATGTTACTTGGAACTATTAGCGTGTTTGTGTTTCGTCTATGAATCAGAATAGATGGTTTTTTTGAAATTCAACATTGCAATTAATTTTGATTCCAAATAGCCTAAATGTTGTTTGTTTTTTTTCTCCAAAATCGTCATAAAAAAGCACTAAAATTTTATTGGAAAACAGATTTACCTTCTTAATCTTTGAAGTGAATCAAGTTTAAATATAATTTATCAAGTTAATTTTTTTGTCCGTTCGCATTTACACATCTAAATTACGTTGTATCATTCATACGTGTGTTACAACATGTTCTCATCACTTATATGATTCAGTTCAATACTGCAGTCCTAAGCCATTCTAAATTCAAAATCAGTAACAAAAATTGGATTCCTAAGGAATATCATTGTCACATATATTATTATAGAATTATGTGACATTTCAGTTGAGGAAATTTCCAAATTTCTCTGTGTCAAGTTATCAACTTTTCATATTGTAAAGTTAACTTTTATTACACCAAATTGATTAATACAACAAAGTATTATAAAATATTTAATTATTTAGATCTGGAATATAACGTTTAATTCTTTGCAATGTTAAGAGGTTGATCTATCATTGTTAAGCTTACATTTAAACATCATAATTAAGTCAATTAATTACATTACATTTGATGAGGTAGATAATATTCCTAATTATAAGATTTACGCGTCCTTAGCACAGTTCCGAACAGATACATCTTTTTGAGTTCAACATTACTTCATCTAGTTTATTCAGAACTATGCGAATAGAACAATTTATACAAAAGCGTTACTGCATTGGATATATCTAAATGGATCAAATACTTCAATACATTCGGTATTGGTTATTTTCTGTATTTATGAATGATTTAGTATTTTTTTTTTGTGAAATTCTTGAAAATAAAATAAATCAAATAATGATTTACCCAACTTTTCTGCAGCACTGAGTAGAATATCTCTTGCTTTCTAATAATATACTTGATTTGGAAAATGTATTTAAAATAAAGTATTTATTTTTGATATTCTAAAATATTATTTATGACAAAAACAAACCTTTTTATAACAAATATGCTCCAAAATGTATTCAAAATAGAAAACTTCTTTTAACAATGTGAACATGATGTGTTCAACGAGACATGAGTCATCATTTTATTGCTTTGTGGTCATTGACCGAATAAAGAGTTAATTTGAAGTACTGCATAATCTGTAATCTAGGTTCTATTTTTTTTGTATGTTCTAAATTCTGTGAGAGTTACTGGTATTTCCAAATAATGAGTTTTTTTGTATAATGTATTCGTTTTAAAATTATAATATAAACATACATATGTATGTTTATATTATAATTTTAAAACAAAAATTTCCAAATAATGAGTTTTTTTGTATAATGTATGTAATTTTGTACAAGTGCAAAGGGAAGTTGTCAATTTCATATATTGTTTTGGCCTCACAGAAGTATTAAAAAGGTAAAAATACTTTAACATTCACTGATTGAAAAAACAACTAACCCGGTTAAGATATATTGAGAACTGACTTCATAACAAAATTGAAATTGTAAAGGGACTTCATGGACACCCTGTATATCTAGGTGTCCAAATAGCTTAATTTATTTTATGACATTGTGCACCATTCTGGTTTGACATCGTCGTATTCCCAAAAGACTTCGGTTAAGATAGGTGCTCACTGCTTTATGTTGTATGATTTGGAGTATATTATTAAACAACCATTAGGTTGAAACAAAGAAAGCTACCTCCAATATTTGAATCTGTCTAAATCGAAAAAATATTCGAATCATAATATAGTTTAGATTTAGTTGAAGAATAGAATGTTTTATTTTTATCTCAAATACTTATAATGCTTCCAATTCCTAAATTAGCACCTTGCCTTGATAATATAATGGCATAAAAATAAATGTCCAAAGAATGCAATTTATGATTTGTGATCCAATCGATTTAAAAATCTGTCATCACGTAAAATTTACTTTATCGAAAATGAATTTTATACTATAATAAATTTTTCTACAGTCGGTATTTTAAAAAACATTTATTTCTTGATAAGAGTATTATACTAATATCAATATAATATTTATATATATATATATATATATATTATGATAGAGAATTTCATCTGTAACATATACAATTTGTTACAATGCTCATATGCTCTTGTTACAATTAAAATATCATTGTTTAATTACCCTAATTACTCATCTGTAAATGTAAATCAGTAAACGTTATGTTGCAGAAATATCCTATAATAAGCGTTTAAAAAACTGTCTTTTAGCTTTTTTTAGACAGAAATCAATCATATAATGTATTGATTTCATTGCATATCTTATTACCACTAAGCGCATCGCGAGTCTGGCGTTTATAGCTTAGATTTGCATGTATTATTTAAATTCTGTCGCTACCAGAATATCTTATGTGCAACGTTGATTTTCAATGTACTGAAGAGTATTTTGGAAACAATATAATCCCTACACATACTGTTTCAGTTTCAAAAAGATTTTATATGATATTTTTTGATTGTGAATATTTCATGCCCTTCATTTATAATGCCAGATGTGAAATTTTACATAAATTCTAATTTGCATTCAAAGCTTCATTAAAAATAAATAGATTTAGATTATATATGCTTTCGAAATGTTTTGGACTGAATCAATTTAACGTATCTGGTATACAGGATTTGGGCTCTAGTTTTCATGTTTTGGATATTTTCAAAGTTTGACATACTGGTATATATTTTACCTGAAACGGTTGTATTTTATGATAAGACGATTATATTTCTTTATGCGAAGCGTTCCATTCCATTGTTATTTATTTCAAATATTATAAAATGAGTTATACCATCTATTTACTACTCTACGAATAAGACAAAATTTCTATTAATCTGAACATACTGGCATATATTTACATGTAACAATTAATAGTAGTTTGGGATAAGACGCTTAATAAAACTTTCTGCAAAGCGTTCAATTCCATTATTATTCATTTCAAATTTTATAAAATGAGTTATATCATCAATTCATTACTCTAAGAATAAAACAAAATTTCTAGTTTATTTAAGTTTCGAAAGATTGCCTTGATAAGAAATAGTGATTTTTCGGGACACAAATTCTCCATTTTTCCATTTTGTGAAAAATGATTTATCTATCTATGCCCTCAACCCTTTTTGTATTGTATGCATGGATGACTCTATCGATTATTACGGGCTTAATGCATTCATTAAGACTTGTGTATATTTTATCACGCTATAAATTCAAAACTATGTCAAGTATACCCCATATTGTGTTTTATGGGATTTTTTTGGCCCTAATGTCACTGAATTTAATTTATTCTAGATTAGGTTTCAAATTTGTTATTCCTATCTAGGGTTGCCACTTCTGGATACATTTTTTTTCGAATCGAATCTCGAATCAAAACTTTTCGAATCGAATCTTTCCGAATCTGATTCCATTAAGCTTTTTTTTTATTACATGCGTATGTTTGCCCAAAGTCACAAAAAAGCTCAAATCTAGAAGAAAAAAATTTGAAAATGGAATAGGCTATATAGCAAGGATGATAAGGGTTTTTCAGTGAATAAGCCACACTTATTTTCATCATGATAAAAAAGATGTAGGTCATAGATATCACTAATAAATGCATTGATGAAAAACTTGCTGTTGCAACTTATCTGTGAGTCTTACAATAGGCCTACTGAGTTATTGTGTTATACTTGTATCAGGGCTGAGGCAATTTGATGGAATTCATATGAGAAAATAAGCAGGGAACAGTTGTACTGTTATGTCGTAAACACAGTAACAGCACTGCTTTTCCTTGTCCCACACCAGTATATGTAACCGTGGTATTTCCCTTCTTGTTATATTGAATTGAGGCCGGCCTTATTACCGATTCTTTATCTTCAAAATCTTAGTACAATATTTTATATTTATGCTAGCAGCATAGAGTAATACGACAAAAACATTCTAATTGCATCTGAATTACTATAAATGGGAAATGCTTACAAGAATATGATTGAAGACGATAAAATTAACCACGATTAAATTAAATTCGATAAAAAACAATCGTTCATCCGACTACGATTGCGAACAAAAATTTCCATAAATATTAGAGAAAGTATTATTTGTGGCTAACAGCGTTATTGGCTAACTCGGGCTTCATTATTAATGTGGACTACGTTTAATTTCGTAGTTCAGAAAGTCCAAATGTGCATAATGGACGCCGCGCTGACGAGCGATAATTGGTTGACGCTTTATCTCGATCGGACATGGTCGCTGGGGCTAAAGTAAGACGACATTCGCACAGTATGCTCGGTCTGGTATGAAATCTGCCACGTGTTGATGTAAAACAGTGCACAAGTTGCCATTCCTCAAGTATTATTTACTCCCACCTGTCCGTTATGACATTTGCTCGAAATAATCCGAAATGTTTTATTCGCTTGTATCGCGCTAACAAAATTAAAAGTAAATACTACTTTTTTTTGTAACAGCTGAAAAAAGACGTGTATGTACTATTACATTATGTCCCCCTGATTTCGTTTACCGCCACTCGAGTGGAAGCCTGACAAACGCAATCAAAATAAATATATATTTTAGGATGAGAAACATGATTGTCAATTAACATTGCCGGCCGATGAACTCATTCAGTAATAGTTCTCTTCAAATGTACGCAAAATATTGCTCTCAGAACAAAGTTTAAATTAAATTTCAATCAAAATTAAACATTATCTAGACGTCGGTGGCCGATTCTTTATCCAATCATGCCAGGGCGTACAATAACTTAGTCGCAGCGCAGGTGTGCTGTTGAAAATTTTCATCAAAATTGTCACGAATTTTCAGGTATACGATCCATTTAAATTCGCGCGTAATGGAAACTTCGGCTATTTAGTGGAAAACTGAACTCGCAGTTTGCTGGTAATTACGCCACACATCATCTCGAGTGATGCGTAAAAGAGTGTGTTGTGTCGAACTTGAAACAAATGAGGGCAGACAAGTAAAAAAGTCAATCACGAAAAATTCATTTTCATTTATTTACGTCCCGTAATTTGTTGCTATTTGGAGTGCCGCATAAACGCATTCGGCAGTTTTAACGCCACCGAAAACAACGATTAACAAATGTTCAATGTTTTTCTTTCGGTCCCGTAATTTGGTGTTATTTGGAGTGCTGCATAAACGCATTCGGTAGTTTTAACACCGCCGAAAACAACGATTAACACACGTTCAATGTTTTTTTTTCGGTCCCGTAATTTGGCGTTATTTGGAGTGCCGCATAAACACACTCTGGCAGATTTGAAGCCGCCGAAAACGACGATTTAACAAACGTTCAATGTTTTTTTTTTCGCTAAATCGCTCTCTTTTTCCGAATCGCGTAAATCTGATTCGAATCGATCCGGAAAAGATGCGATTCGAATCGATCCGATTCGTAAATCCAAAAGTGGCATCCCTATTCCTATCGTCGGGTGGTAAATCATGGAACAAAAAAAAATTGCCAGATTATAATGGAAATTTTATGGTAATTTTTTATGGTTATTAGGAAGAATTAACTGATTATGTCAACTGGTTACGAAAATCTCTTTTTTGTATGGGGAGGAGCATCAAGATTCGCTATCAAGATTTGGCTCCGACTAAATATTATATGAATTATTTCATCTTCCAAAAATCTGATTTCAATTTTGAATAATCAATTTCAAACTAAATGTATCTATTTGCAACAAAATTGTAATATAGGCCTTTACAGTTAGCTCTGTTAAATGTTGCTTGTTAATTAAGTATTGGCTAAAATAACGCTATTTGAATTATAAGTACTGCATATAATTTATAAAATGAAATTGACTTTGACTTTCATTTTGCAGTCTCAGTCATGTCTCATGAATATAAATATAAATCAAAGTTTTTAGGATAAATTCTTCTTCAGAATAAATGAAAAAGCTTGAATGGAATAGGCTAAAACTAGCTGTCAACATATTTTCACTGAAGTTGCTCGAATCTCCTTGAAACAAAATTCGCTAAAACGTTCTCAAAAAGGGGACCAAAAATTTTGCAGTACTAAACTATAGGATGAATTTTTACCGGATCAAGAGTTGACGAACATCCTTTCCCTATTCTTGTATGCAGGATTGTTTGCACATTCTCATAGAATATTGATACATAAATGCTTTATTTGTGCACTCAGCATTTTCCTAATCACCATAAATCCTATTTTAGACAGTAATCGTTATGTAAACAATTTTATTGATTTTACTAGTATTGTGTCTTGTAATAATGGAACATAAAAAGATATGACAAATTCAAACAATATATCAATTAAATTACAATCTTATTTACTAGATATTATATAGTATGTTTTGTATTGTTTCAAACTTGAAAAAATGCAAAAAACTATTAATATATCTTTAGAGTTCACTTTCTTCCTATACACAGGTATCTTTCTTACACAAGTTGATTCTAAATCTATGTTCGATTAAGACGGAATGGTGATTCTGTATATACTAAAGCTATATACTAAATTAGTAGAAAATCAATATAGTGTTTATTAATGTTTATTCGCTTTATAGCAGTTTTGTCTAGTGGCTTCTTTTGCATGATTATTAGGGCTGTTTCCATCTATCGGAAAATCAGATTAATGTTTCATGTCATGTAGTCATTGGTTGTTGATATAGCTTTCTGATAATCATCATTTTCGATTTCGATTCTAAATTTATTTTGTGTTATTGAAGAATATATGCCAGAGCGTACAAAATATTATTGTCGCAAGATTGCAAATTTGTCTAGCACAATATACTAGAACTCAAAACAGTTATTGAATTTCTAAAATTAACACAATTTTATCAGTTTGGTTATTTTTAAATTTCTAAAATTCATTATCATGGTTATAAATATGAATTTGCAGTATTTTTTAATCCAAATTTTTTATTATGCTAAATGCATATCTGGACATCACTTCTATTTAGTTGTGTAGTGAATGCTTGTAGTCCAATGGTAGTTTAATATGATTGTTTTGCTTGCTTAATTTTACAATCTAACTTACACATGCTTTATTTTGCTTTCTATTTTGCGTGTCGTCATCATTGCCTGCCCGTACCTGCACCCGCTTGCAAACCTGCACCCCTAATTATCACCCACCTGGTCACCAACCCTGTCTCACCCTTGTCAAAATTCATTCGGTCACATAATTTTGCTCGTAATGTCTTAATTCCACAAACCATTTACATCATGCTTTGTATTTGTTGTTAAACGTTTTTGTTTGAACTAACTCTGGTGGCTGATTTATAATTGTTTTGTCAAATACTAAATTGATGTTATCATAATTTGATGACTATCCCAACTCAAAAAACAAATGTGAAATAATTACTAAAATTGGCCAATTTTTTGTTTTTTATTAAATTCAAAAATTTGCATGTTTAATCTAATTTTAAACGGATCACTTATTCTGTGTTTTGATTTTAAATGTCGCAACATGCATTTGTGTTATTATAATATAAATACATTTTATTGTGGTAAATTGTCTTAAACTTTTATGAAAAAATTATCCTCAATTCGACCTGTGACCCTCAATTTTAAATAACTATACATTGCTTACTAACCTATTGTGACCCCACCCACCCGCTCCATCCTGACCACGCCCCCAACCCCCGTAAACCTCTATATGGGCATGTGTGAAACGATAGTTTTGCCCTGTCTAGGACGAACTCGGATTCAGCGTTACATCAGAGTGTGATGAATCCAAACTCGCAAGCACCTTTCTCCAATTTCAACAATGTTCCTGGACATTTATCAGCGATGCCTCAACAACCCAGAAGAGGTGAATTGAATTTTATTTTTAAACGAGAGAGCAATGCTCAAAATATCGGGACACGGAGGTTGCACACTGGTACTCATAAGGCAGGGTCTCCCAAACTGGGGTTTGTGATGACTGCACCAGGAGTGCGCAACAATATGAAAAGAGTCTGATCGATTTTTAATGATTGTTTCTAATCAAAAAGCCATTGGGTCTTTCTGGTTGTGGGAGAATCCTGGTATCAATTGCTGTCAGTGAAGACAATAAAATTTTATTGCCTAACGACACACATGTATTAGGTAGCATTTTCAGCTCTTACCAATAGGATGACAAAATACAGGTCGAGACTTGGGGGTTCGTCAAAATGAGATTAACAAACAGGGAAAAAGTTTGGGAAACTCTGCTCTAAGGCATTACCTGAGCACAGATTTCGTTCAAATGCTAAGCAGACAAGTATAACAAAATAAGGAGTTTTCATATGCCATGAATACTGTTCAGAAGAAATTTGAAGAAATAAGAGTAATCAGTCTTATGGTGGCCTATTAAGTACGGATAACTGAAAAATTGAAATCAATTGGTCCAATAGTTGAAAATGATTTTTTTCAATTAACAACAATTTAGCAAAAGGATTCATATGTACACTTTTCAAGTCTTTCATCAAAAAAAGATTTTGTTTATTATGTTTATGAAAAGGAGCAATCAGCCTTAATAATACTAAGCTGTGTTTGGGAGGGCCGAATCTTATCTGCTCAATATGTATCGATGATGAAACGATATTTTATTGTCAGTACAGGTACTAACATCCCAATGGATTGGCTACCTTGCTACAATAGTATTTAGAAATTTCATTTTTGCGGCTACAAAATTTAGTCAACTCAAAAGTCTATGTATTTGGAATAATAAGTATTTACATACCCAACTTGGACTTACAACCAAATTAAAGTATGTGGTTTACTATATGATTAAGTCATTATATCAATTTTCTTCTCCTTGGGTGGGAAGGGCGGAAAAGTGCAGATATCTCAACTTCTTATGTGTTGTAGTTTTGGAAAGCAGTGTTTTATGTAACCCTGTATGGAGGGTCAGCAATTATGTTCATTTATTCTCATCAACACATTTATATATTTGACACAAATTTCGATCATTTCTTCAGATTTGATGGATACATCGATGTCTAAATCAGTTCTGGATGCTGAGAAATTTCATCAACATTTACAAGCTCCTAATGGACCTAAATCATGTGAAGATTCTCATATGGGGTAAGTTATGTGGACTTCATATTTACACATCATAAATGTATTGATAGTATGTGTAGAGTCTTGCTGCACACTAACACAAATGTATTTTTATAACGTCTTTCCTTGGACAAGAAGTTTACAACAAGATTCCTAATAAATTTAATAGTATAGTCATCTTTTTTCCTACTACGGCATCTTTGTAATGTATGCATACATATCCAGTAATGCAAAGGCACAGAGAAAGGATGGGAGTCTTGTGTAAGCCCAACTGATAAATGCGTTTAGCTACCTCTTGTTTTGCACTTGGCAATTTTAATTAATGCTGAATAAAATGAGCATATTAATGATTGTAAATGTAAAAATTTCCTGTTAGAGAAATAAAAGAAGAATAGCTTCAAGATATAAAGGAGTATATAATTTACGAAAACAATTAAGATTATCTGAGCCTTTACTAGTAATTCGAATCTACCGCCTACTTATAATTAAACATATGTTTACTATTGTTTATATTATTTTTCTACGAATTTTTGAGTATGTTTTCGTGGTAAGGAATATTTCATGTCACGATTTCATAGCCAAAGTCGGCAAATATTGTTATTAAATGCAAATTTAAATACAATTTCTCATTTCGTGTCGCCTGTGAGGTGGAAATTTTTTTCTATGAAGTTTTTTTTTCCCGCTCAAAATGCGCATTTTCAATAAGTTTGTGGGTTCTATTTTTAGCGCATAAATGTTATTGACACTCCTTAAATAGTCATCATGACGAAACTAAACGTCATCAATAAATATTTAATCTGATAAAGCCAGCTAAAGACCACAGAACGTAAATATGCCTAAGTATTAGTTACAGACTTTGGAGTACTTATTTACTTTCTATTGTCCAGACCGGAAATACACTATGCTAGTTCTCCTTGTGCCTGAAGGTACTCGCTAAAAATATGGCCCATGATGAGGCACCTCATTTGTAGAAAAATGCTGTAATAAATGTATACCTACCAATCTACTATGCGTTACATGCTGTGAAAAAGTTACGGGGATGTCTAAAAAAAAATCGAATATTCGAACACTTTTGAAATTCATAGAATTTAATCCAAAATTTGACATACCTAGACCCAGGGAAGTCCAAAACGAATCAAATATTCAGATATGTTTGATAAAGTAATTTATGATTTGGGAATAAATTAGAATATTTTTATATGAAAGTATATTAATATAAGCATTAAAATTGACTTCATTCAACCGTTAACAAAAACAATGTTTACTTCAAATATTCGATATCCGATATATCATATTCAAAACAATCTCTAAGGATTTACTCAGAAATTCTATTATTTGAATTCCCGAATCGTCTGCATCTGCTCAAATGATGAATCTCTATCTTCATGGTTCGTGTTTTTGAAATTACTTGATAATATTGAAGATCTGATGAGCAAACAGTTGGGTATCAGCTTTACTGGAGTTTTTCTGCTCATGATGTTACCCAATGCAACCCTCACACAATAATTATCTGTTGTGGGTTTGGGCAACAGCGATTCCATAACATTGTTTAACGATTTTAGTAAATTCTGGTTTCAACCAAACTTTTGGAAACTGGTCAAAACTGGAGTAAACTCGTTGATACCATGGCCTATCATAGCAATGATTCATTATTCCTTTACTTGTTTTCAGTGTTCTACAAAACACAGCGGAATGTACAAACCACAGGCAAGGAATGCCACCAACACCAACCAACCAACCAGGACTATCACACGTTACTCAGATCGGAAATAACACAGGATCTTTGCCAGGTAAAACGCTTAATTAACATGACCATTGAGAAATGAATTACAAGTGAAATATCAGTACATTTACACTGGTTCATAGCTGAAATGTTTGTTATTTTTGAATCATGTTCTATAATGCAAACTGGGATTCGTAAAATTCTAATCAACTCCTGGTTGTACAAAATTTTGACTTTGAACTCCGAGAAGATCTAATTTTGAAAAAATTTTGTCATATGAAAATTATCATTCAGTCATTCTTTATCACCGTTAGATGCCTGAAATTTTGACTTTGAGGAATTCAGGATTTCGACTTTATCTCTGGAAGTTTGAAAATACGACTCCTGGTCCAACTCCAGTAAATACATGCCCTGTCATAATATGATTCCATAATCACCTTCTATTTGCTCAAATGATGAACCTATATCTTCATGGTCCGTGTTTTTGAAATAATCTTGATAATATTGAAGATCTGATGAGCAGACCAGGGCTGTGTAGACGGAGTTTGGCAATTTGGCCAATTTCGATCAGACTCTGGATTTCTGGATTTCTTAGGAGTCGGAATTTCAGACTTTTAATGGTTTCAATAATCAAAGTCCTGATACAGAAATAGAAAAAAATTGACCTAACTATGCATTCCTAATATTCTATCAAAGAAGGCTGGTATACACAGTATTGTCTTTAAGGTCTGACTGATAGCTAGTTTCATATCCATATTATAAAAGTCGGTGGTTCACTGACTGATGTGAGACTGATTATGTACTTATTAACTTTATCAGCAGTTTGATTTAAGTTTCTACTTTGTAAAGTTAATTTGTCAATGTGTCTGTGGTTTAATTACTCTCTCATTAACTCTCCTCTTTTTGATTCACTTTAAGAGCAATCTTCCATATACATGGTATTTTAAATTGAAGAAATTAATGCTTAACTAACTATATTTGACTTCTTTCAGATTTAACAAATCTCCATATTCCATCTCCTTTGCCAAATCCAATTGATTATGATGAACAGCAAAAACAAATGCCTCAGGTATATTTATTTATCTATGTTTATATTAGCGATATATGGGAAAGTTGAACTTACCGTAATCTGACTTTTAATATGAATTGAAATTATTTTGATTCCAAAGACAATATACTGAAACTATAGCATTTAAATATTGAATGTGTATTGAATATATACATATGTGTTATAAAGGTTTAGAAAAAAATGTCTCTTTATAGTATTGTGTAATTCGGCTGTTCCATTTTGATCTGTCCCAGAATGTTGCTATTTGTGCTGCTATGTTGACCATTCAAAAAGTTCAAATATCACTATCAGATATAATTAATTAAATTTAATTTGAATATTCGGTTTGTTCTGGACTTCTCCAATTATAATACTTTTTTTACCAAAGAATGATTTGAAGAGGCCCGACTAAACATATATCTTTTTTTGCTTTTAATGGTTGCATCTTGTTCTATTTTGACTATTTGGCCGCTGCATCCTTGTTTTCCCAGTTGCGTATTTATTTATCAGACAAATATTTATATTTGCTGCTCAAATGATGATTCACATTCTTCATGGTCCGTGTTTTTGAAATAATTTGATAACAATGAAGATCTGATGAGCTAGATATCTCGAAAAAAGTCGAAATAGCATTACATTACTCAGTCCATCTTTCTATAAAAACTCATAGCAAAGCATGGGCCAAGCTGAAAGGAGTTGTCTAATATGAATCTAATATTCAAATACATTCCAAATTATTTGTTGACCATATTCTAATATACAATATATTTTGCATTACATGTATAATAATATTATTTAGTATGCATTTGGATTAGTTAATTTGGCTTTAGTAGTCTTGAAATGCGAAATTTTTTATGAATTTTCAGTTTCATTTGCCAACCTATTGAGGGGGCAAACTACCCTGGCACAATCTTAGAAACCTTGTTTCTAGTCTCCTTGATTAATTGAAAAAATCGTAATATTATTGTCACTTCATCGTTGTTTTCTCTATTTGTTCAGAATCAGCAAGGAGGTTCATTACAAACACCTGCCTCTATGCTTTATAACCAAGCAAGAAGTACAGGGAATATCAATTCTGCATCAAACATGAATCCACACATAGGAGGAGGTGAGACATTGTTTTATTCTTATCAGTTAGTATGATTCTTTGTCACAGTGAATTGCATTTGACACTGAGGGAATTTTTGGTGTAAATACTATTTCTTACACTTCATATCGTAATATAGGATGTCTATAAAGTCTTTAAAAAATTTCAAAATTGCAAAGGGAATTTATCAATACCATATTTTGTTTTGGTTCTCCTAAATGAAGAAAAAATACTTATTAAACAATTACTGATTAAAAAATAACAAACCTGGTTAATATGTATTGAGAACTGACTTCATAACAAAATTGAAATTGTAAAGGGACTTTATGGACACCCTGTATATTGCATATTATACTTGTGGTAAAAATCAAGATTGAAAAAAAGCACATGGCGGAAAAACAGTTCAGAAACTAATATTAGTCCTAAAGATCTTTAAATTGCCGTATATAGGCATCCTTACTCATGCACATGAGCGCTTATGGAGTTCCATAATACCATTTCAATGACAATGCATTCATATACTGAAAATATTTATGAATAGATTCAAAAAATTTGTTTTTTTCTTCTGGTGATGAGTCATTCGCGCATTCTAATGCAAGCTATACCTGAATGCTGTTATTTCTACTTGTAGTTCGATATAGCCTATTTTGAATTGATAAAAATTATCTCTAGGTTAGGCAAAATTTGTTGATGTTTCTGAATTATTCACAAAACTGATCGCAAACTTTTTTTTTAAATTTGCTCGCTATTTCCTTTTTAACAAATTTAAACGATATCAAATTGACAATAAAATTAGACAAGGACACACCATATCATAAAGATGACGACTACCATATTAGATTTTTCACTTTCGGTCTGCTTGCGAGAGTCTTACGAAAATTCTTGCGCTTTCGCTCATGTTAGCCAGTGCCATGTCAAAGTAAATTGACTTATTATTGGATATTTGAATAGTTGAAACTGAAAGCCATTACAATATTCCATTTGATATTCGAATATTTTGCCTAGTCGTAATCATCATGGGGTGGCTCTTTTCAAGTTCATTATAACGTAGCAACTTAGAAACTTTCTTATAACGTAGTGGGTTGTTTTGTAATGCACTTGTCGCATGTGTGCATGGTGTAGTGAATCTTTAGCAATGCCTAAAAGGCTTGTCCACTGCATGGGAATGTATTGGCTATATTGTGTATTGTATGTAGAAAAGTCCACAACAATTTTTTGAGAATTTGATTTTAAATTTTTCAGATTTTATCGATTGATTTTGTGATACAATAAAATCATTATTTATATTGTGATTTTTCTTGATTATTGAATTTGGTTCATTTACAAAAACATTAGTTTTATTGTCTCAATTTTTGGTAGCTGTAATATTAAACTAAGGGGAGGATGTTGCGTTTGTAGCGTTACTACAACTACCATATATTGGCTATCCAAATGCAGTAGGCTATGAGGTATACCGTTATAATAGTTAAAATTACCAAGTTATTTCAAAAATATGTACAAATTAAGTGTTTATTGCTAAATTAAATGCATTGAAACAAAGGGTTTTATTAGGGAGGTAAATCCCACGCTAAAGTACTAGCTTGGGTTACATTTCGCTCTATGCGGTGGTAGACCTAGACTCACTACAGTAGCACCAAATAATGTCAAAAGTTATTCGATTAGGTCCATTTTCATCTACCGGTACGGTATATATGTGATTCGTTTGATTTTATCTCTGCCTTTACTATTATTTGATTGGGTGCTGTTAAGTTTTCGAAATCACTCATCCAAACTGACTCACTGAAATCAGCTCTCTTAAATCGTACTGGTGTCAGAGTGACTTTACTCTTATTGGTGATAATGTGCCATTTGTCTTAATATTTACCAATCAAAGTGGCTTTCGTGTGTGGTTTTCTATTACTGTTATGTACACTCATTATGATAATATTGTGCAATAGGTAAAGTTGGATTCAAAACAATCTGTATGTATACGGTGTTCAAATTTAATTTAGGAATTAAATGAACTTTTTCTGATACAGTGATTCACTTTTTTAAGTAAAGGGGGTCGATCTTACATTGAGCAAATTTTTTTGAAATATATTTATCTATTATTGGGAAAGTTTTTTTTCTAAATTTCAAATAGAAAGATAATCTGAGGTTGTATAGTTGACTCAATATTTTTTAGCAGACAACACGATGGAGAAAGATACCAGTCGTAGTATTTCAGTCAGAATTCGTAGAATTTTGAAAGAACTAGACTCTATATTAGAAGAGGAGAACAGTTATACAAGGAAAAAAATTGAGAGAACTAAATTACGTAGTGCAGTTCTAAATTGTGCTAATGGAATAGAGAGACTCTCAGAAGGAAGTCATGAAGAAAATGTTGATGATTGTCACAAAGAACCAGTTGATATTAGTAGCTGTTCCTGCCAGAGAAATAGTTGTAAGAAAGGAAAACAGAAAGTATTTTCCGATCAGGATGTTCCAAGAAAAGAGACGAGACGAAGCTTAAGAAATAAGGTTAAAGGTTAGTATTTTTTAGCATTCACTAGACATCCAAATCCTTTGAAATGACTACCTATTTGCATTTGCATATTTAATAATGTTTTGATACGAAAAGTGGAAGAAATTCCAGATATACACATGAGCTAAATATTTTAAAAATCTCAAGAAAGTTTTTGCATTTTATACATAGTTATACAAGATGCTATAGTCATAAAAGACATTATTTAGCCCTCAGTGTTTGAGTTCTTAGTGGTAGTGCTTTTGGTCAAAAAAAAAAAAAAAAACTTCTATAATTGAGAAAAGAGAAAAAAAATTTTAGAATCTGCTCCAAAGTAGTCATAATAATAATAACTATAATTATATATTAATGATAATATAATTCTTCAAGTGTCCAAAAGAAATTTTTTTTATTTACCTCGCTCACTCCTAAGGAAGTCGTACCAGGTCTGAGCAAGAAGAAAATCCTTTAAGCTCTGTTTTATCATGACTTCGAATAGCGTAGTTTCACTTTTGTTTCAGTCGTCTAGGTAGAAATTCTTACAGAGTTCTTATGAAACGAAAAATCATGTCATCTTGCAGGTTCATGAAATGTTTCGATTACTATAACCATGTCTATTTATATTGTTCCAAGCTTGATAGGAGTAAAACTTATTTTTTGCCTTTGTTCGATCTATCTTTTTGTCTGATTGGTGGTATGATTGTAATCAATTTTTTGTCAGACTCTTCTTGACAGAAGTCCTTTTCTCAATACTCTTTGATAGAATATCTGCTGCCTAAAATGATTGATTAGTTTTTTGAACTGACTTCAATTAATATTGTTTGTCTAGTTCAAAATTCTCAAAATTATTTTTGCCCAATTTTTTGTATACCTTATTTGTTATTATAATTATGTAACATGGCATAAGAATTACTGAGCCCAAGAAATCGTGAATTTCCTAATAAAATTTTTTTTGTTTGTATATGGCACTATTGTTTGTGCACCATTAAATTAGGCTTTCCTTGCAAAAATTCGTGCGTTTTTTACTTTCCATAATCACATTTCTCCCAATAATTTAGTCATGCATACTCTCGTTTGCGTTAAGGCTTTATAAACAATACGTGACTTAAATTGTTTTGGGTCTGCCTCGCAAGTTATTTACCAATCAAGTATGAAAGATAGATGTCATATTTGTTCAATGTCTGGCCAATGTACGAAGATGCTTAAGAATTTGTGACCTTGAATGCCCTCTGACTTCGAAAAATTGTTTTATCTGATTAAATGAAAAATCTAAAATAATTTGCCGTTTTTATTCCAAAAAATTTTCAATGTCACTTATTTAGTTTTTCCATTCATATTTCATTGAATAAAAACTCCTATCTGAACAGATCCTGTGAATAAATTTGTTATCCATAATTCTCAAAATATACAAATTGTCCCATTTGTTAAATTTTCTTTGGTATAAAAGCATACTATTACACCGCTATAAATTAGGACAACTGTGGTGCAGTGTTATGTCCATATTCCATAGTGATAATCATAAATAAGTCCAGCAATACGGTTATCCATATTATATCATAGTCCGTCTGTGAACTAACTGTTATCATAAAAATAATGCAATGACATCGCTATGCTAAACGGAATCACGGATATAGTTGTAAATGAAATTAATATTGGAATTCACCCAATCGTTTGTATTGTGAAGAAAAAGTAATGTAGTGTTAGTTTCATAATGATATGTATAAGATTTTTTAGTGTTTTTTTGTATTGCAAACTTGTTGTAAAACTCAATAAGAAGCGGACAGTATTGGATTTTGGACAGATTTGTCTCACTAACGCGCAAATCCATTCTAAAATATCCCAAGATATTGCGATTTGATTAATTTTCTTTGTTCCTTCTTATTTTTGATTAAAAATTCTCAAAATTCCATATTATAATTGAAGGCAATTTTATTTTTTGAGGTGCACATTAAGTAAAATAGTATTTGATTTTTGGCAAGTTATTCAAAATATATTACTACAAGTTTGTAGCTTACTTATCTGTTTGTTAGAATTCGGTGTTGCTATTCGTGATTCCACTTTTTGATTTTGATCAGTCTCCCCAATAATGTATTTTTGTGATTTCCTGGTGGTTAATGTGGTACACTAACCCCGTTTTTTATGTTGGTGAATTGTACTAATTTTTGCTTTGCGGGCACACAGGGTTACCGAGCCCCAACCGTTCACGTAGACATACGCACAATGGACCCAGTCCTCTCAGTTTGAGCTCACAAGAACAGAACAGAAGAGTAAAATTTCATGGTAAGTTTTTTTTCTGAAAATTTTGAAGAGTAATTTTTAGGCGATATCATTTTTAACAATTTTTGGCTTTATTAATATTCTGGATAGTTTTTTTGGTATAACAGGATATTGTGTAAAAAATTGTTTGTTTTTTGAGAAAGCAAATACTAAAATAAAATTAACGAATTAAGTTTGGAAAGACTTCAAATCACTGCTATTCAATTAACAACAAACGATTACTTTATTTTCAAGATATTTTTATCGAACGTTTCATTCAATTCTGAATTTTTTTTTCTGATATTCCATTTATGCTTAGTTTTATTAATCAGTCCCAAGAAAAATATTCTTATTTTTTAAAAAAATAATGGTCTAAGAGCGCTGAAAATGTAACATAACGTTACTCAACAAATTTTGTGTAATGAAGAATGAGTAATACTTCATCCATAATAATAGAGATAATGTAGGGTAACCTAATAGCGATTTTTCAAACTAATTAACATTAATATTCTGCAAGCTAAGCAGTGTTCCTGATTATGATTTTTTGATGCTATGTATTTGGGACCACTGAATTTTTCTAGATAGTATCAGAAGTATATAACGTAGATCAGGGTTTCCCAAACTGGGGCCCACAGTCCCCTGGGGGTCAATGATGACTGCACAGGGGGTCCGCAACGATATGAAAAGAGTCTGAAACGTATATAAATAGATCATAATCTTATCGAATTGTCGTTAGCCTGCCAGTATTCAACGATAGCATGTGTTGATTCAGACTTTCAGGTTAGGCACACAAATTGATACGGATAGCGGCCCGTCATAAATAAGATTCATAAACAGTGGTCTGCGGCCCAAAAAGTTTGGGAAACCCTGACTCGGATAGTCTACAATTAACAATAGTTTTATTTATAATGATAATGCATTTCAGGTTGATTTACTTTTTTTCTTAATAGCATGCTTGTGTCCAGCAAATGTTTGTACCAATTACATGCATGGCTAATTGCATTGCGTTAATTGATTGCATAATTCCATTTGTGATTTATTTGTGCTCGCAAACATAGCATGGTACGATTATTTTAAGATCATTGGTATGTTTTATTGCCATACTTACTAGTAGATACTATAAATAACAATATGGGGGATGTCATTCCTAAAATTAACAATATTATTCTGATATTCGAAATGGAGATATGGCTAATTTTTTCATTCTAATGCTGTTAAATTCAAGCCAAAATGGATGATATTTTTCAAAGTTTTTTTTCAACCCTCTTTCCATGTTTATAAAGTAAAATTGAAATCTTAATTATTATATTCTGAGATGATTAAGTTTGTTTTGCTAGAAAAAGCCTATAAAACACATAACGAAATAATAATGTTTCTTGGTAAAAATATATTACATTATGTTTATTATCATTTTAAATTGATTTACAACCCAAAGCATTGTCTCAGGTTAATAATTACCTTCTATGGAAAAGATTACGGTGGCAAAAAATTGTTGTACGATCTGCTAAGCTTGTATGGTGACAAAGCTGGTATTTTGGGCCTGTTTTATCCCTGGTACATATTTGGTATAGATAGAAATAAAATTCCTTGATTTGGAAAACGACATCTGTTTTTCGGCACTGCTTCAAAACTGATAATTTTACCTGTTTTGTCATAAATCATACAGAAAGAACATTTTATTAGTCAACAAATCGTTTGTTTTTGACTTTTGCCAAATTTGATGTCAAAATATCGATAATCTGGGGTTTTTTACCGAAATTTATTGCCCCAAACTGTGTGTTTAACAATGAAAATTATGGTTTATGAAGGTTATACTAACAATACCGTTGTTATACTGTTATATCGTCATAATCACTGATCCAATACAAAGATGTTTTTATAGACAACAGACAGTTATTACAAACAGAAACAAGTTTATATTACTTAAAAAATTGAAAGATTTTATTTACATTGAACCTTTTTTGATATTTTCTTTAATCTTTCTCTTATATCTTCATTCTTTTCACAGGTATTCCATCACCAAAAATTGTTGGGATTAAGCCAGACTTGAAAAGTCCCCCAATCGGGGGTCCGTATTCATATGCGTACCCTCTTACTGGACCTGGTGGACCGGTAAGTTATAAAGTCATTATCATTTTGTAGTTAGATTGTTGTTGGGAAAAAAATAATGAGCTAATTAATTTTGCCAGGAGGCTGTCAATTTTTTGGTATCACATTCCGTATTTTATGCCAAACTTCACTTTTTCTGAGTATAGCTTACAATCTTGTGGCATTCCGCCAGGCTAAAGTTTCATTTTTTCAACAAACCCGGAGCACAGCATTGACATTGTTCGCTACAGCGATAGGACTTGATTTGCAATGTTGTTATCTCTAACAGAGATGGTTTGTTATACAAATAGGGTTGCCTTATAAAATGAAACATTTGGAATAATATCAAAAGTTATTGAAATGAATTTTGAGAAGAATTTTAAAATTCTACAACAATATGAACATACTATTTCTAGCACTGGTTATTTGAATATTTTGTTCAAATGTGTTAGTAACAATTTTTGTTATTTTAGGGTCCACTGCATCGTCAAATGCAGCAACATCTACATCAAGGTTAGTATTTCTTTTATTAAATCTAAGTGTCTTTATTTATGATTTTTCTTTTCAATTTAGCAGAAATATTGGGAAAGTTGTTTATTACTTGGCATTTTCAATCTAAATATTGGATTGAAATGCTTGTTCGTTATGAGGCGTTGGTCCAAGAAAATGAATTTGATTATAATTTCAAGTCTAAAAAGTTGTACATTCAAAATGCATTCAATTTTAATCCGTAATTACGTTCTTGATTTTCACAATATAAAAATATATACTGTTTGTATTTTAAGTTGTTATTTTGTTCAAGTTAATAGCAAAGCATTTAATTTCAAATCGTATAAATATATAATAATAGAATATCATTGGAAAACCCTAAATTCAAAACATATTTGAAATTCCTTGTTTAAAATTTTTTTTATAATATATTTAGAATAGTATATGCGAATGATTGTCGATTTGTCGGTACACATATTGTTTAACTGCCCTGAAAATAAAACCGCTTTCTATAGAGCAATTCTAATTCGATAGGCGATGGAGACCATTTATCGATGCCTATTTTTATTAACGGTTTCATTTCTGTCATCCTTTTTTACAGCCCTTGTAGATTGGATTACTATCTTCATAAATTTTATGGCCTGTCGCTCAGTTATATTATTGTTGATTCTGTTTTTTACAATAATTTTCTTTAAATATATTATGACTTATTCTATCTCGCTTGTAAAGTTCTATTTTTACTTCACGATTAAGTTGGGACTGGCCATTATATTACTTTTATATCCTAGTTTAAAGTTGGTCTAGTATAAAAAAGAGCTTAATAGTGTTTGTTTAATTTACTGTTTATGTAAAACTCTGACGGAAATAAAGTTTGAATTTTCACTGTTAAAGGACTACGAATAGGTGGAAATTTACTTGATTTAATATTGTAAATGAATTCAAAATTTTATTACAATCAGGACTGTAAATAATATGGAATTTCCCTATGTCCAGACATGAACAGGATTTTAATACATTTGGTGCTGTGAAATAAGTTAGGTCTCACTACAGTTAAACTGTAAATTAAGTCAAAACTTACTGCATTCAAAACTGTAGAGACAATAAAATATATAATGGAATTTCACTTTGTTTAGTTCTGTGAAATAAATGGAATTTTACAGTATTTAGAACCGTAAAGACTACAATAAAGATGTAGATCTTTCACAATATTCAGGCCTGAGAAAATAACAGGAATTGTGAAATAGGAGACACTCCATCATATTTTGGGGGTAAAATTCACTACAAAAGCCGTAGTATAGCAGATTACACCAAGCCCTATTTAGGCCTTGCTTTGGGAATTGGGACTTGAACATTTATTTCTCTTTTTGAAATATTATGGCAGCAGATGAAAGTCATAGACATGAAACACCAATGACTAGCCTACTAGTAATTACCATTAAACCTAGGAATTATGAATCAATTCGGAGGTGTTCCTATTCGTTTTCATGTTTATCTTTTTTATTTAGCTGTCAATAGTGCTCATCCTGTACTCCGTGTCGATGTAAACGCAGCTTCGAAAGTTGGACAATATCCAAACCCACCACATCCGCAGCAAATCGGGGGCCACAGGCATTCTTCCGGGCCAAATATGACGAGCCCCATCACATCTCCCACTTCACCAACTTCCCACGGGAGCTTATCACCCAGTGCATCACCCCAGGTAAAAAAATATATAATTATCATTTATATTTTCACTTCTACAAATACCTTTAATAATGACTTTACGAAGGGGTGTGCAACCTTTAATACAAGAGGGCCAGATACAAATAACTGGGTGAAACCGCTGGCCACACCTTAATTTAACCTAGGCTTTTTAGTAGTTGTAGGCCCTTTTTGTTAAATGGAGACTCGCATCATTGTTTTGAGCATGGTAGCACAAAAATTAAATTTTGAAATTGAATACCCTGATACTGAGAAAAGCTTTGTTTCGATCAGCTGTTTTGTAGTGCATTCATAACAGGTTCTGGTTTTCGTATTGCCCCACCATTGTTTTATGAAACTCTGTGGTCTTGTAATGAACATTCCGTGTAATAAATGAATCTTCAAGAGGCGACCAACGATACTGAAAATTTTATTCAGTTTCTGAAATCATGAGCCAATTGAAATATAGGGTTTTCATAAAGTTTTTAAAATTGCAAAGGGAATTTATCGTAATCTGAACATTCGTGCATCCTATTTCAGGAAGTTACTTTATTAATCAACCTAATTATCCTATTGTTTTTTCCATTGAACTGGTGGTCAAGCTTCCTTTTATTGTCAAAGTTTTTCTCGTTAAAATTGTACTTTATCGACCGCATACCTCCATATGGTTTTGAATTATTCTTTACTGAAGTTTGAATACAGAATCCCTATAATTCATATTCTTCGGTCACTCTTGGTGGTTACTCATGAAATGAAACTTTGATATCTTGGCCTTCCAGTTACTAAAATTTGTAAGTTTGTTGAAAATAATGAAATTGCCTATAGGTTAGGCATAGGAATATGTGGCTTTAGACCAGGGGTCGGCAACCTACGGCCCGCAGGCCGGATCCAGCCAGCGGAGCATTATAATTCGGCCCGCAACACTTCACTAAATTATAGTAACAAAACATCCGTTTTGACGAATATATTCTTTAGACTAAATTATATTATAACCTAACAAGTATATAATGCACAATTACTCGTTTGATGAGCATATAATTTAATTATAATAAAGCAAATGGCGACAAAACGCAGAAAAGTTGATGCTAAGTGCAAAGGGTTCAATGGCGCTGAAAATATTCAAATGGAATTTTATAAGATGCAATGAGGAAATAAATCTATATTCCATTCGAGGGATGTATCACTGCTTGATTTTTATTAAAAAAAGTACCATTCGTTCGGTTTTTCAACTTTCTAAAAATATGTGCGGCCCAGTAATGACTTGCAACCTTAATTTTGGCCTGCGAGCGACAAAAGGTTGCCGACCCCTGCTTTAGACTATACTGTTACTATATGGTTCAAACGATTGCAATTTTACATACCAAAAATACAAAACTGTTAATTTTTAAACATATTCAGTAATCGTTCACCAACTAGAATGGCTCTGCGATATTACATTTGATCAAATGAAAAGTTATGTTTAACAATGGCTTTCTATTTTTCTGCAGTTTACAAAAACTAAATAAGCCCTTATTGGTCATACTGTGAGAATATAATCATTCCAAACGATAATTTTTTAAATTCCTCATAATTCCGAAATCAAGAATTTGAGTACAATTTGTCATGGACATCCCTGATTGGATTTATATTTAAATTATAATTAAATTAAATACAGTATTTGAATAGAATTACTCATTCATTTTGTGAGAATGCTACTACCATAAATCTCTTATATAGTGACATTTTTTTTACCGTTCAACTTCGAGTCACGACATGTTCACAATACTATTGATTACAATCATTGCTCATTAAATTGCATTGATTCATCTTTATATTGCCTGACTCATTCTGTTTCTGATTCGTTCCATGCATTGACTGCACATAAATGTGATATTTGTATTTTTTGTAAGATAAATCTATGTGCAATAAAACTTACTTATACGGGTAATAAAGTGATTATAAGTCTAATTGGATATTGACCATGTATTTGGGTAATTAAACACTGATTGTATACTTTGGTTGACACTCTAAATTTTCTGGATTGGTTATTATTATTGGACTCATTTGTCTTTTAGGGAAAAAATTGTCTGGGGTGATGTCTATTTTTATTTCAGAATTAAAAATTAATATAGTGAGAAAATACAAAATTATAACGGAAACTGTAGTGTAGTTATTATTGTAGAATATTGTTATCCTATCATGGTGGCATAAATTACTGTTTATGTTAACCATTGCATTCCTTTATGTAAGTTTGTAATTGTGTTACCATTATGGGAGAAACTAATTTTGTTCGCGTACTTTACACCAAGTTGTGTAAAGGGACTGAATCCTATATCGGGTTTATTCACTTGGCTAACACAGACAGTCCCGAACTCGTATTAGAACTAAAATAAGGAAAATCTGAATAAAATTATGGCTTAACCCTAACCTGGTACACACACTACAGGAGTGCACTGTTTTCTGTATCATAATGGCAGTAATGGAATTATATATAACAGGCTATTGACTAACAGTCAACTACCTTGCCAATTAGTAATAAAATTAGATTCATGATTTGAATGTTCTATTACTTTATGCAACATCCATCTTGCTTTAACTTATCCATATTCTTCTGACAATTTAATTTTGGATTCTGTCATTGCTCTAACATTGGTAGAAAGGTTTCTTTGTGCATTTCGAAAACCTCATTTTGAATAAACAATGTGATCATTGTATGCAAGTGTGTCATATTTAAAACGAAAATTTTATTTGAAACAGCTTTAATTTGAAACATATAAACATATGTGTGATCCAGTTTAACTAATTGGCAGAACTTTCTATGACCTGTTATGACATCACAATTTCTCAAATTATTTTTATTCCAAACTTTACAGCAAATCATCTATGATGAAATCACAGTCACACATACCTGTGCAGTATAAGACATAAAAACATGACAATATTACGAACTAACTTTCTCATACCGACGTATTTTATGACCTTATGAACTTTTCGTGTAATGTCTACTCTGATAAACGACACATGTGTATTCATTTTATTGATCTGTAATAACCATGATCCATTGTTTGTCACAAACACAATTATGATTTACGGCGAATTTATGAAAAATCGCAGCGAGACTTATTCAATGTTTCTTATAGCTATATTGTACATTCTATGACAATTTACACTTTGATTTACTGAATGACAGATGATGGATTAGTCAATGTATCCATAATTTGACAAGTGATTCAATGAATTGAGCTCTGCTTGTGATTCTTGGTGTATGTCTTGACCAGGCAATTCATCTTGTTTTGAAAATTGGGAAATTGTATTTACTACGTTTCAAAGTTGTTTAGAATCTCTATGAAGTTATTTTCTTAGTGGATATCAAGGATATAAAATTCAAATATCAATGAGAATCAGGTGTGCTGCCAAGATTTTTTGTACTAAGAGGGTTAGGTGAAATTAAAAAAAGTCAATTCACAATTTTGTAAGGAGTTCAAAGAACCTAACGCCTCCCTCTGCCAAACGTCATTTGGTGAATATTTACTTGTCCTACTTCAAATATCTTCTAACCTCCCCACTGGCTGCAGTCCTGATGAGAATGTCGTGACATTGTCACAGTCTGTCGATATTTCACCCTATATTTTGCTTGTTTTCATAATTCGTGGGTACATCATATGGTATTCAGTGCAATTATATTTGATCTTGTGTCCATGTATCCCAGCATCGCGGTGTGTTATTACCTAAATAATGTATCAAGTTTGATTTTTGTCTTATTCTTTGCATGATTTTTATATTTATTTTTCAGCATTTACCTGAACTAACATCAACTACAAATCCTGCTTTATCAGAAGCTTATTACAGAACAGATCTCACAAGTATGCAGCCTTTACAACACCAGGTAACTCATTTTTTCATTATCAGCATTAGAAGGCTCGGTGCTCCAGAAGTGTGTGTATCAATATGGAGGTAACTAATTTTGTTCGCCTATTTTACATCAAGTTGTGTAAAGGGACTAAAACCTATGGGCAGGTGGTATATTTACTTGGCTAACACAGACAGTCCCAGAACTCGTAATAGAACCAAAATAAGGAAAATCTGAATAAAATTGTGGTCTAACCCTAAGTTCCTAACCTGATACACACACTACGGGAGTACCGAATTCTCCACTAACAAAATTCTAGTGGCATTAATTCAAAATTTTGGAGCAGGATAAAGAGCACTGCTTCAAACCAGGGATGTCCAATACAAATTGACCAATCAGATCTGTTGTGCAAATCGCCACCAAGTCGGAACAAAATTGAAAGTTTTTGGCTATTGCAACTTGCAAGTACCGTATCTTCCGGCTAATAAGTTGATTTTCAAGACCTACGTTTTCGACCTAGTTTTTTCAACAAATTAATGTGTGTATATGTTATTGTCATTTCTCAAACAGGGTGAATATTCAACTCGCAATCTTAGTTTAAAAGTTCCTGAAAGCTTGCTTCTGCTAACTATACAAAGAAATTCTGTAACCTTTAACCTCTCTCTACTTCCTTCTCTTTCAGTTTGAGCAATTCCATGTAGTTGGAAATGATATCGTGTGTTCGTCTGGTCTACAACACACATCGATGCCTCCTCCTGTCTACAGCTCGAGTTTGCATCTTCTTTCAGGGGATGGTGGTTATGGAGCACCGCAACAAAGAAGTAAGTAGAAAGATCCGTATAGTTTTTGATTGTGATCATTAAACTGAAATACTAGTCTAGAAAATGGGTTTGTGCTAACACGGAACAATATCTCAGAGTTCTCAGGGCAGTGAGCTTCTCAGAGCATGTCATTATTGATATTGGAGTCGAAGCTGGAGACATGTTTTCAAAATATTTAGTGTCCAAATAGAAAATTCTGAGTAAGATAATAAATTTTTGGCAGAAACTGAAAAAGCATATTATGTTGACTAAGCTTAACAGATACTTCAAGAATGCATAGGCCAGTTCTTTGGGGGTAAAAAAATGGGGATCTCAAGTCAAGAGTCAAATTTTCTTCCAGTCTGTTGTTAGTCAAAACTTTTGTCATTTTTAAATAGCTTGGGGCTTGTATTCAGAGTTTGGTCTGGTATATATTTACTCAACTCCACAACCGTCTGAGTATTTGATTAGTTGAATGATAAATTATTCAAATTTGTTAATTGCTTCTTGATATTTTGTTTAGTTTACTCTATCCCGTAAGTCAATATTTTATAAAATTCAAGGTCATTTTCTGTTAGATAGCTTTTATTGTTTTGTTGTACAGCATTACTATCTTCAACATCTGTGTTGATGTTCTACCAATTCATATTGAACGTATTGTAATTGGTCAAACAACTGATTATTGATATTTATTCTTTCTTTTACAATTGAACGTTTTGTTTAGGTTCTGATAGCAGCATCCACACTTACAATAATGGGAGCAATAATTTTTTCCATAAAAACCTCATATCACCAACATCAAAAATACCAGACATCGTTTTTACAGGTAATTATACAAATCATGCTAGTTTATTTCTATGAGCAACATAAAAGCAAAACCAATTTAATTATCAGTCTCAGATGACAGGGATTCTTAAACTGGCACCTTGGCTCCTCGAGAGGGCCACAGTGCGAAGTGCTTCTCTGTGAGCCACATGCAAAGGCCTTCACAAAGCCCATTCACTATTAGTTTAAAGTAAGAAATAACTTTGTCCTATAGCTTCTTTCTAGTCATCAGAGTGTTGATTATGATAAGCGGTGCTCGGTTGCTATTTCATTCGCCATTCATACATCTAGATCTGACATGAGCAAACAACGGCTTGTGGGCCAAATTTGGCCCGGTGGGTAATTTAATCTGGCCCGCCTGATGCTGACCAATCAAAATAAACCCAAATTTTCATGTTCCAGCTGAAAATGGGTCAAGTAGTTTGTTGCGATTGAATTTAATTTTGGCACGAGGCTTATTGTTTTCAATTTTTGCTTTTGTAAAACACTGTAAATATTGTTCTTAAAATGTAAATTTTTGCGTAACACTTCCATTGCCCACCAGTCCAGATGGGCAAAATTTTTGGCCATTGGTACAAAAACCTCGCTCGCCTCTGATCTATACCATCAGCTTGTTTTGGCTGAAGATGATAATTCCGAGATCTGATTCTATTGGATTTACTTCATAAACAGACTTTCAGCTTCAAAAAGACAAAAGCTAAATTCGAATCTATTTTTCAGGTGTTGATGATCCCCAAAAATCTGGCCTGAGTGGGGAGGTCCCGGGATACCCAACTTCCGTTGTTATGTCCGCGTCTGGGATGGCAGATTTCGGTAATGATTACTTCCCCGGAGATGACCTGAAGGTGAATATAGGCTTTGAAGAATTACAAATGCTGGACGCAAAAATGATAGAAGATCCGTTGATGGAAGATGACCTTCGTCTCAATTCATCTTGAAAAAGTTTGAGAAAAACAAAGGTTAAAGGTCAAATATGAACTTGTCCGTGCCGCTGCGATGTCCAGTCTGGTCCAATCCGCAGTTCGTCGAAGCGTGGAAGAGACAGAAGGCCTGGCGCAACATTGATGACAATTTTTCTATTTTTTAACTTTTTTTCCATGAGTACTCACTCCACTAGTGCCATGATGGTATTCTGGATTGTTCCGGTTATGACCAGCTTTAACCAGTCTAGCACGAAGTGGAATTTTGCCAATATGGAGCCATTTATATGATATTGAGAATTCAGAATGCTGTTGATTTTCTGTTTGCGGACTTTTGTGTAGATGACTTGTGGTCAGAGTTGCTTTATTTTGTACACAAGTAGTAATAATTGATCATCCTTTATTCATTGAAAATGATTTGAGACAGATTTTCTTTATGAGAGTATGAAAGACAATAATTTTGGTACAATCTGGCCATGACCGGTTTAATCCAGTACGGTTGGTCAAAACCAGATTTCTCTCATATTTTTAGATTTTATTTTTTCTAATTAATATTCATGTTTCTGTCAGTAGTGTAAAATCATGCTGTACAAGTGGAAAAGCTGTATTAACAAATTTCAACATAGATTTTCTGTATTCCTCCAGTTATGTTCAACTTGTGTGAAGCGTAACAGATACAAATTTATTTTTCAAGTTTTTTTTTTTTATACTACTGAGATCAGGGTTCTCAACCGGGGGTAAATCTACTACTCATGGGTATTTACCACTAGGTGAATTATGCAAACGAGAAAGTATATGGCCTAATGTGAGAGGACGTCTGAGAAAATATCTAGTGGTCCTCTAACTTTTCGAACCCCCTTTTTAGAATTTTCTCACACCTCACCTCAAGAAGAACTAGCTAACAATAAGCTAACAATAACAGATAGTAAGGTGAAAGTATGTTTTATTCAAAAAACACGTTGAAAATTTGTGGAATGGAACGTTAATATCCAAAATAAGGCGGCCAAGATCAAATATTTTTATTTTTAATTAGCCTCACGCCCTCTCAAAAATTGTCTATGCCGCCCCCTTTTTGTGGGACACGCCCTTCCGTATGAGAACCACTGATCTGGCCCCCCGCTAAGATTAAATGATAGACTAATGGTTGAGAACTCCTGGTTTACAAAACATCTTTGGGTCCAGTGAATGGTGATTTTCACAGGCCATATCATGAAGTTTCTTTTTTAAAAAAAAATTATTTTTGAGCTGGTAACCTTGCCGGGTTGTTTCTTGTTCAAAGCAGCTGGACAAACATGACATTAAATTATGTACACAATTTAAAGTTTCAACGTTTGAGGTGTCGCACTTTTGTTTAGTGAGGATGATTTTATAAATAATACTCGTCAAATTTTAGTTTCGACACATTTTTAGCGGACATAAATATGGCTGCTTTTGTTTTTATGTTTTTGTTTTTTATTTTGAAACTGCACTCCTGTTTTTGTGCCTCGTAATTTGAATGGAACGAGATGCAATCTGTTTGGTTCTGTTTTGAATAGTTTAAATTCCAGTATTCCAATGGGGTTGCCAATTGATTGTCTTTTATCGTGTTTCTTGTTCCATTCTCTTTTTGTCACATATATCGTTCTTTTTGCAGTAATAGTTTGTTTTAAGATTTTATCGTTACTGCCTCTAGTGGATTTATTAAATTGGTATTACATTGAAAAATATAGTTTTTGGGACACTTTCATAAAAAAAATGATAGCATTTTAACGATTTTTTTGGATTTTTTGATTGTTATCACCCAAATGCACTCTTGAATCTTCTTATTCCGCATTTTGTAAGGTTGTATCAGTTTCAAATTCTTTGAGATGTTTTTATTGCCAATATAAAGCATTTATTCTTTTCTAAGCCAGGGTGATTCTATGTCTATAACATAGATAATCATAGTAGCACTCTATACTGTTAAAGTATGCTTTACAAAAATATCAAATTTGAATAAAACTTGGAATTGTGACATTCAAAGTTACCATATTGACAAAAAGGGAGCCGACTTTTAGGTCATCCACTGGAATTTTGCGCATAAAAGTCACTGCCAAATCCAAATTTCACTGACTGTCTGCTTTCCTCAATCAAACAAATTGGCTCTATAAAGGGACCTGGAAAGCTATAAATAACAGAGGGCCTATTATGGGCCCTTGAAATGTGAATTTAAAAAAAATACTATAGGAACACTAGAAGAATTGTTCTGGCTTCATCCTACTTTTTAATAAGTTTCATCAGAGTTTTATTTTTTTTAGGAAGTAAAGTATTTTGCTGAGATTAAATATAACATGATTGTATTCGTCATTTTTGTTTATTTTCTACTAAAAAATCTGTAAAAATATTGTTTTGCTCGTTAGTGATGTTTTTGTGTCGCTTTTCATCTATTTCTTTTTGAAAAATAAATGTAATTTTTAAATAGTTTTTATACGAATATATAATGGTTTAATTTTGTTATACCAATAATTTTTTCTGATTTTGCAACATCTGTAATGTTAGTTCTGGGACAGAGTGTAATTCTGGTAGACCTATTTTTTTAACCAAAATAAAGCATTTATTGATAGTTTATATACAGTTAGAAAATACTTCATTCAATCATGAATGTTGGTGGTAACAATCAATTTTACAGGTATTGTTATGGAACTATTATGATTTCTCTACAAATATATTCCGTTTTTTCTGAAAATAAAATGAACGAAGATTGATTTCCAATGGTTAAATTACATGGGTTTTCATTCATCCTAAATTATGTTATTGAACAACATTTCGAAGTGAGCTGCTTAAATATGACCATAGTTAGTTGATGGAAATTCAGTAAAGTGTGAAAAAATTTAAAATAATGTACTTTTCGCATGAGTGATTGATTGGACTATGGTTTGCTTAATCATCGCTCAAAATGACAAACCCCATCCATCTACGCTTTGCCCTTTGACCCTGCATGATGTCAGCAAATCAATAATTTTTTTCTCAAAAAATCCTTAATCGAAAAATGTATAATTTTTGTCCGATATTTTGGTGATATTTCTATATGTTCTTGTCTTGAATAAACTTGTAAAATACTTTTCTTACATTTTTCTTTTTCTCCTCATTTTGCCATGTTTACAAAAATAAAAATGTAATGTAAACGAACTTGTATGTATGTGTAAGTCAGAGGTTGGCAACCTTTTGTCGCTCGCGGGTCAAAATTAAGGCTTGTAACTTGCAAGTCTTGGCGGGCCGCACATATTTTTATATATACAAGGTAAAATTGAACGGATGGGCTATAAATCACAGTTTTTTCGTACAGATCAGAAGTTGAAATTTTAGATTTTAAACAGCGCGCGAAGACTGTGACAACACGTGAACTCAACTTAGTCGTCTTACTAAAAGAAAAAAAATTTACGAATGACATTCAATGTGACACTTGTTGTTGCATCACGCTTGCGATCTTTTCGACTTTAGGCGGCACGCTGGATGAAGACAAGATTAGAACATTCTTTAAATTGGTGTCACTAATCCGAGTTCTCAGATTGTTCTTTGTAAAGTTCATTTTCGAAAATAATTGTTCGCACGCATATGTACTTCCGAACATCGATGTGAATGCATGGTTGTCAAATTTGGTTTAGAGTTTTCCTTCAAGAAGATAACTTTTTATAAAAATCAAGTAGTGATGCATCACTCGAATAGAATATAAATTTATTTCCTTATTGCATCTCAAGAAGCTATATTCGACTATTTTCTGCGCCATTGAACCCCCTGCACTCAGCATCAACTTTTCTGCGTGTTGCCATTTTTCTGATTATAATTAAATTGTAGGTTCGTTAAACGAGTAGCTGTTCACTGAATTATTAAGTTATAATATATTTTAATCGACTCTCATGTCTCACAATAATGTCTCACAATAAATTCTGTTACGTGAAGAATATAATCAACTCCTCGAGCGTGGATTATGAAGTTAATCTTCAAAACCGCCGTTTTGTCGCTATAATCCAGTGAAGCTTCGCGTGCCGGACGATATTACTCCGCGGGCCGTAGGTTGCCGACCCCGGGTGTGAGTAGTTACGTATTGTTTATAAGGTCGAAACTTACAATCTTATGCGTCTATATTTATTGAATATAGGTGACTTGTGCGCGGCCTTAATATATATATATACTTTAATTCTTAACGTAAATGAAAATGTATCCGAATATTCAGAAAGTCGCTCATACGCCGGCGCAGATGACTAGTCAAAAATACATAACACATTTTTTATAAGTTTCAAATAGTTTTATCACTAATAAGAAAATATCTACCACCCCCTAAATTTTGAAACACTCAATATTCTTAAAATCGAAATACATTGGTAGATTTTTCTCAATGATATGTTCTTGGATTGGATAGACACATAGCTGATATCGCAAACCAAAACAACACCTTACATTGTTGTTGTTAGTCCTATGTGGTTCGCTGCGATTTGCACTTTATTGTCAAAAGCTGGATTTTTATATTGCTTTTTGTGATATTTGTGTGTGTCCAATGTTCGAGATCTACCTACAAACTCATGGATATACATGCAAAATGTCAGTCGATCACTACCCCACATCTGTGTAATATAAGTTAAGGATAATGGATTTAGTTGAACAGATCACTAACATGTTAATTATGGCAGCTTCAAAGTGAGGTAAGGGAAATGAAATTCTAATCTATAGTGATTTATTTCAGTGTCGAATCGAGCATTCGTGCCTTGCGGCATGCGTACCGTAATCTTGCACAGGTGTTTTCATTTTATTGTTCGATTCGGAAAAACTTGTAATGATACCCACAGCTCAACTATGGCGTATGTACTAAGCCAGTTGATTCCACGTTTTTCTTTCAATTCCTCCTTTCCCCTGTTCTGGAACACTTCTATGCATAAAAACTACTTTGTTTATCCAGTCTTTATTTATTAGATCATTGACTAGAGTTATGCGCAAGTCGCACCTTGCTTTTGTGCCGTTTATAATGTGCACATAAATAGGTGCTCCCGAAGTATGCGAACCAAGATGGCGGACATCGGAACGTAACATTGGCAACAGGTTAGGGTTAGGCGATAATTTTTTTCCAATTTTCCTTATTTCAGTCCTATTATCAGTTCGAAGACTAGCCAAGAGTCTCCCGTAGTATTTATACCTAAAATTATGGCCGAACCCTAATCTAGTACACATATTACATTCCGATGTCCGCCATCTTGGTTCGCATACTTCGGGAGCCCCCATAAATAAGTATTAACAAAAAAAGTAATAATAAAGAACTAAGCCCCATTAATAATAATAATACAGCACATACGAAGCAAAATTCTTCCCCAAGAACGACAAAATTCTCCTTGTAGAAGAATTCCGTCTTGAATGGGAGATGTGGTTATTAGCTAAAGAAATATGCTTGCCATTCGAATCCCGGGAAAGGTAAATATGCGAAAAGATTGCTGGACTCTTCGCCGATGCAGGGTGGCACGTCATCACTGGTCAGTTACTATTTCTCCCACAAACAAAGCACGTGCATATTAATAATTAATCGGTCAACTTCCCAAACGTATTTCATTGCACCTGCTCTGGTAACCAGACTAGAGGGCTTAGTCCATCCTATGATTAAACGGCAGTATCGGCTTTCATCTACTCTTAGATGTATATGAAATATTCTATTCATGGGACATCATATAAAATGTAGTCAGATTGTAGTATTACTATATCATAATCGTTATTATACGATGGGGACTTTTCTTTCCCTTCCGTTTTGCAGGTGCGTCACCTGCCATTGTAAGTGTTGTGCGGCGATTCATACGGGCATCCGTATTGTACTTTCATGTCACACGGTGACGGCCGAGTAAAAGATATGCCGGTATATTTCTGATAGTAATTATCTCCAACGTCCGGGAGGCATTTTCTTACATAATTAATATTGTCTGCGGGCAATAGGTGATTAACTTTCAATCGCTTTTTACGTTGGAGATATTCGTCGTGTCGAGAAAGCTGATTTAGCGATGACTTTACAATGTTTACATAGAAATGTTTTTAACAATACCGTACATGTTTCTAGGTTTCAACGATCTCAAATTCGCTCATTTTGGGAGCTTTTTTAGCCGAGAGATACGCAAGATATACAGTGAAGGAAAGATTCAAATCGGCTTAGCATAATCCGCTTTCCAGACATACACGATACCCTGTCTAGCTAGAGACAAGTTCCGTTCAAAGGAAGTTGAACGGCCTTGCAGTGAATAAAGTACACTGACAAGACTTCCATAGGGATATGCAACGTTTATTCAGGCTATTCACTGTAGAACTGAAGCAATTTTAAAATGAATCATTGTGTATAGTAAATCTTTGATAAAGCAGTAATGGATTTTCTTTGTTGTATTATTTTTCTTCAGTAGACTATATCAGAACGATATTTAATATTCTCGGCGATGTAGGTTTAGGTATTTTCTCCTAAAATCGACATCACATGGGATTTGCGTAACGTAACGTCTTTGCGTGAACTTTGTATTTATATTTTGTTCACGTTGCGAGGCGGTCGCGGTGCTGTTCTATTTTGGTGTCCAAGGAAGTTCGCGCTGGGTCGGTTCAGTTTTGTGTAGAGAAAATAAACAATGAATGCTAATAATAGAGGGATGTAAGGTATTTTTGAAAAAGGGTCGTAACATAAGACAATTAGTAAAGTGAACAAGCTGACGTTACAAAGCATCGAAATACACGTACTGACGTATAACAATATAAAGTTAAAGGTTAAAATAAATGAAAAAGATACTGGAATATGAATTCAGGAATTAGACTACGAACGACTGAATGATTTAAATCATTATTTTTATATACATGTATAGTACAGTAGTACCGATAATGGATATGGACGGCATAATCATGTTTATTAAGAAATGAAAAGAAATCTCTGAATCGGATAATTTCGACTAAAATTTTTGGATAATATAGCAGTATTGTGGATTAACTTTATTTTGGATCGAATCGTGCAATACATTCTACACTACTGACACTTCACCATGGGCGATTGCTTTCCTGAAAAAGTACCAGGTAACACAGTAATAATTATATTATTCATTTCTATAATTTTTTACCTATTAACTTTGTTGCTATAATTTTCATTCCAAGTTCTGAAGTATTTACAATTTGAAATAGGCAAAAGATCCAAGCTGTGGAGTTAAAGTTTTTATAAATAAATTAGAGTTATGTGTATAGTCTCGTATCTGTGTGATGGATTGTGCTGATGGTTAGTTAGCAATGACTGACTGCCCTTGCCCGCTAATGTTCCTGTTCGGTCATTTCGTGATTTAGCGCAAAAATGCAAACATTTCATTCTTAATTGACCCTTTAATTTATGTTTGAAGTTTGGCATAAAGGGGCATCATTATCAAAAACTCGTCCTGAGTACAGGAGTAGCGGAAAACTTTGGCATGCTGTCAATCAAGCCACAGTAACGAACGCAAAAACCTCTGGGATTCACTGTTCGGACCACACTGACTAATGAACATTAAACATCTCATTATGGAATGAGACATTGATTTCAGATAAATACATCGCATAGCTTGCTTTTAGATGTCATACATCTGTACGTCATCTGTATTTTTCTAGTCTCCAGGGAATTTGATATTGGGTCAATAATCCCATAATTCCATCCTGTAATCATCAAATTCATGATTAGCAATTACTTTGATTATGAAAGTTTAAAGCAAACTGGATATTCAAATGATTTAGATTTGGTTTAATTTTATATAAATTCTTATTTGCATAAAATAGTTTCGATTCTTCTATTTTTACAACTTCGTTGACAGAGAATGAATCGAATCATTTTTATCTTCATGCAGGGATGTTGAGAATGAATCGAACATTCAGAAATTATTTTGGGTCTAGTTAAATTTTATTTTATAAATTTTTGCTTTTTGGAATAATTTTGCAAATTATCCCCAAATTTGGTGTTTTTAGGAATTAAGTGTCTTACAGAAGGACCAAAAGACACCTTTATCTCATTTGTATCTCAGTAGAGAACTTGCAAAACATTGTTTAACTTAATTCATATATTTCTTCCCTATTTGAATATTTGGTGCCACTGTGGTATGTCATCTCACTTGCTTAACATGATCTCAATTGCATACCAAAATGGTATGGCCGCTTTTGATATGCGTTCAATCTCATAAAGACATTCTCATGGGATTCAGTTTTTAACCCTAATTAAATATACTGAGACTGCATACAAAGTAACACCAAATATTGAATGTACTGTGTTAAACATACACAAGTATTGAATTTATTTGATATTCCGTATTCGAAAATATTATTTTGGAAAATATTCAAATTGAAAGAATAATCATTTTTGCCACCCCGAATGTTTTTTTTCTAGACTATCATTATGACAGTTCATGATATAAACAAAATGTCATTCAACATGTACTTAGAAGTGTAAACTAATTGGCTGCTGTACAGTGTAAGAGACACCACAACTACCAATTAGTACATACCCAAAATCAATATTAGAATTGATATATTTTCCTATGTAGTAATAAGGATGCCAGGGGAATTCCTAATTTGTCAATAGTTTCTATTCATTGTTCAGCATGCTAAGGTTATGGTAGTCTTCCTTATACTTCCTGTTTCAGAATCAGAATCATCTAAGACAGTGGTTCCCGACTGGTTTTGACACATTTCTCCCTTGGCCTATTTTTGCACTCCTAATTTCTCTCCCATTATGCACAGAAAGTCTATTTGCAATTTGATATTCAATCTTTAATTAAACATTTACTGACGATAAACGCAACTTGTACTCTGGAATTTATACATTTTTAATAGTGTATAATGTATGTGTATAGGCTATATATGCATTTCAATGATACCAAAAAGGTAAAAATATTTGTAATACAGAGTAAAATTTCCTCTATCAATACTTTCAAATTTCTTCCTTATTCCTCCTCGGTAGGGATTTGTTGATCTAATTTCCTCGTTGAAATGAATATCTGTTATATACCTTATATGGTTACTCGACACTACTCTCTCAGCCTTTACTATTTCCTATTTTATGTTATGACTTGCAACCTTGCTTACAAATAATGCAAGTAAACTAGTAAATTTATTAATATCCTTTTGATTTTTGTTACAGAGGAAACAAGATATATCACAGCCAATGATCCTGAATACAATGCTCAATTCAACTATAAGGTGAATTATTACAATATTTTAAGCCTCGCTTTTGATTCCATAATATTAGGAATCCCATTATTTTTAAAACGTTTTAGATGCATTATTTTCACTTTTTTATTTAGTGTTTATTTTCAAACATTATCTGATAGAATTGAATATTATATTATCATTTTTATGTACTGGTAGATGTTTGACTTGAGTTAGCTTGTATGAATATAATACTACAATATTGCAATTTATATTAATGAAATTCTTTAAACCTGTTTTTAGACAAAGTTTGCATATGAATCATTCTGCTAAATTTTTGTTTATGTTGGTCACATTGTTGTTGTTAGTTCGCTTTTTTTCAACTTCGATTTTAAATTTATAGTACTTATAGATTGAAGAATTTACTAGAATGATTTTACTTTATTTTTTCCCCACCAAGTCCTATGAAACACGATAAAAACACTTTTTTGACCTTTGACATTCAGGTTCACATGTTTGCGCATTGCTCTCTTGTGTATAAAGCTAGAATTAAGATTATTATATTTTTACATAAATAACTGTCATATTCTTGATTCGTATGTTCCATGAATTAACGACTACCCTTGAGATTTATTTCACTGATCGTGAATTAGAAGTTTGTTTTAATTGTTTGTTGGAATTAATGAGATAAGAAAATTAAGATTTGGAGGAAGCTGTAATTAGAGGTGACGACGTTTATCTCTACTATGAATGCATTGGATCAGATAATATCAAAGGATCTTTTTCAATTGTGCATGTTCATTTTTTTTTGTTTACTGAATCCAAGACTTGACTGGCAGTTATATAGGTTCATGTATTTACCTTGTTTGCTATGGTTTAAAAAGCAAAAAGTTTGCGGTGCCATTTTTTGCTTTGAAAACTTTCATCTTCAGTGGCCTAGTTTAATCCTATGAACTTTTGATTAGAAATTTAGAAAACTCTTTAATTGGAATGTCTATGTGGTCTTGGATATATAAAGTTACCTAACTTGAGCCTAATAAATTTAGTTTCCAAGTTATGATTGACAACACTGACGTCATGTTACACCAGAACTTCCTACTTTCATTGAAAAAAATCGATAAAAATTTATTTTTTATTATTTTAGAAAAACAAGATCATCACATCAAGATACACCGTTCTCACTTTTCTACCTTTGAATTTATTTCAACAATTTCAAAGAGTTGCTAATGCTTATTTTTTGATGCTTTTGATTCTCCAGGTATTCTTGTTTGACCTTTGACTTTATACATTTACGATTCAATCATAATGATTTTCTATGAACTTATATTTTTATCTATAAAATTGCCATCAAATGCATTTTTTCAGTAGGACAAACTTGAAATATTTTCCACAAAATTTCTGGAATCTTACCCTATTTAGATTTGGTCTGTTTTGAGTATCATACCATAATCACGAACAAAGATCTATCCAAAGGCTACACTGGCGATTGATTTGGTATAATTGTTACCATACCCTTTCGCTGCATTGGCTCGTTTTATTTCACTTTGTGTGAGATGGTGGGCAGTGACGGACATCTTTACCCATCTAATTTTGAAATTGAATATTGTAACCCCCCAGTAGGAGCATAAGTATGGGGTTCTTATACCCAAAACCACCAACTATGCTAGTCTTTTCAAAAGCCTTGGCTTCTTTGTTAAATACTAAAAAATTTATAGTAATTATTGTAAAAGTTTTCTTTAACTTGTTGGAATGTTAAATTATTTATAATGATGATACATTTTCGAACAAAACTTCTTTTTTCAATTATGCAAAACATAGTATTGAATACAAAAAAACTTTTTTGTTTTTCAAAGTGTCAAACATGATTCGGATATAAATCGAACGATATATCTATGGTTTATATGTATTCATGTTTGGCAGGGTATAATCGTATTACCGAAAGTTTAAATTGATTTAGGCTTTTATAAATTGTTTAATGAATAATATATGAACGTTTCTTTGTGTCGGGAGGAAATATCCTGTAGCTACTGATTAATTAATTTGTCAAGTGAGATAAACTGAAACTTGTATCTTTTTCACTCAGAACAAGTCTATGCCCAAGCAGGCTCTGCTAAGTAAGCAGAATGTATCGGGTTCGGTATTGTCCACTCAATTTTTTACCCCCTGGACAAGGTGCCAGGCAGGGGATTTGAACCCAAGTTTTTTCACCTGCGATGCCAGCATAATTAAATCCAATGCTTTAACCACCTGGTCATTGTGCCCATTTAATTGATAATGCTTTTTAATTATTCACAATAAAAATAGTGGAAATATATATCTATTCTGCATGAATTTCTTATTGGTTAGTGTATGTCTCTAATCAAAATATATTTTCTTTTTTCAGTTAATTCCTGCAATATCTTCATTGAGTCCCATAACAACAATTATTCCGTTAGTTGTTGTATTATCTGTGACAGCCGTTAAAGACGCTGTAGATGATTTTGTGAGTATATTTTCTATTAAACGTGAAGGAAAATTTTAGTCAAAACAGAACAAACTTGAAATTACAGTCGATCGAGAATGTTTAAGTAAGATATCAGCATTGTGAGGTATCTTTTTGCTTATGACTGTTGATTTGTTAGTCATTACTTTATTATTCAGTATTTTAAATCTCTGATTTGACTATATTATTGCAAGGTAAGATGGTAAATACCTTTATCAGTATTCAAAAGATTTACAGACATAAAGTCTAAATTGAGTAATGGGAACTAATTTCTGACACCTACGAATTAGAATTGTGATTTCTAATTTCTGGTGGCAGTTCGAGGTTTCGACAAATTGTATAAATAGAAACATGCAACACTTTGATGCCAGCTTCATTTCAGACCTTTTTAACATCAAATTATTGAATATTTCAGCATAGACATCAAAGTGATGACGAAATAAACAACAGAAAAACATTAACCTTAAGAAATGGCAAGTAAGTAAAGTGTTTTGTGAATGATATATATACAGAATATGGCTACCAATTACTTTTTAATTTGAAAATTCTAAATTCCGCTTAACCATATTACGCTTTTGTTGCTTAGTGTATTAATAATCAATTCAGCCTTACTAGTTACTATGTATCCATATGTAACAGGTAACGTATCACTATTAACAATGTTTACTTTTGCTTTACTATACTCACACACTTTCATGGGTGGGAATCATGTTTGTTCATTTATTACACAGCTAACTGTTTGGACTGTATTTCTGGAGAATGTACATTAGTTTAATTATTAATGAATACAAAATTTATATAACTTGTATATTAGTGCTTGGTATATTTATATGCTAAAGTTTTTTTTAAGACAGTCTTTATTCACTCATATAAATCGCAAAAGAAAAATTTTCTTTTCAAGATTATGCCATCATTACCAGGAAACTTATGATAGTCGATTGTATATTAAAGAAAAATGAGTTTCTTTTATAAAAAATTGCGAAATTTACCCCCTAGGTCAAGTCAAACTGACACCCCAACCCCGCATCATCCCCATGGTTTAAAAATCCTACTTTGATTGGAGAGTGTTTAAAACAAATACATGTTTGAAATAAGTAGCGTTTTTATAATGTTGAATTATTATGTTTTAATTTGATAATATCATCCAAGCACGGTAATTTTCGATACTTCATAGGAAGTTGAAAGTGAATCAAAAATATGATTTTTTTAAATGTTCACGTCTATGAATCATAAGTACAAAAAACATTGTTTTAACCATTAGAATTGTGCTTACCATCGCTCCCCCTGTTGTTGTTTTGTGAAACATGAATCTTGGGAGAATAGATATATATGAAAGGATTGTAGAACTCCTCGTTATCATAGGGGGGTATCGCTGAACTGTGACACTTATGCTGGGGGGAATTGGCGAAGAAGATGGAAAGGGTGTATCGCTGAAATGTTACACAATTGTCTTGTGCAATCTATTGTTTTATATTCACTCGACTCATTTTTCCTCAACCTATACCCAAGTGTAGGTTATTGATAGAATGTGTGACTCATGTCTGGTTTATGTACGGCCTATATTTAAATAGTATGAGTATATATTTAAAAGTAATTTTCAACACAGTGGGTGTGGTGGAAATTTTCTCTTCTATTACGTCAATGTTTGTTAAGATGTCTGCTTCGACATATGGCACTATCAATCCATGACTGATTGTGGCATCATTATGGGTGTTTTACTACTGTTTAACTTCTAATTTTAGCTTTCTTATTTTGTTATGCAAATTCTCTGCTCAAAATAATTAGAATTTGCCATTCATTCGGAGAATAAAATATCAGTGTTGGCCATGGATTCATGTTTTGCGACCTACCATACCATAATGTCCGGGCCAGTCATTTACTACTCTACCACAGTAATGTTTTCTACAATTTTTTCATAAATGGCACCATTCAGTCGCAAGTCATGAAAATCTGGACCATCGTAACTTGGTTCACAGTGTGTCACTGTTATCTGAAAACAATAGAATCCTAAGTCATCCAATTCCTTAGTCAAGTCTGATTTCCAGTAAATTTTTAAGTTTGATTCGAAGTCGAGTCGTCAGAAACGAGTCTGTGCAATGTCTAGCTTTATTGAACTATGTTGATTATGAATTTCATTTTTTGTTTCAGATTGGAAGAAGTAAAATGGATGGACAGTTGTGTTGGTGATTTAGTAAAATTAGAAAATAATCAATTTGTGACAGTAAGTTGTTTTTATCGAATTTATGATTTTTTATCTGTTTTTGTGAAATGTATATGTGTTACTGTAATGTAATACCGTATGAAATATCAGTGAGATACTATCAGCTGTCTCAATTTGGTTTCTATAGTAACTCTTTCTTATTTCAGTTGTGTATTTTGACTTCGTTGATTTAAGTGTCTATAGTAAGTTTTTCATTGCATTCGTTTTCGATGACTTTCCTTTGTTTCCATCTATTTGCTTTTCCCGCTCCCTGAGATCTTAATAAAATTTCCACTTTGATATATATTTGACAGGCTGACATACTTTTACTTTCAAGCAGTGATGAAAATAACCTCGTTTATATTGAAACTGCTGAACTTGATGGGTGAGTATTTTAGTTTTATGAAATCATGAGGCTGAATTGTTTCCGAATTCTGTTTGTGCATTCAAACATCATCTTTAGAGGATTTCTGTACTCCTCACTGTAGGGTTTTTATGTAACCTCGCGCCGGTTTTGGCATCTGCCACCATCAAATACATACCGGTACATCTGAAACAAATGACTGGTTAATTATTCCTGCATTTGACATGGAGTGCTAACCGGGCAAAGGGCTGTTGTTCGTGTATGATTGAACTGTCTTATCAGTTTTTTATTTCTCCAAGATTAAATAGATATTTTTGTTTCAAGAATTTCTATTGGGAAGAATCAAGTCAATTTGGAAGATTTCAATTTTTTTTAGGAAAGTTAATAAACTCTAGTTTCTTGATTAAAAATATGACCTTGAATGTTTCTTTTGTTATACAACACAGAGGTGTTATGTACTATGTAATCCTGTTATCTGACAAGGTACACCCAACTTAATTTATATTATTCAGTTTGTAAATTAATCTTTGCAATTATCAGTAGAAGTCACACAAGACTCCTAATCCTTCCTAAATGCCTTTGCGCCAGTGGATTAGTATGAGTATAATGCAAGGATGCTGTAGCAGGAATAAACATGACCATACTAGGCAATTCAAGATGTATTACTGTAACGATTCGTCTGACCAAAATCAGACTTCTTCAGACAAGCAGATTACACAATTGTTTGTATTTTTAGAGAAACAAATTTGAAAGTGAAGCAGGCAATACCGGATACTGGAATGATTGGAGATGACATCAGGGAACTATCCAAATTCAATGGTAAGCTTTATTAACAAGCTCAGAAAGAATTGGATTAAGTAGGATGATTATATTCTATTATAATATACCATTACAAATAATCACAAACTTGAAGAATAAGGAATACTGTTGAGCAGTTTTTCACAAAGGGTACGCCGTACGCGCAACAAGTTGCTGAGTGTGTCTCGGCGAGTTGCTTTTGCCTCAACTTTAAAAGGCATGAAGTACACATTAACGATCACAAAACTGAGTTCTATTTAAAAGCAGCATTTTCTTGATGTAAGCGCGCTTTGTGAGTTTTTTTCCTTGATAATTTGGCACCACACAAACAAAAAGTTTGGCAACCGTTGCTGTAATCGTATTGCAACTAAGAAAGTTAGGAACTGATTGAATATTCGAAAATATCAAATATTTTTATTCGAAATTTGTTGATTTAAGCTATTGAAATCTGAATTGAAATTTAATTTGTGATTTTTGTTTTTAATAATCAAAAAAATTTTCAAAAAGTTTCAAATTATAAATAGAATAATTTTGCATGGAATCATTTTTAAAACATATAAATCTCTGACGTTTTGAATCATATTTTAGAGATCTCTAGCTTTATTTAAAATTTGTTACCGTTTAACGATCATCTAGCTTTATATCACCTGTCTGATATGTCAATACCAGACCAAAAATCAATACCATAATACCTCTTGAAACTGACAGTCAGGACGTTTTAATGTAATTTTGTGGGAAAATCTGTCAATTGAATCGTTGTTTTGCTTACTAATTTTTGTTTCGAAATGCAACATAAACATCGAAACAGTTTCATTGCCAGTAGCTTCATATTGCAAATGACTATAATAGCTCACATACGCTAGCTTAAATTATTGCCGACCAATTACAAATTATTCAATGATGCTAAACATTAATAATTTTTTTACAATATTTCGTTAGTTGAGGGGTCACCAGGAAACATGGTGGTCTACTTTTGTGACCCATGGGTGAGTGGTTCACCAGCTCAGCTATATAATATATTCAGTACTCCCGTTGTGTGTGTACCATGTTAGGGTTGGGCCATAATTATATTCCAATTTTCCTTATTTTAGTTTATTAAGAGTTCGGGGACTCTCTATATTAGCCAAGTGAATATACCCCCTGCCCATAGGTTTCAGCCCCCTTACACAACTTGATTTAAAGTATGCGAACAAAATTTGTTACCTTCATATTGGTACACACACTTCTGGAGCACCAAATATTTTCCCATATTTGCTATGCAAGTTCTTGATCTCAAAATTATAATTTTTTTTCTTTGTCAAGAATTGTCATAAATGGCATAATATTGAGCTATTTATCTATCATTCTTCTATTGAACTACACCTTTACAAGCTACACTTTTTGTAACCAGGTGAAATAACTTGTGAATCTCCAAATGAAATTCTCCATAAATTTGGTGGTAAAATGCAATGGAACGACCAGGAATATCCTTTGGACAATGAAAAGATTCTTCTCAGAGGATGCAGAGTTAGGAATACTGATTGGTGCATTGGAATTGTCATTTTCGCTGGACCCGACACGAAGCTTATGATGAATACAGGTACGATAATTGGGTACTCCCGTAGTAGTAGTACTCCCAATAGCAAATTTTATGATATATCAAACTTTCCAGTCAAAAGTGTAATTTTAAGAAAACCAATTTCGAATATCAATTTCGAATTTAGAGTAAATTATTTAGATATTCTTTTTTTAAAGAACATTTTATAGTCAAAATTGTATTATAATAACACCAATTTTACCTATCATTTTCAAAGTACCTTCCATTATTTGAGCATTTCTTTTTATATCTCGCTATAGCTGCCTTCAATTGAATTCCGCTTCAATGAACTCTGTTTGTATAAAGCAATATTTGTTGTCTTCAAGTTATTCAATGGAGATGACATATCAATTTCCGTGCTCTGTCTAACAATAATAGAATCAAAACAATGACTCAGCATTTTATAAATTTCCTGGATGAAATTCCAGTGCTTATATTTCTCTGTATGTTAAAAATATTATGATAAAATTAGAGTAGTCGTTGGAACATTTGACTTGATAACTATGGCATCGCATGTTAAAATCTTCACATCCTGTATCCACTACCAACAACCAGTTCATAATGAATTTGGTAGACATCACTGAACTGAAAGATTATGATTTTGGAAGAGTGCTTTGATTTCGCTAGCACTGCTTGTGCTACCTTGTGCAAGACAAAATGTTCATAAAATGTTATATATAAAAATAGGGCGAAAGCTTGGACCAAGATTGTCTAAAATGAATCAATTTTTAATACATTCTGCTTTTTTTTCTTACGACTTGACCCAGGGGCGGAAACAGAAATGTTTCAAAAGGGGGGGGGGGGTGTTCTGAAATTTCTAAGCTAGCGGGTCCGGGCGGAAACATGGGTATTCAAGAGTTTCGAGCCAACCCTCGAACTCTTGAGTCAACTCTCAAATTTCTTCCAAAATTGTCTTAGAATGATAAATCATTCAATTCTTTAGGCCGACTGTGCGCTTGACACACAATAACTAATCTATTTTAGATACGGCTAAAAGTTATATCGTCTCGATCAATACATTACCATCATTCATTTTTGACAGCTCGATTTCCATGAAACCTTGTTTTAATTGAGACTAAGTTTTGAATGTTTGTTACTTTGTTAATATACTGAAGACTATCAGAGATGTCCAGAATAAATTTGATTTATTTCAACATTCAAATTTATTATAAAAAATAAAGCATATTCTTGGATTCTTTCTATAAAAATGTATATTTTAAAATTAAATACTCTATCTATGTAATAATAAAACAATAAAGAATAATATTTATATTTCTTGCAAAAAATAATTTTCATTTATCTTCAAATTAAATTTTCATTTATTACTTTGTGTACTGCACAGGATATGATTTATTATCTTTATCTAATGACAGGAAAAACTATTTTGAAGAGAACGAGTATTGATAGATTGATGAATACATTAGTTTGGATGGTAAGATTTTTTATTATTGGACACTGATGTATATATAGGTTGTATTGCTAAATTCTTGTTGTTAGTCGGAAATAATTACTTTTCTCCTAAAGTAATCGGCAAATTTTTAGTACTTAAATATGGTTAAAGCCACTAAAAGGCTATTTCTCAGCCTTTTTTGAAATTTTTCTAGAGTTTTATGGGATCAAATATTTTGCCTAAAATTTGACATTATGACATTACTACTTAAAGCCGATAAAAGGCTATTTCATAGAATTTGACATTACGATGTTACTACTCAATTTATTTGACATTTTGATTTCATTCCTTCATAAAATGTTAAGTTTTTTTTTTTTTGTATTCAGATTTTTGGATTTCTTCTCACACTCGCAACAACCTGTGCAATTGGGAACACAATATGGGAATCACAAATTGGAATTGTAAGTTATTTTTTCAAAAAGTTTTGTCAACTTTCTCATGCTTTGAGTAACCTTTAAAAAAATGCCTGGAATTACAGTTCATTACCCTCTTTAGACTTCAGAGGAAGCCATTTAAATGGCAATTGTGACCTCATAACTATTCTTACACCTAACGGTACAGTATGGCAGGGTGCCTATGAATTCTTGGTAATGTTGAACTTTTTAAAATCTTCCTCGACTTGCTATTCTAAACAATCACTAACTAAAAACACCCATTGGCATAACCAAACAAGCATGATATTTATTTAAACACACTTAGCAATGCTACGCTCATAACTGGTGCGTGTTTCAATTAACTTTCTTCATAATAATGTGCTATCAGCTGTAGAGCCAATTGGCCACTCGAGATTGTTTTGCCAAGAATTTCTCGAAATATTTCCTTGACAAAAATATTTTCATGGTCTTTCTCTTTTTTAGAAATTCACACTCTACCAACCTTGGGAAGATTATATCACAAATATATACATGTCAGGATTTCTTGCTTTTTGGTCATATATTATTATTCTCAACACAGTTGTGCCTATATCATTATACGTAAGGTGAGAATGAATAGTTTTTTCTTGATTCTAGAGTTCGGAATAACAATTATGAAATTAAGTTATTCAACATTATTTATTCAATCCAATGGGTGGTAGGTAAAATTGGCATTAGATTTTAGGTTTGCTCTGGTAGTCGGTAAAGATTAAATAAGACTTACCCCGTAATTTCAACAAATTCTGCTGATGTCAGCAGTTTATATTGGTCATTACAGTTGACTATTTTCATTTTTTCATAGTTAGTAATACCTGTCTAATATAAACATGATTTTAGACAATTGGAATCGAAAATGAAAATAGGATATTTGGATTCAATTTAAATTCTGTTTAAGTAGGGTGTGTAGAACCAGCTAAAAATATACTATAAATAGTAATACTTGTCTGATATAAACATTATTTTGGATAATCGAAAATGAAAATCGGATAAATCAAAATTTGGATTAAATTCTGTTTATGGAGTTCAAAACATCATTTCTTGTTCTAGCGTGGAAGTTATCCGTCTTATGCAATCATGGTTTATAGACTGGGATAGACAGATGTATTATGGCAAGAAGGATCTGCCTGCCCATGCAAGGACGACTACTCTGAATGAGGTGATTTATTACTGCAGATCGGGAGACTTGAGTCAAGTCTGAATTGTTTAAATTTGATCCGGGTCCAGGGTCTTGTAACTACCAGTAAACTTGGATATTATCAGGATCTGCTCACTTTGATTAAATATGATTGGGTCCTCCAGAAGTGTGTGTACCAATATGTTCGCCTACTTTACATCAAGTTGTGTGAAGGGACTAATCGTTTGTAATTTTGAATTGGCGCGATATGCAAAAATATAATGAATATTAAATCAGTGCTCTTCAACAGGGGTTCCGCGGAACCCTAGGGTTCCGCAATACATGCTGTGGGGTTCCGTGAGTTTATATGTAAAACCGTTACGTTCTGATAAGCAAGTGAAAACGGAACTACAAAGCGTTTTGGATGTAGTTGTAAAAACTGTAAATTACATAAAATGTGAAGGTAAAGGAAAATCCGCCAGAGTATTTGAAAAACTGTATGAAGAAATGGATGCTGATAATGTCACTCTTCTGTTACAATGTACAATTTTGTTATTTGGGGTTCCATAAAAAACAAAAAATTATATCAGGGGTTCCACAATAGCAAAAAGGTTGAAGAGCACTGTATTAAATGAAACCAAATTTTTAAATATTTGTATATTTGAAAAAAATTTCCAATTTGGTTAGAATATATTTTTTGATAATCTGTATAAATGACAGTTATTGGCTTACAATTTTTTAAATTTTGAATTGCATTTAAACCGGATTTAAAAAAACTTTTATTGCATCAGGAACTGGGACAAATAGAATATATTTTCTCTGACAAAACTGGTACCTTGACTCAGAATGTCATGGTTTTTAAAAAATGTTCGATCAACGGAAAAAGTTATGGAAGTTTGTACGATAACCAGGGAAACAGGATTCAACCAGACGAGGTGAGAGTGTTTAACAAGAAATTTACTTTTTTTTCAAATCCAGGAACTCAGAAATTGCTCATAAAAATTTCTGAAAAGCTAATATTTTAAGATTTTTTGATTAATTAAATTTAAAGGTTATATTGTTGCATTATATATGGTTTTTTAGTTTAATTTTTTTAATTTAATTATTTTTTTTCGTTTTTCCAAAATACCAAATATGGAAAACCCCTTTCCTTTTTCATATTCTACATATAACAAGGATTATATTTTAGTATTTTTTTCGGCGCTCCAGAAGTGTGTATACCAATATGGAGGTAGGCAGGGGGTATATTCACTTGGCTAAAACAGACAGTCCCCGAACTCGTAATAGAACTAAAATAAGGAAAATCGGAATAAAATTATGGCATAACCCTAACATGGTACACACACTACGGGAGTACCTTTTTTTCTAATCTCTTCATGTAATTATTTCAGACAACTCCAATCGTTGATCTATCTTTCAACTCATATTACGAGAGAAAATTTGTCTTCCATGACCAAGACCTCGTTGATAAAATGCGATCTGATGATGAACATTGCCATAATTTCTTCAGACTAGTTGCCCTGTGTCATACTGTAATGCCGGAGATAAAGGAAGACGGTAAGAGGATGTTTTTTTTTCTAAATTCATGACTTTGATGATCAGATTTGATAATGCATTTAGAAGCTTAAAATTTTGGATTTTTGTTTTATTATGTTATACTTTCTTGTATTATAATAACAATTTAAATTTGCTTCATTACATAAATTCTGAATGTGATATCGACATAAAGCCCATCTTACAGAATAGCTCTTTATTTATGGGCAGTTACGAGCTTTTGGAAAATGTAGATCTATCTAAATAACTGGCTAACTAATCCCATACCAGGCATTGACTGGTAACCATACGAGAGGCCGTGGTTCGCCATATGATTAAGCCGTCTTATCGGCTTTCCTCACCCCCAGAATAAATATATAAATCCTATCCTATCCAATTTTTACTCCATTGGCCAACGTCGGACATGCAAACTACTATAACAGCTTTGAATAGAATAGTATTTTTCATATTATTACTTTAGAGAGGAAAGATGGATTATATACATCTCAAACCATGAGCTTCTAATCCAATTACCAATCTGGGTTGAAAATGGAATATGCTAAATTAGCCAATAATTTTGTGCGAGGGAACGAACTTGGATTGGTTGTTATGATGTAACAAATATTTTTTTATTCTGTTTCTAGAAAGTCTCGTCTACCAGGCTCAATCTCCTGATGAAAATGCTCTTGTTTCTGCAGCAAGGAATTTTGGATTTGTTTTCGTATCGAGGACTTTTAACACGATCACTGTGAAAGAGATGGGTGAGTACTTGACTATCTGTTATTGGATTTTAATGTTTTGACCAAATTCTCCCACCCTGAGCAAAGGACAAATTTAGAATGCCAAAATCAGATATCTCTTGGTTCTAGAATATGATTAACGAATAAATATTTTACTGAATCGAATATTTAAAAATTTTAATTTTACTTACGCAGAGATTTATTGGTAAGATTGTGAATCAGAATATTTTTTCCTGTGTTGCTTATTAAGATATGTGTTTCTTGGAATACATATTCGGTCATTTAATAAGCATAATATCTTCAATCATCTCTTTCTACTACAGGAAATGACGTTGAATATGAAGTCCTTGCCATTCTTGATTTTGACAACGTAAGAAAAAGGATGTCCGTAATTGTTAGAAGTCCTGCTGGTAAGAGTACTTTACCTTTGTATTTATAATTCTTATGCTATATTCCAGATTTTCTATCATTTTCCGTAACATATCTTTCTAATAAATCCCTGTGAGTCCTTTGATTTTCTCTATCCAATTCTCTTTTCTAATCAATTCTTTCTTGCCTGTACTTTCCGACTTTTCATTTTCATGGTGTTTTATGTAATCAACTGTTTTGTCTAACCAGTTTAGCCAAATTTTTTTTCAGTCAATTGATCCATTTGCTATCCAATCTTCTTAGCCAATTCTTTAACCACTGAACCCTATTTAGCCAAGTTTTTTTCACTAATCCAAATTGTTATCCAATCCGTTTAGCCATTTTTTTAATTATTTTCATTCAATCTTCATCGTTCAATTTCTTTGTATAGGTAAAATCACTCTATTCCTTTTAGCCAATTCTCAACTAATGAACCCTTTTTATCCAAGTCTTTTCTCACTAATCCAACTTGTTATACCGTCTTTTTTAGCCATTTTTTTCAATCATTTTTATTTAATGTTCTTCATCATTTATTCTCTTTGCACAGGTAAAATCACTATATTCTCTTTAGCCAATTCTCAAATGATAAATCATTTTTAGCCAAATCTTTTCTCACTTATCTAAATTGTCATCCAATCTTTCCTATTTAGCCAAGTTTTTTCCCACTTATCCAAATTGTTATCCAATCTTTCCTTTTTAGCTAAGTCTTTCCCACTAATGCAAATTGTGATCCAAATTTTTTTAGCCATTTTTCTCAGTCATTTTTATTTAATCTTGTATATATAAAATCACTATTATTTTTAGCCAATTCTCAATCAATGAACCCTTTTTAGCCATTTTCCTTAAGTAACCATTTCCATTTGATGTTCATCATCATTTATTTTTATAAGTAAAATCACTCTATTCTTTGTAGCCAATTCCCAACTAATGAACTCTTTTCAGCCCAGTTTTTTTCTCCCTTATCCAAATCGTTATCCCAAATATTTTATTAGCCATTTTTTCAATCATTGTCATTAACTTTTCATTTACTTTCTTTGCACAGGTCAAATCACTCTATTCTGTAAAGGAGCAGATTCAGTTATTTATGAAAGATTAAAAGCTGATGAAAATGCAGAAATGAACGATCTAACTTCCGAACATTTGGAAGATTTTGCTACTGACGGTCTCAGAACACTTTGTCTTGCAATGAAAAAACTGGATCCAGAAGTGTACGATGGTAAGGAATTTTGTACTGATTGAAAAAATTTAAATATTAGGACTTATGGAGACCAAGAGTGGTAGAGGAATGAGGATTTCTAGTTTACATTTCAAAAACTTAGTATTATCCTTAAGGTTATGAATAATATATTTAATTATAAATAAAATGAAAAGCTAAAATTCGGAATTGAAAAAATATGTCTGATTAAAAGTGAAACGATTCCCTAAGTATATATAACATAAGCTTCAAAATTTCTAAATTATATTCTAATTTCAACCCAGTTTGGGAAGAATTAGCAGTTGGCTGCACGTTTCAAAATGTCACCATTATGCTTTTGTTCTATTTGAGATGAAAAATGAATGTAAAAATGAGAAAAAGCTGAAATTTCAGAATAAAAAGCACAAAAGCTATACAGGGTGTATTCTGCAAGGAGCAATATTTATTATTATTTCTTAATTTCATCTTAGTTTGGAAAGTTAGTCACCAAGAAGCTTTAACTGCAATTGACGATCGAGATGACATGTTGGCAGCGGTTTATGAAGAAATTGAGAGAGATATGACGTTACTTGGAGCAACTGCTATAGAAGATAAATTACAGGTTATTTCATCATTGATCAATTATTGCACGAGCTGAAAACTGTGCAGTTTACTTTTTCACCAGATACTATAATAACTAGATATAAACACAAACACATATTCAAATACACAACGTTTCACATTTGATTCAGAAAAAGAGATTTCCTGAAATTTGGTTTGGGTGCGCCTGGAAAGGGCTTCAACACAGATATAAAGATAATAACATGCATCTACTCCTGTTGAAAATTGTTAATAACCGGCGTTAGACAAACACACGCCTCATGTGCCACAGGCGAATGTGACGTTCATATATATGCCCATATAAAATATAAATAACAAATCAAAATTGACTGTGATAACACCCATAAACAGAAAATATTACTAAATGTTCGAAATCGGGCTAAAAAAAATCCAAATTTGAACAGTTCATTTTGTAAATTGATAACATAATTCAGAAATAGATATTCAAATATAATGATTACTCTGTCTCATTGCATCCCTAGATAAATATGGAAACTTCATCCAAAATTTAAAAATTCTGTAGTCATCTAGATGCTTTCTTGTCACCAATGTTCATCCTAAATTTCACTTTTTTATCTGTAGGACGGAGTACCAGAAACGATTGCTAATCTAACTCGTGCAAATATCAAGATCTGGGTTCTGACAGGAGATAAACAAGAAACCGCAATTAATATCGGTTACTCTTGCAATATGTTGACTGAAGACATGAAAGATGTGTTTGTGATCAGTACTGGCTCTTTGGAGGAAGTGAGTTTGGTTTTAGCCACGTTTTTTGGTAATCGTAGATGATGTATTTTGGTATGTAATTTATATAATCATTTGAAAAGGATATTTTACATAGAATGCAAATGTGTAAATTTTGCTTTATCTGTACGCTTTGGAAGAGGCTGGAATCTTGTTCTAGCTAATTTATTATTTCATAAGTTGTTAGGCAAAGGTTGAGACTTTGAATTTTAGGGGAACAATTCATTAGAACCCTTTTTTCCAATATTTTCTAATCTTAAGGAATTTACCTTACGTAACTACCGTAGTTATTTTCCAGTTATATTGACTTGAGTTGAACTGCAGGCTATCTTATCAATATATATGTTTAACTTATTATAGCACTTGGTTGTAATTCCTCTACTAGTACTCCATCCTCTGGTTGAATATCTGGCCGCAGTGTTCCCTCTAAGGTGTGCCGCGCACACAGCTTTCAGAGGCTGCGCACACGCATAGATTTACTGCGCACAGACGTATTTCGATGTAATGTAACAATGTTCTCGGTTGGCAGGTTGAGAAAGTTTGTTGTTGGCCCACTTATTACCCGGTTAGAACGCCGAAATTTCTTCATTGGTTTTTGCACAAATATTAATCATTTCCAAAAAAGTGCGCACACACCAAAATTTCTGCGCACATATACTACAAAAAATGAGAGGGAACATTGTCTGGCGGTCACTTTGTTTTGAGCAAAATAATTTGAATGAAAAATGATTAGTTCAGAATATTGATGAATGGCATGAAGAAATTTTTATTTTATTGAATTATAGGTACGAGAGAGTATAGAGAGTGCCCTCAGTGATATCAGGGATACGTCAGCGAATCAAAATGATGTTCAAGGAACGACAAGTACAGAGGTAATCAAAAATGCTTGACCATTATATAATCATAATGATTTTTATTATATTGTTGAAGTTTTTTATTACAATTTAACAGTTTGGTGTCAGTTATGTTCATAGTTGCCTTGCTGCTATGCTGTAAAATGTGTTCGTACTTCATGAATATGGAAAGTGTTTTGATTGTTTGTTATCCATATATATATTCTACCAAGGTTAAGATTAGAATCAAGAGAATGATCTAAAAAAGTTATGTTAAGATAATCGGATAAAGCAAACTGTTCAAAATATGTTTTCAATATTTATTTGAAGTAAAGAGACTTTTATTATCTTCCTTTTAGGAATTTGTATCAGTATCCAACAGTGCAAACACAATGCTAAATGAAGATGCGAAATATGGACTCGTCATTAATGGATATAGTTTGGTGAGTACTGATATACTAATACTTAAGTATGATTAACTAAACCATTTTTCTAATTAAATTTTACTTCACGGTGTTGTGCTACTCTCCTATTCAGATTATTCAAAATTGAAAAATTTAGATTTCGATAAAGCAATTTGAAATTTGGTAATCAATATGGAATGAAACGGTTTTATGCTAAATTTCTAATTTCTCTATAAAACGAATAATTTGTAGTTTCATATCTAATGAGTTTAAAATTTTGCCTCCAAATGTATATATAAACTTATTCCCATCATAATAATTCACTCAGAACATTTTTGGTTTTCATTACTTTTATTATCACTTATCAAACTTTTTCAACATAAATATTTTTTTTCAGGCACATGCGTTGCTTCCTGAGCTTGAAGAATTATTCTTGGAGTTGGCGACATTCTGTTCTACAGTAATCTGTTGCAGAGTGACTCCGTTACAGAAAGCTCAAGTTGTTGAACTCGTCAAAAAATATAAAAGTGCGGTCACTTTGTCGATTGGTGATGGAGCTAATGATGTCAGTATGATTAAAGGTAAGAATAAGTGTTTGATTTTGATTTTCATTCTTGGAATTTTCAATGATGAATGGCTGAGCATTAGCAGGCTTGGAGTGCATAGATAGTCTTAAGCTTAAATATCCAATCTGAGCTGCTAAATATAATAAGGTAACGCATAATACCTTAGTAGAAGAGATGCACAATTGTCTGTACTCTTGTAGTGTGTGTATCAGGTTAGGGTTAGGCCATAATTTTATTCAGATTTTACTTGTATTACGAGTTCGGGGACTGTTTGTGTTAGCCAAGTGAATATAGGTTTCAGTCCCTTTACACAACTTGATGTAATGCAGGTGAACAAAATTAGTTACCTCCATATTGATACACATATTTTTCGAGCGCCCAATTGTCTTTAGGGAGAACAAACACTATATACCAAATAATAACTATCAATTAACAACTATTAATTATCAATATTATTTTTATTCAGCTGCCCACATTGGAGTTGGAATCAGTGGAGAGGAAGGAACGCAGGCTGTGTTGTCTTCAGATTTTTCATTTGGTCAATTCAGGTGAGACAATTGATTATTGTCTGTCCAGATTTTAAAACATAAATGGAGTTTTACTTGCCTAGTTTTCGGCTATGCTATCATTGCTATGTTGTTTCTATCTACTTTTATAATATTGCATATAGTGTTATTCAGGAGGTCCTTATCCTTGAGTGAAGATGTTTTTAAAACTTGCCCATTCCAAATAATTGAGTATTCTATAAGTGTTTTTCCATGCTATTACTTCATTAATTGATTCATTGTGATTTTTTGCAAGTTTATGAATTTTGACTTCTGTTTGAATAAAATTATTTGAATATCGTTGAATTTCTGACATGTCTAATTACTTAAAAATAAAGAATTATTTCACACCTTTTTATATGATGTGTTTTAGGTATCTTGAAAGACTTTTACTGGTTCATGGTCGTTGGTCATATATGAGAATGTGCAAATTTCTCGGATATTTTTTCTACAAAAATTTTGCCTTTACACTCGTGCATTTCTGGTATGCCTTTTTCTGTGGATTTCAAGCGCAGGTATAAATGTTTTTTTTGTAAAATGTAAATTTATGAAAAGATTTATTATTCCTTATTTCACAATGTTTTAAAGGAAAGATAGGAGAAAGATGGTTGAATGATAACGATAATATTGATATATATATATGCATTAACCTGTTCAGAACTAAGTCTGGAGTCTTAAGTAAAAGAAGACGACAGTTTAAATAAAAAGATAATGTCTTATGATAATTTGATATAATAAAAATCGAGGTTTATTAGTAAAATTGGTTATTTGTAGAAAAGAACGTCGTCATGGAAAACTAGTGCGAAAATATTCAAAATTATAAACAATTATATAAAAATATTCGAGACTATTTTAACTTAGCTTGCATATTGAAGGCCATGAAATTTCCCACTTCGAACAGTTTAGCGGTAGAATATAATGTGAAAGGTTTTTCTGAGGGTGATAAAGTCGATAAGTCAGCATCACAGTTCGTTCATTCAGTACTTGGTTGGTTCAGGAAGAAGAAGTCTTATAATTATCATAATGTTTACTGGATTAAAATGAGCATTATTGTTCATTGCAATTTGTTTATTCATTTTAATGAAATTTTTTACATTTCTGCGACTTCAGACAGTTTATGATGAAAAATTTGTGGCTTCCTACAACGTTATATATTCTTCATTTCCCATAATATGTATTGGCTTATTTGAGCAGGTATATGGATAGATGTATCACACCATTCTGTACGAAAACGTATTTTCCATGTATCATTCACAAACATATGACAGGTTGCAAGTCAGTTTTTATATGGGGTTTCCCCTTAACTTCACGCCTCAAGCTTGATATTTTCAACAAAAATTTTGAAGGGAAAAAAAGTTTAAAAAAGGTTTTGAAATTTATACTAAGAATTTTGGACAAGTAGAAGGAAAAATTTACGCTCACAAAATTATTTTGATACTTTACGAAAAAGCAAGCTCTATCCACAAATTACTAAGGATTATAATATCCATGGTCGAATTACTTTTTATATTCTTCTGTGAACTATATATGGGAAATACACAAAGTTAACATTACATATTTGATTAACAGAGTCTCTTGTATAATGCTTATAGTCTATCATTGCACTGTCATCATTGTGTGTTTCACACACCATTTGTATGAAATGTTGTATGCACTGTGGTAATATAGCTCTGATAATGGAAATATCGTTTTAACAAAACTACCAAATTTCATCTAAGTACGAAGATAGATGGCTCTAGAATAACACTCTACGTAACATGCAGTTCAAAGCAAATATTTTTCATATTAATAACATAAGAGAGAAAAAAGCTTATGAGATTTGATATGGTTTTATATTTGACAGTGACGTTAGTAAGCTATTCTAATAAAATGGCGAGTTTCGGCTCTGGTTTTATGTTTATAGGGTCCTGCTATCAAAACTGGTTTCATCTGGAATATACCGGTTTTTAAATTTTCTGTGACTGGTTTTCAATGCTTTCATTTATTTGTACTATAAATCATTCATCATTTTTCGTCTGTGTTGTTTTTCTGTTAAATATAAATAGCTTTTCAATTTCATTTGAGTAAATCTTTTAAAACAGTCGATATACGACGCATGGTTGGTGACATTATACAACGTCGTTTATACATCTATGCCAATTATCGTGTTGGCACTGCTGGACCAGGTAAATTTACAAAAGCAATGGTGATTGGAATGGTTAATTTGGCTTGGTGGCTAATTTCTCTCATCTTTATAATTAATTGAATGGCTAGTTTGACTTCTGGTGACTTATTCTGGCTTTGGTGACCTTTTTACTTCTTTGTTAATCAGTTTACTTCTCTCTAATTGATATTATATTTTGATTTTAACCTTCATTTCGGATTTGCTTTTGACTTGGTCAATTTTTTCAACATTTTGGGTGTAACAAATGGGTTAGTTTAGCCATTTTGTGGCTTATTTGGGCTAGAAATAGTGGGCTTTTCTGCTGACCTTTTTCTTTCTTCGTGCTTTTTTATTTTTGTGCATCAATATCGAAATTTGTTATTGAATTTAGATTTTATTTTGACTTGGTCAATTTTTTCAACATTTCAGTTAAAAAATGGCTAATTTTATTTATTTTGAGGCTAGAAATAGTTATCCTTATATCTTTTCTTCCTTTAAGTTTCGATTGACAAAGTTTGCTTTGGACCAAATATTTTAAATTTTCCAGAGATTGGAAATGGTTTATATTACCTTTGTTGCTAATCTGTCTGGCTGAATTTTTGGATATGCTCATGAATTAAAATTAAATAACATACTTCTTGTTGGCCTAATGGTGGCTCTATAATTTCTTTCTTACTTTGGCTTTATACTCTGCCTCTGATTATTTTGAGTGTCTAACTGATATACATATCCTCTTCTTATTTTAATTATCATTCATTGATGATGGTGTATTTATAGCATTTTTATTATCTTTGCTCAAGTGATGGCACACTTGCCTAGTGGCAATTCTTTGTAATAAAATATGTTATTGTAATTATTTTATTGAGCGATCGAAAATTCTTAATACTTTTTTTGTTTTATTCACTTTTGCATGCTTTCCATCCTCATTCATTCGGTTTCGCATGATTCTTAGTGTAAAATTAATTGCATGATGGTGTCTCATATTAACATTGACTGGATTTATTCATGTTGTAATACAATTTTATGTTAATTCTAGTGTTGTAGTATGTTCAGGTTGTGCGTCATCTTGGTACACATACTTCCAGAGCGCCTCAATTCTATTTATGGTCCATCTCTGTAAATATTGAAATGTATTCTATAAGATGCTATTGCTCCTCATTTACTCTTTTGGGTGAAAATTACCAGTCGTGTAATGGCTTAGTGAACCAATCTTCAAAGTTTCCAACTTTTTGACCATCAACAATTGTTGAACAATTAAGTATGAATATTATAAAATATACTGTTGTTGTCAGCATTTTGGGTTGTTTGATTAGATCCTGAAACCTATTTTAGCCTTTTCTGATTTAAATTCACCTTTTTATATAAACATCTTGCTATATCAAAAACTGCTGAAATTGAAATACTGTCAAATTAAAGTGAGTGTTCTGATATTCCGCCTTACATTTTTGTCAATATATAACATTATATTATTCCGATAACTCAGGACTTGAATGATGCATACTGTATACGATTTCCTAAATTATATTTACCGGGTCAGAAGAATGAAGGATTTAACAAGAAAATTTTCTTTCTAAGGTAAGAGATGTTGAGTCATTTTTTTTCATTTGTAAACTTCCTATCAAAAACAAAATGTGCCTCAGAACTCATGCTACTTAGTTCAACATCAACCATGGTTACTGGTTCTCATATTCAACCTGAAATTACGTAATACATAGTATTGTTGAAAAGTAGAAAAAATGATATTGTAAACAATAAACATTAAACAATGAGAAAAAGTTTTATATTAAACGCACGTTTATAGATGCGATACGAGAGCTTATTTTTGGGGATATTATAATGTGTAAAATTTCCATCTTAATTTTTTTTTTAATAAATTTAATCATTTTATAATAATTTTAAAATGTTGACAAATATAAATATTTTCTTAAAAATTGGATTGATATTTTGCAACGACCACAATATGGGGCAGGCAGGAAATCACTTCTTCTATGCTCAATTCAACTGCATACCTTTTAGTGACTATGTGTGCAAAACTTAAGCTTGAAACAAAAAAATAGATTTCATTATTTTAGTATTGTCCGAGGAATTCTGACATCACTTGTATTGTTCTTCTTCACCTATGGAGCTTTTCACACTAACAGTGCAACAGATGGAGCAGACATTACTAATGTACAAAGTGTTGGAACTGTTATTGCAACGAGTCTCATTATTATCGTGAATTTGAAAGTGAGTGAATAGAATTCATAGACCTAATAATCTCCAATCATGTTTTAGGATGAAGATATCAAATTTTATATTATTTATATGATTTGTCAACTTGAAAATATTTTTTATATCAAATGAATATTACATTTTTAGCCACGTTTTTTTTTCAATTTTCCAAACTTTTGAAAATCAGATCAGTTTCGATATATTTGCTTAGCATTGCTGTCTATGAGATGTTTCTCATCTCTGATTAGAACAAGTCTTTAGATAACAGTCGTTGATATGTGACTTGATATACTTGATTCAGTATCTTTTCAGTTTAGCTTTTCCGGTACTCATTTATATGCTTTGGATGAATTAGAGGCATTGGAGTCTGAAGTCGTTTTCTCCCATTAACTAGAGTGACACTGGGATATCGGGTCGCTTAAATGTATCTTAAAATACAGCTTTTGTTAGTGTTTTATGTTTGACTTTTTTTCTCATTGGGTTTTAATGTTAGACTCACTCTCGTATAAGTGACGCCGCTAGATGACCATCACTGGTTTATCGCGTCTCCTTCACACTGAAATGCATTTTTTTCATCTTAATTAGGTTTGTTCAATGTGTACATTCGGCAGGTGGTGAAACGTGATAGTAAAAGTTACATAGTCAGTAAGAAACAAGCGATTTATTTTAGTGACATTTTGTCTCATATGATAATTGTATTTTCTACATAGGCGGTTGAAACTCTCAATTTTCTATTAATAATGAGAATTTCAGCTTTAAGAATTTTAAATCAATCTGAATAAAGTAGATTTAAATTCCAAGTATACAGAATTCTGATCAAATACTCTTTTTGAGAAGATCTTATCATTTTTATATTTAAATTTTTTTTTTTACAGGTTGGTATGGACACTCAGTACTGGACACCAATTAATCATTTTTTTGTTTGGGGAAGCATTGCCATATTTTTTGTGATGTCATTTGCCTTGTACAGTGATGGTTTGTTCTACTTGTCCCCTGAAACTTTTCCTTATATTGGTAAGTATATTTTTTTGAAAAAAGCTCAAACTCATTATGCGGTCAAGGGGTTAAAATTTTATCATATCAAATTTGACATAATACTCGAAACGAGGGAAATTTTATAGAAAAATTCAAATTGCGTTTTTTTAATACATGGAAAAAACATCTTATATTCTGATAATATCAATCAGTTTTATTCTTGACTGTAAGTACACAAAAGTTACTGTATGTCAGCCCAATATGCCCTTTATGGAGTTTGCCTTTTGAATGGTAATTGAGACCATAAACCACCGAACTGTATGGCAGTCGATTATTTCATCTACAGACAATGCCATTCCAATGGCAATTGGGACCAAAAACCATCCATATACATAACTGGGTACTCCTGAAGTATGTGGTGGACACTGGAACGTAGTATGTGTACCAGGTTAGGGTTAGGCCATAATTTCAGGTACAAATAAGGAAAATTGGAATAAAATTATGGCCTAACCTGGTACACATACTACGTTCCGGTTTCCACCATCTTGGTTCACATACTTCAGGAGTACCCATAACTGTATAAGTGTCCAATATATCCTCTACATTCCTACTCCAAGCTTCAGACATAATAGTTTATTCCTTATTCTTCTTTCTGTAGGAGCTGCCAGGAACACAATGAATGATGGTAACATGTGGTTCACAGTACTCTTGACAACTACTGTTTGCGTTCTACCTGAACTTGCAATCAAATTGTTCTATGAAATGCTTTACCCTAGCTATAATGAGGAGGTATGTAGACTATAATTGTATATTTCTTGCCTTATGTCGCACGGTTATACTAGGACTTCAGGATATTGGTTTTGAGTTTTTGCTGCTTAATTACATTTTGTAGTGCCGAGCTGGATAGATTCCTGAAAAGTAGATTCTTTCATATCAGTAGCTAATCATACAGAGCTGTGTTCAGAGCCTATTTCAAGCCCAACTTTCCCAGATCTGTCATTATTGTTAGCCTATGGGGAATACAAAATGGCAACCTTGAATTTGGTCATGATTTTGTATTGACTCGTTACTTTGTACAGATTTTAAAGAAACAAGTCAAGGATAGGAAACTGCGTAAAAAGAAAACTAAATCATCAACACTCAGTGAGTTAGCAAAATTCAAAAATCATTTCTTGATTAAAAGAAAAGGATCAAATCGCCCCCGTTCGGGGTACGCATTTTCACATGAAAAAGGCTTCGGAGACTTGATCACAACAGGACGTATGAGCATGAGAAATAAGAGCCAAAGTGCACATGGTACTCCAAAAAGTGAGAACCGTTCTGAACACATACCAGTTACTGAAGAACTTCACGAAGCAACAAATGCAGAAAATATCCCTAAAAATGGAGACATTACCCAAAAGGGGGTACAAAATTCTGATTCCTATCATACAGCTGTTTCTGATAGCAATAAAAAACAAGAACATCCGACTGAAACATACAGGAAATTGGCAGAATAATTTATTGTTTTTTACACCATGTTGCCTAATGCTATATTCTGTCCGAATGTTAATATGAAAATAGGCCAAAGATGGTGAATATTAATTATTCTAGATCAAAAGTAACCTCAAAAATTGTTCCATATATGTTATCATGTAGCACGAGTTATTATTAAACACTGTATTATAAAGTCAGAAGAGAAGTGAACTGTGCTATAAAGAACTGTGAATCTGACTTGCTTGTTTTTTTTTTGGCACATTCCTCAGTGTGTACCGGTATATGATTTTAAGGGGCTCCCGAAGTATGCGAACCAAAATGGCGGACATCGGAATGTAATATATGTACTAGGTTAGGGTTAGGCCATAATTTTAGGTATAAGGACTACGGGAGGCTCTTGGCTAGTCTTCGAACTGATAATAGGACTAAAATAAGGAAAAATTGGAAAGAAATTATCGCCTAACCCTAACCTGTTACCCATGTTATGTTCCGATGTCTGCCATCTTGGTTCGCATACTTCGGGAGCACCGATTTTAATCATTTTGCCATCATAGATCGTTTAATTTTAACCAGCTTTCTCATTGATGTTACATCACGTTAGATTCTTGTATGTAATAATCTGACCATGGTTGTTTGTATGGTTAGGCTGTCTTAATGGTTTTCTTCTCTCTCTGGTAAAATAGGAAAATCGTCTTTTATTCAATTCCTCATTATGTCGCCTCACACAGTGTGTGAAGAGTCATGTAATAATTGTGTTCAAGGCAATCCCAGTCTGCTTCATATGTATAGTAGCGTCTGTAGCAAAGGCATGCAAGATCAATTTAAAATAACAAAAACTAGACATTTTGAAGGATGTATATTTTTGGAAACATTCTTGAAGATTGTTGGTGAAATCTCGAAGCCAAAAAGTATTTGTCTGATACAGTTTCTTCATTTTATGTTGTCTCTCTCAGGTTTGCCAAGCGATATGAAGGTATATCATGCTCTGCCAAAATTACATTTCAAACCCTAAATAGGATTTTTCGATCAGTTATTGGTCAAGAAGTTAGATTCATTATCTGACTACAGACTGCTCTGCTTTGTTGCAATATTTGAAAAATTTCAACAAAATAGTCAACTGCATGCTAACCGGGCGAAAGGCAATGGTTTACCACATGTTTAAGTCGTCTTAACGGTTTTTCTCTCCTCAGGATAAATAAATCCCATCCTATATTCACGTATAGGATTTCAAGTCGAATAATTGATGCTGATTGTTAAAAATTTTGAAGTTCTGCCTTTGCTAATATATTCCTTTGAAACTTCATTGTTTACTTGTACAAGTTTTCATTTCATATTAATGACTTATGAAAAAGACGATCTACTATCATAATTATTAGTCTGCTATATATTCATTTCCCTCAAAGATGATCGAAGCTTCATTTTTGCTAAATTGAAAAATACATTTTGTTTTTTCATTGTAGCTTTCATTTAGATAGGTTTCATTTTGATTGAATTATATTCCATATATTTGTGTGTTTTAATTGTTTGTTTTTTTTTCTAAATGCAATTCTTTGATACAATCGATAATTAATTTAAAGTATGACCTCTGTTAAATAAGATGTTCTATTATTTCATCAATAACTAAATAACATTTAGCGGTGAAAAATATTTGCTTGATAAACGAAGAGATGTTATTTAGAAACCACTAATAGTACTGAAATTCGTCTTTCAAAATTTTTAGTGTCGTTCGCTCCATATTTTTACTTAAATGTAGAATGGTGACCACAACGTTACTTATTTAGTATAATTCTTGTATTTTCTTGAATGATTGAGTTGATTAGCGCTTTCTGTCGTCAAGTAATTTCTTTATATCATGAGTATTGTTTCGTTAAATATCAATTTTATTCAAACTTTAGTTTTTGTCCAATTTCTTTTTAATTTTCATTACTGCACTAATTTTCTTGTACTATGCATCAATTTTTTCTTTTGCTTCGAGCACTATTATTATATTAGTGGCATTTTAAGCTTAAAGACATTCACATTTTTGGTGCAAAATATTAACAATGCTTTTTGTTCAGGGCTTAGAAATTTAGTATATCGTAGATATAAAATACGCTAATAATTTGATTTTTGTATAGCAATAGATATGTTTTTTTGTGCCAGTGAACTACAGCCATTTCTTCTTTTTAAAGTGATCCTGGTTGTTCTAAATGAGATATCAAACACTTCCAACAACAAAACTTGACCATTTTTGGAACAAAAATTCATCCTTTTGAATGTAGGATCGGAAAAACAAATTTTTAATGCCATAATTTCATTAGTAAAAAATTGAATCCAAAACGTGAGGCGCTTGAGAAATGTACTCAAACTGGAATAAATTCTGTGATGGTCATTTACAGGATTGCGATTAGTTTAGTATTTGACTGTGTTAACCGTAACCTTGCTCTTGGCCCACCAGGGCTATTACTTATATCAGGGTTATTACTTTCATCAATGAAGATATTCATAATTAATCGTAATTTTATTTCATTATGTTCCAAACTCTGACCAAATTGTGTATCTTTTACATAATATGCCATGATGCGGGTATCAGTACTCATATAAAATTTCTATCTATTCTGCATTATGCCTTTCCATATTATTGTTGAGTAGCTTAAACTGAATATAAAACTCACCACAGGTCCTTTGACAAATGTAGGTCAGTTTTTCATATGATTTGGATTTAACTCTTGATGCATGTACCATATTTATTACATCACCGAATGCCTTTTCTGTTTAACATTTATTGGTGTCCATAAGTCTATTTTTACTAGATTGTGTGTTAACAGTTATCGCTCAATAATTTCTTTTTTTTAGAAAAATAATTTTATGATAAATATAATTCTCAATTATGAAACGAGTATGCTGCTTAAAAGTGGATGGGTAATCGGATGTGGAATATAAGATAGTTGAGTGTTCATTCACCCAATTTGTAGTTACAGCGGTACTAATGGTCCAGGCAGGCGAAAAAGAGTACTCCAGGCATAGGGGGGTTGCTAATATTTCAAAAGTTGGTTCTTGCCACTGTCTGTTTTCCTGGCTAAAGTGAATTCAGAGTTAAAAAGTTGGCTGAAGTCAAGGCTATTGGTAACCATCGACAATATAGATGTTTCCCAAGTTACAGCTAGATCATTCTGTGAATGCACGTTTTGTCGTGAGAAAAGTGTCTGAGCGGATGCGAAATGGGAGCATTGTTACGTCACTTTTTGCATCTTGCTGATTGGCCAATGTCACGAAGTAAACAATGAAGTCGATGCTCGGGGTAAGGGCCATAGTGACAAATAAATTGACAATTCAGTCAGTCATCATTTATTCATCAATTATTATTATTTACGACGGGATGCATGCACAAGACCTGCTGCCTAAATCACAAATGTGCGGCATGCATACCTTCATTAAATACGATGCAGTGGGAAACAAAACAAATGATAAAAAATTGAAACGAAATAAAAAAAAACGAAGTATTTAAAAGACCAATCTCGGTCTTACCCGTCCTCCAGGTCCTCTGTATTTTGTTTGCCCTTTTTTGTTGTTTTGTTTTTTGTTTGTATCAGAGTGACCAAATAAAATTGATTGATTGATTGAAGGAATTAGCTAGAAAAAAATCCAACACCTTGTCCGTAGATGTCGCTGTAAGAGTTTCAATTACAGGGAATTCCCCGTACTGCAGGGAGCATTTTGTTTTGCTGTTGTTGGGGATCTTGTTCGCTTTTTTAGTCAACAATCTATGTTTTGGATGGAGCAAAATGGCGTTTAATGTATTAATTGGTATGTATGCATTTCCTTTTTGGTAATGAACTACCGTTTTCGATATGAAATGTGCAGACTCGTTTGGGGAATGAACGAATAGATTGAAATTCAATGGTTCATGTACGATAAAGTTTTGCAACTCTCGGGGTTCCGAAGTTCATGTATTTGAAAGGATAAACTGGTGAATCATACTCAACCTGAACTAGTAACCAGAACAAAATCCATAGTTCTGTAGTTCAACCTACAGACGTATGATTAAGCCTTACAGCTTACATTGAAATTTTTTTAGAAAAGTTATCTCGCGTAGTTTCGAACCTGAAGAACTTCTAGTGGCCTTTGTAGCATGACGATTGTTGCACACGTCAATCCTAAGCCACACGCCGTTCAAAAATTATGTCACAATCACGTCATAGAGCTTGCCAAAAGTATACCTACGATCGCCTGAAATGGCAAATGCGCCGACGATAAACAACCCACTCCTGGCAGCGTCTCTCTCAAATCGGGATCGTTGCGACGAGAAAATCAGAGAAATAGCTTGCTCGATTTCAGGTGATTGTCTGCGCATCTTGGATGACGGTTAGTATAGTTTGAAGGGCCTTATCGTATCACTGTAATCTTTGGATAACACAATTAGGCAGGGATTAGGATTGACATATGCAAAAATTGTTATGCTACGCCCACTAGAAGTAATTGAGGTACGAAACTATACTAGACCCGATAATTAAAAAATCACAGGAGTATTTACAGCATCTATTAATTCTTCTTCTTTGTAGGTGGTGGTACGGGTTTTGTCGGCCAAGCAATAACACGTTCGTTAAAGCAAAATGGACATTCAGTAAAAATCATCTCAAGACAAAGTGGGAAACCTGATAAAATATCATGGGTGTGTGATTGAGTTAGATTAGCAGTAACTTTATATTGTCTGATTTTTTAATTACAATAAATAACATTGTTCAATTAACCACACTGGAAACATAACAACACAGAAGCAGCAGAGGCAATTGCCCATTTGCTGAGGTATATACATATAAAATATTGTTGCTGCAGAAGAATATTATTAAATATCAGTTAATATGAAATTTGAAGCACTCACATTATATATGGTTAAGGAAACAACTGAGCGAAAGTTAATTTCACAAAATTAAAGTTTTGGACAAAAATATCAGTATGCTATTTTAAAATCTATATTGTGAATTAATGTTAGTTGCAGCTGAAGCTTTCATTTGTAAAGGCCTGTATTCAACATCCGCACAATTTTCTTGCATCTGGCAAATTTATTGATTTGTACCGCTGAAGATAATAATATCTAAGAAACCTATGTGATTTTTTATTCTAGTCTTCAATTCGAGAAAATGGACTTCCTCACGACACAGATGCTGTGGTCAATGTGAGTGGAGCACCAGTTATAAATCCTTTTAGAAGGTAAGTTACAAGTGTGACTATATTTTCATAATTTCTTCATGTGAAAGACTTTTTCACCTAATAATCTTGCAGTGAAAATTCTAATTTTGAAAGCAATTTGTATGCACAGAACCATGCTGTCATGCAATGTATAATGTGGATTACCTATAACACATCTGATTCACATGTTAACACAGACTTTATAAACCATTTCTGATGATAGAGCTGCATCAAATGAAAGATTATATGAGCCTGTTTGATGAGTTTATTAGAAAGTATTGATACTGGAAAGTGACTGAGTTATTTGTGTCATGTTTATGAAGCTTTCTACCTTATTTTTTTGTTCAGATGGACTGATGAATACAAACAAGAGGTATGTAGGTTTTTTTTTACTCATATAATTCAATTTTTTAGAAGGTATGAGTACAATCATAAGGCAGCATGATTGAATTTGCCATTTCACTGAATATTATTAAAAAATATTTTTTCCAATCAGATGAGTGGAACAATATTTTGAAATTTTTTTAGCATTGAAACTCAGAAAAGTGTAGCTGTTTATTGTAAAATCGATCTTTATATTCTAAATAATTTTTCTTAATTTAAATAAGTGAACATTTGCAGGTAAGAAACAGTCGACTCCATACAAACAAGTGGTTGAGACAAGCTATTATTTCATCTGCAATAAAGCCAAAAGTATTTGCTACTATATCAGGAGTCGGTGAGTTGATACGGGTAAAGGTGTTGAATTATGTTTTTGGAAATGCAAAGGGAGTATGTCTTATCTAATCCAAGGGGTTCTCAAACTTCTGCAACGCTTGAACCATAGATTTCTTATCTTCATATATAGTAAGTTCACTAGATCAGAAATTTGCAAACTTTAGGTGCTATGGAGCCTGTGAAGAGGAGTAATATTTACGAAGTAGCATCACAATAAATTTATATAAAAACATTTTGTTTCTTACTGATTAATGTTCGTGTGTATATAAAAATTACTTTATTTAATGATGTATTTCGGATGTATTTATTGCTTCTTTGGGTAATTACAAAATTAACCAAGTCTCTATTCTATTAAGTAAAGAATAGCTCGCGGAGCCCCTAGGTTTATTCCAAGGCTTTGAGAACCTGTGACCTAATCATTTCAGTAGTTTTTCCGAGCATTATTTGCAATCATAGAAAACAATCAATCAGATGATTAAATCTATTCATTTGTCAGTTTGGCCTACAAAATTCTGAAATCACATATGACTGAGTATTTACTCAATTGAATGATCTTTATTGTATTTAAACAAATTCTCTAGATATTTCTCAACAAAGTCAAATTCATTTCGTTTTTTACATATGAGGGTCAAATATTTATGCTGGTATATTACATCAAGCCTTGAATTTTCTCATTTTAGTGATTTACAATGTTCCAACATTCCTTCAGGTTTTTATCCATCAAGCAAAACAGCAACTTATGACGAAGAAAGTCCAGGTGGTGTAGATGAATATCTTGCAATACTTGCCAATGGCTGGGAAAATGAGGCAAAACTGCCTTCTGACTGTGATGCAGTGAGACAAGTAATTGTGCGATCCGGTAGGTTTCACATTTTATATATTTTTACAATTATATTTGATAGTTCATTGTTATGAAGCTTTCAAGCAACGGATGATAGTCAGCCTGCACATAGTTCTGTAGACATTGATCATTTGGAATATTTCTATTTTTTGGGGTGGTTCACAGTTAGGGTTGGCGGTAGTAGTGGTTGATAATTCTTATTCTAAAATATAAAAATAAAATTCAAAATATCAATAAAAAATCCCAATAGATTTTAGAGCAGACATAATTTAGTCCTTATTCCTTTTAGTTTTATCGTCAACAAACATTCAGAGCAGAACAGTATAAAACTGATCCACTCAGAGCCCATTTCATTTAGAAATGGAAGGCTGAAAAACATACGACTTCTAGTAATATATGTGTAATCTCTATCTTGGCATTGATAGATTGAATCCAAGGATATAAAATCAGGAAAAAAATTTTGAATTTGAAATTTTTTGATAAAAACTTAGGCGTATGCAAGCCTTCTTTATGAATACCTGTAGATTGTTATGATTTCTTAGCGAATAAGAATTGTCATCATCATTAAAAGTATTAAATTCAAATTCCTTGATAAAGTGGTGGACATTGTTATGTGAATTCGAGGTTATTTTTCTCCAGGGAATTCAAAATTTTGATCTTGTAGTTTAAAAATATGATGCTGTTTCCAGTAAAAACCTAAGAACAGCCCTGATTGCGTCGGCGGTGTGGCTCAACGGGCTAAGCGTTAGGAATACGCTCGCCGCCGCACCTCTAATTACTCTGCGTGGGTTCGCAGGTTCGAATCCTATGCAAGGTTGGTTATGTGCGAGAGGATTGCTGGACTCCTCGCCGCCGTAGGGTGGTTCACGTAACCGCTGGTCGGTTACGGCTTCCTCCACCACCAAGTCCATGCTTCCGAAAACAAACAATATAACTAATCCCATACCCGAATTGGAATGGTAACCGGACGAGAGGCGGTGGTTCGCCATATGGATCAGCCGTCTTATCGGCTTTCCTCTCCCCCGGGATAAATAGGTAAATCCTATCCTATCCTATAATTACTTAATTAAGTTTCTTGACCAGATGCTGACTTTCTTTCGTGTTTACTACACAGGGGTTGTGTTGGGTAAAGGAGGTGGACTAATGGCAAATCTCACATGGCCATTCTGGTTAGGATTGGGTGGACAATATGGCAATGGACAACAATTTTTCCCTTGGATTCACGTTGATGACATTGCAGCAATATTTGTTCATTCAATAGAAAATGAAGTGTCTGGGATTTTGAATGCTGTATCTCCTGATATTCGCACAAATGGGGATTTCACTAAAGAATTTGCGGGAGTTATGAGACGACCAGCTTTCTTTACAGTTCCTGCTTTTGTCATCAAATGCACTCTCGGTGATGAGAGAAGTCCGATGCTTCTACAGGGGCAGAAAGTTATTCCTAAACGAACTTTAGAGTCTGGTTATAAATTTATTCATCCTAATTTGACTGATGCATTAAGAAACATTGTCTGATGATATTTTCAAAGAAGCGGTAGGTGGAATTATTGCTCCACTGCCAAGGATCGCTTCTTTTGCGAGGTTTTTCCACTGTGAAAATAAATAAATTGATCTATTGCTTCGGTGAATTTCGTTTTTGACTAGTATATTGCATCATGTTTGAATTTTTGTTTCTTTTGCATTCTTGTTGTAAATACAATTTACAAAGAAATACCAGTTTTATGCAATTTATTTTTATGATTGGTGGTGTATGATGGTATAGAGAAGTCGCATAAGATATTTTTTATGATGAGGACATGTATTTATCAAATCAACAACAATCTAGCTAGATTTTTTATAGCGATATTATCCTACGATGGTGTGACTCAATACCTATGTAATGAGGTGTTTTCCAATTGGTGGAGTGGTGTCCTGGAAGGTGTGATTGAGTCGCTTATTTTAGTATTTTGTAACGTTGTGGTGATCTTGCTTACAAAAACGGTCCAATTCTGATGTTGTGGCAAATGAGAAAATTAACTTGAAAGAGCGAGAAGATGGAAATAGGGGGATGAAACGAGACCTCTCCGAGCGGACGGTGCACTCCTGCGCAGTGCGCACGAACAAAATTCTGCTTCGATAGACAGAATTACGTTTTGTTCTACACGGACTTATGTTTTATTAAACGTACCCAGATTTGAAGTAAATTCAAACAATATTGCTCCGTGTTATTTGTGCGCACCATATTAGTAATTATTTTTACAAGATCATGAAAAATTTGAGAAAATTTATACAAAGCTAACTTATCATTTATGAGGTCAAAGTTCGTCATGATTCTTCCGTGTAGAATCAATGATATATTATTCTGCTAACATGCTACTATTCAAACGGTTCAGTCGAAATAATAATATCTGAATATGTGCCGCGCTATCTTCGTTTTGTAGGGACTCTTACTGAAATATTTCTTTAAATGTTTTTTATATAGCGTTGTTGAAAGAATATTTTTGTACTAATTTCGAATTAAGAACCAGTCTAATGGATGGAGATAGCGAAATACCTGGCCAAACGCCTTCACCAAGTCCAATTCCGACATGGGAATTGCCACCGGATCCTCCCGAAATAAAATATAACTGGATTGATATCACAGATGAATTAAAAGCAGCTTGTGGTGGTAAGTATGAACTTAATTTTGGAACTAATAACAGCATTGATACAGTATATATAAATATGTGGCATATTTAAAGCTCATTTAGCCATTTCAGCATTTTAAGTTGTGGCAACTTTTCCTAATTTCAGAATTATTTATCACCCCCCAACGATTAGTAATACTGCAATAGGATTCTTTTGTTTTTTTAGAGTTGCAAATGGGAGAACTTGTTCATGAACCGAAGTAAGTTTTTAGTGCCTAGTTCACTAAACGCCGTCAAGTACTTATAGTTGGCGTGGCATAACCATTTTCTCATATTTCATTTCTCATATGCCACCTGACTAGGCTTACCATACGTCCCGGTTTAGCCGGGACAGTCCCGGATTTGACAAGCTGTCCCGGCGTCCCTGCCGGTTGACTCGAATGTCCCGGTTTGTCAGCACGGTTTTCATGGGTCAAAAATTCAAATTCATTAATATTACAAATTTTTTTTAACGGTGACAGCCCATTTACCACTGTTTTGCGACACACTTTGCTAGTTCAGAGAGAGAAATCGCTCTATTGTTATGTCACAATTGGTATATGTTTTAATGCGTTTTCTGGCGTTAACTGTAGGCTTACCATACGTCCCGGTTTAGCTGGGACAGTCCCGGATTTGACAAGCTGTCCCGGCGTCCCGGCCGGTTGACTCAAATGTCCCGGTTTGTCAGCACGGTTTTCATGGGTAAAAAATTCATTATTATTACAAATTTTTTTTTAACGGTGACAGCTCATTTACCACTGATTTGCGTCACACTTTGCTAGTTCAGAGAGAGAAATCGCTCTATTGTTATCTCACAATTGGTATATGTTTTAATGCGTTTTCTGGCGTTAACTGCAATGTCATTAAGTTGTCGAAATGCCAAAAAGAAAGTACAAGTTTTCTGATGAGTTGAAGAAAGATTTTCCTTATTTGAAGCAAACTGAAGGAGGAAAGGTACACTGTACGCATTGCAGATCTGTTTTTCTATTAGTCATGGCGGACGTTCAGATGTCAACGATCATATCCAAAGCAGGAAGCACAAAACATTAATTGAGGCATCGACTCGACTGACCAATTTTGCGATAACAAATTCGGATGATTCTGTGTCGTTGGCAGCCGACATTTACCTATCACACTGCTATTCATGACCAAAGTTTTGACTGCACCTCTAAATTAATTTCAAATTTTTTTGAGGCTAAATTTGCATTAACTTGTAAATATACACAGTTAGAATTTCTGATGTCCGCTGTCTGATAAGCGGATTCGCTGATTTTGCACGTTTAGCCAGAAATAAATGAGAGTTGGTGCATTGCTCCGCTGTTCTCCTCTGAATTTAATGATGATTTACTTCAAGCTCGAATAGCAACAAAACACAGAAAAGTTGATGCTAAGTGCAAAGGGTTCAATGGCGCTGAAAATATTCAAATGGAATTTTTTTGAGATGCAATGAGGAAATAAATCTATATTCTATTCGAGAGATGTATCACTGCTTGATTTTTAATATAAAAAGTATCATCCGTTCAGTTTCAATTTTCTAAAAATATGTGCGGCCCGCCAATGACTCGCAACCCTTAATTTTGGCCCGCGGGCGACAAAAGGTTGCCGACCCCTGCCGTAGATGTTGCAAATATTCTGTCAGAGGTGAAGCTAAATTTGCAGGGAAAAAATTTGTATTTAAAAAGAATGTTTACGATTTTTACGAGAAATGTCTATCGTATATAGAGCTGCACGATGAAGCCTACAATGCTGCCAGGCCACACATATGGACAAATTTGAAGAGTGAAATAAACTGGACTGAAGTGTTTGGTCTTCAAAATTGATAAATGATATGTTTGTTTAGCTGATCAGGTTTTGAATAGCGATGCACTTTTCGACGAATACTGATAAAGAGATATTTATCTGAGCATGGTTCAAATGCAATTTGACTTACTTTGCCGGTTGAAATTAAGTGGACAGAGATGTTTAACGTTTTTTCTAACAGAAATATTAGCATTTCGAATTAGCAGCGAATTGGTTGATTTTGTTTTTCGGAACATCGGCATCTGTTGAAAGAATTTTTTCCATTGTTAAAAAATTTTGGTCCGAAAGCAGGTGCAGAATGCCAGAAGAAAATATAAAACCACTCCGTAACCTGCAAATTTAATGATTATGTCTCTTGTTATCAGTTTTATGACAAAATCAAAACAAGAATTTTTGAGAAAGGTTCCATCTGCGGACAAATACTTTTGGCCTAAATGAATAATCCAAACTAATTTTTTGTGTTTTTTCTAATTCAATGATCAGTAGAGATTTACAGCCGTATATACCCGCAATGGCATGGTAGACGTTCCAATATTATCAAGACTGGCAATCGACCGAATGTTTGCCAAATCGCACCGTCCCGGTTTTTTGTTTCAGATTTATGGTAAGCCTACACCTGACTATGTCGTCCAAAAATGATGTCACTAAAGGCACAGTGATGAAATAAGGTCCTTCTAAGTAAGCAGATTGTCGTCTAAAACCCGCAGACCATCACCCGAAATCAAGCAAGCTATTTCTTTCGTTTTCTCGTCCTAATGTTCTAGATATCAGAGATGTCGCTGCCGTTAGGTATTTCGTATTGTCGACGGAGATGCCATTTCGGGCAATTGTAGTTTATCTTTGGCAAGCTCTATGACGTGATTGTGACGTCGTAGTGACGTAATTTTTGAATGACGTAGTCAGGTTGGTTTTAGGAATAACATATGCAAAAATGTGTGTGCCACATAAACTAAAAGTACTTGCGGCGTTTAGTGAACATGCGCCAGTTTTTACTGTTTTATGATTCAGTGATTTGTATTTTATGAAAATTGAGACAGCTTTAAAACAATTTATATATTTGTGTCCTGTCTCTTGCCAATAGGAGCAGAAATCAGAATTGCAAATGAAAAGAAGGTGGAAATGCCTGATTTTTTTTTAATTACTTTCATTATTGTATTTTTAACTCCTTCAGTTTTGGACTTTTCGAAGCAATGAGTGCAATTGAAATGATGGATCCGAAAATGGATGCTGGAATGGTTGGAAAACAAACCAAGAGAAAGGTATTGTTGAACCTTTTCTAGTTATCCCCCCGTCCCCCAGATTAAGAAAACTATGAACCCGTAGCCATTTGTCACTCATAATCCTTGTTTCTGGCCATATTCTTTCACGGATGATTCGATTTAAGGTGTTTGTAGTGTGATCAAGTACACATACCATGAATCAGTCGTTTGTTCATAGCGGAGGAGATAACTGGAAAAGATATACCGGTATATTGTTTTTAGATCATGTAGTCGAAGAATAACTGATTCTTTGAATAACTTTGTATGGATTCGTGATGTTTCCTTGGACAGCGTCTTAAATATATTGGATTTTGCCGAATTTTTAACAAATTTCTGATCATTTTAAAAATCTATTTGAATTTGATCTTTGAATTTCAGATTCTTGATTTACATCAAGCCATCGAAGCAAAAACAATAAAAATATCTGACTTGGAATTCAAAGAATTGATTGGAATCATGGATACTTCACTATGCTGTTTGGTAACAATCCATTTATTTATCTTAACAACATAGTATTACCAATATAGTTAATAGACTTATGCTGCTAACTTAGAGACTTGCTTATCATTGGCTCAAATAGCTGCCATTGCAAGGGCAGGAATATTTTCAATTTGTAGCTGAGCTAAAGTTCACAATCTGGAAAATGAATTGCTTTGGAGAGAGTCAACTGAAATCTCAAATAAGTTTTAAAGGGAGTTGGGGTTCTCAAACTTTTTAAGCCGCGCCCCTTTTTTAGAATTTGTGAAGTCTCGTGCCCCACCTCAAAAATAATAAGCTACAAATAACAGATAGTAAGGCGAAAGTAAGTTTTATTGAAAAAAAAAATGAAATATATGTGAATGGAATGTAAATGATGAAATAAATGAAAAGTTTTGAGATGTAGATATCCAAAATAAGGCAGGCAAGATAAAATTGTCCATGCCCCACAGTTTTCTTCTATTACTTAAGTGATTCATTTTTCTCCATTTGTTTCAGCTGTCTTGGTTGGAAGGACAAACTCTTGCTCATACTGTGTTTACTTGTTTATATCTACATGAACCTGATTTAATTGAAGACCGATGTTTGCGAGCATACTCAATATGTATGTTGAAACTATGTGATCTTATAAGGGAGAAGATTAACAAGGCAAGTTAAATTAGCCATCTATATCTGCATCACATTTCATCAAGTTAGTTACTTGCCGCACAGGGAATTTTCAAAGGGTAGTGATTCGGAAATTTTTAATTTCCAATTTAGGACTGTATCTGCTAGCATGTTCGGTCGGAAAACGTGGCTTTTCAATAATCTCTCTTAAAAGAGTTTCACTCTATTGCGTGGAATATTTATGAAAACCAGATAATACTACCTATACTTGTATCCAAAATAGTATTGTTATTCTGCTTTGTGATTCTGCTTTGTAATATCAATTTAATTTAATTGAGACACAATTGTTAAAAATTATCTTTTTATTTAGGCTAATGTATTTGAAGAAGAAGACTTCCAGACGATTACATATGGATTCAAATTTGTTGAGGGTTTATCAGAGTTGAGAGTTGTTGGGATGATGAAAGAGGTTGAAGATGAATATTCTAGGAAGCTGAGAGTAAGAAAAAGAGGTACTCCTGAAGTATGTGCACCAGGATGTCGCACAACCTAAACTGGTACACAACCTGAGTTCAGGTTGTGCGCCATCTTGGCGCGCTTACTTCAGGAGGTCCGAAAAAGAAATATCTTTTTAAGTGAATTTAAACTTTATATCAGTGTTTCTCAAAGTTGATTACCCAAGGGCTAAAATAATAAGAAAAAGGATATTTGCAAGCCGGATTGTTACGTATATAAACATGCTTAACTGTGATAATGATGTAACAATCGGCGGTATCTAGGACGTAAAAAAAAACATGGAGCGTTAAACTAATCCACTCAAGTTTGGCGGGCCATATTAAATTGTTATGTGGGCCGTAATTGGGCCACGGTCTGGGAACCACTGCTTTATATCAATCATATGAATAATTTCCCCACCATATCATCTTGAGAAGCTGCTTCCAGTGTGTCTCTGTCGTTTTTCAGCCGAAACTTTTCTTGTATTTTTGCAAATTGGTAAATGAATAAGATGAGGGAAATAAAATTATTATTATTAAATAATGTTTTATGGAAGGACATTTTGGGTTATATCATATTTTGCAGCGAATCGGAAAATGGTTCGAATCAAAATAAATGAATTCTGTATTATAAAAATGTTCAAACTACCTCGCGCAAATTACTTTCCATACCAGAATTTTTTATCAAAATTTTGCAAAATTTGCTATACACAGTGATACTTAAGTAGTCTAACGTAACGACTCCATATAACAATTCGGCAGGCAAACACCAATTCTGTACGGTTCATGTTAGACTACCGGGGTAACATTATATCATGATTCTGATTCAAAATTCTTTTACAAAATTTGATTTGAAGGTCTAACGAAATAATGAAACCACACAATTATGGACTCTGCTTTATTTATCCGTTATTTGTTTGTCACTGTAATAATTTTACAGAGCATGAAATCAAAACAGACAGAGGGAGGACAAGAATCAGTTCAACTTGAAACTACGCGTTGTAACGGAATCATCGCTAGAATTAGATTCTTGAGATTATTTCTGCAGTCATTGATGGTATTCGGGAGGAAAGAGGTTTGTGTAGAATTTTTCTTTTTTTTTCATAAAATTCATGATGATGTTTAATTAACTTCAAAATGATCGAAATGAAAGAATATAATTTGTATTGCTATGGTGTTGTTATCAAAGTTGTATCATTCTGAAATTATGATTTTACCATATGTTTTGTATATTACTGCATTGTATACTCGACCTAGGAATTACTTTTGTTTTTATACTCTTTATGTCATCTCACATTCAGGCGGAATCTCTCCAGCAAGTTAAAAAGATGTTGCATTCAATGTTAGAACATCTGGCAACAGTAGGAAGGTGATATTTTTGTTAAGTTTGTGTTTAACTAAGTTTAGGGGTTACGATTTGCAAAAAAACTTAACCTGTACCTGTACGCGGAAATCATCTATTTACTGCCAGTTGAATTGTTGATATTCTCTTCCTAGCTGAAATTTTTTCATTGGGTGTTTTGGCAAGTCTAATTGCTGTTATGCCTGATTTTTCAGAACCACTCAGACCCATATTCTATGGTAGCCATTGCTTCTTTCAGTAGTCAAAATTTTAAAATACGTTTTTTAACACGTCTCTATCTTTCATAGAACAATCCACCTCGGAATAGAGTCAGTAGCAAGTGATGACGGTCACATGATAATGCATGGTTTTGAACCGTTAGTCAACCAGAAGTTGCTTCCACCTACTTTTCCAAGGTAAGTGTTACATTTTGTTTTTGTTCGATAATTAATTACCCAGTATATATGTCATAATTTTCATTTTACATATATGGAAAATTTATTTCGTTATCTTGATTGTCAATTGTCATAACAATCATTTTATCAGTGGTTTTCTGGTAAAATCATGTGGATTATGTACTGGTGTACATAGGTTTATAACATTACCCTTGACGACTTTTTTAATGATTTGGGTGTCCCTCGTGATTTGACGGCTGTGTCTTTTGGTCTCAGCAAATTAACTGTCTCCTATCAGTATATGGCAAAGTATATACTTTTGTTTTTATAAGGTCTTTTCTTTCTTGGGCTTGGAGGTCTTTGCTTCTGAGTTTCTAAAGATTTAAAATAGTATTTGTAACGCAAAGATTGAAAAGTTGCTCGGAAAGTTCAATTATATGGCGAACCACAGCCTATCGCCCGAATACAAGTAGGAATATAGTAATAGCTAAGTCGTGAATTTAAATCATTTAGCAATGCTTAATATCTCTGTAAGTTGTGTCGGTGACAAACTTAAACGGCACTGAAGTAAAGTTTTTGCCCGTTTTAGTAAGTTTTTTGGTGGTTTTGCATGCTTTAGCTTGATAAATGACGATTAATGACCAATGTGTTTGGACAATAAAAGTGTTTGTTTTATATTGCACTGTTTACCTATTTTTGGCCTTATTAGTCTATCATGGAATTCAAAGGGGCTGGTCATCAATTAAGAAAACGAGCAAAAAGTGGAATGTGAAAACAAAATCAAACTATGTAGACGAAGAAGGCATAATATTTGCCATCAGTGTTCACTATTAGCGCACTTTTTTGCGAAAATTGCGAAGCACTTTCGCAACTTTTTTTAGGGACTGCGAAATAGCACTTTTTTCTAATTTTGAAGAGAAATAGCACTTTTTTCCGATTTTGAATGGAATAAAAATTCAAAGTTAACAAATATTTTCGAGTATTAAGTTGACAAATAAGTAACATACTAGTACTTTTGTAACTCAATTCTGCATATCATAACGATATTTACCAGAATTCTAACCTATGAGATGCAGACATAGGAGATAAAGCTTATGAATTAACGGCAAAATTCTTGTTTATAATATGATTATTATACAAGCACACCGATTCCGCTTCTCCCGCATAAACGCTCCCGGCCTCTTTGAAACCAGATGTTGGAATACTACGCAGTGCGTTTCTTTGAACGAGAGTGGTCATGTGACTATCAATGATATCGATGAATTCAAAATGACTATAAAAGTGTTAGTAAAGTGTTATAGTCACTTTGGATGAATTGTGACCAAAGTGCACGATTTTCAAATCAGACGAAACTTTTAGCTGCATGTCACAGATTTGCAAAATCACCAAATTCACAAAATACCATTAAGTACCATTTTATTGTAATCACAATGTTGAAAGCACGTGGCATTTTCCGGAATTTTGCGATATTTACACAACTATTTCTCAGTACAGGTGGGCGAAATTCAATATTTTTTTGAATCGAATATTTTTAACGAGTACCGAATAACAAATATTTTTGGAACGTCGGTAAAAAATCGGCAACAAAGCCTTTTTACTGGTTAATTCCGTTGTAATCGCTAATTGTTCTTGTCACCGATCGTTTTGGCGGCGAAATCCAGGTTTTGGTAATCTATATTCCCGCCCTTTCTTTTTACAAATATGAATTCTTGCCGGTCGGCGGACATCGAAGTTTTATATTTCGGGTTTACCCGTTGGTTCACATCGGCAACAGCTGTTGAAGACATTGAGGACTCAAATTAACATTTGCGTTGGCTTTAATACCTATCAAGATTTGTATATTTACCGTCCCAATTTTATGCGAATGGTAATATTATTGTCGATACCGTGATGCAGATATTTATTAAGACTATAATTAACTTTCCCATGTTTTTCTATGGTGATAAAGTTCGCAAATCCGAAATTGTGCCAATCCTGAATGTTGATTTAAAATAGTGATTGAATAATTCGGCAATAAAGGCATTTCTGCGTGGTCATAAGACGAGATGACGTTAATGAACAGCAATTCTTTTACAGGATATTTTACGTATGCGACTTAATGCTAAAAAGATTGGGCTCGAGTGCTTTTTTTTCGAGTGCTCGAGTGCCTAATAGAGGTCAGGCGCTAATTGTAACTAATTCCCTCACGTTTCAACGTGTTTTCAACAAAACAATACCCCGGCGATAATTATAGCTAAAATGTTACCGAGCAATTCACAATTTTATTTATGGAATTTGCAAATTCACCAGTTTCTTGACGATTTTGATAATGTCACGCCCTAATTATTAGTGCAAAAAATACTCCCTTTCTTCCGCGGCGGTTTGACGGGTTCTCTGTTCCATTCTTCAGAAAGTTCTGACACGGGGGATATAGAATACTGAATCCAGAGGGTTGAATCCCTGTAGACTTACTGGCGATTTTCCGTTTTGGAATGGGTGAAAAACATTCTCTATTTTAAATTAAATGGCGTTTCGCGGGCTAGAGTTCTCCCCGAATATGATGTGTACCAGACGTTAGTCAGACGATAGATAAAACATTAGATTAATAATGACGCCCCGTTTTCGAAAATACAAAGTTATATCGCAAAAAATGCGTTTTGATACATTTGGAATGAAACATTATTTACGGTTAATTCAGATCATATTTTACTCTTCATGACACCCGGTATTCGAAAATACAGTTGTATCGCGAAAAATGTGTTTTGTTACATTTAAAATAAAACATTTTTGCGATTAATTTAGATCATATTTTACTTTTCACGACATCCGTTTCCGAATATACAAGGTTATATCGCGAAAATGTGTTTTGTAACATTTAAAATAAAACATTTTTGCGATTAATTTAGATCATATTTTACTTTTCAGGACACTCGTTTTCGAAAATACAAGGTTATATCGCAAAATGTGTTTTGTTACATTTAAAATAAAACATTTTTGCGGTTAATTTAGATCAAATTTTACCTTTCACGGCAACCCGTTTCCGAAAATACAAAGTTATATCACGAAAAATGCGTTTTGTTACATTTATTTTGCATTCCCAATAAAATACATATTTTCCCTAATTAAAGTCGTCGATGAATCTGTTCCTGTCGTTCAAGCTCGACACACGTTTGGACGAGTGTGGGGCGTTTTTTGGTCGACGATAAATTAAAAAGTTGCCACACGTTATTTGTATAACGATAATAACTGAAAATTAAGATTTTGCAATAGAAGTGAATTTGTCTCAAGATGGTATTTTACGATTCTTGACCAGACCACAGAAAATGAACACGCTGACACGGTTGGTTATAATTGATATCCGTTTAATTTATTTTACACTATTAATAAACGCGCCACACCAAGTGCGGCCATATAAATTGCAGTCGCATCGGTATGGACTGTATCTTTTTGGCGCTCTCACATTAATAATAATTTTCAACAAAACAATACCCCGACGGTCATTAAAGCTGAATCCGTTACCGAGTAATTCACAATTTTATTCACGGAATTTGCAATTTCAAGATCTCACTTGACGATTTTGATGATGTCATGCCCTAATTATACTGCTTAAATGCCTCAAAATACAACAAATGTAATCATTTTCGACAATAACAAGCGCAACAATTCGAAAACGAGCCGTTATAACGAAATTCGCGATTTTAACATCCCGCCGGCCATGTATAGTTGAATAAAATGTTCACATATTCGAAACATGACTTGGCCAAGAATGAAAGGGATCGCTAAAGAGCTAATAGAAAGTACATACGGGTACGATACGATGGTATGATATTAATATCGAGAATATTTGTGAGCATATCACAGGACGGAAATATTTTGCACCCCGCTGTTTGTTGGCAGAACAACGATACGCTAAAGTTAATTGATCGAATACAGGAAAGTATTTATTTATCATCTCACTTGCGAACATCGAGGTTTTGGCGGAATTGTACGATCATGTTGTCTTTCTCAAATAATAACTTTTTCAATAAATGTTCATTTTACTTTTGCGTCTTTATTGTATGTCGGGTTTTCATTTATTTTAAATTCCAAACTGTCCGAAATACTCCAACAGGTGTATAAGTACAATAATAATAGTACTTACCAGGGAAGTTTAATACACACGATGTGTTAAGGGCGTCGTAACTCCTGTTTTTTTATTTGATTGTTTTACATTCTGCTTAAAAAACAACGTCGTTTTGCAGTCATCTAACGTAACTCTCGCGACCAAATCTTTTTCGTTTTGTATGGCATCGTCTTGACGCAATTTATTGCAGATACCCTAGGTTATTTTCTGTTTGTTGGGTTCCAAACTTTACAAACTTGGGTAGCAATTACTATTAATGTGAGATTTGTGCATATAAACGATTGAATATCGCGACTGGATGTCCGATATCTGAGAATGCGTACTTCTCTTTCAACATTAAGTTTCAGGATATCAGCGTTCATGTGGTCGAATAAAAATTATTTATCAAATGGATTGGTATTTCGAGACACTCTCAAAATTATTTGGGATCCACTATCATATCATTCGTTTATTTTCTATATTCATGTTTTTTTCAAGAATCACCCTGTTATATTTCGTGTATCTCGCGAAAGAAAACTCTTTGGTGTCATCGTTCCTATTAGTGTAATTGAAATATATGGAAACCTCGCAAGTGGCGTTGTGATGCGAATATTTGATACTAGGTCAGCAGCATTACAAATGGTGCTATTTATGAATGCTGAAAGTACATGGCATTACTAAACATTTTGCCAATATATGATGTTTTCTGCCCGAAATCGCACGCAAACCAAGGCATGTCGACATTTAAGAATTACTGGTCTTTGGGTAAGCTCTGAAATAGTATAATATAAATGTAAATGAGAAACTAGGTCACGCTAGCTCACGAAACCAGAGGATTTTCAAAGTGATCTTGTGTAATATTTCGAAGAAAAAAGTTTGAAAGGAACGTAGGTCAACCTATCTCCTAAAAGGGGAGTATCCTGCGTAATATTTCGGAGGGGACGTAGGTTAACCTATCTTTTACAACAGCGGGTGGCGACTTTCAAAGTGGTTCAAAATCACAAATTAATAATTATCAGATCAGGTTTAGTGATAAATCGAAAAGTTGAATTTCCAGGGCACCTGACCGTAATTAGTTGATTGCTATTTATATTTGGGGGGGGGGGAATTATTTTGCACGGGTTTTGTACAAATGATCCACCCTGTAACTAATATGGTTTCCAGCCTGCATGTATCAATCGTTGTCTGTTAGATGGAAGGAGTAACAAATGTGAAAGCCTTTGCTGTTCACGCAAGTAAGCAACTGACACCGTGATACATTGCATGAAAGTTTTGTCCGGTCAGGTGTTAGCAGATGTCCTTTCGTTGCCGATGAATTCGCTTGTTTTAATCACACATGAATTCGCTTAAAGGGAACTCGGTTAACGGAAAGACTTCTCTTTAATTCATAATATTAACCGGAGGAGCGCTTTTTCGAGTATCTATGCTGTTTTAAATGTGCTATATGAAAGGCTGGGGCACCTAACTTGTTAAAATCGGCAAAGGCACTTTCGCACTTTTTTTTTCGACTGCGAAGCACTTTCGCACTCATAATTCGCTTAGAGTTAACACTGTTTGCCATACTTTTCTAATGACGCATTCGAATACTAAAATGAGCGCAAGATCTCGTTTATAGCCCGCTTAGTTTATTACTCTACATGGAGTTTGGAGCTCTTGATTTTTACTCATTTTCTATTGTTAGCCTGGTCATTGGTTTTAAATCATCTAATGGAACTCTATACTCTTCACTCCTGGGGATTTTCAAATCATGTTTAATAATTACTGATTCAGATTAATATGTTTTTGTTCTTTTTAGGTATACAACACTAAGAAACAGAGAGGAAATTGTTGAAAATTATGAGCAAATTATTAAAAGATTATTGATGGTTATTGAAGTTACTGGACTATCTGGATATCAGAATATATTGGTTGGTAGTGCTTATTTGTTTTGTTATTGTTGATTCATTTTTAACGTGAGAGTCAATATATATATATATATGACTACAGAAACAATGTGTTTACAAAGATAGAAGGCTAATATATAAAAGTTGAAACAATATTTGAAAATATTTTTTTGAAAACGCTCATTTTAATTTTTTTTATATTTTGTAGCTCTTCCAGATTTAGGGCATGTTTTTTTTAAATTATATAATTTTAATAACAATATAGAATGACTGTTGCAATCCAAATTTAAGGTTTACTAATTTTTGAGAAGTTTTACATTTGTGCTCTAAGCAAGGCTGTTTACAATCATTAACTGGTTTTTCGTCCAACCAGCTCCTATAAATTTTTTAAGCCATAGTTCTCTACATAACTTTACATAAATACTATAACAGTTTTCATTCAAGTAACACTCCATTGTATTTTTTTCAGGAATTTTTCGACAAGTTTGGGAGAACAATCCCATGTGTATTATCTCGTTCCATTCTTCAATTAACATTCCTGCCAGAGAATCGCAAAGTATTCGGCAACCAGGTGTTGACAGAGTGTATCAAAGACGCAATGCGAACTTTCAACGCACCTCCCGTTTTTTCTCCTAGATGTCCGGCTCTGCAAAATCATCCGACTGCAAAAATTCATGCTGAGATGTTTTTGAGCAGAGCATCACGGGTGAGTAACAGAATCATACAATATTACTTCTACAAATTGAAGTTTTCTCTAGATGGCTATAATTCACTTTCTCATTTTGAGTAGTGTATATTTATCTATATTTATCCAAAATTATGATAGATGTTATTTTTTGTTGAATTCGAAACTTGACAGGAGTGGCAAATTTCACAGGACTTGAAACTTAAATAATTCCATAAATAAGAATTCTTTAATAATTTGTTTTAAATTCCTTATTCCTGCGGACATCTTTTGCTACAAGCAGAATCAGAATTCGATAAGGATTTACATTACAATATATATATTGTAAGATTGTGCATAATATTAAAATACTATATCCGCCACTGATGATTTATTTTCTTTATACCAAGGCTGCATCATGCTTGATTCAAACATACGGTCACAATAGAGCAAGGCATCGTGAAAAACTTGCTGCTATTCTAGAAGAGTTCGCTTCTTTACAAGTAAGTCATTTGCTGGAAAATCTTTGAAGTTTCGTTTTTCGTTATTCCAACCCTATTAAGTAAATTTCTCTGTCGAACATACCCGATTCAGAATATATTCGTTACTACACAATCGGAAACATTATTCCATTATTCCCATAGTGTGTGTACCAGGTTAGGGTTAGGCCATAAATTTATTCCGATTTTCCTTTTTTTAGTTCTATTACGAGTTCGGAAACTGTCTGTGTTAGCCAAGTGAATATATCCCCTGCCCATAGGATTCAGTCTTTTTACACAACTTGATGTAAAGTAGGCGAACAAAATTAGTTACCGCCATATTGGACTCTGCTTGTTTACGTTTTTCAGTTAGTATTTTACTTCATTTAGGAAGAAGCCGATCGAATAGATTCTGATCTTCATGCAATCAATGAAAGCATTAATCCGAACTCTGACCTTTCACATTTGACCTGTCTAGGAAGTTGGACGTTATATCATACATTACGTGTGATGACACAATACGTTCTTAGCGGATTTGAACTTGAACTATACAGTCCACATGAATTACATTATATTTATTGGTAAGCTATATATTTTTGTACAATTTCATTCAAAAGAAATGTTCTGCTTTTTACTTGTTCCTGATTCATTTAACAGAAAGTATCTAAGATTATATGATGCACTCGAAGCAAATATCCGCTTTTAGAAGGCCTGTTACCAGATTTTTAATCACCCTGAAGCAACAGGAATTTTCAGGGGGTGGTCGTTCTCAAATTTATAATTGTCAAGTCAGACCGTATGAGCTAGCTAATTTTGTTGATTTTTATTCTGTAGTACTTTTATCAAACCCATTTCTTTACTATCCAGGTATTTAGCAGAAATTTTACTCAGTTGGTTGAGCACAACGATCAGTCGTGCAGAACAACAATTAACTCGTGATGAAATGCTGGGAGATCAAATTCCTGGAAGAAACAGAAATAGTAGAAAGAAGAAAAATAAAAGAAAACCAAAAATTCACTCAAAAGAACTAAAATTGACGCAGGTATCGAAATGTTTTCACTTTTCGCCAAAATTAACTAAAACTCCCAAATAAGTGCAACGACCTATGCCGGTTCTCAAGCTTTCACGTGCTCCCAAAAATTTTCAACACTTATTTGCCTATGCCAGGGGTGTGGCAACATTTTTCGTCGGTGGGTCGTATAACCAACTCTAGAAATCCAACTGGGACACATGAAAAATTTAGTTTTTCCATGTACACAACGAAAAGATTAACGCAGCGACAAGATCAAAATAACATGTATTTTTACCAATGTGAGCTCCTTTTTTTAAGCATAAACTTACCTATCAGGTTAGGATTTTATGTTTGATGGGGAAATATGACAAGGGCCACACTAAATGGCTTTTTGTGCCGATTGTGGATCACGAACCGTCTGTTGCACACCCAGGCCTAGGGGGTACGATGGCCTTATTTGAGAAACTCTGACCTAGAATTCAAACCCCACCAGCGCACCCACATCATGGAGAAGACCATGCTTAAGCAGCTTCTGCTATGCTACTTTTTTGGAAAGATAGAAATATTCTCAGTTCAGAATTGCCAACCCAATTTAATTTACACTCCGCAGACCGCAATTGAGTCCAAATTTTTTCTGTTTCAATTCCATATCTCTTCTCTGACAGGGAATGCAAATGATGGCAGCTGGATGCTTCAAAGCTGTTCTAGGATTCTTTTTATCAAGGAAACTTCTCACTCCAGATTTCTTGTTAGATAGTGAATGCACAAGATACGAGCATCGTTTCTTACCTTTCGTTAACATAACGACTCCACCGTTTATGCTGTATTCCCAGTTTCGTGTGAGTATTGTAATTTTTTTTGATTCATTGTATCATATTATTGGATTTAGGGTTCATTCAGAGTTTCTAAGGTATTAATAGTACCATGAGTAACTATCTCTTGACTCACTCTCAATGTTCCGCTGTGATATGGGCATATATTAAAAAATTTGGGTTGAAAGTTAAAAAATGGAAAGAATCTTTAAATTTTGAACTTTGACTTTTAACCCAGGATATGACAGACATAACTACTTATCATCCTCGACCTTCTGAAGAGCAATTATTTATTGCTGCATCAAAGCATTTCAGTCAAGCAAAAGCAATGTATGAAACAATTCCAAATCAAACTGAAGAGGTGAGTGCATTCATATGAAGTAGAATTCATACTATTTGGACAAGAGGGACACATTTTTAGGACACCCTATTGCAGGTTTTACCGAACTTTTTTGGGAGGCGGACCCGTATATTTGAATCATAATTTTGATGGACCCCTATTCTATGCCCAAATGGATATTTGTCCGCAACGCTCAACCAAAAATGTTTGTCTGCAATGCTCAACCAAAAATATGTGATGACTTTTCGATTTAAAACAATCCTTAAAGATTGATCAGACTATTTTCATGTTGCTGCGGAGTTTGTGCAGTCGTCACGGACACCCAGGTGTCCGAGGACCCCAGTTTGGGAAACCCCGCCCTATTGAAGGCTGTAATGGTGGTCTGTACATTACCTGTTATTGGAGACTCTTACCATAGTACAGTGGTTTCGACTTTTTAGCGGAGCGAAACCACAATGAAACATTCAAGAGGCAGTACAGTAAAGGCTTCCACTCATTTTCCGTATAATTCTGAGTGTATACCATAATCGTTTTTCCAGTCTATCTCATTCTGGTCATATCATATAAACATACAAATCTTTTTTTATTTTTAGGTACAAAGTCTACTCAAAGTTGCAAAGACCAATCTTGTTGTTACAAAATTACTTGCTACTGGACATAAAAAAGATTCTCCATGCAAAGTTGAATTTGATTTTTCTGTTCATAAATATTTTCCTATATTTAAAATCGCTTAATATGAGTCTAACGACAAAAATGATTTTCAATTGTCAGATTGTCTTAAATACAGTCAATTGATTTGATTGATGATTTGACAGAAAACTGTCACAATGTTTAGATTCACTGTTCTCCCACTTGTCCCAATTGTATGAATCTATCTCCACATAACTAAGGCAGTGACTGGCAAACTGTGGACCACGGCCCCATTGTGGCTGTCTAGCGTTTTCTAGTGGTCCTCCAATAAATTTCTGCGATCTGAAATTGACTAGCAATGCATGATTTGATTACTCTCTGTTACATTCACAGATCACATGATTAATTCGAGATTAAAAAAAGGATGCGCTTCATTGAATCTTGAAATTACTTTACAGAAGACAACTTCAAAAATTATGAAGTCTTAAATTAACCCAAAATTGCTTTTTTCTGTGTGATTTCAAATGTGTTCATGATTTTATAATATAGATAAACAAAATTTTGTTTATTCGATCCCTTGAATAACCTATTCGATCAATCACTCAATATTTTTAGGCTCATTGGTTTATCAGTATTTTAGCATTTCGATTTTTGCATTTTCTAATTTTTGCCTAAACCGAACACTGTTTTTGTAATAAAATTATTCAGAAATCAGTAAAATAGCTTGATTTGAACGATAATGAGATGTCAGATTTACTCTATAAATAATTTTATATATAAATTTAATCGCTAGTCCACTTCAAATGTAGATATTAAAAGACCATATTAAAAGTACGTGACTACTTATCAGGACGTTTGGTACCTAGGTAAATATTGTCCGATTTTCTAGCAGTTAAAAATAAAACTGAATTGTTCTGTTGTTATTTCTGATCGTTCTTTTCTATGCTTTGTACCTATGCGAGTTTCAATTCCAATAATAAAATTGAGAGTTCTGACAACTTTTCGATCATTATTATGTGACAGCGGCAAGGGTTTTGATATTAGAGATCCAGACAGGACTGTGGGGTCAAAGAGTTCAAAGTTTTTGTTCATACGGAAGTAGGAAGTCCTATTTTAAAGTGAGTTCTTTCGAGTATTCGCGTGGCGCATCTTGTCCGAAGAAACGGGAATACTTAATTTCTGTTCAATTGGAAGCACAGACCTATTTGGAATATCCATTTACGAGGTGTTAGCACTCTGAGCATTAGAGAAAATATAGAGAATATTCTTCATAAACATTTTGATATGTCATAATGTCTTTATATTCTGAATATAAAGGATACGACAACCGACGCTTAGTATGATTCTCCCAACAAATGGAAGGGCGCATTGAAAAGAAAAAAAACAAATGATCGTCGGAAATCTTCCTCGGAATGAGTTTTCAATTAGGCAATCTTCTTAACCGCTTCTTATTCAAGTAATATGCTTGATCGTGGTTTAGTCAAGATAAATTCCGTTACTAAACAATAATATCACTCCCTAATCATTGGTCACTAATAAGGATGAGAATGAGATTCCAGTTCGTTTGTTTCTTTATTCTATTTCAACCACTCTTTTCCTCCTGTTTCTTTTTGATACTACCCCTTTTTCTTCTTCTTTGACCTCGGAAAATATTTGGCGCGCGAGCCACATTTCAGTTCAGGGCGTGGTCGTGTGAGGTCGTCTCTGCGCTGGTTTGAGTCAGAATACGCAGTGTTTTACGCAGGGAAAGTAGGGATATAACTAAGTCAAATGATCTTTTACTCGTCAACGTTGTTTCGACATGTTTATTAATTGTATTTTTGACTAATATTTAACGGTACATTTACTTTTTTGAGCAAACTTAGCGTTCAATGTGCCTTCTTGATAAAATTTGATTGAATCAAGCAATACAAGTGTAGCACAAGCGTCACAAATGATCAAAGTTGATTAAATAGTAATTTTAGAACGTAGAACACATCTTTTATCAGGCATATTGGGCATTTCCTTGTCGTTTTCAGTGTTATTCTATTCTTGGTGTGCACGGCGGTGTGGCTCAACGGGCTAAGCGTTAGGAATACGCTCGCCACCGCACCTCTAATTACTCTGCGTGGGTTCGCAGGTTCGAATCCCATGCAGGGATGGTTATGTGCGAGAGGATTGCTGGACTCCTCGCCGTCGTTGGGTGGTTCACGTAACCGCTGGTCGGTTACAGCTTCCTCCACCAAGTCCATGCTTCCGAAAACAAACTATATAACTAATCCCATACCAGACTTGGAATGGTAACCGGACGAGAGGCCGTGGTTCGCCATATGGATAAGCCGTCTTATCGGCTTTCCTCTCCCCCGGGATAAATATGTAAATTCTATCCTATCCTATCCCTTGATGCGATTCGACTAGAAGGCTATTACGTTTCTATTCGATGGTCTGAATTTTTCTGGACCTTAATATTTCACTCAATGTTGTTTTTTTTATAATTCATGAACATACATTTTATATAATATTGGTGTTCCTTTCAATTTTGTTAAACTACGGTAGGTTTGTTGTTGGACACGTCAGTGTACATAACTATCGTTTCAATATTATGTTATTGTTCTTGTTTTTATTGAGTAATTGTTCAAAAGTATTTTTACTTCATTTAATACTTCTGTGGGGGACAAAACAATACATGGTATCGTTAAAAAAAAATTCAGACTTTATGGACATCGTATATATTCTGTACGATCATTAGCTGTATTTCATTCTGACATTGCTCTAACCATATGATCGTTGTCCGTATGTATATTTATATAGGCGTTACTCTTTCAATTTTTATATATAGGTAATATTGTATTTTGCTGACATTTTTTCCTTGCGTTTATTTTTTTTGATGTGATTCATAACTATACAGATCCTCCTGTGTCAAATTGTTTTATTGTTTGTAGGTGAACAGCAAGATCCGGCAATGTTTATCGTTTTATTACTTCGTTCGTATACGTTCGTATAATAATTCTGTAAGTATATCGACTTTCGACATTAGTTTGCTTGATCAAAGATGTGAAAAGGTATGCTAACAAGCAATAGAAATCTATATTCTTATTACAGGGAACAGCAACGCAAGAAGTGAAAGAAAACTAAATTGTCGCTGATGATAATCGATTGACAACTGATCGATGTGTATGGAAAGGTAGGAAGTTAAGTTAGTATCAATTTTAGGTTCTGTATTAGATGTTATATAAATTGATGCTCCTATTAGCGCCTAACAACAGTATATATACTATTTTTTTGGATCGTATAAACACCACGTCACGTGATGGGGTGGGGTGGTAAATGACAATAATGTAACTAAAATAGACTTAATTAATGCTAATTTTTGTACTCAGTAGTCTTCCCCCTATATAAACGCTCGTGTGATAGATATATTACGTGACTGTTATAAAATATCACTTTTGATAATGGTCAACTAACTAAGTTACTCCGCAATATTTTTTACTAAAGAGTTTCACTTATATCACAACAGACATGTCAATAATACAACACGAATCACAATATCGAAGGAGCAATGGCCCTTGAAGCACATGTCGTCGCGGACGGATCTGCAATTGGAAAACTCTATCTTCGTCTACCATGTTTCTAATTTATCCACTCCCGGGTTGGAAATGTGGTCCTAAGATAACGTCAATAAATACAAATTAAAAAATAGATTTTTGTTTGAGATTGAAATCATACTAATTGAAGCTATGATAATATAAAATTCTCTCCATGTGTGTCTTAACCCCCGACAAAGAATTGTGATTATATTCTGTCGATTTCGCATACGTCCCCGTCTGTATACTAAAGTAATATGTTCCAAGGACATCATTGAAATCGCGAGGTTTTTTCATACATAAGCGGTTTTGCTTTAGGTTCTATGTATTCATATAAATATGCTAATCATAATCATACAAATATGCTTACTGGCTCCTCTCGTTCTCTTTATTACTGATCAAGCGATACCAGTCGAATATTGTTATAAATATACTGCGACAATGCTATTAATTTACGCTTTGTTATTACGTAGGTTAGAACCCATTTTCCGACTTATAGCAATTGAAATTGCGAAGTATTTTCACAACAAACTTAGTTTTCTGTTGCAGTAATTTGCAGACAAAAATCAGATAGGGGGAGAATCTCTAATATGACTGAACTCTACAAAACCCTAACATCGGAACAATATTATTGAAAGTAAGTTTTATTGAACAACTATAAATAATCTTACCATACTCACGATCAGTAACGTAGAGATCGGTCATCTAATTCTAACTAACTGCTAACAGGATGGTTCGGTAGGTCATTCAAATCTGATATTATAGCAGTTGTTAACACGTAAAATACCTATTCTGCTGCTCTGTTTTTATCTGGTATCTCATACCATGCGACAGTTTTATGTCTTGTTTAATATGCACCACAATATTCTAATGAATATAAAACTATTGCTTATCTTTAGCGCGTTTCGAGAAAACAACAAGAATCATAAGATCGTGAAAACTGAAGCCGATAAATAATCACTCATTACATACCGAAATGCAAATGGTGAGTTTTATATTTCTGTTTTGGCGCATCTTTTTAAATGTCCATTGGCCCTGCTAATCTAATTCGCATTCATGCCATAAAACTATGACGAAAGTCGTGCATCTCACGTGGCCCCGAATTTTTTTTTCCTTTGAACCTTTTGAGTTTCGGTTTTATCCTATTCTGAGTACTAAAGATCCCTTTTATGTTACGTATTCGGAATGAATTCCCTTTCTCAATTTAAAGTTATGTATCATATGCATATTATTGATCGTATGGAGCCAGTATGTTCTGCAGAAACTTACATCCAAATTAGCTTGTGATCAAGCAATATATTGTCATAAATGTCCAACAAATTAATACACTTGAATATCCACATGCACGTATACCGTTTAAAAGTGCTGTAGGCTACTTTCTTTTTTGTTGGTTCCAAACTTTTTTGATATATATATATATTTCTCTTCGGCTATATCAGATTTCTTCCTCAATTCCCCACTTGCAAAAATTATGTTTTTCACGTTTGATCAATTTCCAGTGAATGCTCCTTAAATTCCCTGCCGATTTTAATGTCACAGATAGAGCCAAAGTAACACACTAAAATATTTCGAATCTATTCGATTTTGATACCACCGATTTTCGCTGCCTAAAATCTAAATCATCAACGAGCTGCCACTTAAGCTGGGCATTTTAGAATCGAATCAAATATTTCTTTCGTATCGAATCTCGCATCTCCAAAACACCATATCATTGCTTTTATTATACGCTTTGTTTTTTTAAAAGCCCCAGTTTTGTATTTCGACGGTGACAGTGGGTCAGAATTGAGAGTATTTCCACGACTAAATTGATTTTCAATTTTCTCATTCAGGAATATGAATGTGGAGTACGGAGTGTGAGGAGCTTTAGCATGACTGGTCTCAAACATTCAAGAACAAAATCACTGAAAGTAAGTTTTAATTAACGAATTTAAATTCAATCCATCTTGGTTAATGTAAAGATTTCCATCATTTGTTTCAAATTTCAACAAAATTTAGGAAATATATTCCATACCCATCCATACTTATTTCTGAATCAAAAATTACAATTTTTAACGGTTAAAAACAATTTCGCACTCACACTGATGCAGGGTTTATACTACTGACGTTCTTATCGCTTGATCACTATTTTCAACGATTCTTGACTAATTCAACGAGAGTTTTCGAAGAAATAATGACTGAAGAATGAAATTTCACGAACTGAGCACTAATTGACGAGTTTTATTTTATATTTATATTTCGATATTTTACAATTGGTAATTGGTAGCGCTAATTTATTTCGCCAACATGTCATAAAGATTAAAAAGGGTTCTAAATCCGACAAGGCCCCGAAAAAATTAGTTGTCGGATTGTAGGTGGAATCCTATTTATTCTTTCGTTTTTTCGAGCTACTTACCAAGCGAGGTTTCAGATTGTCGGGTTATAGCTACCAAATATTCAAGATTACATAACTAATAAAATGCTGTTTCAATATTTTCAAATGTTGCAGGTCTATAAATGTAGAGACAAAATTTTGAAGAGATGAGCATAATCTGACTGCCATTTGTGGAACAGTATTATTGAAAGTAAGTTTTTTTTTTCAGGATATGTCCACCCTAAAAATAATAACATAACTGACTAACCGTTTTATAGCGTGCTCTGGTAAAGATTCAGTCTAACAAAATACCAAAACACCCTTTCTGCGATTTATTGAAAAGCATATACATTGCAAGCGAGTTATCAATAAACCTCAATTATTTTTCAGATATTTATGAAAAAGAATGAACGAACAGCGGCTACGAAGAAAACTGATATGAAATGCGAAATACATTGTGTGTGTATTGTTGTATTTAACATTCTCCATTCACACACTTTCATTGAAATGAACCTATGGGTCGTTTTCTAATTATGTCGTTGTGAAAATATCGCCTCACTTATCCGATTGCCGGACCAATTGCTTTGAAATTTTCAATGGTTGAAACGTGTTGTTGTCGCTAGAAGCCTACTTTTATTTATTTTCCATTAAAAGTATTTGAGCTGTTTTGAATTTCAAAGATTATGTGATGTCATCAAAATTAAAATTATTTTCACTTCGACGTTTCGTGTGGGACGTCATCAAAATTAAAATGATGGCATACCGTGTCGTGGTCTGACTACCGGTACTGTAATAGATTTGATACTACTTCGGTTTGGCCTGTGGTATATATATTTGTGCATTGTTTCTTGTATGTTATATTGATACACTGCAAGTTTGCGTTCGCATCTATCTGCTTAAAGTCCAATTTTACGGAATCGCATTAACCACACTAACACGCCACGCATTCAAATTTAAAATGTGTAGCAAAATCATGTCATCCCTCCTTCAAAAGTAAAAACGGATTTCTGAATAAAGTTGCTAAAGACAACCTAAAATGCCAAATGTAGTACATGTCGATTAGCTCATGTAAGCAATTATATTCATTATGATAACGAATAGAGATATAAATGGTGAATTCCATAGAATTCGTTCTGGAAATTTTTTTCTCTCCATTCTATGATTTCTGCATACAGATGCCTAGAATTATTCTTTTAGGGATATGTAATTTAATGACTATGACACAATAAAAATTATAGAAGCCTAGATATGCCATCCCATATCATAATTCTACCCGTTAAGGTTAACACGTAACATTGACACGTAATTTATTTGATTTATTGCGAGACTACAGTTTTTTTCTCTGGTATGTTGCGTATTCTGCTATCCACCGATTTTTATTTTTTTTCAGTTTGGGTGAACTTGAACTTGATTATTTGTATTTTATCTTGTCGATAACTTGTGTTTTTCGCCTCTTTTTTAATTAAAGCAATAAAACATTTTCGAAATTATATAATTTCAAGTCTTGTTACGGTTAGGGAAAATTTGAGAGAGGCAAATAGGAGAAAGTGCTAGGGCTGCAGGGAGCTCTGGAGCGGATACAGGGGTACGTGCGGGCCGGGCTGCCGGGGCCCGGGCGCACGGCCCAGAAAATTCCGGAAAATTATCTTCGGCCGAAGATAAAATATTATGTTCGGGTATGTATGGCCCGATGATAATAACGGGATTTCCGGTAAAATTTATCTTTGGCCACACATGGCCAATGATAAACAGAAAATTTGTAAAATTGTTATCTTCGGCCACGCTTGATCGATGATAATTTTTCAGATTTTGGCTTTTTTAAGGGTTAGACCTTGAATTTTTGTTGATTTTGGCTATTTTTGTCGTTTCTTCTCAGATTTTGGCTTTTTTAAGGGTTAGTTAGACCTTGAATTTTTGTCGATTTTGAATTTTTGTCGTTTCTATGGCAATATTAAGTGTCCTACATCCTTCGCTGAAGTCATCTTGATTCTCTGATTCAGAGTTATATTAAAAGATTTTATTGGAATCGAACCTTGGACTTAAGTTTAATTTGGCGTGCAACTAACCACTACACCACAGACACGATGCTTTCCGGACGATTTAACTCTAATACTTATCTATCATGAGGCATGGGCACGAAGACTCTGATAAAAGTAAGTTAATTACCCCTTCGATACATAAGTATTAGAGTTAAATTATTCTGAAATTAAGATTGCTGTGGTGTAGTGGATAGGGTCACGTCAAGTTAAACTTTAGACCTAAGTTCAATTCCAATACAGACTTTTAAAATAATTATAAATTGAAATCCGCAACTAACTGAATAAGCGAATAAAGGTGACGTCAGCGAAGTTTGTAAGACGTTAAATATTGACAAAGATCCAATGAGAATAGCCGAAATCGACAAGAATCCAAGGTCTAACCCTTAAAAAATGAAAATCTGAAAAATTATCATCGATCAAGCGTGGTCAACGATAATTATTTTGTCAATTTCTATTTATCATCGGCCAAGCGTGGCCAAAGATAAATTTTATGGAAAATTGCGTTATTATCTTCGGGCCATACATAAACGAACATAATATTTTATCTTCGGCCGAAGATAATTTTCCAGAATTTTCTGGGCCGTGCGCCCGGCAGCCCGGCCCGCGCGTACCCCTGCACCCGCTCCAGCTCACCGTACCCCGCAGCTTTCTTATTTAGGAAACCCTAGTCTGTCGAATTTTCCCTAACACGTAACAAGACTTGAAATTTCATGATTTCCAACATATTTTATTGCTTCAACAAGAGACGAACGAAAAAAAAAACAATTATCGAAAAGACAAAAAATAAATACAATAATCAAGTTCAAGTTCATCTGAACAACTTTTTACAGCAGCTAAAAGATATAAAAATATAGATCGATAATACAATGATTGAATACGCAACATGGACAATTACACAATTAAAATATAGATAGGAGCTAGTAGTAATAACCATTATGGCTGCAGTCTGGAGACGATTTTGAATTTTGGGATTAAAAATTTATTTCTGCATTGTAAAACATTCATAAGTTATGGATTTTCTACATAAAAAAAATATTTCGTTGTACAAATTATATGCCAATATTATTCTTGATTGGAATTCACCACCTTATGTTAATATTATGCTTGATATGCTTGATACAAGTCTCTAGCTGATAGCAAATAGTGGTCACTAGTAAATTAGCTCCGAAATCTTCTCATTTTGAGAACATGACCTTGCTTTGAACAAATTCTCCTGAGAAAAAAAGTTAAATGTGAAAAGACGATCATTAAAAAAATGTTACATAGAATTTTGTCATGACAAATTTTTATTTTTATAAACACAACAGAACTGTGGCTGGAAAAAATTCTATATAATTAAACGAATACGACACACGACTATGGTTTAAGTATTACATTACTGCTCAGAAAAAAAATGCTTTGGCAAGAAAAACAAGCTTTATTAAACTGTTTGAAATTTATAATCAGATTTTCAATATAATAATCTGAAATCGAGAACTATTACGGTTCCGGATATAACATCAAATTAAACTTGTCAACTCCGACTCAATTAAGGCAGTTCAAGTCAATATTTAGAGAGCTCAAATGAAATTTAAGCTTTGTAGTCGTTAGATTTTATACAGATAGAGAAGGTAATATGTAGATTCGCATTTAAAGAAAGCAAATAACTAATATATATATATTTGCAATTAAGTAAGAATAATGTCAAGGGTTTGTTCCGGACACGACATTTGTATAGAATTCGCAAGCTTGAAGATGCTTTACTCGTCGTATTGACTAGCTTTTAAGCTATTCTACTCCACTTTAATTTTGAGTAAATGAGAGAACAAACTTTGCGAGGCCTTGTTAATGCGCGCCCTGATAACGTCAGATTAAATTGGTGGGCATAAGGAGACATTTTATCAAGATTTCAAAAAAATCGAAAGATACCATGCCAAAGCTAATAAGTCAGAAAAATTAAGAAAATAAAATAACAAACTGGCACTAGCAGTATTACGATTGTTATTTTCGACTGATCAGCTTATAGTTTATAACCCCGATAATCACGAGTAATATATAAGAATATGTAAATACAAAGGTTGCAAAAGTCCGAAAGTTTTTTTCATCATCACGGTTTGTTGTTTTCTTCGTTGGTATCTGAAATAAATTGGACATCCGTAACGTATGAAGAGATAAACTTGCTTTTTATGCACACGCTTTAAAATTTGAAACGATAAAAAAATACAGACAGGGGTCACGGGGAGGGCCATAAGGGAATTTAGTTGGGGACAGCAGATTAATGAGTTTGATCTCATACATAAGAGTGTGTTGTACATTTTGACGATTTTTTAATTAATAATACAAACATTACATCTACTTCTTAACACTTGGTTATTCCTTCTAATGTATATGACAACTATAATTTGTTTATCCCCCGAATTATGTTTGAGATTTTAGGTTAGATATAAGGGGGCATCATTATCAGAAACTCGCCCTGGTAAACAGAAAAGTTTGACACGACCCTGATATAGACCGACTTGTATGTAGTGAAGCACAACTGGGATCACGTATTTATAAACTTCAGGCTAACTACAAACAAAATGCTATTGAACATTCTTTGCACACTATGACGAGACGCATGCGCTCGCGAGCAGCGTTAGCCAACCGCTGGTATTATATATTAGGAGGCCGTTCCGGGGTCTAAGACGGGATTTGGATGCCACCATTTTCCCGGAATGTTAGCAAAAATTATTTTTAATTTGAAACGGTTAAATTGCAGATTCTTATTATTTGCGTATCTTGAATGAAAACAAAATTTTACTATGATTGGGAGTAAATTTAGTTATGACAGCGTAAATAAATAAAAGCTTACTTTCAGTTTCAGTGACATCGTTGTATTGTAGTCCAGTTACGATCCAGAATTAGACTTGACGCCAGATTCGCTTGTACAATAAGATTCCTGCAACAAAAAATTTAAAAGGATATTCTAGTTCTGAAAGTGCTTGAAACCCCGTAAAATATATGGAGTATCGCCTACTTAGTATAAAAAAGCGATGGTTCGGTATCTACAGAATATTTGCTAGCAGGGCAGACCGAGGCCCAAAATACAGATTGTAGATAACATATATAATATAAAACATATGGTACAATAAATGGTACTCCCGTAGTATGTGTACCAGGTTAGGGATAGGCCATTATTTCAGGTACAAATACTACGGGAGTCAATTTGCTAGTCCCCGAACTCGTAATAGAACTAAAATGGGGGAAAATTGAAAAATAATTATGGCCTAACCCTAACCTTGTGTACACATACTATGTTCAGGTGTCCGCCATCTTGGTTCACATACTAAGGGAGCGCCCGATATATAACATGGGAACAAAGTAAAATATTTTGCTATTCTGTTTCACGTTTCTTATAAAGGATCACTATTATTCAGGGAATGATACATCCAAGCCAACTATACTGTAGTACAAAAATAGAACTCACCAAAGTTCCTAAGCCAAAGGCCAATATCCCTCGAATTTATACTGTATTCTTGTATGTCTGTAATATGAACGAACGTTTCAGTGAAACATACACTAAAGGCGGTCGCCTCAGCAAAGCCAGTAGTATGAACTGATAAGCAGTTTATGAATTATTTTTACACGCTAACAATTGTTACAATCTTCGATTTAAAAGTTGATATGTTAAATTTCAAAACTTGTACATTTGAAACAAACTATTGCCAGTCCTCACATGAGTGATATTTGCATTAACTAAATGTTAGGTGATTCTGTTGAAATAAATTACTTCAGGTAAACGATAGATTCCACTTGTGCAAAGGTTCGCCCTCGTTCACATTCTCAATTCGCTCATTGATAATCCTTCAAAACAAATAATATCAGGATATCTATGCTGTGTACACGCTGTGACAAGCAAGCATTACCAAATTTACCTCGTAAAAAAGTTCTGATAAAACATCGTTGAATCAAAAACTCCATGAAAACATCTGTTCAAGATTTTTGTCAACTAACATTCATTTTATATTAAATTACAGCGCCCTCACTTATGCGTCGCTATTTTGGGCAACTTACACTCGCCTAAATTAACAGTTACCATAGAAGTTTTTGATTTAAAAAATAAACTACATGAAGAAATTTCAATAATGCCAAACAAACTTTGGTTAGTTTATATCATCTTCTACTTTGGTTGTACTTTAACAATTCCAGATCTCTGTTCTCATTGTCAACTCGCAGACATTTGAATCAATAATTTTAGTTCATGTAAATATAAGGTAAAATTATATTTAGGAAACTGGTATGCACCTAAATCAGGAAAAAATAAAGAAAAAAAAATTTGTCACCTGACGACATCAATTTGAAAGACTAGCTCGGGTCCGACAGGTTTTAGATGCGTCAAGTAAAAAGAAGCGAGGAGTCTGCAAAGGAAGTCAGGTCGTTTAATAGTTTTAAAATGAAAGAAAATTAAACTATATAATACCATGAATTCTCGTTGGGTTAAGATTTCCTCATTATTTCATACTCTCTATACCACATTACAGTAGACGAAAGTGTATGTTACCTTATTACTCGATCGTCTCGTGCTCGTTTCCGTAAGTAACTGAATAATTAAGTTCATCTTCCGCTAGTAGGCATTTCATCTTTAGACCTTGTTCCGTTCTAGCAGTTTTAGAACTTGCATTGTAGGCCTAAGTTTAACGTAACTGCATTAGTATAACTGTTAAAAAAATGGCCGTGATGGAATGAAATGCTCCATATTAGTAAACAATTGATGATGCACACAATAGACAAAAAATTGACGAAATAAAAGAAGTGCATTACAAGAAAAAGGATTGAGATAACAAATAAAATTGCGGCCCCCGAAAAGTGAGGCTGTCCGTTGATTGCCTTTAGAATGAAAAAAAAAATTCCTATACAAATATTACTTGTAAAATCGCTCGAATCTTTTTTCGGTGTACCCTTAGCTAGTATTCATTACATCTTCCGTTTTCGTCTCCAATCAGCAATTTCTAACTTGCAGTCGATTCCTCACTTCGTAGACGATTTCATCAACAATTTAATTAAAGCCTAAGTTTAGTCTAACTGCATTAGTGTATATGTATGAAATTATGAAGAAACAGTATATTACATAAAAGAATTAGTGACACGGGGATGTACATAACACAAAAGAAAATTAACACGAATGAAAATAATAGTACTCACCCGACGGCGTCCAATATGGAAAGACCGCGTGGACACGCGACAAAATCTGAAAAGATAAGAAAAAAAGTTGAGATATAATAAAGAAACTAAAAAGCGGCACGTCCGTAGACAAATTTGAAGTGGCAAAATAATCAATCAAAATATTACCGGTAATATAGACTAGCCCGATATCTTTGCACGGCCATGTCCTCGATGAGTCTTCAACATTTAATCCCTAATTTTGTAATCATTCAACCGCGGTTTCTGTTCCACTCCAGTTGTTCCCGATGTCAACATTCAAATCTCGTTTACAAAAATACGATCGCAACTACGAAATAATATACGCAGGTTAGAAGTTACAATACATTTGGGTTAAACGAATAAAAAACGGAATAAATGCATGATTTTTAAGAATGACGGTTCTTACCTGTTTCACCTTAAACATACCTGTACTCTAGTTCTGCATCGCCACCTTCGTAAGTCTTCGATTCAAAAACCAGACACCAACCATCACTTCAGCATTATGCTATGGCCTAACTGAATAAGTTTATTTCTAATAATCATGGCATCTTCCGATTTGGAGTCACCTCGCCATATTCAGAAGTCGCAATCTCGCTTTGTGGACATTTGAATCATTAATTGTAGGCATAGGTTTAGTTTAACTGCATTAGTATAGCTATTAAAATTTTAGAAAACGACTGCAAGGTAATACAAAAGTTAGAATATAAGAGGATTAGCGAGACATATGAATTATGGCGAAAAAAAATTGACAAGTAAAAAAAGCAGTGCTCACCCGACGGCGTCAAATTCGAAAAGACCGCATCGGCGCAGACAAATTTTGACGTGGCAAGAAAAAAGGTTGTATATAATAAAGAAACAAAGAAGGCGGAGGACGGGCAAACTGAAGATGCTTTTTATTGGCTACTGGGAATCACATGATTAGGTAACGTCAGAAAAAGACTGCCACATCATTGCATTCTGCGAAACCTGATGATATTTTGAAAAGCGCACATAATTTGTCACAACCCGAGTCCGCAAGTAACTTACTAGCGATCTATCCGGAAAACCCTCAATAAATTGACCGTTGATTTAGGAGGGACTGAGAGTCGGGTTAGTTGTTGAGATCGAAAACCAAGTCAAAATATTTATCAATCATTGTGATTTCGAACTCATTTTAATATGGCTACAAATATACAAATTGTGCGAAATCATTCAATGTGCAGCACACTGTGGGCGCCAATGGAAAGTTAGAACCAAATCCTGACAAAAAGTTTATCCTTATTATGTTAGGTGCATATTTAGGCATCGTTATGAAGCCTAAAAAGCACTCGAATAATCCGAATATTCTCAAAATAACTTCAATTGCACAAGATATCAGAAGACCCGTCAAATATAAAGTTTGTAAAATTTTGATATGCCCATATATATTTTATAATCCACTAAAAAAAACTGCACATTTTAATGAATTCAACACAACCTAATTGTTTATACGGTTATATTTAAATTAAATATATGAATTGCTCTTTACCAATGACAAGCCATGGATGAACGGAGCGCCTCAAAAGCGAACCACTTTTAAACAGAGTAGACTATGGTGGCCCATCGTTGTCACGTGTAAAATTTAAAAAAAAAATGAAAAAATGAAATGAAAAAGCGAAAATTAAAAAATAGTTGTGAAAAAACATAAAAATAATTGAAAAAAAAAGAAATAAAAAAAAAATTAAATTAAAAAAAAAATTGAAAATTAAAACAAAAAAAAAATGAAAAAAAAATTAAAATTAAAAAAAAAATTAAAAAAAAAAAAAAAATTTGAAAAAAAAAAATGGATAAAAAGAAAATAAAAAGGTTGACAACGATGGTCCGCCTCGTGGCCCATCGTTGTCACGCGTTTTTATTTTTGGAAAATTTGATGCTGCTTGGGACCAACGTTGTCAGACTTAATCCTACACGCACAAATGTGTTTCCTGGGTTCCTAACTCACTACTGATTTTCATGAGCAATATCCAATAAATTCAACATGAAAATGTTCTACAAATTCTCCATGCTACAAGTTCAACCACAAGCAATATATTTATAATAAGGATAAGAGAATATAGAATTGGATACGAAAATTTGTTTTTACGTGTAGAAGGTAATTTAATTGGAAAATGCTGCTTAACTGCTCAGACACTCGTGCGATGCCGGTACGGTATCGTCTGACCGTACCGGTACCCATGCAATCACTCGTGAAAGAATGGGAGATGATGAGTGATTGTATGGCTACCGGTACGGTCAGACGCAAAGCGACTATAACCGACTACCGGTATTTGGTAAGACGGTACGGTACCGGCATCGCGAGTGTCCAGACAACTGAGTAGTTAAGCAGCATTCTCCAATTAAATTACCTTATACACGTAAAAACAAATTTTCGTATTCAATTCTATATTCTCTTATCATTATTATAAATATATTACTTCTTGTTGAACTTGTAGCATGGAGAATTTATAGAACATTTTCATATTGAATATTGCTCAAGAAAATCAGTAGTGAGTTTGAAACCCAGGGAACACATTTGTGCGCGTAGGATTATGCCTGACAACGTTGGTCCCAAGCAGAAGCAAATTTTCTGAAAATAAAAACGCGTGACAACGATGGGCCACGAGGCGGACCATCGTTGTCAACCTTTTTATTTTCTTTTTATTCAATTTTTTTTTTTTAATTTTTTTTTTTTTTGATTTTTTTTTTTTTTTTTGTTTTTATTTATTTATTTTTTTTTAATTTTAATTTTTTTTTGATTTTTTTTTCAATTATTTTTATGTTTTTTCACAAAAAATTTTTTATTATCGGTTTTTTATTTTTATTTTCAATTTTACGCGTGACAACGATGGGCCACCATAGTAGACTCAATAATTCTTCTCTTGAGTTTCGAATCACTGTGGATAACAAGATGAGACACTTCATGTAATTCGTGAACATCTGTGAATAACTTTTTATCCGATTGACCATTATCCTCAAAATTCTCTTCCAATAATTTACAATCACGTATAGGCTTTCATGTACCAATGTAAAATAGCAAATGCAGTATCATTGCTTAGTTAGATGGTTTTCAATCGGGGTTTCGCGGCACTTGTTTCCATTCAAATTCAAAAGTGTATATTAATATAAGTATTATATATTGTTCAACAGATTACTACAATTTAAAGTCGTGATTATACAGTAAAAGTACAGTTTCTATTTGTACCAGTAGTCAGTACGGTGTTTTTTGTTCGATTTGTTCTCATTCTTGCTGCCGTAATTACAACAACGAATGCATTGAATTATAGACCTAGCGAATATGCCTCATGGACAGTTTTTGCTTTTGTCTCATTTTCTATTATATTCACTCTCATGCGTTGTAGGTTGGGCAATACGTTTGATAGCGTGCTGCGGAACATTATATTATATATTATAACAAATATGGTTCAAAATTCTTTTGCGGGCATGTAAAAAGAACACCAAACTCGATACGTCTTTGGAAAGGCACATCTTGACATTGCGACACCTGCAGCCTACATGCCACTGTATTGGTGTGCTGAGGCAAGAGCATTAACAACTATACATTACTTCATTCCTTGTGTTCAAATGGACTTGTGGAATTAAAAAATGAATACTGTACACAGTGTACATCATACCGACGACGGCGGGCTATTTGGTGTCACGACTCAAGTACCCAATTTCGGAACCAACTACGACTATAATAATTGTTCCGGGTTTATCATCAACGTCTGAATCCGGATATAATAAATCAATGACTCTTTGTTTAGTTGGAAAGAGATTCCGAGTTGTTATCTTAATTTACAGAGGACTTGGAAACTTGGAACTGAAAGTAAGTTATGATTTTCTGTTTGGATAAGTTACTCAAATAGAATAACGTAGTCATCTTGAAGGATGTAATCCACTTCCAAAGAGATATTTTGAGAAACTTATGGCGTAATATTTTGATTTAATGATTCAGGGAAAATATTAGTTTTGCGGAAAATACACGAGATCGTTACGTCTAATAAATATGTTTCTGGTGTTTTTGAATTAGCTGTTTCTTTTAATGTTTCTCATTTTTGCAATGCTTGTTAGGATGACTTATACATAACCGTTGCTGAACTTTGATGCTTTTAATACTATTTTCGAACAGGTAGCCTACTTGCGAACTATTATTTCATTTCATAATATTCAAGCAAATGTTCTTAAAAATAACCTTTACAGTTTTTTCGGACCGTTTTCCGATTACAACTGGTGAACTTAAATTTCCCGAGCAAAAATATAATGTCGTGTCAGTAAATTTAAATTAAAAAAAAAACACTAATCGACAAATAGCAAACTGCCAATAGCGTTTGAGCGGTTAGCAAAATTTTATTTATTGCGTCACTATTGACTTTTTGTCGATTTGTCATTGAAACGGAAATAAACACGGAAATCGAAGCTCTGGTGGTGAACACTGGACAGTAGAATATTTGCAGTTGATCCATATGTCTTAAATCATGACACCTATTTTTATGATAACATCCTGCTATTACCAATCGTCAATTGCCTAAAACTGAGATAGCGTGAGTTCAGGGCGAATTCATTTTGACTAGTCACGCATCATCCATAGACAATGCATAACATTATTATGTAACATTTATGCATCATTGTTTGCGGAAAGTAAATACTTGCCAGCTACAGATTGTGTTTTTCAGTTTGTACTTTAATATTACTCTGACAAGTGAATTATTACGTGTATTTTCATATTAAATTTGGTTTGAATGTGCAAAGCATGTCCTAACTTATTTTCTCTCTCGTTGATAGCCTGCCTTTGCCTGAGACATACAACCAATCTTAATTCTCTTCTCATCGAAGAACAAATTCGAGAAACTGCATTGTCTATACATGATGTTTGCGCAATACAAACGCCTAAGATAACTCACCAGACTCTATTTAATCGTTGGCCAATTGAATAAATATGTAAGGTTACAGATTAACGGCCTTTAAAACGCACTACACAAAACTGATTTGTGTGCAGTTTATTCTGGCAACCTATATGCCACCTCAACTATAGTTAACTATAGGCTACTTTTCGCTTGTATTCTAACTTATGACAGTATTTCAAAAGAATGAATATCAGGGAAGGAAGCGTCTTTCTTTTTGTTGGAATGATAGTGTACGCCTGGTCAGGCTTAGCAAGTTGGTCACTCAGCATGCTGGTATGTTTCGTCGCTTGGTACTGGCACCACTACCACACTAATTACGGGAAGCTACCTTTAGTCATTTGCAACAATTCGACGAGACTGAGCAAATTTTTAGATAACAATGTGCCGACTTCGAAACGGCCCTACATGCCAGTATATTGGTTTGCCGAGTCCAGGGCACAGACGATCATACGGTACTTTTTACCTTCTCGTAGCAATTTGAAATGGGAAAGAGAGATTCTTAAAGAACATGATGGTGGCTTTTTCGGTGTCGATTGGTGTTACAATAACGACAGTGAACGATTTCCCGATCATAATACCAGGCCAACAGTCATCATTATACCGGGTTTAACGTCGACAACGGAATCGGGATATGTTCAATCTATTGCTCGTTGCTTAGCAAGCCAAGGATTTCGAATAGCTGTTCTTATTTACAGAGGACTGGAAGACATGGAACTCAAGGTAACGTTTGGGGTCGAATATCACTAATATATATATATATATTTAAGTGTGTGAAAAAGGCACGTGTGATGGTTAGTTATTTCTCTACACCCCCTGTAGGGGGTGAACATCGCCTCCCTAAAATTTCAAACGCCCCAACTAATTTTGAGATGTGCCACCACACTTTAAATTCCCAATTTGAATCCAATTGTATTTGAATATCCAGAAAGTGGCGCATATACCAGTGCAAATGGTAATTCAAATATATAAAACATATTTATAAGTTGCAAATAGTTTTATCGCTAATAGCAAAATAGTTATCGCCCTCTTAATTTGAAAAAGAAAAAAAATGAGAAGCTGGACAATATTATGGTTCTGACTGCTTATTATAAATATAGGGTAATCGACGGAAATAACAAACGTAGACTTGACATTTGTTGCTTTTAGTATCAATAAAAAAGCTGGCGCTCCGGAGTATTTGTACCAAGATGATGACGCTCAACCTGAACAACCCTTACCTGGTTTAATAATATGTTCAGGCTGTGCGCCTTTTGGTAGAATACTTCGGGAGCACCAAAGAGCTTATACACACATGGACGTCATACCGTGTGCTGGAATATTGCGAAATGGTGCTTGGTAAAGTATATTCGCGAAGCAGACATCATTCACGTAGCGTGAGTAATTTACTTACACTATACACGTATACAGTATACACTAAAATTAGACATTTGCAATTTCACTTTTAGACACCCAGGACATACTGTGCAACGTATACAGCAGATTTAGAACGACTTGTTGAAGTGTTCAACGAACGATATCCAGAAGCTAAGCTTTATGCAATCGGTGCGTCGCTTGGATCGTTGATTCTAGGAAGATACATGAGTGAAAGAGAGGATAACATCGTTATTGACGCCGGAATGCTGTTTTGTTGCCCGTTCCACCCTTCTACCTGTATGGACGAACTTGAACTATGGAGTAATAAATTTATTTTAAACGCACAGGTAACGCAAGGCGTAAAGGAGACGTACCGACGTCATAGCCACGTTTTTGGATCCGTTATTGATCACGAGAAAGTAGAAAAATCTTTTTTTCTTCGCGAGTTTGATAGCCATTTTACAGCACCGATATTCGGATATAAAGATACAGAGGAGTATTATAATGACTCGTCTTTAGATGCAGATAAACTGAATGCTATTGCACGGCCGTTACTCTGTATAGGATCGAATGATGACCCATTTTCGCCGGAAAGAGGTTGGTGATACTGAACTAAATATGATTTGCTCCTACTTGTTCTTGCTCTCTCTCTCTCTATCCCTATGTAGAAGGAGGACCTGTGATGTTCCTTACTCTACCAAATGGTTTTACTTCCCAATTTATGATGAGGTTTCTCTAAAGTCTAGACCCAATTAAACTTAGATGTAATCAAGGCGCTGTTATCTTGATAAAAATCTACTATATATATAGGATTTACACCGGGAGAAAGAAAAGTCGATAGAAAGGCTAAATCATATGGCAAACCACCACATGTGTACCGGTTACCAGACTATGTCGAGTTTGGGATTAGTTAGCCAGTTATTTGGTTCAGATGCATGGACTTGACTAATTTTGGAGCATTTTAAACTTTCAGGTAACAAATCTTCGTTATTGAGAAACATAGACTTCTTTCTTGTGATTATATGCAAAGAAATTTGTTTTTACTGACTGAACTGAAGAGGATTATCGTGGTTACTTTTATATACATTTAGGTTTACCAAAGGAGGAAATTGCGCAAACTGAAAATGTTGCTCTTGTGATGACGTACGGTGGAGGACATGTCAGTCACCTTGAAGGATGGAATCCACTTTCAAAGAGTTACTTTGAGAAAGTGATGATGGAATATTTCGATGCAATGGTCCAGGGAAAGTATTAATTCGGGCCATCTTGTACACAGTATTTTAAATATTGCTTCAAAAGTTGACATTTACAACAACGAACTTTTTTCCTATTTATTCACTATAGAGCAGTGGTCTCAAACTTGTTGGGCCGCGCCCCCTTTTTAGAATTTGTCAAGTCTCGCGCCCCACGTTGAAAATACGTGGATGTAACGTATAATGTAAAATAAAGTAATGTAAATATCCAAAATGAGGCGGCCAAAATCTAACAAATATGTCATTTTTAATTAGGCTCATGCCCCTTCAAAAGTTGTCTACGCCCTCATCGTGGGGCGCGTCCCACCATGTGAGAACCACTGCTCTAGAACCTAACTAAACTTGCTTTACAATTCCAAAACAATCGAATTTATGGAGTTTTTTAGAACTCTTGGTACTTTAATAAATTTGAATTCCTAACTCATTTAAATATTTGATATCATGCTGTTTCCCGGTAATTTAGTACTCATATAAGATAGGTTAAATATAGTTGATTGTATTACATAAAATATAGACTATTATTGATTTTGCAAATTTTCGCAAAGAAGTTTGTGAGACGTGTTTTTAATAAGATGAATTGATTGTGAACATTGTTGGAATATAAGTTAAATTAATTGTGCAAGTTTGATTGCATTTAGGATTTTATTCAGCTTAGATGATTTTATTTTTTCAAAAATTTTTTATGTTCGGCTGTTTAGAATTTAGTTATTAATGGACGAAAGTTAGTGTTAGATAAATTAAGACGAAGGTTAGGTAAATTTCGTATAAAAAAGTAATTAAAAAATCCAGAACGATTAAAAAAAACGTCGATAAACGAAACATGGCGTGAATCAACATAGTTAAATTTCATAAGTTGAACTTTATTCCGTGAATAAATCTGGTAACATTGTGGATGCATGTTTTTGTCATTTATATAATTAGGTACTTTTGCTGATTTGTATTTATAAATTTGTTACTTTAACAGTGGCCTTTACATTCATTGTGCCAAAATCAAAAAATAATCTTGGGTAAGTGGAAATGATTCTTAAATTTGTGATGCATATAAGGTTGCCACTTTTCATGGAGATAAAATTTAGTTTCAAGCGTTTGTGATCGTGTCAGTGCGTCCGTGATATGTTGGTAACGAGTTAGCTGCTAAATGTCGAAATTATAAAAACAAATTTGGGTGCTACTTTGGTATGAGATCCCAGTGGTTGTGGGATTTTAGTTAGAGTTTGGAAATTGAATTCTACAAGAATGTCTTTATGGGATTGAGACGGAAGCTGCCATAAGATGTTCATGTACCGGTGACACTATTTCAGTTTTATTGGAGATGAGAAATCACCCCCAAATTCTGTCCATAACGTATGCACGGTGATTGCCCACTACAAACGCCTAAAATAACTCACCAGACTATATTTAATCGTTGGTCAATTAAATAAATATGTGAGGTTACAGATTACGGCCTTCAAAACGCACTACACAAAACTGATTTTTGTGCAGTTTTTTTCTGGCAACCTATATGACACCTCAACAATGGTTAACGAAAATAGATAGCCTACCATTCGCTGGTATTCTGACTTACGGCAGTCATTAAAAAAATGAATATCAGGGCAGGAAGCGTCTATGTCTTTGTTGGAATGATAGTGTACACCTGTTCAGGCTTAGCAAGTTGGTCGATTGGCATGGTGGTATGTTTTGTTGCTTGGTACTGGCACCACTACCACACTAATTACGGGAAGCTACCATTAGTTATTTGCAACAACTGGACGAGACTTGGCAAATTTTTAGATAATCATGTGCCGACTTTGAAACGACCTTACATGCCAGTATATTGGTTTGCTGAGTCCAGGGCACAGACGATCATACGGTACTTTCTACCTTCTCGTAGCAATTTAAAATGGGAAAGAGAGATTCTAAAAGAACATGATGGTGGCTTGTTCGGTGTCGATTGGTGTTGCAATAATGGCAGTGAACGATTTCCCGATCATACTACCAGGCCAACAGTCATCATCATACCGGGTTTAACCTCGACAACGGAATCGGGATATGTTCAATCTATTGCTCGTTGCTTAGCAAACCAGGGATTTCGAATAGCTGTTCTTATTTACAGAGGACTGGAAGACATGGAACTCAAGGTAACGTTTAAGGTTGAATATCACCAGAAGATATGTTTTTAAAAGTGTGTGAAAAACACGAATAATGGTTAGTAATTTCCCTACACCCCCTCCCTAAAATTTTAAACGCTCCCACTAATCGTGAGGTGTGACACCACACTTTGATCTCCTAACTTGAGTATACTTCTACTTGAATGTCCAGAAAGCGAAGCATATACCAGGGCGGTTCCAGTATATCGACCATTTTTATAAGTTGCAAATAGTTTTATCGTCACATAGAAAAATATTTATCATCCCCTAAATTTGGAAACACCCCCCTAAAATGAAAAGCTGGAGAGCATTCTGATTCTCACTGCTTATTATAAGATTATCGACGGAAATAACAACTGTAGACTTGACACTTTCGGTATTAATAAAACAGCTAATGCATACATGGTACATGGGCGCCATACCGTGTACTGAAATATTGCGAAATAATTTTCAGTCGTATATTCGCGTAGCAATAATCTCAACAGACTTTATTCACGCAGCGCGTGTAACACTATTTCACTTTCAGACACCCAGGACATATTGTGCAACTCATACAGCAGATTTAGAACGACTTGTGGAAGTCTTCAAGGAACGATATCCAGAATCTAAGCTTTATGCAATCGGTGCGTCGCTTGGATCATTGATACTCGGAAGATACATGAGTGAAAAAAGGGATAACATCGTTATTGACGCTGGAATGCTGTTCTGTTGCCCGTTCCACCCTCCTACGTGCATGGACGAACTTGAACTATGGAGTAATAAATTTATTTTAAACACAAAAGTGACGGAAGGCGTGAAAGAGACGATGTACCGACGTCATTGCCACGTTTTTGGATCCGTTATTGATCACGAGAAAGTAGAAAAATCTTCATTTCTGCGCGAGTTCGATAGTTATTTTACAGCACCGATATTTGGATATAAAGATACAGAGGAGTATTATAATGATTCGTCATTAGATGCAGATAAACTGAATGCTATAGCACGGCCTGTACTTTGCGTGGGATCGAATGATGACCCTTTTTCGCCGGAGAGAGGTTGGTCATATATACTAAATATAATTTGCTCATATTAGTTCATGCCCTATATAACCATGTAGAAGGACTAGTGTTTTCTCTACTACCTCCCCGCCCTCTCCCCGAATTTAGAGGTGGTACACCACAGTTTGATTCCTAACTTGAATAAAATTGTATTTGAATATACCGAAATTGGCGTGTATGCAGATGGGAATGACGTTCTGATACTATTTCCACGTGGAGACCATTCAGTATCTTAATTTTCCATAGTCATATCTGTCGATTTCGATGCGACATTTGATGAATTTCTTGCATTTGGTTTTACCACCCTACCTACGAATTTATGATGAAAGCTTCCTCGAGCTCAGTTGAACGTAGATGTAATTAGGAGCTGTTATCTTGATAAAAGGTGGTCGTTTAGGATAGGAGATATACCGGGAGAGAAGAAACCCGATACGAACCACAACTTCTCGTCCTGTTACCAGTCCATGTCAGATATGGGAATAGTCAGCCAGTTATTTGTTTCAGATGCATGGTCTTGAATCAATTTTAGTGCATTTTGAACTTTTGGCTAACAAATATTCATCATTGCCAAACATGGACGACACCGTTCTTGTGATTATCCTCTACAAAATTTTCGGTTATTACCTGAACTGAAAGGGATTTTCATGCTTACCTATATATATATATATATATATATGCATTTAGGTTTACCAAAGGAGGAAATTGCGCAAACTGAAAATGTTGCTCTTGTGATGACGTACGGTGGAGGACATGTCAGTCACCTTGAAGGATGGAATCCACTTTCAAAGAGTTATTTTGAGAAAGTAATGATGGAATATTTCGATGCAATGGTGGAGGGAAATTATTAATTCGGGCCATCTTGTATACAGTATTTTAAATATTGCTTCAAAAGTTGACATTTACAACAACGAACTTTTTCCCTATTTATTCACTATAGAGCAGTGGTCTCAAACTTGTTAAGCCGCGCCCCCTTTTTAGAATTTGTCAAGTCTCGCGCCCCACGTTGAAAATACGTGGATGTAACGTAAATATGTAAAATAACGAAATGTAAATATCCAAAATAAGGCGGCCAAAATCTAACAAATATTTTATTTTTAATTAGATTCAGGCCCCCTCAAAAATTGTCTACCCCACCCCCCATTGTGGGGCGCGTCCCACCGTGTGAGCACCACTGCTCTAGAACCTAACTAAACTTGCTTTAGAATTCCAAAACAAGCGAATTTATGGAGTTTTTAGAACTCTTGGTACTTCGATAAATTTAAATTTTTAAGTCATTTAAAAATATTATATCATGCTGTTTCCCGGTACTTCAGAACTCATTTGAAATAGTTAAATATAGTTGATTGTATTACATAAAATATAGATTATTACTGATTTTGCAAAATTGACTGGAGAAGTTTGTGAGACGTGTTCGCAATTTTAAATTAATCAAATGAATTGATTGTGAACATCGTTAGATTATAAGTTAAATTAATTGTGCAAGTTTGCTTGTATTTAAGACTTTATTCAGCTTATATAATTTTTCTGAAAAAAAAATCTTTTTATATGTTCGGCTGTTGAGAATTTAGTTATTAATGAGCAAAAGTGTTTGATAAATTAAGACAGTTAAGATAGTTAGGTTAGGTAAATATAGAAAGTAATTAGAAAATCTAAAATGATAAAAAAACGTCATTTGCATGGAATTTCATATCGTTTCTTCGAAAATTGGCAACATTTTTAGTATATTTGGGGTCGCGCGGGTCATCAATAAATCTCGCCCAAAGGGCGTTGCTTTATCATGTCCCGCACATGCCCAAATTTACTATTAATTTTAAGGAGTAACTTGTCTCTTGTCTTTTATGGCTCCACATAAACACATTGCAAAGATCATTCCGAATATCTAGAAACAAATTTACCTTGTATTAGAACTCAAAGGAAATATCGCAGTATATTTGATTCATTCTTGTTGATTAATCAGTTTATTGTGTAATTGGTTTTACGGCGCTCCAGAAGTGTGTGTACCAATATGGAGGTAACTAATTTTGTTCGCCTACTTTACATCAAGTTTTGTAAAGGGATTGAAACCTATGGGCAGGGGGTATATTCACTTGGCTAACACAGGCAGTCCCCGAACTCGTGATAGAACCAAAATAAGGAAATCGGGATGAAATTATGGCCTAACCCTAACCTGGTACACACACACGGGAGTACCTATTTTACAAGTAGGATTTATTCATATTTAAAGAATAGTATTTATTGTGTGCTGTTTTTGTTATTAAATGATGTTGAGTTTAATGGTCAATTCTCGCGAGGAAGAATAAAAATAGATTTATTTAGTGTATTTTTCTTAGTTGAATTTTTGATACTTTATTGGTTAAAAATGATAATTCGTTCTTATGGCAAATCCGCATGTGTTCAGTCAGAAAACTTGTTTTATTGTTGCTTCCGATAACGCAAAGCATAGTCGATAAATAGTACACGCGCGCGCTCACCTAAAACTGAACAATTCTCATACGTTTCAGCTAAATTTTAATTGCATTGAAAAATGGGAGTTCAGCAGGTAAGGTACATAAGATAGAAAATATAAAATAATTAATAGTAATGATTTCAATCAGAAAACCAGACACGAATGCTAAAATACAAATACTAGTTCAAAAAATTAGAAAACTGCGCTATGAAACTAAGCACCTCAGTATGGGAATCGTATATATATACACAGTAAAGCATGATATTATTTAAAAAAACTTTTTCATGAACTAACAATGGGTAAAATACATGAATTCGTCTGCCCTATGTGGTATAATTTATTTTCTCACAGCTCAGGCATCAGTGTTGTAAAATATCACGACAAAAAACAATGAGTGCGTTTAAATGGGATAGGGCAGCGGTCCCAACCGGGGCCTGTGGCCCACCAAGAGGGCCACAATGCTAGGCTAGGCTCAATTCTGATTTTACTTTTACAAGGAATCTTCCTACTTTTATTGCTTGATAGGGTCGTTCCACAGTGTGTTTTTACTTTGTGAAGGAATTGTAGGAACATAATGGAATTTGGTATCTACCAATCAACACTATAAATACCACTAGAATGGTAAACAGCGGGGCCATGGGTGTTGAAAGCCTCTTGAAAGGGGCCACAAGCCATAAAAAATTGGGAACTACTGGGATAAGCTGTGATTAAACATTGAAAGCGACTTTGTGCAGAGTTGGTGGGGTACACAACAGCTGTACTTAGCCTTGCTTATCCTTGATGGCGCAGCACATGCAAATTGAAAATATCATTCCAAGAATCTAAAAGAAAAAAATGTCATTTCCAAGGAGTTCAGAATCACGAATATGTCGCCTAGCATCAATAATGACCGAACAAGACAATCGGTCCGACTTCCGAAGCTGAGGCTACCGGTAAGAAGTATCATGTAGACAGGGGTGGCAAGGTTTTGGGGCCAGGGGCAAAAAATTTCGCCCACCTAGACTGGCGGGCCATGTAAGTTAGTCCTAAAAAGTTACATTTTATTAACAATGTTTACAGCGTTATAAAACTAAATTGGGAAACAACAAGACTTAAGCCAAAACCTAATTTAATCGCAATCTCAACAAATTCCTCGAGCTATTTTTCAGCAAAAATATAAAAGTTTGGTTGTGGCAGAATCAGGCGGACCAGATTAAGTTGATTGAAATAAAGATAGTGAATCACCGGTCTGGATGATCAATGGCACACGAGTGGTTACTCTTCCCAGTTATACATATGGGTTTGCTTTTGCCTTCGAGTGGTAACTTCTAATTTTATGGTCGTACGTACAGGCAGCTTATGGCTTTGAATAATTTTAATTCTCCTATTTTTTTAACACTCATTATAACTTCAAACTAAAGACAGTTTTCATTTGATAATGGCTGTGGCCAATGACAGCCAAATTCATATATTTGTAAATTGTACTAATATACTGAAATTTTGAGCAATTGTATGGTGCATAGGAAACGTTTAAAAGCAAATCGCATTTGCGTGGGTTGCGATAACCTTATTTTTCCATGACCCGACCTAACTGTATTTTTCGTCAAAAAATCTTGTCAGTGTGTGCACTATCAGCATGACGAAAATGGTTGTGATTTAAAAATATATCAAACTGTCTGGTCATTACATGATTGAGATTTTGATTTCATCATTTGAGTTACTTTGTATACTGATAAGGTGCTGAAATAGTTACATTTCTTCCTTGCGTAATATGAGTTTTGCACCCGCGCTTCACTTGAAAAAGTTAATGGGCAACTAGGGTAAACAGACATTACGCATTTTAATCACCGCAATGTGTTGTTAGCTTGTCGTTGCCTAGGAACTGGCATCGCTATCTCCTAATTCTTGGCTGAGTACATGGGTGTGGCGACTTGACTTGACCTAACTTTTTGATGAAGCGATTTTCTTCTCAGTAATGGTCTCGCAAAATACCGACTATCCGGCCTCGATTGGTGGAACGTGACCTACTAGGTGAACTAGTTATTTCATCTGATATACTAAAACGGCGAAAACGTGCTTATCAAAGAGAATTCATATCACGAACCCGTGCTAAATAAACCTTTTTGCTACATAGCTCATGCGTTTGGCGCAACATCGAGAAACAGTGCTTATTCATATATTGCGCAAGGCCCCACAAAACGCTTGATTTTTATGCCTTATCGAGAAGTACAATTATTAAAACATGGTTCAACCGCTTGTGTTGATACCGCCAGCGTTTCTTAACCTGTTTTAAATTGTTTCCGCTGTACACAAGAAAAAGGGTTTGCACTTCATATATGACAGCATAGACGAATCAATCTTTGAAGTTGTTGTAGTACAAATATACAGGATGTCCATAAAGTCCCTTTACAATTTCAATTTTGTTATGAAGTCAGTTCTCAATATATATATCTCAACCAGGTTGTTGTTTTTTAATCAGTAATTGAATTATTTTTACTTCATTCTATACATCTGTGAGGGCCAAAACAATGTATGGAATCAATAAATTCCCTTTGAATTTTAAGTTTTTTCAAGACTTTATAGACACCCTATATAAGTTCTTGAAATTAATTTATTTGAGATTCAATGCAATACTTGCCTCTGCCAATCCGATTCCCAATCCAATCCCTGCGATCAGTGTCAGATTATCTTGTACAAATACTGTCATGGCTGTTGTGCAGTCCTGAAATTAGTGTAAAAAATCCTTTAAAAACTCAAATCAATTTTAGTCTGTAGTCACATTATGTGAGGCAATTTAAAATTTGCTTATAATTTCAAGCCAAATCTTTATTTTATTTTACTGCTGTACAAGTTTTGGTAATCGGGGCAATGAGAGGTCTGTGTTATATAAAATATAGCAAATAGCATTTTCGGCATATATATAAGATGTATTCGTTTCGTTCGTCTATGACGACTGATCATTTGTAAAATTGTTAAACGCAGACTCACCTCGCTATAGACATAGGCGTAATTCGTGGGATTCGTAGTTGGAACACTGCACTTCGAATTCGCACTTATCGGCTCACAATTTTTGTCGCCCTCTTTGCAATCACATCCATATGGTTCAGTTGCTTTGACAGCGTACCAGTCATTGCAGGAGTTATTTTTCCCGCAGCATTGAAACTGGAATAAATTTATAAATATTATCTAATACAAAAAAAATAAAAAAACGGGAAATATTGTTTGGATTGAAATATTTCCAATCCCATTAAATAGTATTTTCATTTTATTGATAAAACGTGTGAATTACCCTTTCAGATTTCGACAGTTGGCGAAATATTTTCATCGTTTATCTGACATGACATGTACATATAAATGGTTTTGCTAGATTACTATTGGGGTTGTTGGGAAAATCGCTCTTTCTCGCAAATGAACCAACTGATTTTAAATTGTACGTACTTAATGTAGGAAGAAGTATCTAAAAAGTTTCCTTAGATGTTCTCGAAGTCCTATATAGACCGATAGTCTTCATAAAATTTTATCTTTTTATTTTTCTTCCCTAAGTACTTTTTCACGTATAGAAAAACTTTTTTATATCACGCTTGTCCATAGTTCTTTTCAGCAAACTTGGCACCAAGTTACGTACGTGCTCATACATTTCAGCATTGCTTATTTTGTAATAGATTTTTTTATTTTTGTAATCGAAAAATAAATTATCATCACAATGAATCATGGCGGGCAAAAATCACGCTTTGTGGTTGATGTAATATTATTCCGCTTGTCTGCTTAGTTTGCTAAGCGACATTTTTCAGCTATACGTCATTTCAAAACAATCTGACAGTTCGAAGTCTCATTATTCGACACGTTAGTGGACATAAAGTCGTTTTGTTATTATGTTGTTTTGTTCTTGTTGTTTGTCACAGAAAAAAAAATCGCTTTTCTCTGTATGGGATTCGTTTTTTGTGTGCTTTGACGTATTCAATCAAATTTGCCACTATGTGGTGCTACGTGTCCATATATTTGAGCATAGCTCTCTTGTGGTATAATGAGATTATAACTGTACCTGTTTTTCCATGCTTATGAACGCTGAGTTTCCTCCACTCTCTGCCGAAACTGGATCGAGATCGTATGAATAAATACTTTCAGAGATCAACTCGTCTACCTGAAATAAAAATGTCCAGTTACTTGTTAGCTAGTTATTTTTGAATATGGGCGCGAGATGTAACAAATTTTAAAAAGGGGGCGCGGCATAAAAATTGTGAGAACAGCTTGGTCAGTGCTTCCCAACCTTTGTCGCCACACCCCCACTTCCCCTATTTTGAAATTATTTATTCCTCACTCACTATGCATAAATGTACCTTATTCATTCAATCTTTAATGAATTCCTAGCTAGTATTATGAGCAAGTCGAGCCTCCGCTTTTGTACAGTTCCAGCAGATTTTAATGTGTGCGTAAATAAGTAATATTACGGAATATTGGAAATACTATAGTAAATGAAAAAGCCAAATTATTCCCTGGTTAGGAAACGAGATAAAACGCATTTGAGATGAAGATTGCGACTACAGGCATAAATCGTCCACAATTTCTCTCGAGGAAAATTCATTTTGAACAAGCCAGTGGGCAGTTGTGATTATCGTGAGAGGTTTTTCAAGTCTAATGACGTCATAATGTTATTGAAAAGAAACTCACCGTGTCATAGTTGACCAATGCCCAGATTCCAACTCCCACTTCCAAGATGAATATAACGAGAAGGCAGGTGAAATACTGAAAAAATGATAATAATATTGCAAAATGTGCTACTCCCGTAATATGTGTACCAGGTTGGGGTTCGTTAGACCATAATTTTATTATGATTTTCCTTATTTCAGTTCTATTATGAGTTCGGGGACTGTGTGTGTTAGCCAAGTGAATATACCCATAAGTTTCCGTCCCTTTACACAACTTGATGTAAAGTGGGCGAACAAAATTTAGTTCCCTCCATATTGGTACACACACTTCTGGAGCGCCAAAAATATATTGATTGTGTGCTTGTCAAGAATCAAGTTACAACTTACCAATCCTAGCAAGCATGTGCTTTCTTTCATAGCCCCACAACAACCTAGGAATCCGATAATCAGGGCAAATGAACCGGCGGCGATCAGTATGTAGGATCCTAAAACAAGTATTTTATATGTTTTATGTATAGACTAAATTAAGAACGTAAAAATTTTCACTACGAATGTTATAAGAATGATGAACAGCTTACCGCTTGCGTAGAAGTTCACTCCGCCTATCTCAACAACGGCAGAAGATCCATCACCGACAGCCAAATATATACCGATTCCAAGTACAGCCGCTCCGGCCGCCTGAAAAAGATTGAAGCGTAAAGGTGCATCAGCGTAATTTTTTTTGTATCTACAATAACCATTCTATTCAGGAAGGTATTACCTGTTCCCTAGTTCAACTTAGGTGGGTGTTCTCAGTTGTAGAGGGTGTTACATATTTTGTTATTTGTGATACAACTATTTGTAACTTATACAAATGTGTTATCTATTTTCTGAATATCCAAATACAATTTTATTTACGTTAAGAATTAAAGTGTGGCGTCACATCTGGGGGATTGGTTTGGAATTTTAGAGAGAATAGGGGGGTAAAGGGAGGGGTATTACTAATGACATAAAAGCTTAGGCTCGTATCTAGATAAAAGAAAAATATTAAAACGGCAGTTACTATTACTATTCGCTCGGTTCTGAGCGAAGAAAAACATAAAAAAGAAATCTACACTCACCCATAATATAAAATTGAAGGCAAACAATAAGTACTTTGCAATTGAAAACAGACACATGATGAGTTAGTTCAATATTTCTCTTGTTCACAATCAGTTCCTAAGCCAAATTTTCACAGCTTCTGTTTCCAAATAATAATCTACTTTTATACTATTATTATTCAAATCACAATACTGGTTTGAAAAAAGTAAACAGTTGTTAGTATTGTAGATTCACAACAGAATATTCATACGATACGTTTGATATTATGATCTCCAGGGGTTCAAAGAAAATTCGCCGAAGAAAATTTCGCCGCATAGAAAAAAAATCGCCGTATGAAAAATCGTCTTATTTAAAAAAAGATTCATTATTTAAGAGCATACCCTAACCCTATGAACCCAACTGTTTTAATAACATATACTTGTTTCACAACAAAATGCTCTTGCGATTTTTCCTATGCGGCGAGATTTCCTACGGCGAATTTTCCGGACACGATCTCATCTACAGGAAACAAAACACCCTTGGTGACAGGACAAGTTAGCGAAAGAAATTAAGGTAAAGGCAGAGTCCATTGATTTAAAAATAGTTGTAGCCTAACAATTGAGCACTATCGACTAATTGAAGTACATAAGACAAACTCTTCACAAAACGATAAACAATTATTGCAAATAGACATTGCGCCATCAGAGATCAAACATTTCTTCAGGAAGGGGCCTGGCGGGTAAAGAAACGTAACTGGGACGTGGCAACGACCACTGGTTAAATATGTTTTTAATAAGTTTGAACTGTGGTGGTCTGTTCGTCGAAGATAAGGCACGTATATTAATATTACGTGGTATTGCTACTTACCCGGAAGGTGGAAAATTGTTTCGCTTTTCCGGTATAAAAAAAGGAAATTATTTTATTGGTGATAACACAGAGACAACGAGAGATGATTTATAATTGAATATCCTTGAACAGTTCACCACCCAAAATATAATTTCACATCACAAGACTTTTAGATATGGTGCACAAGACTTGGTGCCACTTTGATATGCGTTTTATCTCATAAAGACATTCTCATAGAATTCAGTGCCTAACCCTAACTTAAATCACACATTCGCTAAGATAGCACACCAAAGTAGCATCCAGATTTGCATATTTAGCTGCTAACCTATACCAACATATCACGGACGCATGGACATGATCACAAGAGCTCAAAACAAAATTCTATCGCGATGGTGAGGTGGCAAATCTGGCTCTATGCATCACAAGTTTGAGAATTTCAGAAAATTAACACTTACCCAAGGTCATTTTTTTATTCTAAGGTATTTAGGCACAACGAAGTTATACTGTTAAAGCAACAAATTTTATAAATATAAATAAGGGAAATCGTTAAGGGTACATGGATACATAAACGACAAATACATACATGTATCTAGAATGTTACCAGATTTATTCACTAAAGCTCAACCTGTAAAAGCTGACGATGTTTATTCAAAGGATGTTTCGGTTATCAAAAACATATCATAACGTGTAAATGTTATAACTGTAGTTCCCAGCACTGATACGGACTCTGACAAACCTTTTTGAATAGAATGATTATACCAGACCCCCTGGCTACTTTTAATCGTCTATTTCTAAAAATAAAAGTTTTTTTTCTGCGCCATGTTTGTTATAAGAAGTAAAAATAAAGCGCCTCAGAAGTGTATGTACCAGCATAGAGGTAACTAATTTTGTTCACCTACTTTACATCAAGTTGTAAAGGGACTGAAACCTATGTGCAGGGGGTATATTCACTTGTCTAACACAGTCCCCGAACTCGTAATGGAACTAAAATAAGGAAAATCGGAATGAAATCATGGCCTAACCCTAACCTGGTACACACACTACTGGAGTACCAAAAATAAAACTAAGAAACCAGCGTGACCACCCAGTTACGGGACTATCATTGAAACCGTTAGAAACTGCATAAACAAACTGGTCGTCATAGGACAGTCATGGGATTCTGGGCAAATAGAAATCAAAATGTACTTCATTAGTTTACAGTTATTAGTTACCTTCTATATTACCCATATCAAGGCAGAACAAGTGCGAAAAATATATCTAAGAGATCTGGTAAATGTGAGAATCGATAGTCGTGTAGTATAATTTAGGATCACACACAAAGATCGCTTTCATAAAGGTGAAATTAAACGAACGTATGTAGTTACGTTCGAAAAGAAATGATTAACTTCTTGACATACATTAGCAACATTCACTGTAATCCTGTTGCCCGGGAGATCTACATGTCTGGGAATAAGATGGTGTATATGGTATATAGTATATACATTCACCTAGGGGCGGATTTAAACAATGAGAGGCCCTAGGTTTTGTCATTTGTGAGACTCCTCACAACAATGACGGAATTCGACTTTATATGGAATCCAATATGACGCTATAATGGGCTTTTCGTGATATATGCTATGTTTTATGACGTCATAAACAAATTTAAACATTGCTTAAAATACGAAATTTTAGGCAAGATACATGCGCTAATTACCAAAGAAGACTGGGTAGTGAGTTGAATTTAACAACACTTTAAGAACTCAAGGCTGTAATGAAACATCGCGGAACCAGAAAAACACTACGTTTAATATATACCCGTTTCTAGTCGTGGGGGAAAAGCATGGCACAATTACTGATAAATGAATTTATAAAAAAACGGTTATACGAAAAAAAGATCTAAGTAGAGTAAAGAATATATAATAATTCTTAGAAGCTTCAATAAATTAGTATAATATAGCATATTTATGGTAAAAAATGTATAATTAATTTGGAAATAGTGTATTTTGTTTTAAAGTTACAAATTCATTTCGATATATTTATATTCAATTTTTACTCTTTCAAACGGTAAATATTCGAAACAAGAATTAATAATATATATGAATAAAAAATTAAATAAATATCAGGTAATTGTTAAAAATTCCAGTTCATATTTGTGAAACGATTTAAACTAGTAGAAGTTTTGCCGAGGTCCATGAGGCTTGAGGCCTCTACACTAATGCTCACCTTGCCTAATGGAAAATCAGGCCCTGCATAACCTTTGTCGAATTCACAAACACTAGTCAATATGTAGAATACACGCATGGAAAATGGATATGATCAAACGGCTTTATAGCATATTATGCCAATGAACAACATCGTGCCCGATTCGAGATTTATGGACGTCGTCGGTAAACCACGAACGATTACGTGAACCCATACCCTAACGAATTATCAATCACTACCCCCGTGGTGGACAACTAACATGAAACGCTTACTACAAGTTCAAGCATCTGAAACAAATAACTGGCAAACTAATCTCATACCCGACATGAACCAGTAAACGGACGATAGACCGTGGTTCGCCATATGATTAGACTGCCTTATCGGCATTCCTCTCGCCCTGGATGAATATGTAAATCTTATTCAATAAAAGCTATCGGTTCCATTTCCGATATTGCGAGATACTGCGTTAATCAAATTCAGTGCTTTAGAAAAGTAGGCTATTAATACTATACTCTTACTGAATAAATTAGCTTCTATAATTGATACTTTTACTGGTTGAGATGCTTTACAAAACTTTAATTGTTACAAAATTTCTAGACGTTTCTATAAATCTGTATAATTTTTAATGAAAACGAAGTAATCAAAGCTTGACTTGTAAGTCTACGAAGTCTCTCCTTTTTCTCGCCCATCTGTGCCGTTTGTTGTTCGAGCTGTGCATATCCCTCCACGTTAAGAACATATAGTGAGCGAGTTAATGCCACTATCAGGCCTTTCACTAACTAAGCATATATGCGCAATGCAACTCTTCGCCAGTTAGAATGTAAATATATAAAACGAATCGAGAAAATACACCTTTTCTGTGTCATACGAACATGCTGTAATTTTTGAGAAACTACTTTTGGAACAAACCCATACCAAGTCTTATATTTGTATGCTATTTGGAAAACTCAAATATTGACCTAAATACATGTGACTAACAGATGTGTGATGCCACGCCCGTTGGAAATATCGAACAGAGAACGTTGGTGTCATTGGTGAGAAAACCTTTCTCGTGAAACATTAATGAAAATCTACTGGTTTGATCATTCTATTTATTTGTTTCTATTCCAGGGTGTATCGTCGAAACCATAGTTTCGGTAGGTGAACATTTGAAATGTTGAAAAATTGTGACGTAATAATATGGCATCATGTTAGGAAAATCAATTACGACGTCATAGCGGGCATCTGAAGTTTATTATGACGTCATTGTGGATATTTCATTGAAAAATGAAGATTTTGCTGGAAAGTTTTGAACTTATTTATAATTTTTTGTTGCTTTACCGACATGTATCTCTTTTATGCTGATCATAGAGTTAAAATAAACTTTTTATTTACAGATGAGTGAGTCATAATACATATGGTAATAATACAAACATTTCACTCTTACTTGACCATTAGTTTATTAGGCCGCGAGCCGAGGCCCTGAAAAACGCCTAGAAAGTGAGTTTCGTAGCGCACATCAGGTAATTACCTGAAAATGATTTTAAAATGTTCCTTAAAAATTTAGTAACAAATATTGCCTTGTTCCCACTTCCAAAAGTTGCACGTTTTACGGAAAAGACGCTTTTACTACAAGAAATATGTGCTACGATCTGTCCTATATTCTCTACATTTTCGGCACTGAACAATGACTTCTGCATGACGTAACAATTGAATTAAACCAGCTGTTAGCGAGCGGATGAATATTAGTTATTTCTGCTCGACCTTGCGCTGAGTTGGGCAGGCTTTCCATAGCCCTGTTTAGTTATTATTAGTTAAGTTATGCTAAGACGTTGTTGAAAAATGTATAAGTAAATTATTAAACACTTGTAGATCCTTACCACGGATATGGGCCGTGAGACGAAACCATGAAAACGCCCAGAAAATGAGTTTCGTAGCGCACATCTGGTAACTAAATAAATTCTTCAGTTTTGTGTGAAAACGAACATAATGAACGCATTACAGCTTGTTCCACAATCCTGGTGCGAAATTGAATATAAGAGGTTCCCGGAAATTCAATAACCATAAGTTTACAACGCATACATAAGAACTATGCAATTCGAGAGCCCTACAGCACACTAACACAAATGTATTCCTGTAATGTTTTGCCTGACCAAAATCGGACTTCCTCAGTCAATCATAATTTATTAGGTAGATTACGAAAAATATGGCATACATGTAACCAACAACAAAAAATACTTTAATTGTGTGACAGGAGTCGGGAGTGACCTCGAAAGCAGCGACACCAACAACGCTGATTCACATTTGAGAATAAATTTTATGTAATAACCACAAGCAGTTTACAACAAGAACAGCATAAAAAGCTACATCCATTTTATAGAAGCTATCAAGTATCAAACGTATTTATTTTTAAGCAATGAAGTCACAAATTAACATCGTGAGCACGAAAACACAAATAAATCAGTTATTTCTCACTTAGAAATTTACCGCAAAAGTCTAGAAAATTAAATGAATGTACAATATGTACATAACATAGTGAACAGAAATATTACAATTTACAATTAATCTTTTTTTAGTTTATGTGGTTATGTATTTGAACAAAGGCAATAATATTTCTAGAAACAGGACTACGACACTAACAAATGTCCGAAAAAAAAAACAAATGTATGATACTTATTAAATCAACTGTAATATCTAATTCACTTTCTTCTGAATTGTTTTCGAAATCCACTATCTCAAAAATCGACTTTTCCTCTATAGGTGTACTGTGATTTCTGCAGTCAATACAAAAACAAAAATCTGTGCAATTTAAGTTGATTTTGGCACACTTTCATAAATTATTTTGACTATTTTTCTTTGCAGTTTGCCAACTCAAGAACTGATTTGAGGGCCACATGCTTCTTCAGTGAATCATTGTTGGGTGGAGAGTATAATCCTTATGTTTGACAGTGTTAAATAGACGTGCCCTGGTATCATTTACATTCTTCATATCCTCTTCAAATTCCTCAGCTTTATTTATTAATACCTCGTTAACCTCAAAAGATCTTCATAGTCGAGGGAAAAAAATGAATTGAAAATCTCAATGAAGTCTCCAACATGAATTTGATGGGCAGTTCCAATTGCAGAAAAGTGCTAAAGTATTTCAATATGAATAGCCCATCTAAGCTGTTTGCAACTATTATGATTCTCATATACCTTTAAGCTTCAAGACTTCTTGTTTAATCCATTTTATAGCACTGATAGCAGCAGGGATCAGAGCCTGCGTTAGGTCGGATTGGTGGAACATTGCCGTTTTCTTTTGTAGTACAGTATCTAAAATAAGGAAGAAAATAATATTTGGAGCAGCATGATTTTAAAAATACCCCTAAATACTAACTAATACCTTGAATACATAATGCATTTTATCTGATGTACTAAATGAGCGATTATATGCTCATTGCATGTTCTACAGTCCAGCAGTGTTTGCATACCATTACTAGACTATACCGGTATCTACACTAAATTTTGATATATCACAGTCTGAAATGTCCTATGACAGTATGAGTATGGACTATAGACTATATTTTGAAACATCAACTGTTTGTCTACAACTTCATTTCTCACCTCTCAATCATTTCCAATGCTACCGGTACCTTTCTTTCCACTCCGGCATAACTTATCATTGCTTCCCAGGTTCTTGTCGACTCTATGAATTTAGATTTAGAACAACCGACATTAGTAAAATTGATTAATTTCTTCTCTTTCACACAACCGTGCATTACAGAAACAGCCATTCATTTCTATTTCCAAATATGCTGTGGCCTATATAGTAGTATAAGTCTGCTGAATAGTCAAGAAGAGTCATTAAATTAATCATAAACATTTCATGCAAGCCAGAAAATATCGTTGTTTGTGACATATTATTCTAGGTCTAGCCTTCCTTGGAGTTACCGCACCGTACCTATTTAACAACGTCTTATGAGCTAGTGCTCAACTAAAATTGCTATTTATGGCAAGGATATACAAGTGTTTAATATCTTACCTATACTTTTCAACACCTCCTTAGAATAACTGGACTAATATTACCGGTAACTGAAAAAAACTATGAAAAGGCTACTCAACGCAAAAGCGAGCAGTTGAGTACATCTGATATTCATCCGACCACTGGGGATCCACCTACAGCTGACTAACTTGACTGTTACGTCGTGCAGAAGTCTGCGTTCATTGGCCCATGATACCGGAAAAGCAGAGAAAATAGGACAGATGGTAACACATATTTATTGTAGTAAAAGCGTCTTTTCTGTAAAACGTGCAACTTTTGGAAGTGGGAACAAGGCAATATTTGTTACTAAATTTCTAAGGAACATTTTAAAATCATTTTCAGGTAGTTACCTGATGTGCGCTACGAAACTGAAAGATAAATGGCCTCGGCTCGCGGCCTATATTCATTCTCATGTATAGCAACATCTATAGTTTGTTTGTCCCCCGAATTCTTTTTGAAGTTTAGGTATGACTTAAAAAGGCATCATTATCAGAAACTCTCCATGGGAAGCGGAAAAGTCTGGCACGCCCTTGTCCCCATGATACGATTGCGTATAACCTTATTTATTTTTCCTCGAAGCATCATGATACTAATCATTCGTTCACTGAAGGGGCTCAAGGAGAAAGCCGTTTGCGTAAAGGGTAGTAGCAAACACAACTGTACGTGCAATAAAGATACATATTTCATTCCGATTGGGGATAGACTTTACATAGCTGAATAAATAAGTACACACACGAGTAATGACCGTTTAATTTTTATGTCGGTAAGTTATGTAATATTTTAGTGAATCTTCAACGATTGCGTTCGGGATATATTTGTAAGCGTTGCAACCAAGCAATACTGTATTGTGAAACTGTACTGCAACGGTTCCCATTTCCCAACCTCGGTGGAATGGCCGTTTTGGGAGGGATTATGCTTTGTGTTCGCTGTAGTATTACTAATATTGATCCATTTATTATTTTTATTATTACTATGATACTCATTCTTGAACACATAATAAACCATTTACACTGTATAAAAACGGGAGCTCGACTTGCGCAAAACACGAGCAAAGGATACATTAAAGATTGAATGAATAAATTAGTTATACGCTTTCTATTATTTTTAGAGAAGAAAAAAAGGGAGAAATTTAATAAAAAAGATTGGAACCACGGCTTTATTGTGTTACGGCTACATTCATGGCTGTTGTTGTGGTCTGATCGGTTGAGCAAATCACTATTTTCTGATTGTTTGCGATGGATCTATAACATCTTTTAAAGATAAGATTACTTTTTTGAGGAACACAACTGAAAATGGTAAATATCACATAAAACCGAGCCAATGTCTGCGACGAGGACTGAAATGTTGCCCCCGTGAAAAAGTGTTTGGGCGGATGCAAAAATTTCAACATTGCTTATGCACTGTCGGGTCGGAGTCACCATCCAGCGGATTCTATGGTTATTCGACACGAAATAAACGTTTTGTTTTTTGTTGATATTTCTCTCTATTACTTTTATTTATTCCTAAATTTTCTATGAATCTGATAGTTCATCCAAAATTTGGCTATATTTTCATTTTGCATGGAAGCACGGTTTTTAATCAGCCAAGCGTGCTTTGTTTTGGACTTCGTATCCATATATTTGAGCACCATCCTCTTGCCTATATTTTTGAACTTGCGAGTTGGTTTGTGAAAGATAGCGTTTGTTTTTCTTAAGTGGGTGAGCAAACACCGGTCCCTTCTACTCCACAATTACTTTTATGTCAAAGATAGAAACGACCGCGAAAGCAGAGTCGCCACATGGAGCGCAATTTTCAATTTCATGTCATCGGGCACAAAAGACAAATTATTTATTTAGACTTCCCACAGAGATTCAAGATACAGCCCTCTAGCAACAAATACAATCCTCAACCACGGAAATTTTCTGCGCAAGTGGTTGAACAGTAAAGGCTTTTTCTTCTTCACAAAAACAACATAATCACAAACTAGGTGTCCAAATATAATAGCAAGAAATTAGGAGCATTTTGTTAACAATTTTATTCCTGCGCAAGAAAATTTAATACAAGAGAAGCAGAGACCGGAGTCTTATAATACAAACCCAGCACAGTAACATATATAGACAATCCAACTCGAATGATGATCACAAGGAAGTTGGAAAAATGACAAGCTAGGACTTCCTTATTTACACCAGCTGTAAGATCGAACGGTTAATACAAACAATTTAATAATTTGAGTTATATACCACATAGTATGTTGCCCAGATTTTCAGTTTTTTTTTTGGGGGAGGGGGGTGTTTGAAAATTTTGGGGCCTTAGATATTGTGTTATTAGTGATTAAACTATTTGTAACTTATACTTAAAATGCGTTATTTGACTGATCATCATGTATATAAGCCACTTTCTGGATATTCAAATACATTTTTATTTACATTAAGATTTAAAGTGTGGGTTGAAATTAGGGTGGAAGGGGGTTAGGAAAATCACTGAATCACCATACCCTATTTTATGCCCTCATCGCTTCGCGAACTTTGTTGTTGAAAAGACATTTTGGAAGTTACATAAAACATTACCAAAAAGTATTCCAATTGATTTGATCGAGCGTCTAAAAGTAACTTTGAACATATCAACAACTAAGGTATATTGGCAATATCATCTCTATTCTGTAAGTACCAACCAGAAATGTTTAAAGGATTTGCCTCAATTAGAATTTGAAGGCAAGGGCTTTTGAGGAATCCAGGAAGAAAATTAACATATTTGCTGTGATAATTACCAATCAGGCAAAGTCACATTTCTGTTACATTTTCCTGATAAAACTCTCTTAATTTTACCACGAAAAAAAGCAATAATAATGGGTATGAACATAACCAACATATACATTATGTCGGATTGAATTGAAAGTGAAACATGGGCCCGCTTCTATGACCAGTATACACAATATAAGCAAAACTTGTGTGATGACCTACAACGTGGCTATAAATTCTGGTTAGTTCGGTAAATTGACATACATGACACTACATAAGTGCAGTAATTAATTACAGAAAGTACATTTTCTTAAATATTCGATAGAAAATGTGTGACGAGGAGCCTAGTTTGGTTGTTGATTCAAAGCTAATTCAAATCATACATTTTCAGCAGAATATCTTCGAAAGCACAACCATAATGAGATATGAGCCTGTAGTAATGAAACTTGTTTTAGAAATGTACAAAGCCAAGAAGCCAAGAAAACCTGAAGAGCTTGTTATGCCCAAAATTATGGTACATATCTTGGGATGTGATAAGAAAAAAAACATGAACAAAGATATTGGTAAAAGATTAATAATGAAAAAAAAAAAACTTCAAACCTATTTCGGAATAGTATTGAGCAGAGCATACTTATATTGAGCCGGATATTATTATAAACATACAATCTAATTACTAAACTTGAATCCAAACATCCATTCTAATTACTGAACATGGAACAAAATCACTCCACCTATTTATATAAGAATAGAAAAGTGTATCTATATTTTTTATACATCGTTAAAATATAACAGATATATAGGGAAATCATAAACTACTTTGAAAAAGATTCAATTCTGCGAGAGTTTGCTAAAGGAAGTTTTTCTTCGATTAACCAAAATTCAAGGCTTGTTTTGGAAACATAAGTGAAAGAATATGAAGTATATACTATTAGCTTTAACCATTTTTTGAGATGTCTATTTATTGGTTTGAAAATGCGAAATTTAATAAAAGCAATATTAATATGCACATTTTGTACAAGCAGTATATGCAAAAAGGCTCTTTCAATTAACAACTTCTTACATCGAAGAACGCTAGTTGCCAACTTATGTTAGTGAGCAATGGTGATATAAAATGCAAAATACAAATACATTTTGGAACATACTATTCAATTATAATTTTGTGCAAGGCTTGAACTACAAGAAAAATGTTTTTGCTATAATTTTATTACTATTAAGACATTTACAAAAAGCAGAAATAGAACTTTTCATAATGGAGTTAGTATGAAAAATACCATCAAAAAGATTCCTGCGGTAAAACGGGCCGGATACTTTAGTATTTTTGATTTGGTCGAAATCATTTCAAAATCGAAATTCTCAACTTTGTGTGTATAACATGACTACATGAATTTCACATCGTGAAATAATATATACAGAGCAGTATTTAGAATTTAAAATTAAAAAAAAAAGATTCCAATTATTGCTTATATTATTAGATTTGTATATCCTTTGCACTAATTTTGATAACACATAACAAGGTGGCAATTTAGGTCTGTAAAATTCTCTTTTTTTTTAATTCTCACTAATAAGTTAATTTTGTAACACAATGAGAATATTCGGAAATCAAAAATATTAAACTATCCAGATATCTCCACATATATGACCAACAATAAAAATTGTTGCATCGAAAGGAATCCAAGCAAAGTAATTTTACAGGGGAAAGCAAGATATTAATTCAAAATTATTATAGAAATATAACCTAGGTTATTTAGAAAAAATATGAACACAAAAAACATAACGTTATTATGATAAGTCAATAAGATATTATTATATCTATGTTACTAAGAGAGCAATGTTCCTAAGTAAACTAGAAATGACCCAAACATAAGAAGCGCTTCATTTTGTATGTTCTGTGAGAGGGTGCAGACGAGAAATTTGATATACTGGCTCAAATCTGGTAACTATCAATTAGCCTGGTTTTTCGAATTGAATAGTAAATTACTCCAATCGTTTCAGACTGAAATTTTAATCGCCGCCATCTTATTTTTTTATCTGCCAGAGCTCAAGGTGAATTCAGGGTGAAATTTTTTTTTGATGAAGGAATATTTTTAGAATGCAATTCTGAAATGTGACTCTTTTCTTTCTGGTGAGTTCAACAAACTATCTGAATGATGAATTCTATGTTTTTAGTAATTAAAGTGTCTGGAGGAGCCATTACAATAACAAGTCACATAAAAATCTTTCATATATTAAAGATTTGTTTCGATTCGAAAAAAAATGTTCGATTCAATTCTGAAATCATAAGGTATTCGAAAATGCTCAGCCCTAACTATCAATGAGTAACATTTAATGTGACATTTACTTTTATTTATTGTTATATTTTTTGTTAAATCGGGAGACATTTGGAAGTAAAGAGCTTTTAGTTTAACGCAATATACAATATGAAGATCCATGAAAAAGTGCGGGTTAATTCCACCAACACTCCAAGGCCGTTGAAGGCCAGAATCAGCTCAACATTATATTATACTACTTATGGCTATTGTGACAAGACTGTGAAGTCATTGGCAATCAAAAAGTTTTACTTTTCCATCTCACGAGAGTTTGAAAAAAACGGGACATTACTAACATGGGGGCGATAGATGATAAGCAATAATATTATTATATGGAACATAGTTTACAATAATTACCATTTACTTAATTTTCTAAAGTAAAAAAAAAAAAAAACGTACATCACATCAAAGACGCACTGACAGCGCAGCGTCTCTGAGTATAATTATGACTTTGGGTTAAGCGAAGCTTGCCCTTATAAAGTAAAGCTTTAATACACTTTACAAATATAGATCGAAAAGACATATATTTCTTTTTTTGGTAGATTGGTGACATCCAGATAAATGAGGATGAATCCATCGGGTATAAAATAAAGATTCTTTTTTTCTAAGAGCAGCAGCCTTTACTCTGTTGCTTCTGAGATGGTGGGAACGGACTGGCTCCACCATCACTTTCCTTGTTTGGAGTCTGCAAAATTAAGATGATAATTGATTTGACAAATAATTGCCTAATTGATTGGAATCTATACAAAAATGAGCGCTCAAGAAGTGTGTGTACCAATATGGAGGTAACTAATTTTGTTCGCCTATTTTACATCAAGTGTGTAAAGAGACCGAAACCTATGGGCAAGGGGTATAATCACTTGGCTAACACAGACAGTTTCGAACTCGTAATAGAACCGAAATTATGCCCCCACCCTAGCCTGGTACACACACACACCACGAGAGTACCCTTTTGGGAGGAGCGAGAAAACAGAAGAGTTCTTGAAAGCTGAGGACGCAAGAAGTGTCTCGATTCCAAGAAAATATACATCAATCAAAAGACTTTTTTTCTAATTTGACACATTTTTATATCCCTTTTGCTGACTGACCAACTAATCTTTGCTTGCCAATGCAACATCCTAACTACATTAGCAGCATTATTATGGACAACCACGAGATATTCGAAATTTCGAAACCGCAACAAAAAAATGTCGCAATTCCGACTACGCACAGCCTTTATGAAGAGTGTTAAGGTTTTAAAAGTCGATGCAGCAGAAAAACCACCATTATTCTACTATTTGGCGGGCATTACATTTTCAGCCTTAATGTCAAAGGCTTTACCTGGCATTGCATCTCACAACGCTGGGCCACACTGATTAGTTCTACTAATATTACCTTGTGCAAAATATCTGTGGCGAGCGTCATGAAAGCTTTTTCAATGTTAATGTTATTCTTGGCGCTGGTTTCATAGAATTTGATTCCGTGTTCTCGTGCAATCTTGTAAAAGAAAATAAAAAAAATTCAAACTACAAAAAATGAGAGCTTTTGTTTCCTTTGTAAAGCAGATCCATACTCTTATGTTTGACAGCGACGATCAAAACTCATCCAAGTATTTCCAAATATTTAATCCATCGTGTAACAGCTGTAAATGTTAACTCACAAACTGATAACTTGAAGCTCGGTCAGTTCACTATTATTATTGTTCACAAATCATGTAATTGTGACCGAGTATCATTGAATGGCTTAGTGAGCTAATAATACGAGAAACCGATCTTTCGTAATGGAAGATTAGGCAGAAACTTGTTTAGGTAGCATATCAAATAAATGAAGAAAACCAGAAATGTTTTGAACATATTCAGAGAGAAAATTTTTGTATGATAAGTCTCTTACAACGATTTTTTTTCAACCTTCAAACATACAAAAAACATGTTGATATGCATCTTAATCATGATGAGTAATAGGTTGTCTTCATTCATGGTTTGCTGAATTTATCTTCACAAAAATAACAAATTTTCTCACCTGTTCACCCCTTTCTTTGCTGATCATTCTCTTTTCTTCCATGTCGCATTTATTCCCGAGCAACATTCTTTCCACGTCTTCGCTAGCATGCTACACAAAACATAAAATGAAAACAATTTTAGAACGTAATGAAACTGTTTTAGGTAGCAGCAGTTGTTTGGTTATGGGAGTGATGTGACAAGTTTGTGCAGTTCGCAGGTTCGGCCACAAGCCGTCAACATTACCCAGGAAGAAATGAATTGGGTAGACATTGGTGAACTGGTCAAATTCCATCATTTCAGGAATGGTAGCTCCTAACGTACAGAACACTCTACACAAAATATAGAATAAAACAATTCTAAAAATGTACCGTTATTATATTGCTGCCAAGTTCATGAGCATGATTTCAGGTTTAAACATTGGGATTAACTATTTCAGCATTGGAAGTTCATTTTTAATATGATATAATCGACCTATCAATTAAGAATTCAACATTCTGAAAAATCATGAATTTTCTGCATCGAGCCATGTTTGTTAAAGAGTAAAAAAAGTGAACAAATCTCACACAGGATATGGTTTCATCTGATGATGATTGAAAAAACACTTGTTCGATAAAATTTTATTTCATAAAGGGAATTGAAATATTCCAAATATTAAAAATTACCAAAATACACAAACCTCTGTAATAAATTCGAATTGAACACAATCATGAATCTTTATTCATTTTACTAAATTTTGAAAAGTAAATTTTTATGAATCTCAAGATCCAAAAATCGAGAATAATATGGGTAAATAAACTTAATCTGTAATCAAATTTCCACATGATTGAATTCTGATGTATTATTAACAGATAAGAATGTGCCTGATCAAATATAAACAACTGTCATTTTTATTCATGATTCATTATTATTAAAAATTGCGGATTTGGAAAATTTCACAACAATGTTATACTATGATAATATCCCCGTTCTAAGCACGGCCTAACCACAGAATGGTGATATAAATACTCTTTATTAGTACCTCATGCCTAGCAGAAAAAAATTTTTAACATTTTTTGAATTATATCTCTGAAGTTCGAAATTCTCTCTAAGTCTCTAATAGGTATAAAGCATAGATAAATCTTTCAATAATATAAATATTGTCCATATCGAATTTGTGAAATCGACATTTAACGCAGTATGATAAATGAATAAATAGACCATTCATCAATGATCAAAGAATACTCAATAAACAGGGTTGAAGATCTGGAATTTGACCAGTTTGTATTAAATTTGAAGTCAATTCAAACTCCTTGAAAACGAGTAAATATGTTTTATTTATTCAGAATCATGATGATTATGGTACAAACCAGAATACTAATTCGAAAAGCATCGAGTTGCCAAAGCATTCTCAAACTCGACAGGCCATTAAAAAAAGGGACAGTTTCAGTTACCAAAATTTGGTTCTCTCAGACTTTTGGGCTGGGTTGGAAACATGGTTTCCGCAACATGGTGCGGAAAGCCGGAGTCGGAATTTTTGTTAACCTAGAGTCAAGAGTAGGAGTCAAATTAAAAGTGGCAACAGGTTTGGAGTTGGGTGTCTTTTTTCTGACCCCAAAGCCCCGATTCTAACTGTTATACAGCGATAAAATCAATGGAATATTAAACATTTGACTCTAGCCTACTACACCTGACAGAGAATACATTGAAAGCCTTGCTTATTTCTATAAATAAAAGAAAGCACACCTCCTCAATATTCCGTAACCATTTTGATATATTGTCAAAACTTTTCGGATTGGTAATATCGTAGACGAGCATAATTCCATTTGCCCCTCTGTAATATGAGGTGGTGATTGTATGGAATCTCTCTTGGCCAGCAGTATCCCTGAAATGAAATTTATACCTCAAACGCAAAGAATTACATAACAAAAAGAAATGAAAAGCGTATTAGTAAGTATATAAATTCCAGACCATTTCTGAATACACCACACATTCAATATTTCACACCCGAAAAGGATATTTTAGGATGTATTCGAAATACTAATTAATTCGGTTTCAGTCATCCTTAAATTAGTGTGCATTAATTAAATTTTGATAAAATCCATCAACTTTATTCACATTGGTAACATATAATAGTAAATTGACAATGTCAAACTGTCGTCCCATTATACAATGTATCAATGATAAAAGTCATTGCCAAAATTGATGAATGGAAATGAGTCAATGTTGTGAGTCTTCTAATATATACAATGGAATTGAACTAGATAGGCCTACAATTCACAAACCATATTTTTCAAACCACAAGGCGCACAGTCAATAAATTGCTTAGATTGTTTTTCTATTCATATATAGGGCGCAACGTTTTTTAAGAAGTTAGGGTTACCATACAAAGCTCAACAAACAACAGTACTGTTTTAATCCCCCTCAAAATATCCTGGCTGTGCCTCTGATTGAAGTTGCTATAGAATGCTCGTTACAACTGCTTTCAGTTCATTGCGTAAGATGATGGTTTGTGTATAAAAGAATAGTGCCGGTACTGATTTATCATGATTCGAGAGTATGATAATTGCATGAAAAAACTTTATTAATACTTTAAATATAACTCGGTCCAGGTTGGTTGCATATGATTTTAGCAGTTAATGAACGATTTATCTGTGTTTTAAGCTTGATTCAGAATATGGAAATGTTTAATTATTCCCACTGACTCACCATATCTGCAGTTTAATCTTTTTACCATTTAATTCAACTGTCTTGATTTTGAAATCAATACCTAAAACAAAGAAAAATTATTTTAAAATTCTTTCATATACCGGTACCAATTTTTTTTTTTATCTTTCACACAACTTCAATCAGTATTACTCAATCAGTAATACCCTTCCAAGGAGTAAAGTTTGCTCTGTACTGGCTGTAGTAATATTATTATTCTTTAGTTTTTTATTATTACTATAATCCCTTTTTTGGAAACATATTAATATACTTAAACTGTACAAAAAACGGGAGCTCGACTTGTGCATAACACTAGTAAAGAATCCATTAATAAAGATTTGACAAATAAAGTTGAGTTTTATGCATGGGGAGGGAGGAATGAAGATTTCAAAATAGGCAAAAGGAGGAATTTAACAAAACAGGTTGGGAACCACTGGCGTACAGTTTCTAGTAAGCTAAAGTGACGTTTCAGTTTCAGCAAGGAAACATCATCTACCGGTAATCATACGAGGGTAATAGAACTTATAATAATTTTATTATATAACAATTAGACAATACAATACCATATCTAAGCAAATTTTCCCCCAATATGCAAAATTAGACTGTTACCCGCACAACTAAAAACAAGTGAGCAATGCTCAAATACAACGCAAGAAGGTCAAATGACCAATATGGGCAACGCAATGTCAGCAAAATCGTGACTTGTCATAACTTGCCAATAACTCTATATAGATTGTATGTAACAAAACCTTTTGCTTTCATCATTGATTTGGATTTTCTTCATACAATAACAATTGAAACTGATGGCAATTAAAAATAGGTTTTTCCGTAATTCGAGATATTCTACAACATATTTTTGTTAAGATATTGCCCAAATCATATCACTAATTTATATAACATTTATTTTACGATGTATATCTCATGATTTTACCATATTATATCTTAACACAATGTGTTGTATTCGAAATTGGAAGAAATCACATTGGTCCATTCAGAGACCAGAATATTCATTTAAAAATCTATTTTTTACCATAATTTGAGTATTATGAGATATTTTACATTTACATTTTATTTTATATTTATTTTACATTTCAACATACAATTATTTCGTTTCAAACTGGACTATTTTTATCCATGGCTCTATTGTAATGAAAAAATCCATAAACTGAATGCTTTTGAAATTATACAATCACAAGACTTAAAATCTTAAAGTGCAGCCGTGCTTAAAGAGATTAAAAAGCAAAAAGGAATCTGGTGAACTCACCTATGGTTGAAATGAAAGTTGTGTTGAATGCGTCATCAGAAAATCGAAACAGGACGCAAGTCTTTCCGACCCCTGAATCACCAATAAGAAGTAACTTAAACAATAAATCATACGTCTTCTTGGCCATTTTATGGTCTTCGTGGATGAATGTACAATAGCAGGTTATTGTACAATAAGTAATATCTTATTTGTTTATTTTCGTTACCGAACTGGATATTGTAATATATAATTTACTTTTACTATTGCAATTAATCAGAATCTGTATTCTAGATGCAAATACAATAATATGAGGATAAAATATAGCACAAAAAAATGAAGACAAATATTTTACTTGTAAAGCATGCATAATGCTATTAACAAAAATAATGTTTTTGACATAAAAAAAAATTTTTCTAAATTTTAAACATAGTGGCAATCTGGATAGAAATAAAAATTTAGGTAGTGATTCCTTATTAGCGTTTGAAGCATTTGAATCAAAATCAAAATAAATAGTTCAGAATCAACATATTTCAACTAAATTACTGTATTTTCTGAAGATGTTCAGTGAAACTTTATTGAGTAAGTGTTCTTGCGATTTTTTTATGGAAATCCTCACGTATTTGGTTTCGATAAAGGACAAACCAGAAATGTGTATTCGTAAACACATCTTGAAATGTCAGCAAATATTGATAATTTCTAGTTTTTCTCATACATCATTATTAACTGTTGTCGTAAAATTACTTTTCTATATGCATATTTCTTTACTATAATTGAATAAGGATTCTATCCTCTAACCACAAATGTAACATAATATTTTAATTTTAATGTGAACCAAAATTATGTGGTAAAAGAGAATATTACAGGGGACAAAAATACTTTGAATGCAGATTATGCATTATTGATGTGATTGTTTATTATTGAAAATAAAAATTTCAGTTTGCCATCAATTGTATCAAATATATAGATAAGGATGAAACTTTAACCAAATTTGGAAACTTTTCAATTAAATCAAATCACTATATTCCAGTAAAAAAAACTAGAACATCATATGGCATTAATAAGAATAGACATGAAATTGAATGGCTTCGTACAATATTTGAAGATTTTACAAAATTCAAAATTTATCAAGCAGATAGATGAATTCAAAGCATTTCAAAATCCATAAAATATCAAAAATTCATGAAAAAAGGTTATGAAATCAATGAGCTATTAATACTAACTTGAAAGATTTGAGTAATTCACCAAAATTCTACAACATGAAACAAGTAAAGCACAAACTTCATGAGACAATAATCATGAGCTCAATTCATATTATTGATTTTTGTCAAAACAACAAAACATAATTCTTGCTGCTCATTTCACAACAATGGCATCCTTTTTCTCAAAAAAAGTTTTTCAAACTGCAGCAGGCGTTTCTTGAGCAACATTGAGTTACACAAACTATCATTGGCTAACTAAGTATGGCCAATAAAGGGAGATGAATAAAAAATTATTCAAGATTGGTCATGAATAAACATCCTTACGATCATCAATTCTTTGATTTACTTTGGCTCAGAAAAAAAGAATGATAGTTTAAAATTCTAGAACTCTTTTTATGCAAAGATTTCAATTTTCAAATGTTCATGAACACTATAGTATAGTATGTATGCTGAAGTTAGCATTAATCATCATTTCTTAACAAAACAATTAAAAATTGAAAAAAAATAGTATTGGCATAAATCATAATTTCTTGACAAAACGACCAAAAATTGAAAAAAAGAGTAATTCTGATAAATTTATTTTTAAATGTTGTCTATGCCTTATTTAGATTGTTATAATTCTTCATTTCCCACAAATATACTGACAATCCTATAATTAAAAATTTATAAACAGTAAACAACAACAACATCCATCTTGAAGCAGAACAACAATTATAGTAAGGATGATGGAACTATAGAACACAGTATCAATAATGAAAGAAAATTGATTAATTATCAATGTGTTTGTAACATATCTAGTAAAATGACACAGTAACAGGACGGCAAAACAAAACAGTATATCATAAATGAAAAAGGAATCACTAGACCAGGGATGTCCCAAACAAATCTTCAAACTAGGGCTCCTGCACCCCATGGGTTGCAAATAGGCTAAATGGGGTCACAGTAAAACCTTTTCCGACCAACTTTTTTCAAGACAAACGATCAAATTTAAAAGATTTGAAACAGTACTGAGAGTCACCATCATTGAAATAAAGCCAAGAAGCAACCTTTTGTGCAGTGTCTAATGCAAAAATTTGGATCTTCATTATCAGGATCATTTAAAAATAGAAACAAACTTTTCTATTGACTGGCATTTCCATGTCAATCTAAATAATTATACTTGCAGTTGCACTGGCCAAAGATGACCTGTGTCTTCAGAGATTATACATAATAAAGACAGATTAGGGATTGCACATAGCACAATAACAACATTATTATACAAAGAAAAGCACCAGCAATGTGTAAATATTCATAATCTTCAACAGAAGATTGATAATTAAGCAATAAAATTCTGTACCTACAACAGCACCATATATAGCATATTCATATTGACTATGCTAAAATATCAAAATGAAATTGAAAAATGTTTGTTGATGTTGTATGCCATATCTAATAACCAGTATGTAGAAAGAACATTTCTTACACTGATTTGGTAACACTCACGAAATGGTAAAAATCTGGAATTTCAAATGGTGGTATCTGCTATTACTATTCAGCTTCAACAGTTAAATAAGTCTTAGTGAAATGGCCGAAGCAAGGCTTCTACTGAAATACAGCTAACAATGGAGCATTTACACAAATGAAATAAGGCATACAACTTATAATATTCGAATTTTCCTGCCCTCAGGATAATTTTTACGTGCACAAAATATCCTTATGAAAAACCCTACAAAAAATTGTACAATCGTTTGCATGATTTAAATGTAAAAATTTAAACTAATAAAGAAGCATAGTCAGTTTCCATAATTCAAAGAAAAAACCTGCGTACTAAAATAAAGAATTTTCTTTACCATTCTATGACAACTTTTTCAACAAAATTGACAAAATTTCAAAGCAAATATACTTCAAAGTAAATACACAGTGACATGAAGATATAATTTGATCGGCAACATTTGACTGTTAATTAATAACAATTATTTTTACGATGATATAAACACTATTAATAAATCTCAGTATAAAGATCAATATAAAAAGGAACATAGTTCATAACATGTTCATCCAATTTCTTTATCGATTACCTATATAGCAAGATTAACACACCTTTACAATATTAAGAATATACACGGATTTGAACATGAAGCAAGGTTACGCAATATGCAATAATACATACTATATAAGCCCAATTGTTCTTGAAAATTCCAGAGATTGCAAGAACGGGCAATAAGAAGGAAGTACAATATTAATAATATAATAAACCTTTATACGGCAATATCCTAGAACACTTCGAAATCTGGCACGACTTGTCTTTTAAAAAGTTTTTGATTTCAAATGTCAAGTTGGTATTATTGTACGACATAAGCATACAAAAACAGCAGTGAAAATATGTATTCCACCATTTTCAAATAACAAGTATAGCTTAGGTAGTACTCCGCTCACAGATCTCACATTAAGTTGTCTTGTATGTTGCCACTTCAGGTATTCAATATCTAGAATAAAAAGTGAAAGACACTAGAACCCGTCCCTATAATGAGTGTATTAATAAGGACATTATTTACGTACCAGTCCATTCCGCTTTCCAGGTAATTTATAGACACCAGAAATGGATTTTAAATACTTACAGGGTGCTCTGAAAACATAACTAAGTTATTTGCAACATATTCCAGAGAGATAACTTTTGTGCGAAGTGTCCTAGATTAACTTTTGGGTAAAATCGCACACAAACAGAAGTTCTAAGAAAACCATTGGAAAATATTTCTGAAAAAATTCCTCATAGTCTACTTGAAGAGATATTCCATACATTTTGAAATCAATGCAATGTTTCAGAACCAAAATTAAAGTTTTTGTGAAATTAAAAATTATGCTATCTTACCATATTCTGCTACTTTCCCATATTTGATTGTGCTGTTGTGAACGAGTCCGATAAACTATGTCGCATTTTTGCGTCTTCCGCTACGGACGACGACGATGATTTCTTCATACGTTGCCTTGAAGGTGAAACATTTGCTGAAGACGTTGTGGATGTACTGGGACCAAACAGACGACTAAAAAAGCGTGAAATCGAAGACCCACTTTTTTCCTTGGAAGGTGGCGGCATCCATTCGGCTGGGTGATCACGAGATGCCCGTAACATTTCCGTCCATCTAACGGCTTCTTGTAATTCCATTAATCTTTCTTTGTATTGATTTCGTTCCATCAAAACTCTCGACATTTCAACTCTTGTGAAACGTTTCCGTTGCGCAGAGGTGAGATCATCTTCACCAATGGGTGTTACAGGGGTTTGTCCTGAGGGTGAATTTCCCGCTTCTTTGTTTATTTTTTCAAGTCGTTTCACCTCTGTTTGTAATTCAGAAACTTGTCTTGAAAGAATTTCTTTCGACTGGTGAGCCCTTTCTAGATCTTCTTGAATCATTGTTAATTGATTAGTAAGTTGATCTACTTGATGAATCAAATCATCTTTAACAATATCAAGTGCATTTTTTGTCGCCATAAGTTTAGTATTTTCAAGCATTAAGTTTTCTAACTCTTTCCCCATTCCTAATATATCTGCACCGTCATCAACATCTCCTAAATCTTTATCACACATTTCTATATACAACGATTCATGATTGGCTGTAACTCCATGTTCGAAAGCTTCATTTTCAATTCCTATCTTTCCTAAACTTTGCTGATGTCTTGTTAAAGAAGATGCGTCACCTTCTCCGTGAAGTGGAGTAGACGCGTCCACATTTAACCCCATTTTAAGAACGCTTTGTTGGAACTCGTGGCTCAATAAGTTGCCAGAATCGAGACCGCTGCTGTTTGATTCCAGGCTTGTTCTATCGCTGTTTAAATCTTCTTTGACTATGGGTAAATTTTCAAGTTTTTCTTCTTTAGATAAAGCGTCTTCTTTATTTATTGTTTCAATTATTTCTTGCTTAATGTTAGGATGAAATGGATCAATACCCTCTTGCCATTCAAGCCGTCTTGTTCGTGCTGCTTCTATGGATTCACTATTTTCTTGAACAGGAGTTGAATCTAATTGTCTCGAAGACGGTGTTTCGGGTGACAGCGGTGAAATTGTGGCAAAACTGTCTGGTAAATGCTTTTTAGGAATTGGGGAATAAGAAATAGAATCTGGAGTAAGGTGTTGTTGAAGAGTTTTTGTTTTTTCAATGTGTTCTACATAGGAACGAATCATTTCAGAATGTCGTTGATGAAGTTCTGTATATTCCTTTTTCAACTCCATTTCACGGTCGAGTAATCTTTCAATTTGATCTGCCTGACTTTTACATTTCATTTCAAGTTGTCGTGACGTAACCTCGAACTTTTCGTTCAGCTGTTTCAAGTCTCGAGAAAGAGCTTCAGCAACATCTTCATTTTCGATGAGTCGTTGTTCTGCGAGTCTTTTTTGTTGGCGTTCACGTTCGAACTGTGATTTCAGTTGCTTTTTGTCTTCTTCCAGCAGCTCTATTTCGACGGCAGACTCGTTTCTTTCAGTGATTGTTTGGTCAAGAGTTTCTAACATTGTTACGACAAGAGGCATTAAGTCTCTTACGACATCTTGATCATAATTTGCAATCATTTTCTCAAATTCTTTATAAACGCTCGTGGCGAGTCCTTGAACAGGTTCAGACGATGTTGCAATGTTGTCATATTCCTGGTCCGAACCATAGACTAGTTCCCCACCTTCCATCATATTGTCTTTAGATCGTCACTGGTAAGCAACGAATAACTAAGCAAATGAGCGGTAGCTATAACAATCTATACCACAGACACATCACATTCAGAGATCTTCAAAAAAATTAAAAAATATTTTAAATTAACTCAAGAGTGCATATCAGTTTTATCAGTAAAGCAAGCCATAGTATCCACTGCTAATAACACCCAGAAAACTTAAAAAAAAATCAGAGTGCGTATAAGTATCATGGGTGAACCATATTATCCACAGCTAGAAAATTACTGTCTAATGTTATGTGAACAACCCAAAATCCTACAATAGGACTAAACTGCTGTTCATTTATATATCTGGTGGTATTTAACCAAAAAAATGAGGAACCTCTTAGGCTCTTACACAGAGGTGGGGAACATATTATGGGCTAATATAGCATTGTATGCGAGGCAGTGGATTATAAGTAAATTCCATAAAATATAGATTTTATGTTACAAATAGAACAGTTGAACTGTGAATACGAGTTATAACAAATTTTATTACGGTAGCATTGACAAGGTGCCATACAAATTACAGGTTTTAACGTAGGCTAACTAAAGTTGCTTCGACTCATAATAAAGAATCTAAGAAAATAGTGTCTAGAATTCGTTCTTGAATGATCCTTATTTACTATAGGAAAACAAATTCTTGATTCATGTTAACTTTTAAATTGTATATTTGAACACATATTATATTTCGTTTCGTTATATTTCAGCCACTCAGGGTTATTTTATATATAAAAGCATTTTTAACAATTTTATTACTACTCGACTATTAAATCAAGTATTACAGCAGTTAAATGAAATCAAAATTCACAATATATTAATTTTTTTTTTTAAATGTGAAAACAAAAAACTTTTTGCAAAGATTGAACTTCTTACAGATTGCATAAATCAGTGACGATTATTTAAAATATTATATAAAATTCCGAATATAATTACAAAAAAACTGTTAAAACTAAAACATGAAGAAGGTTTTATCTACAACGAATCAGAACAAGACACAAATATATGAAATCTTCAGTTCTCGTATATTGAAACAGGGTATGAAATATAAGATTTATTCTGGAATGTCAACTCCTAAGGCTGCACATATACTTGGAGCTAGAGAAATCAATTGAAATGGTTTATATTTCACAATTTCTAATGCATGCGGTAATGAATCAGTTATCCAAAACATATGAGGAGTATTTAAATTCTCCTCTGCATGTATGAACTTTTTCCACGAATCTCGAGGAAAAACTGGATGCGTAACATAGACGCTTACTTTTGAAGCTTTTGCAGATTTCATACATGATATACATTCTAGCACTGTGCCACCAGTGTTGACCAAATCGTCAACTATTATAACATGATGGTTTTCTGGATTACCATCAACGATCGTGATCTCCCTGTCTTTACCGCGTCTTCTTTTTATACAACGGATCACAGGAAAATCTTTAAAATACGTATGAAATCGCTTGTGTGCACCTTCATCAGGAAAAGCAATAGCAACCTTCTCATTTGCATTTTTAAGCGTTTTAACCTCTTGTAAAAATCTTGGAACGGCAGACATCAGACGTGGAATAATATTATCCGTGAAATAAAACCGTTCTTGCAAAGCATGAATATCATATGTCAACAACTGGGTAGGCCCCATTGCAGTTAACGGTGTTGCTGACAACAAACGTGCAGTTGTACTCGCAGTAGCAATTTGTCCTTCGGTATCAACTCGTTCCATGGTACCAGTTGGAAAGAACGGTAAAACGAAAGTCAGTGATCTGACTGAATACTTGGGCAAAGCATAAAGCACAGATAATTGTTCAAAAACAACTGACGGAGAATAAAAACTTCCAAGATAAATAACATGTTTCCCAGAGCATTCTTCGATATTATCGATAAAGATATTTGGATATCCGTCCTCAAAAAATTTCCAATGTATATCCTCTTTGAATACAATTCTTTTACCTTGAGACTTGGCAACGAGATCATTAATCTTTTTCGCTAATATTGACATCGAGGGATGACATATCATCAAAGTGTCACAAGGAACAGAACTGCTCGCCATATTTAGCATATGACAATTACAAGTTTTACTTAACACAAAGAAAAAATAACTTTTCTCACATGTTCCAATTATCTACGAAATCTAAAAACAATAGGACAAAAACAATTTATATCTAGACATATTACATCTTATTGATAAATACATAAATAAGAATAAGTCATTCGGAAGTATATTATAATACACACAATGTGCTCTATTTCAAATAAAACAATATATTATTTAATAGATTAGGTGAGACTAAGCCCAAACATGGAAATAACGATCAATTTGAATCAATAACTCTTCTAAGTAATAGCTTACATAGAGGTATTCATAAAAATATATTTGAAATTTCAGATCCGAATAGATTTTAAAAATCTACCAATGCTAAAAAATGGATTTGAATAATAGAGTTTAATCGGCACTTATTATTTGGTTGTGTTCATAAACGAAGTCACTTCAATAAGATAAAATACTGAATGATAAGACCACTCTATAGAATATTATTGGAATAAACTAAAAGAAGGTAAACACAGAGAGTACCAATTAAACGCATAAATAAATAACTACTTATTAAACTACAAAATTTACAGAAAATACAGTGAGATTACGAAAAAATTGCTTTGAAATTTACAGTGCAAATGTTATTAATCATGGATTGAAGTTCAACTAAAGTGATTTAAAATATATTTGAGTATATTGATTTGAATTGCAAATAGCACCTATGCAACAAGAGGGTCCAATAATACAGTTGCAATGAACTTGCGTTCAGTTCAGCCAAGAACCACAATATATAATATATGACATTAATATGTGAAAATGGGACATAAATCACAACTGTTTAGAAAAGTGCTTTTAAATTTTATTTTCAGAATTTGAAATTTTGCCTAACAATCAGTATACAATATATAAAAAGTTATTTCAGTTAATAACTAAAGTAGGCAATCAAAATGGCATATAAATAGAAGAAGCGTGACAAAAATGAGTCAAACAGAATAAGATAGCAACAAGCAACTGAAAATGAATGAAACAATGCATGAATTGGAGTAATACTTTAGTACTTATTGTCATTATGATAGGGAAACCTAACACATAGGCCACCATTCAACCAAGCAATGAATGAAGACCAGATATTCAAACGCAATGTTTTGATATTATTCTGATTGTTTTTGCGACTGAATATCATGTAAATATTTGATCTGCGCTATCGATTTGATGTTGAAAAAGCAACTAAAATGAAAAATGTTGTTATTAAATATTTAAAAAAAAATAAATTGCAAAAAATAATTTTGTTATCACATCTTTATTGATAAGGACATCCCCTCAAAGAATTAATCAACTTATTTTGGTAAAACCTATGACACAGTACTTAAACATAAATTATATTTGACAATGATATCGTAATCCTACGTCTTTTATTAATTAAGCCCTCTAAAGCAAAGGATCAGTACCATTCCAATCAATAACTGAATCAGGCCATTTTGTTTGAATGCAAAGTTCTAAAGGCGGAATCAAGTCATTATCTTTTTTTGGTTGTGGTTTTTGCATCGTATTCACAGTAAGTCTCATTTCTTCATCCTGATTGGCTAATCCATCATAATAGTACAGATCAAACAAACGTTCTACCGTCCAATCATTGACAAGATCACGATTCAAACAAAACAAAACGCTGAAATGACTCTCGCTACAAACAATCCAAATGGGATACCTAGGGGTTTTTAAGTAACTTCCGACATTGCATGAACCATAATGTTCAAACAAAGACAACAAACCTATGTTAGAACGAGCTTTGGCACCTTTTAATATCAAACCTCCATCTAATTGCACTGTGTCATTGAAAGTATTGGAAATAGCAAAACCTGATGTGAGAAGGTTTACCATCTCCTGTGTGCAATAGGAATGTGCTCCCATTAATATGTTGCCAGGATCATCCATATCTGATGTTACTTCTCCGATTCCTCTGGATAATATAGCTGAATATAGTAATAAGATCGCAGCGCCTCGTCCAGATTCAAATTGTGAGATACTGTTATATATTGTGTGATGCAAAGACTCTAAAGATTGGCAATTTTTTGTTACAATAAATTCAGTAATACTATCTTCTTTATAATTCCCGGTGGGGCTAAAACTTTGCCTATTTGAAAGTAACGCAACGACTGCTCGGCGGCCGCCACCTGCTTGCCATAGGATTTCAATAATCGCTTCAGCGAGACAACTTGTGCGGATTTCGTTTTTGCAATTTAGTGCAGACGGTTCTGCTTTTTTGATTTCCGATCCGTCATTTCCAACTTTTCCGAACAATAAATGTTTCAAAACATAACTTTGTACAGCAGCAAGAAGGCCGCATGGTCCTCCTTTTTTCTGAATGATTCCAAATCTCAAACGTACCGTACGTTCATCTTTACAGTCTCTGAACATAAACGACTGATTTATCCATTGTTCTGGGAATCCCCGAACACTTGCAGACCCAAACACAATTTTGCGAAGTTTTACTGCTGATTGGAAATCCAACGGCATGCCAGATTGCGGCAAATTGAACCCTACTTTTCTAGAAATTTTTTGCGGTTTTTGGTTTTTATTTAAAATTGATTCATTCCTAGATTCCAAAACCTTTTGTTGTGGTTGTGCATGGTATACTTCATTGGATTTGTTAGTATTATATTTAAAACTCAGTTTATCCAGTCCTGAAATCCATTTTTCACATTTACTATCTTCGGTCCATTCTTCATCATCAAAATCTACTAGCACAGTGTCCTGTTTTTTCTTTCCAGGTGACGATTGCTCATAGCGATCTGACGAATTCCTCAGATGTGTTTTATTCTCAGCAACTATTGCGGAGTTCGTTTCCGTACTTTTCTCAGTATGATCAGTTGAATTTACAACATTTTTGGTTTTCTGTTTTCCGTCTTGTTGAGAAATTGTATCATGAGAAGAGATTATTTTATCTGGACTTGCCGACAACATTTCAGCAACAGAGCTAGCTTTCTTTTGTCTGTGCTTCGTGAGTGAATTTGAAACTCTGAGACCAGAAATTATCATAGGATTAATAGAAGGATTATATGATCTAGTTTTTCGAGTTGATTCAGGTTGTTGCCTCCTATGTTTCAGCATCGAGTCCTGAAATTGATCGTACTTCATAGGTTTTGATACATCCGCATTATTTTCAAAATTGACATCCTTTAATTCTAACGTCTCGGGCCCTGTTGGTGTTGAAGCAGAATACAATTTAGCTTTCGCTGTACTGGGTCGTGTTAATTTACTTTGATTATTTTCATTGGTTAATTTTTTGTGTTTTTTAATAACATCCCAAACAATAATTTCAATTATAGTTCGAAATGGATCCGTCAAGCTTTTATTTTTACGAATAAGGGGAGCTATGTGTAATGTTTGTGCTAATTCCGCTCTATTGCATATACTGGCATCACCTCTTGGTAGTTCATCGTCAAGAGCACTCAATGAATTTTTACATCCCTTACGATTTAAGAATTCTCGAACTAATGCTATTGATGCTTCTTCAACAACTATATGATCCATCGCATATTCTTCTGATTGGATAGGAAACTCCATGACAATTGTTGCATCACATTCAGCCAACTATTCACTTGTCATCCATGCATGGGGGAGTTAGATTGGACTATCATATTCATCTGCTCAAAATAAAAGATATCACATATAAGAATTACATCAGATTGTGATCAAAAGGAAATATCTATTTGAAACAACCATGCTACTTCATTGCGGGTTGGACAGGGCAGAAATATGAACAAATCTCAGTCTGTCACAGTTCTCCGATTCCAAGAATAGCTTCCACATTAAAAGACATCAATCATAACAGTGAGTGAAAACACCTCTGTTACGAGACAGTCTGGGACGCCAAAATCTGGCACAGCACAATAAGGTGAAAGAAAGCACAATCCAAAAACGACATCATTGGAATTCTCAGAAAAAATAACCCAATTTACAGAAGAAAAATTATTTACAGCAGCATTCGGGTTTTTAGCTGAAAAACGTAATTCTGGCCGTGCGACGGCCAACGCACATCATGATTTATTCAAATTATTATTGAGACAGGCATGGCCCAATCTGACGCATCTGCCGTGATGCCCTCATTTCAGAGAGTGTCGATTTAATTGAACAAACTGTTGGACAACTAAGAATTGAAGAACTGTGCCCTACCCAACCTATTTTATTTACTAAAAAACTACAAAGCAAGGTAAATCGAGTGAAACTGCGCAAAAAGCACAAACATAGAACTGCAGAAGTAAATAGACGGGAGCAGAAGTGAACAGTCTGACAGTGCAAAACTGGGAAAAGAGAACAATTTATATTTAGGCATGTTTTCTCTGAAAGAATTTTTTCTTTTTAGAATGCAAATCTACTCGTCATATTAACTTTGTACATTAAATTCCGCAATTATCAACTCAGTTAAGCAGTTTTGCATTTATTTTATTCCCTGTTTCTGTGTTTTCTAATGTTTCGTGTTTTACGCTGCTCTGTTACCGGTACCGGTTCCCATTTTTATTGCTGGGACAGGTACCGGTATGTCAGTATCATCTTACAGCAATATCATTTTACAGCAATACCGGTAGTGCCTTCAAATGTCTTTTATTTAAAATCTATCACTATGTTACTTGCCTACTACTAACTTGGATTATTAAAATTCATATTGATTTAAGCATTTCACAACACTGCAACAAGCAAAACAACACACACTGCACAGACACACGGGACGGACCTTGAATAAAGTTGCCACAACTTCAAACGAGGCGTATGGTAGCGTATGACTGCCCTAATTTTATGCGCTGGTTATTCAAATGGCGATTGGGATCATATATCAATCCCTTTTCTCAACAAATAGGATTTTATTACCGGATAAACAATCATAACGCAGACGTAACAAAGGATACAGATACACAGCATACGCTACGCCAACTAAGGTGACGCCTTCTAGCTCAATACCGCCGACACACAAATATTATAAAGCAGATTGCCAGAAAAATCCATTTTCACGAGCAGACGTATAGACGTGCGATTTCGAAACACTGTTGGGCTGTTATCTGTTGCACAAAAACGTTTGCGATACTACCTTTTGCGTAAATATAGTAATAACTCAGTCAAGATTCAAAGTAAAAAAGAGGACCCGTTTTGGGCGAATATAATGAGACTATATAAACATATTTTCATTGGTAAACCCGGGTTTTTTTTCAGATAAAAACCTTGTGTATCGCACACTGGTGACGTAATACCTGCATTACACCTAAATCACACGCTCGAGGTCGCAGAAACGAGCGTTCGGTGTGTCTGTATTCTTTAACGAGGAAGCGAACGCTTGGGGGGGGGGGGGGGGTGATCGGGGATTTTAAAAAATATAAAGAGTACTGTACCTTTTTGTTCAAATAAAAGACGGAAAAAATTAAGGCAAATGGGGATAACGTATACATGTCCAAATAAAATTATTTTAAATGTACCTCTCAAAAATCAAAATTGTCAATAAAATAGGACTGACCAATTACGATGTACACAAGACCAAATTTTTCAGTCGGTATTAAAAGTGGGAAAATGACATTTGAAAAAAGGTTCGTGCAAGCTGGGGGAGTAAACCTTGACCCTGTCTAACCACTTGCAACCGTTTATTTTTCCTCACATTCGAGGAGAATCGAAGTGTAATTCATAGTGTGCGACATGTCGTTTATTGTGCTTCCTGGGACGAATCCAAAATTAATTTGCGAAGACATTTGGTTCTAACAAGGCTAGAGTAACTCTATACAACCAAGCAACGAATGGATTCGGTTCCCATGCGATTCATGCCTGGTCAACAATACTCCTACTAAAAGCAATATCTCCAAACAACACAGATCTGGCAAGCTGACCTAACCAATAAAGCACAATTGCTCATAAAATTGTCATTTATTCAAAGGATTCATTCATTCCTATAAGATTATTTCGATTTGGAACTGTTATCCAAAGGGGTTGTGTGGCGAATGATTGATAAACAAGACCATATTTGGAACTGAAATCTGAAGGTAGTAGTGTGTCGAATGATTGATAAACAAGACTCGTACTCTCCTCAAACTAGATTCTCTCCCGTCATCCTTTCACCCAATCAATTACTTTGTCCTTCAAATTCTTATTTCGAGCAATTTCTTCCTGTCTCGCTATTTGGAGTACAGCTTCCCGTTCTTCCTTTTCCAGAACATGCTTTGGTTTCTGCAACTCAATCAACGGACTAGAAAAAAAGATATTACCTTAAAACAGCGTTAATGTTGTCATTTCATTTCAAAATTACTGAGATTCCACCTATTTCATACTATATCCATTATACTTTTATGAACTTTTCATTCGAAGCACAATTATTAAAACTATTGCAAAACATAAATCTCAGTTTCGAGAGAATACATAGAATCAGAGAAGCGACGCGCTTGCATATCAATGCCAACTTTGATAGCAATGCCTGAGGGACAACACACTTGCATAACAATGCCGACCTCAAAAGGGGCGCAAAAAATTCAATATATTGGGGGTCGCAAGCTTAAAAGTTTGGGAAGCACTGGCCTAGCTAATTTTATTACACTAATTGAGGTGAACATGGAATCTGCTATTTTCAAAAGGCGACTCCATCATCTTAATTCCAACTCTTTATTACCAATCTCTGACTCCACCTCCTCATTTATCAAAAACAACACGTTATAAAAAAAAAACATCTTACTTCTCCAAATCAAATTCTTGAACTTCTAAAGACTTATTGTGTTCGATAACATCATCAATATTTGCTGCCTTATTATCACAACCATTATGAATGAATTTTAAAAGTAAAGTTGTTACATTACGATACAATTGAACATCATCGGTGCCTTCAACTTTATTATAAAGCTGTGAAAAAGACAAAAAAGAAAAATGGTAATTAACATCATGCTTAAAATAGTATTGTAGCACAAATAGTTTCTGAATAGCCAAGTAGTAAATTGCACATACTAAAACTGATACTTCACAGGAATTACCTTCCCGGGGCTTTCACCAGTGATGGTATTAAGTAAGAGTTTTTGGAAATATGATGATAATTAGTGAACTTGTTTTTGTTTTAGACGGCAGCAAATGGGTAACATGCACCACACCTGACAGCATAATATTTGGTGTGTGGTAAGTCAGATTATGTGAAGTGTATCGTGTTGATGCAGCTTGCTTGGAGGTAAATACATTAGGACCTTGGTTCTCAAACTGGGCGTCGTGACGCCCAAGTACGTCGTTTCAAAAATGCTAGGGCGTCGTAAAACCATTCCTCTTTTGCGGAATTGTACATGCCGTGCATAGAAAAAGTCTAAATTGTCGCTATTCCCGCTCGAGTCATGCGTAAGAACTGGAGATAACTATATACTAAATATTGTATCAATCATTTTTTTTTATATTTGATCTTAGTAATGTCACGGTTCATTCAATACTGTTCCAATTATGACAACACACAGACTGAATCAGCTTGAGCCATGCATGCCATTCATTTCTAATCCTTTTAAAAAAAGGAAATATCAGGCGCAAGTGTACACATGTAAATATGATACTGAACAAGAAAAGTCCAAAAAGAAGATAAGCAAGTATGATGAAAGCTACTTTGGATTCACTTCTGTTTAACAAAATGGCAAGGAAAAGCTGCAAGATTTTAGTGAAAGCATGTTAACCAATAAGTTTAAACGGCATGTAGTAACATCGCATCCCCAGTTGCAACAAAAAACATGGAACTTCAAAGGCTTTATCAGCATCCTATTTAATTACAAATCGTATTGCCAAATGTAAGAAACTTCATACAATTTCTGAACTTATACTACCTGCTACACGAAATATCAATCTCGAGTACAAGTTGTGCGGAAAATGCGCGCGGCTCTTTCAAAATTCACACCGAGGTTTACGGACATTTGTAAAAAGAATCAAATTCACCCATCCCATTGAATGCGATTTCACTGACTATCGTTATATTTTGATCATTTGTCTAAAAACTCATTGCGAAAAAATGACTTTTATTGAAAGGTATCAAGGCGTTTTTTATGGCGAGTCGTAACCTGTGCATATTTTTTGGAGGGCGTCACAATACCAAGAAGTTTGAAAACTGCTGCATTAGCAAATATAACGTTCAATTTGTTTCTATATTGTTTTGTTATTGTATTGTTATATAGCTGTGAGTTATAAATAGTTTTTGATATAAGGGAACCTGTTGTTAGCAAGTTTGATACAAATAAGAACCTGTTCAACAATACAATTTTGAATCCCATCTCTATCTATTAACCTTAGTGACTAGCAAGACTTTATATTTTTTTGAACAAGTGCAATTTGGTTTGCTTTTTTGAGGGAATGAATATTAGAATATTGTTGCATGTATGGCCTGGCAGACTCCACTTCTTTTAGTTTCTCCCAGTGGATTTTCGATCGATATTATATCAATATTGACAATTAGACACTCATAGGGACATCCTTAATTAAACAGTCAACTTTTTCAATTAGGATTTCACCAATTACTGTTATTTTACAAAGAAAGAGCAAAAATACTGGTGAAAATACTTTACCCTCATCATTGGTGTTCCATAACAAATATTTCTCTTCTCGTGGATTTTTTCATCCAAATTTTCCGGATCAATAGCAACAGTATTGAGTTGATAACAGAAGAATGAGATATATTCTCCATCAGTAATAACAGTCTAAAAAAATTTCAGTGGTTTAAGTGGCTATAATATGCAAGAGAAAAATAAATATAAAGATTTCCTTACGGCCGGTCTCCACCATGAAGTCAATGCTGAAAGAATTAACTGGCTTACTAATCCCATACCCAACATGGACAGGTAACCGAATGGAAGGCCATGGTTCGCCATATGATTAGGCTTAGTTACTTAGTTTCATTTCATATTTTATAAGTCTTCAAGGAACCAAATGCATTTTTACCCAAATTGAAATACCAATTTTTTTACGATAAAGTTCCGAAACACTCAATTCTTACATCCCAGTAAGTATTTTTAAGCCTTTTCAGTCAGCTACAATAATTACCACGAACGGGGAAAAAATTTTATACCCAATAAATGACTTTAAAAAGATGTATTTTCCTTTTATATACTTTATACAATAATTATTATATAGTAGCTAACTAAAGAGCAGTATTACAAAGCTAAACTTAAATATTAACAATAAGACATGCTACAAGCATGTATAAAGATAGTTATTTTGAGTAAAAAAGATAGTCGGTTCACAAAAATAATATCGCTATGCAAACAATAACTGAGGAGTATTTGACATTTTTTCCAACAACGAATCATTACAAACTAAATACCTGTACGCATATTGGTTTTGTGATGTCATTATCCATCCAATGTCCCATATAATAAGCCACAGGAGCAGACCAAGTCCATCCGCTCATTATTCCATGGGCTTTCATATGCTCTTCTATTTCTTCTGTGATGTCACAATGCTCCAAGTTGGCTTTGTACCAGTCTCGATTGAAGCTGTATCAATAAAAAGATATGCTCACGACCCAGGGATATGTTCAGGCGGCATGTAGTACTTTTAGGGTCACAAAATGAAATGACTGATATAAAACAACCATTTTCACATAAATTTCATTTGCCCAGAAATTAACTCAAAGTAAGAACGCCTAGCTTATTTGCCATAAGCAGGTTTTTGGAATCGAGGTGTGGCTTTTCCTAAGCAAGTTTTTACATTGTGATACTTTCCGCATTACTATTAAGCAACATTTGAATACAAATACCATTTACTAAAAAATAAAATCAGTAACTTTTTGGATTTTGTTGATAAAACAAGCGAGAAGCATCCCAAGAAAATTTCCAGGCGACCCAATTGTAGGTTGGGAAACACTGTGCTAGACCCTTGTTCCTGCATGTCTTAAACAACAAAGTTGGCGAATGATTCTATCTAACAAGTTTGTAAGTTCAACGTTATAGCAAAATTTGACTCAAATATTTTTTGAAAATTTTACCTTTCTGGTACCGGTAATGATATAAACTGTGTATGCCCGAATTTACATGGATCAGTTATAGGTGGGGGAAGATCAAGGAGTTTGTTTTCTTCTAATGCTTCTTGATAATTTAATGGGAGTTCACCAGCTTGGTATCGAAATCCTGCAAAAAAAAATTGTATATAAAATCAGAAAACAAAAATACTCATGTATGTTTCGGATATGGAACATGTTACATTCACAGATAAAATTATTTTTTTCAAATATTTCATACCAGTGGTTCCCAATTTATAATGGCTTGGGGTTCCTGTCCGGAGGCTTTTAGCCCTCATGCCCCCCCCCCCTTGTGGCCCTCTCCAACTACTCCGTGTCCTCCTCAATGGAGAACCATGATGCACTTCCCTCACCTTCACTACAAATAAAGCCATCAGTAACTCGAGAGAGTCATTTTGAATAAAATTGCAGCTGCTCAGTCTGCTCAAAAAATTGTTTTTTAGAAGATTCCACTTTAAAGCTGATATATACCTGGTGTGACAGTGTTCCTATATTGTTTTTTAAATAACCTATAGCAACTTGGAATTATGTCATCATCAGGAAATGGTATTTCTCCACTCAACATGAATTCTTCCATCCACGGAGTAAATTCGTTGAGTGGTTTCTGTGTTCGAATCTTAACAAAAAATGAATTGAAAAGTGAATTACCATATTTTTAAGCTAATAAGTCGTTTTTTAGTCTCAATTTTTCGGCCTGATTTTTTTGGGCGGCTTCGATGAGTGGTTTGGCTTATTTTCTGAAGTTGGCTTATCATTAGCTTCTGACTGAAATATATCGTAAAAGGGAGACAATAACTTGCTTTCCCTGGCATTATTTTCTGTGAAGAAATCTTGGTAGAAGAAATTTTAACAAATTGTTGAATTCATTGAATTTAGTGATGCAAAATAGTCAAGATAAACATTACTATTTGTAATATATTCTATTTCTACTATTCTCAATCTTTACAGTTACGTTTTCGGCAGGTCTTAAATGCAATTAGTGGGGGTTCAGTTGGGAAAGATCATGTCCACTCCACAGGCTCCACTAAAATAGACCAAGCTAAAAAAAATCAAGACATATGTAGGATATGTGACAAACCTGATACAAAGGGTTGTCGTGTGATTGAAATGTAATAGGTAAATCATCTCTCATTGTATATTTATGGAAACCTCGGCCTTTTTGCCAGAACATTGAATTTTCTGGGTTACGGTCCAATTCACAGCCTTCAAAAATACTCTGTGATGAAGTTATATCCATTAAATATTGTACAATATTGGAAAGAAGTCTGTCAGCTCTTTGTTTCCGACTCTGTAATAACAATAAAAATTTTAAGACTCAACGACAAGCTCAATGTTGGGAATATGTTTGCCATCATATCTCTGATTGCCCTGCACATGTTCAGAGTATTGAAACCTCTGGGGGGATAATAATGTGCAAGAGGATTGTTGGACGAACTCCTCGCCGTCATAGATTTGTTTCATGTAACCGCTGGTCATTTATGGTTTTCTTCAAGTCGATGCATCTCAAACAAATCACTATTAACTATTTTAACTATTCTAAATGTTTGAAGTTATAAATAATAAACGAGGAAATATTTTCATCAAACATTAACATATTACCATGATAATATCAAGATACTATGCGAATGGCATTATTTTTGTAAAATATAAATAAATTATATAACAAATATGAAATTTTTCTTATTGTGTATCAGTTAGGAAACATTCAATTAGACAATAATATCCTCACTTCAAAACATCCATAGATCAGTGATGGTAACAACAAAATTGAAGAGTAATAAAATTAGTAAAATTAACAGAATAGCCGGCTTTATGTCCAACCTTTTCAACTGATGATTTCTTGCTAAAATGAGTCTCCAATTGTATTGCCGTTGTTAAGAAACTCTCAAAATTTTCTATGACAGAATCCTCAAGTTGCATAGACTCTATATTGTATGGCATTCCATGAACAAACTTAGTGTGCGTTAAATGTTGATAATAATAAGATGCGTTTCTTGTAAATTCCATATTCAAAGGGGGAATAATATATTTTGCTTTTCGATCGTGGTCAAGTAGAAGTTTAAATTTGTTTTCCAGCTGCAAAAAATGAGGCAGCATGGTAAAAAAAATGTGACATGGAGTAAAAGTAACTATAAATCCATTTTACTTCTACATGGTGCAAAACAAACCGTTGGAAACAATAGTTTCCAATTTTAATGATGACAATACCACGAAGTGGGGATTTAGAAATTTTACTAGAGCATGGCAGATGTGACCATGACATATTTAAAACTCTATTTGGGAATAGTCAGGCATGGTAAGATGTTAAAGAAGTCAGTCCTGTCTGCATGACAGAGAAACAAATATGATTTGATCTTGAAGTGTTGTAAAGGTAATGGGTTGGGAAGTGAAGGACACTCGGCTGTAGTGGCAAAGATAACACTTCATCTGATTATCGGGAATGGCTTGCAGATTTTAATCATGTGGGAGATAATATAATGCGAAAATATTGTATTTGCTCTAGACTCCCTAAAACCGTTGGGAGATTCATGTTACTGCTGGTTGGTCACGGCTTCTTACACCCTTAAGTTATGCATTTGAATTAAATAGCCAGTAAAATGATCCCATATTTCAACATGGTATGGTAACGGAAAGAGTGGCCGCGGTTCACCATAAAAGTCGTCTAATCGGCTCCCATTCCACGAAGACAAATAAGGAAATCCTGTCCTAGTTAATGTAAAATATATAAAAAACAAAATAATATCACACTCACTGTTTCTTGATCTTCAATAATTCCTCTTTTATTTTTTTTATAAAGAGAAAAAGTTTTCATTTTTGGGGGAATAAAATTTGGTACCCATTTATCGAAGTATGGATCATACCATTGTTTATGTTTCCAACTGGCACGCTGATCATCTCCCAGTGGAAAATCTACACGTAAAAGAAATATTGAACACTTTGTAGTAAACATGTGATGAAAATATGAGTGTTTCAATAATTATAATTATGATGAAATTCTTTTACTACAAGTAGAAATAACTAACCCCATTGTGGTCTTCGTCTCTGTGCTAAAAAAACTTCTTTAGTATCTCGAGGATATATCGGCTTTTGTGCTTTAGCTGCCAATGGGCTACTAAAAACAACTCTGCGTTTGCTTTTAATAGGTTGTCTAAGCCAAAGTGATGCACATGTACTAAAGCTACATTTTTGTATGTTATGTTGCAGCCACAACTTTTGGCACATTCTGATACGCAAGACGCTTTGTAACTCCATACCCGAAGTCAGATATTTTGAAATTGATGGACAGATGGATGAGTCGGCTCTGTAAAATAATAAATTCGTTTCTGTAAAACAGTTGTTTAATAAATATATATATTATTTATGAAAAATTAAAAATTTTATTTACCTTAATTTTCCAATTTAAACCTTCTTTGAGACATTACTTGTAACATATCATATAATCCAAATACTGAAATATTAAAAATGAAAAAACTGCCAAAACAAAATGCCATCAACACTAAAATTCCAGGCCTATAAAAAAGGAAGATAATACAACCAAAATAACAGAATTATAATACCTGGTCAAGTAAGTTAGGTCCTTCAGTCCTTATGCAGTTATTTGGTTTATGAACATTTATCAGTTCCTACTGCCATGTCAATGTCTGAGACATGTTCTTTCAGTTGCAAGTTAAGAAGTTTGAATTTCAATAAATACAGAAATAGAAATAACTTTGTAGCTTATAATTTAAGATATCAATTTATAATTTGTTTGGTAAAGCATGAAAAAGAAAAATAATTAAATGTAAATATAACGTTAATGAAAATTTGAGAAGATCAAACATCTGAACATATTGTCTTGTATATTTAACATATTTGCTGAATATTTATATATTTATACTGAAATATAAAATACACTTGGCCTTTTCATGTTTGCTGATCAAATACCAACATTGCAATTCTAATAATAATAAACTAATTAGGCCTACACCGGTAAACTAGCTTTAAATGTGACGTTTTACGTTCCTAATAAAATTCTAAAACCCTACCCCGTGGTAATGTCTTCATCAAAATGCTATGTCACTACTAAAATTGTCTTCCCTATCAGTTCTGCATTGCACTGAACTAGAGGAGTAGAACACGCACATCCTCATGGAAGCGTGGAACATCGGAACCTTGCTTGAACAAGCGTAAAGCACCGACCAACGAACAAAAACATTTGCACCTGCATACTTTCGCATCTACGTACATTCGTGCCCTTACATTTCCACCCACAAATTTAGGCATAGGGATAGCACCCGCGTACCGTACATTTGCATCTATGAACATTTGCACCCATGGACATTTGCAACCATTGTACATTGGCACCCACGGACATTCGCACCCATGTACACTACATTTGCATAAACGGAATTTGCACCAGGGACGCTTGCATCCATGAACATTCTCACCCAAGGATATTTAGCCACCAACATCTGCAATCATGGACGTTCGCACCCACGTACATTTGCAGCCACGTTCATTCGCGCCCACGTACATTTGCCCCCATTGACATTTGCACCCAAGGATATTTGCATCGGCGTACATTTCAACTTTTGCACCCAGCCGCGTCAATTTGTACGTACTTTTGCTCTTATGTACATTTGCCCTTATGTACATTTGCATCTACGTACATTTGAACCCACGTATAATTGCATCAAAGTACACTCGCACTCACATACACTTGAATCTTCACACATTTGCAGTCTTGTTAATTTGTACCCCTGCGCACTTGCAAATACCCGCGGGTGCAAATGTCCATGGGTGCAAATATCTGTGGCTGCAAAAATGTACCTGGGGAGCAAACATTAATTGATGTAAACGTCCGCGCGTGCTAAAAACCTGCGGGTGCAAATGTGCACTTTGATTCCCCCTTATGTGTTATTTAATTATAAAAATAATAAACCACATAAGTGGATCATCCATTAAAAATAATCACAACCTATGGTAAATATCTGTCTCTATGATATATCAGCAAACGCGCAATATCAGTTGAGCTGTAATCATGAGGGAGTGTGAAAATAAAGATTCATGCCTCCAGTCTCAACGTGAATTAAAATACCAAAGTATATAAGTCACAACTGTAGTTTGAAATTTTACCGGTACCTAGTGCTCTTCCTCAAGGTGGTTCAAGGTTGCCAGGTTGAAGAACCGCAAAAACTTTTTGAGGAGGTCTCGCGGGCCGAAAGTCGGAGAAAACCCAAAGTGATCGAAATATCGCTAGTTTACTTACTTAAAATTAAATAAACAACGAGAGTTTACCGTTCTAATCAGACTATTATTATGTGGCATGGGTGGCGTTCTTTCAAAGAAGATATATATATATATAAAGCCTTCAGTTATTTTAAAGTTAATTCCCGAGAATTACCGTTGTATTTTCCGCATCTCGCGACTCGCGTTTGATCGCGCTTCAAATTATATTCTTTCGTGACAGATATTACTTGAAATCGAACCAGACACTGCGTCACGCTAATAACCGAATTGCGTAAGTCATTTTTGGCGATTTTGAGTTTTCTATTAAATAGGTATTAATGTAGTGCTGCGTACCTGTTACCTCAGATTTTATTTTAAGAATTCCGAACCAATAAGAATGGAGATTTAGTATGACATGCACATTTGTGCAATTGTTTCGTCATAATGAACTATCCTTGTCATACAAATTAACTTAAATCCGGCTACGATCAAAAAATTGAACCATGGCAAATTAATAAATCTCATGGCATAACAATATCATTAGGAATTTTTTTACGTTTTTCTCAAAACTGCTAAAAATGACTTACGCAATTCGGTTATTAGCGTGACGCACTGTGTGATGAAAAGGAAATGCGTTTCCGCCGTGATTTCTTTATGTCACCTTTCTTGTGACACTCATTTTATTACGAATTGTTATATTTGAGTAATTTAAAAACTTGCAGCGTAAGCAAGCTTTTTTTTTTTTTTTAATTTTTATTTTTTATTTTTTTTTATTAATAAAAACATCACTTTTTATCCACACGTTATAACACATAAACACAAGCAGCGTGAGCAAGCTTAGTCATCGTCAAATACCAATCAAGCCCGGATATCTGAATTTCTGTAATACAATTGACAAAAGCTTTTATACACATTTCAATGCAGTTTGACTATAGCTACAAGTCAATTTGAGTTTTAGGGTCGACGTATCATCTTTCGGATTTCCAAAGTTGCAATTTCTACATCAGTTTTTCACCCGCATAACCAATAACTAAAAGCACCTGCTTCTGTTGCTGCCGACATCATTGTGAGAAAACAATGGCTATTTCCACGCAAGTATTGATATCTGCGATTACATCACAATTATCTTTCATCAAAACCTTGCGCAAAATAAGCAACCCCTTTATAATATCTCATTGCGCTCCTCTTGTCAACCGTTCAATACAATGGGGTTCGACGTAAGCTTGGAAAATAGCGCAGGGGTTCGGCATGCTCGCAAAATTTAAGAACCACTGACCTATTCCAATGTTACGTGAATAAAATAGAAGTTGGTGCTCGGGGACACATCCATTGGTCTATCGCGTGCCGCCTTCTCAACGCCTAACTTTATCGGCGTCTTACAAGTGACTTCTACAACAAGGCTTCGAGAATATAAAAGGTCTTTAAAATTTTCATGAATCTTTATCCTTTTTTTGTATTGTTTACGTATAAAGTGTACTTTAGTATGATGGGAAACAACTTCTTTATCTCAAGTTCTTCACCGAAATCAATTGATAGGGCTAAATTACTGGAGTAATTAAAATTTAATGAACATTCGACTCATCTGCTGCAACTTATATTTAAGAACCAATGACACAGACGGTGTATCGTGATTCATACAGTGAACTGGTATGCGTGTGATGATTGAGACGGCATGTTCACAAACAACCGAAAAAATTATTTCTAAAGGATGTGCAATCATATATCTCCGTTTCTAACATCAATATATATCAAAAAAGTATCGAGTGCTTATCAAGTTATTGGCGCGGCGGTGTGGCTCAACAGGCTAAGCGTTAGGAATACGCTCGCCACCGCACCTCTAACTACCCTGCGTGGGTTCGCAGGTTCGAATCCCATGCAGGAATGGTTAAGTGCGAGAGGATTGCTGGACTCCTCGCCGTCGTTGGGTGGTTCACGTAACCGCTGGTCGGTTACGGCTTCCTCCACCACCAAGTCCATGCTTCCGAAAACAAACAATACAGTAAAACTAATCCCATACCCGACTTGGAATGGTAACCGGACGAGAGGCCGTGGTTCGCCATATGGATAAGCCGTCTTATCGGCTTTCCTCTCCCCCGGGATAAATATGTAAATCCTATCCTATTATAATATCGATTGTACTGTGAATTGAAGCTGCCATCCTTATGTCAGCTTCTGCAAACGCAAATAAATATTTTGTGGTTCAAGCGAAACAAAGAATCACTACCACGTTTATGTACTGGCGAGCTCTGATAGCTGATCTTTGCAAATCTTCTGAATTTCTGCGGTCAAAAATCGTTTCCGAAGATTATCTGGTAGTCCTTTTCAGATCACAAAACAGTCGCTGCGTCGTTTAAACACTTTTTAGCATATTGTCCCACTAAAACGGCGATATCGGCTATCCGCTATGTTCATGCTAATCACCTGATTTACATGACAAGGAAGAACGATTTTTGATAACTGTATAGACTCTTCCCAAATTATAATTTCTATCATTCAAAAGAATAGTTTTACTTAAGCAAGGAAAAAACGCTTCAGATTCAAGTGCTCTTTGAAGAATAAAATTACGTTCACTGATTCCATTTTAATGTGGGTTACTTTTTGTACGAATTCGTTTGTTTGGGCCATGTTAATGACCTCTAATATCTCGTCAGCCCTAATTTTTATGATACATAACCTACATAGAATAAAGTTTTTATGCAGTAACGCCTTCACATTTAGATATATTTTTTTCATGTTCTCTGCGGGTGTTCTTATTTTCATGCCGTGCATGGCCAGGAAATATGCCCTTGCAATCCACATTCATACCAATGTAACCGTCGATATAAGATGTAATGAATGAGAAATATAGTACCTTGATATAAGGCTTTATTCAACTTAAATTTAAAGCACTCTTAGAATGAATCTAAAATAATATAACACAAGCAAATGTTATTAAACAAGAAAACAAATACGTATCGAATTGCAGATGCTAACAGTAAGCGGCTCAATAGTTAAATGAATAAAGTTAAAAGAATTAACACACTACAACTAGAGCACAGCAATGATTGGTGTCTGATTCAAAACGCCACAGCAATCATCGCTTGACTGCAGCTGTATAAACAAATAGATACATTGAGTTGCATTTCCAAGTTATCACATTCACCGCCACTTTAGAGATTTAGTCTGTCTACGGTTCGGCGTTCCCTGGTTGATCTCCTTAGAACTGGAGGCGATGGAGATCTAGAGACAATATTATTTTCAACAATATCTTCTTGCGTTTGAGTTTTATTGTTTCCTTGATTGATAGATGGAGACATAGGTTGAATCGAAGACTCGTCTCTAACGTGCAATGGTGTTTCATGGTTGATATTGTCTGTCCCTTGCCTATTCATCGAAATTTCGTAACCGACAGGGGCCAGATGTTTTGAGGCCACAGTTGTTTCTCTGCCATCTGGAAATCGAACATGAGCATATTGTGGATTTGCTTCCAGAAGCTCGACTTCATCTACTAAAGGTTCGGTTTTCGACTTCCTGACATATCTTTTCAAAAGCACTGGTCCCGGCGTTGACATCCAGGATGGAATAGAACATCCAGACGTAGATCTTCTGGAGAATTTGAAAACTCGCTCATGAGGAGTCTCATTGGTGGCTGTACACAATAACGACCGTATGGAATGCAAAACATCAGGCAAAACCTCATGCCACAATTGAACAGGAAGACGTTTCGATTTCAGCGCCAACTTCACCCCATTCCATATCGTGCCATTAAAACGTTCAACCTGTCCATTTCCTGCAGGATTATATGGTGTAGTGCGACTTGTTGCAATACCTTTGTCATTGAGAAAAGAGCGAAGTTCTCGACTCATGAAAGCAGAACCTCTGTCTGAATGTATAAAAGCAGGCATTCCAAATGTAGTGAATAGTTGCGTGAGACATTTAATGACACTTGCTGTGGAAACATCTGGACATGGGAATGCAAACGGAAATCTCGAAAATTCATCGACTACGCACAGAAAGTATCGATTATTATTGTTTGACGGTAGAGGTCCTTTAAAGTCTATATTGAGACGTTCAAATGCCTGTGTAGCTTTGATAAGGTGCCCGGTGTCAGGTTTATGAAATCGCGGCTTGCATTCACAACAAACAGGACATGTTGAAATAACTTTTCGAATGTCATCCATCGAATATGGCAAATTCCTGACTCGAATAAAGTGAGACATTCTCGTAATTCCTGGGTGACACAGAGCGTCATGAAGTTTATACAAAAGATGATTATCGGGATCTTGTACAGTTGCGCACGATATTCTTGAAAGTGCATCAGAGGGAATATTTTCTTGCCCAGGACGATAACGAATGTCAAAACTATAGCAGCAGAGTTCGAGTCGCCATCGCATGATTTTATCATTTTTAATCTTTGTTCTGTGATTTCGATTGAACATAAATGATACGGATCTCTGATCTGTTATAAGAGTGAAATGTTTACAAGTGAGATAGTGACGCCAATGACGAACAGCCTCAAATGATGGCCTTTGCTTCCTTCTCTATTGAAGGGTGTTTGAGTTCTGGACCTTGTAGCATGCGAGAGAAAAAAGCCACTGTCTCCCACCTTGGTTTAGGGTTGCAGCCAATGCTACATCAGAGGCATCTGTTTCTACTTCAAAAGGTAAAGTTTCATCCACAGCTATAACGGACAGCAGATTCTACGAGTCGCTTCAATTCGTGAAACGCATGAATTGCCTGGTCGTCGAGAGGGAAAGTTTTCGCAGATGCTAGTGGTCTGATAGTATCAGAAAACTTTGGTATCCACTTTGAGTAGTACGAGAAAAAACCCAAGACAACGCTTTAAAGCGGAAACTGAGGTAGGAATCGGCAAACGCCGCAAAGGTTCTAGTCTCCCAGGATCCGGACGTATTTGGCCTTCCTCAATCTCGTAACCTAAATCTGAAGTTTTCTGGTCGAAAATATGCTTTTGTTTTCGTTCAATTTTAGATTTCGTCGTTTAGCGGCTTCTAGAAACTTCTGCAAGTTGATATCATGGTCTTGTTGAGTATGCCCACAAATGGTAATGTTATCGAGATACGCGAAAACACCGGTCAGGTTTTCTTCTTTTACCAGGTTCATCATTGCCCTCTGGAAGCAGGCCACACCATTTGTGACTCCAAACGGTAAACGAGTGAACTGGAACAGAGCACCCGCAGCTTCGAAAGCAGTATATTTCTGGTCTTCCTTTTCAAGTGGAACCTGATGGTATGCACTTTTTAAATCCACTGTGCTATACACACGATAATGAGCAATTTCGTTGATTATATCGCTCATATTAGGTAAAGGAAACGCGTCTAACTGAGTAAATTTATTAATGGTCTGTGAATAATCGATTACAAACCTTCGTTTCCGATTTTCACCCTTTACGACGACAACTTGAGCTCTCCACGGAGATCTGCTAGGCGTTACAATTCCTTCCTGTAACAAACGGTTGACCTCCATTTCAATAAACTTTCTATCATCTTTGGAATACCAACGAGACTTTGTAGCAATAGGATGGCAGTCAGCAGTCAGATTTTTGAATGGTTCTGGTGGCAAACTTTTGAAAGTTGAAAAGCCACATACAGACATTGGAGGTCGATCGCCGCCGTAATTATAAGTTACACTTTGATGTTGTCCTTGAAAGTCTATTCCAAGTAAAATGTCACAACATAGATCATCCATCACTCTCAATATGAATTTTTGATAGTGTCGGCCCTGATATTCAATATCAGCTGCTGTGCAACCTTTTATAGGCATGGAACACGCCAGAGAAGCCATTGCTACCTTGTCCATAACTGTGTCTCTTTTGATTGGGAGGTTACACCTTTCTATGAGACGAGGGTGTATGAAACTCTGACTACTGCAACTATCAAAAAGTGCGCGTACTTTGTGTCCTTCAATATGAATCACAGACGACGACCCTCTCAATGATTTTGGGGTATTGTCAAAAGCCATTCCTAATATATACGAGTTAGAACATGCAGTGACTTCGTCAGGATTTTTTGGGTTGAAAACGGTTCCTCTGCAGACTTTTATGAAATGTCCCTTTTTATGACACTTGAAACAAAACACATTTCGGGCTGGACATTTTGAACGAGGATGTTTCTTTCCGCCACAGAAAAAGCACGCGGAATTTGCAGTAGCAGATATTTTCTCGATATCACACGATGTCTCATCGTTTTGAGTTTCACTGTTTTGAGCAGCCGCAGACACAGTAGAAGGGTCGGATACTCGATAAGCTTCAGCATTCTTAATTGCTACTTCTAAGCTTCTGGCTTGATCGTATGTCGTATTAAGATCAAGGTGTTTGTTTTCCAACAAACGCTGTCGTATCCATGTGGAGTTTAAACCCCGGATAAAAGCGTCTCGGACATATGCATCTCGGTTTTGAACAGCAGATACAGCTTTGAAATTACAATGTTTGCTTAACGATTTCAATGCTTGCATGTATTCGTCTACATTTTCAGATGCTTGTTGGTTCCTGGTTGCCAGAACATGCCGAGAATAAACTTCATTGAAAGGTTTGACAAACATTGTTTTCAGAATCTCAATCGCAGTATCGTACGATTCTGCCTCCTCAATGTTTTGGAATATACGAGGAGATATGAAATTCACCAGTACACCAAGTTTATCAAGGCCTTCAGACGGCAAGGCGTTTAGAAAATTATCGAAAGTCTTCTTCCAGTGTAGCCACTCACAGGATGCTTCCCTAGAGTTAGGATCTACCTCCAGTCTCTCTGGTCTCAGAACCTTGTCCATGCTTGTACCAGAATACTCTTGTGAAATGATTTAAGTTGAATAAATTGTAATGAATGAGAAATATAGTACCTTGATATAAGGCTTTATTCAACTTAAATTTAAAGCACTCTTAGAATGAATCTAAAATAATATAACACAAGCAAATGTTATTAAACAAGAAAACAAATACGTATCGAATTGCAGATGCTAACAGTAAGCGGCTCAATAGTTAAATGAATAAAGTTAAAAGAATTAACACACTACAACTAGAGCACAGCAATGATTGGTGTCTGATTCAAAACGCCACAGCAATCATCGCTTGACTGCAGCTGTATAAACAAATAGATACATTGAGTTGCATTTCCAAGTTATCACATAAGATTCATGTGATTCGTCGTTCATAGCCGGCTAGTTGCCGGGCATAAAGAAACGTCCTAATCTCCCTATTTCACTTGTTTGGACTGTTGCTCAATGGCTAAATATGAAAGTTTTCCGTGACCTGATCTTATTCAAAATACTTTTTTTATAGATATGTATTTAACCTTGTCATTTTTCATTAAATACAAAGCGGTGGTGTGATTGATTTGTTCCCATCTTCCGCAATCGTCTTCGAAGATTTGCTTCATTTTTTTTTCTCTTATCCACGTATGTTTTCGGTGTGTTCAATTATGACAAAACAGTTGTTCTTCTCTACCGATAGTATTCTAAGGCTAATTTTTACTGTTTTGTTTTTGAATATTTCCAACAATTCTAAAATACCCCAAAAATTACCAAACGAAGCTCATGCCAGCCCTCGCGCAGTGCTTTGGTAAGTCCGCGCAGAAACCCTACTGAAAGTAATATTTCCAGATTCTTCAGTGTGACAATTTGAAATCTCTAGTCCTGCACCCTCAAGATCAACGGAGGTATTCAAGTACGATTTTTGACTTCGTTGGCAGTCTCTCTTTAATAATTGAGAAATTCACCTCGACCATTGGCGGAAAGAAAAAAAAACAAGATGGCGGGGATTCGAAATTTTGCGCTGAACCGATTCGAATAATTTACTACTTGATTCAATTCGAATATTCGATTCGAATGGCCATCGCTACTGAGAGCTAATGGTCAATCCATCCCACAATGGCTACCAATTGTCGCTGCACATTGTAGTTCGTTCTTCAGATCCAGAGTAACGATTCGAAAGTATTTAAGGTCTGGGTGTACAGTATACTATCAATGCCATAACACGGATGATTAGAAAGCATTTCAACAATAGTTAGAATCGAAGATGAAGAAAGCGAATGAAATAAACATAGCCATTTCAGTAGGAACATATCGCGATTTTAGTAGGGCCATTTTAAAACTCCCTACGCTTGCACATGCGGACTCGCGCAACTACAACAGGCTGAACAATATATTAACACTTTAACGTTACCTTTTTTTTAACTGTTACGATACATTAATGAAATATTTGCAACTTTGAACGAGCCGTTATGAATGTCCTCCGACCCTTGATCCTAGAAAATTTCCCATACTTAACTATTGCAAAATTTTTGATGCTTTTTTGCGAGTGTTTTTTGGGGAGTTGGCCCTTACAAACTGATTTATGAAAACCTTTATTTATATATATTATATTATACAACCGCTTGCCGACTACACATAAGCTGATTTCAGCCTAGTCTATTCGAGGCTTTTCCAAGAATCGCTTTTGATTATTGCAACTAAAGCTCATCGGAAGACATAATGACAATTAAGTTACTATCTGATTTACAACTATTTTTAGAAACGCAACTAAAGACTGACATATAATACGCAAAACCGCGAAAACGGGGTAATATTAGCTGCAAAAATTACAATAGTTCCGTCATCGTTGACTTTTTGCTGATTGGTCATTGTTACCAACATAAACGAGAAAACCGATTCTCGGGGAAACATACATTATCCTGCAACGGGCTGCGCCCGTTGATATAGCTTGATGTATTTGGACAAAAACAAAAAAATATAATCAAATAGTTCCATATTGGCAATGGAATTCAATTTGGCAATAAAAAAAGACACGACACTCACCGCTGTCGTCTGACTTCTGAAGCCATATCAACGATGTTACTGACACGCTACATCAGCACATAGCGCATTTCGTCTTCCGCTGTTTCTGCGTTGTTAGTTTTTATATTGCACACACACACAGTGTACAAATAATAGAGAAGAAGTCTACCATGATATAATAAAGTAACAATTTGAAACAAATATCTGAGTAGACTATAAAGTTGTAGAATTTTTTTTTACTGGGTTGCTGCAATTGCAAACGTGTGATTATTAAATACTGAAATATATACCCGTATATAATTTATAACTGAAAAAAAAAACTGATTTTCAAGTGTCAAATTCGGCATATCTTGTAAAAATATGACTTTGATTGTATGATATCTGGTTTAAATTATAAGGGAATTGTTAGAGTTCTATGTCTCATCAGTCTGTCAGCAGTTATATTGCAACCAGCCATATGCAGATATGCTAATACTGTAATAAGCTTTTGTTAGAATGTTACCAAACTTTGAAAAATCTTTGTTTAAATGTTCTATATCTTAACATAATAGAAGATATGACAACTAGAAACTGTGTATAATATGAATGTACTGCATAAAACACTAGTGTTTTATGTGAAAAGAAGCATTTTAATATCGAGCTGTCGGAATCATAAAATATGGAATAAATATTCTGATACTGTGGAAACTACATCATTATTTCCACATGTTCGAGATGCAAGAGATGTTCTGATGGATCCCCATTTATTTCATGAAAAAATACAACAGTATCTGATGACGCAAGCGAAACACAGTATTGTCGTGGAAGGAGATAAAAATTGGTCCAGTGAAAATTCTGACCAAATGAGAAATATATTAGAAAATGATGGTGAAATAGACTTTTTTTCACTGTTACCTGGCACAATGAATCGTTATGTTGTACAATATCGAAATGTGGAATCTGCAAATACAATACTCTACCAAGGTAAAAATGGTGCCATCGAAAACCAGATGGTTTCGATTAAAACTGGTACGGAACCAACATCAAAAAAGCAAACGTCATCAAGTATTATCGGCAGTTTATCGAAATCAAAAACAAACACACTTTATCAACTTCTAGATCAGCAGGAGACGATGGACGATCAAATGAAAATATTCACTGAACGAAATGTCATGTCATCAGCTGAAATACGTGTGCGTTATATCTTCCTCAATGTGCTAAAGAAATTCTTTGCAAAACATACAGGAATTGTGCATGTACGACCTTATGGTTCGAGTTTAAGCGGGGCTGGAAGACCTGGAACAGACTTTGATGTCGTACTTCTTACTAAAGATTTCATAAAATATATATCTAAGCCTTTGCCCAACTCGATTCAATATATGGATACAGAGGGCGCAACAAGAAGGGAACTTTTCAAAGAAAGCGTTGAAGTTTTGGAGGAAATCAAACATGTATTACAACATCTCCCCGGTGCTAAGAATGTAAAATTTATATCGCAAGCCAGGATTCCTATTGTCAAATTTCATTTTTCCCTTGTCAATTTATCTGTTGATATTTCTGCAAATCAATTGAATTCCAATAGTATGTTGAACGTTTTAAATTGGTATATGAGATATGATAGTCGTGTCCTTCAAGTAATGATTATAATAAGAAAATGGGCTGAAGATCGAAATTTACTCTCACATGGAATGAATTTCCATGGCTTTACCCCTTTTATGCTTCAAATGTTAATTTTAATGTATCTTATGAAGATTGATATTATACCTCCAATGCATAAAATTGGATCTGTGCGCCGAGATGAGTTCAAATTGTTTTCCACTCCTGCTAAATTTGTGCAAATGAATAATTCAGATTCGGTGGAGCAAATAATATGTGGATTCTTTGAACATTTTGCAAGATACGGTCTAATGGGATATAAGATGCAACCTAAATATGGCCTCATTCGGGCTCGGCCTAGTTCTAATAAACAACTATGGATTACAAATCCTTTTGACAATTCACATAATATCGTGAAAAATTGCAATATAGAAAGTATGAATACCTTTATCGAACATATGCAAAAAACATGTCAAATTATTGAATTTCGGCGACATAAACTCAGTGATCGAGATTGGGGTTTGAATGCTATTCTAAATACTAAAGACACTACAAATTCATGATGTCATTATTTCATCATAATTGACTTGTAGTCTATATGGAAATATGAAGAAAGCTTTCATATTTGGACAATAAGCAGGCAATTGTGAAGAATCACTTTCAAATGGTGACACAGCATAAATAACATATGATTGGTCATGAAACATTAATATAATCGACATATCGCACGATGCACATTCTGTCAACTCAAGTCAGCGACTCTAAAATGAGCCACTTTTTTAAAGACTCCAAGTGGTTCGATTCATCCTAGCAAACTGATTGAGTGTCAGACTCAATGGGAACATCAGCGAGAACAACAATATACATTGATGTTATATCAAAAATTTGCTATCGAATTGCAGCAATACCTCAAAATAGGCTGTATTGATGTTGCGGGCCCCCCTTTGGCTCTATACTTCAAAAATAATTTTGTGTAGTCTTGGTGTCAATCTAAATTCTATTTATTTTTAATCATTTATTTTACTGTTATTCATGAAATCAGCCATGACTTGAAAATTTCCTGGAATTCTGACTTGACTCAAGACATCTGTGACCTCTGACTCTTGCTGATATTTCCTCATACATTATTTAATTAACATAATAAGGTAATAATGCAAATTTCATACAATATTTTCATGAAAGTTACGTACATATTTTTGATTATTTGACTTTTTAAGGAAATAGTTATTATTTATTGGTCTTTTTTTTTATTTGAAGATGATTACTGTTTCAAGAACTCAAGAATTCATGAAACTTTTTTAATTACCATTAGAAATTTTGACTTTGATGGTGAGCATTAATAGTCTGAAATTGAGACTCTCAGCAGACCCTAGAATTACATTTCTGTCTCCAAAACCGAATCCACATAATATCCTTAGGGATTTCAAATTGTAAATTTTCTCACGCTATTGGATGTTTATAGATGGTCTTAGATTTGAGTATCTAAAAATATTTTTCAATGCATATTAATTTTTGACAGTGTTGGATTAAGATAGTAGGCTGTGTCTAGCTGTATAAGTACCAGTTGGAAGACAGGATGGACAGTACATATAGAACACGAGATGTTTTTTTATATTCAATGGCATTGATTTACATGTTCGCATTCGGGTCCTGGTTTATACAAATTCCAGGTAATTTTTATTTTAGAAATTTCCAAAGCTCTTGCCATTACACCTCTGATAACCCTGCCCAAGTTTGGAGGATTGCTGGACTCCTTGTCATAGGGTGGTTCACATAAAAGTTGGTCAGTTAAGGCTTTCTCCACCACCATCAAGTCCATGCATCGGAAACAAATACCTGATCAAATATCCCCATAACCACATAGAATGATAATCAGACGAAAGACTGTGGTTTGGCTTATAATTACGCCATGTTATCGACTCCCCTCTCCACTTATATAATTAAATGAATAATCCAATTCTATATAATTCTATATTGTTTAATATTAATCAGTTTATCCGTATGTACTGTAAATGTTTCGGCCATTGTGCAAAACAAATGTACACTCAATAGAAACTACAAATAAAAGTTGGTAATAATGCTTATTAACAAAAAATTCAAAATTTTTTTTTCAGGTTTGTATGGTGACAATGGTATCCTGCCGATAAAAAACCTTCTCCAGACAGGACAAAACTTATCAATCGAATCTCTTTTCTCAAGGCTACCGACGTTACTGTGGCTTTTTCTCTTTTATGGATTTTCTCATCAAACATCATTTGAACTTCTTTGCCTAATTGGTAATAATGCATTCCTTTGATTTTGTTATTGGACACGAAGTTTTGTCATTTCATATTTTTCTTATTGTTGTTGTGAAAAAATCACCTTTCGTTTACCTACAGGACCGATTGTTTTGAAATTTCCAGTGATTATTAAAGATTGTTGTTGGTGTTAGAAGGCTATATATATTTTTTTTTTCAAAGTTTTGGGGGCTCCATGGAGGTTTTCACTTTAAATTTTGTATGATGACGACATCAAAGTTAAAAAATACATACTCCCTGCCCTGATCAAACCCCCGGCACTGTGACAGATATGAGTCCTGTACTACTTCATTTTGGCTATTGTGTCCATATGTTTCAGCATTGCTTTGTTATTTAAATATACATTTTTTCTTATTTTTCAGGTACATTTCTGTCTTTTGTTTGCCTACTTTTTAGAAGTGCCAGAATCTTACCTGTTTATGCATTGCTGTGGTTCATGTACTTTTCTTTATTTCAGGTGAGTTTTTTTAATTGATTTTATGGCAGATATCATCGCATGTCCAAACGAATATTCGAATTACCCTACTTTATTTTACGGTCACCAAGGCATGCTTTGAAAAAAATTTTCTCACAAATCGATTGGGCGCCTTTAATAAGCCAACGCACCTAATGTAGCACCTACAAGTGCGCCTTGTAACCCGGTGTGCCTCATGGTCCGTAAAATACGGTAAATTAAGTTTTTAGATTCTCGATTTTGGGGAATAATTTGGAATAGCATCACTAAACAATGAGCAAACCGGAAAGATCTTGATTTCTCCAAAGCTTTACCTTATAGAGTACCTTACCTGGTCCATTGTGTGATACAGTAAAAAAGAATTTAGATTTTTGTGTAGCATGAGTTCGCAGAACGGCTACAAATGATCTTTATCAATTTAAAGAGGTCATCACGCAAAATTTCAAAGTGAAAAACAATCACATCTAGGGCCCACTGAAAGTTTTGAAATAAATTCTGAGTTTCGAATTAGATGTAGTCTTTTTAACGTTACTTGTTACCTGATTTTTTGCTTCTATTCATCTTAATTGTCATTGAAATTATGTGCTGATTTTGCTTTTTAAAATGAACATAGGTCGGTCAGACATTTTCATGGTTTCAATGGGATACTCTGCTACTAGAATCGGGCTTTTTAGCAATACTTGTTTCACCTTCAACACCAAGTTCAGAGCATCGAAATAGGTCTGTACCTCAACTTGATATTCTCGAAATAAATATTTTTGACTTGATCTTACGTTTCTATATTACTGAGAATACACTTCTTGAAACAGGCATATGTGTTGTATTTACGGTTCCTAAAAATAGATTCTGTTTTACATTCCATATCTAGGTTATATAAACAGTTGAAATAAATATGGGTCAATGCCAATATGCTTTATAAAATGGAACCTTTGACATTGAGATTTCATATTCATCCCAGGGGAGTTTAAAGACTATAAAATGGCTCAGCGAACCACGGCCTCTCGTTCTGTTATCAGTCTCATTTGGACCAGTTATTTGTTTTAGATGCATGGTCGTCTACATTACCCACTCTACGATGGCAAGGAGTCCAGCAATCCCCTTGCACATAATTACCCCCATATGGTTCAAACCTGTGAACCCGCGCAGGGTAATCAGAGGTGAGGTAGCAAGCACACTCCCAATGGTTAACACGACCAAGTCACCCACCAAGCATCTAATTTTCGATGGACATTTTGTTATTGTGGTCAGTTGTTATCATCTAAAGCAAGTTGCCAAATGCCAATAACTGGTTTTTCTTTTCAAATTGACTTGAATTTGTTGCAAGATTTCCATATAAGTCCCACTTAAACTTCTTTTTCTTATTTTAGTTCTTTGCAACGTTTACCTTTCTTCCTGGTGAAATGGCTCTTATTCCGACTCATGTTTGCATCGGGAGTCGTCAAACTTACAAGCATGTGCCCAACTTGGTGGGGTTTGACAGGTAGAATCTTCAACCTTTATTCCGTTATTTACCCCGACTATTCCATTGCGTTATTAGAGATATTTTCAAAAAATTATCCCTAGGCTAGACATCATCTCTGAAGTAAAATCATAATAACATTTATTACCCAGAAACAATGTTGCAATCGTACACTAGTGTCAGTAGATCGACGGTACCTATATTGTTTAACTAAAGACAGACAGCTAAATCTGTATACTGGTAGTAGTGTATCTTTTGTATAAATGAGTGTGCTCTGATCATCTTTTTTAATATTCATTATTAATGAAATCAATCTTTCTATTTTTTAGCTCTGCATTATCACTTTGAAACTCAGGTCTGTATGGTTAACGTAGTTTACATGCTTCAAATTGTTAAAAATATTACAGAGAATAAAATAAAATTTATATTATTTTATTCAGTGCATCCCGACACCATTATCCTGGTGGGCTCATCAACTTCCCAATTGGCTTTTAAAACTGAGTGTTGTTGGAACATATGTGATTGAGATAGCATTGCCTTTTCTCTTTTTTGCTCCAGTGAGAAGATTGCGCCTTATTGGGGTTTATGGCCAGGTAGGCAGTTTGTACAACTTTTTCTTTTGGGGATATTGGTTGTCATTATACAATGTGTATGCTTGAGTCCCACGGAGAAAACCCTGGGGTGACAAAACTAAATGAATATTTATAGTGCGAAACATGCAATGCAGCATGTTTTACTAATTTTTCGTTGCGATTTTATTTTCAGGTCTTCTTAATGTTTACAATACTCCTGAGCGGGAATTACAATTTCTTTAATTTTTTGACGTTGGCTTTGTGTCTGGCTGTCATGGACGATAAACATTTGAATCTTTTTCTCGGGAAGTCACGTTCACCAGGTACTGTTAACCAATGTTGAGACTCTTTCTCTCCAACCATTTGTATAATCATTTCAAGTCTATACATCTAACTGGTTAGACCAGGGGTGGGCGATTACAGATAATAGACTTGGTTACTCAAAACTCTATATGAAAAACTACGAACATTTTATTTACAACAGCTAGGCTAATGTTTATATAATAATGAGAAGCACAATGTAACACTCGAGGTCATTATGACTTTATTTTCGTCGACATTTTCAACGTAAACTTATTACCATAAAAACTATACTCAAAATTCACGCTAATACAAGTGGGTCGAGTGAAAAACTTTGGTGGGCCGGATCATGCAGTGGTAACTGAACTAGAAGTCAGGGTTGATTAAGTCATATTAACGACTTTCCACTCCTCCCAGGGATAAATATTATACTACCAGACACTTGAACATTGAAACCATCATTACTAATGTTTGTTTGCATGCATAATAGGTAGAAGTCTACGACAACAAAGGAAATCCAATTTACAGAAACTGCAACAATATCTTTCATGGTTCTCTACTCTTATGGCTTGCATCGTTATTGTCTATTATACGATCCAATATTTCAGTCTCCAGTTTTTCAAAAATGGCGACCCGGTCTACACAAAAACTGGCAAGTATTACTGGAAGCTTTTTTAAACTAATATTTCAGTATACTGAAAAGTGGATAATAATATATATGCTAGTGAAACTTGTAAATATTGTGATATTTGCAATGTCAAACTATCGATTAGAACATCCCCGGCAATCAATTGAAATAATTTGATATCATAATCTTTATTGATATAGTTTATAAATAGCATTTTTGGCCAGAAGTGTGTGTACCAATATGGAGGTAACTAATTCTGTTCGCTTACTTTACATCAAGTTGTGTAAAGGGACTGAAACCTATGGGCAGTGGGTATATTCACTTGGCTAACACATACAGTCCCCGAACTCGTAACAGAACTAGAACAAGAAAATTATGGCCTAATCTAACCTGAATCGTAATTTGATTTCAGTGTTTTCCCAAAAGCAATTTACTGAATGGGTGGATGGTGCTGTCATTGCAAGCATTTGGATTGGAGGAATAAATTTACTCTGGGAAGCGATAGTATCCTTATATTTGTGAGTATATAACTTTGATTGTCTTCAAATTACCATATTTTACGTACCATAAGTCGGTGCGCCTAATGTATGGATCAGGTAGTGCATTTATTGCCTTCAAAACCGTTGTGCCTTATGAATAAAAACCATATCTAAGCAATTTATTGGCAGTGCATCTTGTAAAACAGTGCGCTTTATGGTCCATAAGATATGGTATGTGAATTTGGCTACCTCATAGCTGCTTCCTTGATTGTATCGGCTTGAGCTGCTTGGTTCAAGTATTGCGTCAATCTGCATTTGCCGGCCTAACATAACTATCTATGATCTAGTTTCAGTAACTCATGGGATTTCAGTGCTTGACAATTTTTTTCATAGATGAGTTTCCAAAATTTCATATAATAAAAGCAAAATGTGATACGTCTAAATTCAATAGGCGTATTGGCAAATTACAAAATAGTCTTAAACTCTTAAAACTTGTTTCACAACCTTTCTTTTCATGTGCTCGAATAGCTATCCCATGTTTTAATGATTACTTTTCCAAGGGATACAAAATTTGGGGCTGTCAAAGTAAATGCCGTAACTGCTCAAATATCACTAAACAATAAAAAAAAATGTGAAAATACAGCCCAAACTTATTTTAAAATAAAAGCCTGTTGTGCGCGGAATGTTATACCCTATTTGGCGTGGGACAAACCTGCCTAGTTCAAATTTGAATAGGTTTGATTCTAACTAAATGAAAGACTTTTTGAAGAAAACATAAAAGTTTCACGTCACATTTTTGTTTGCCGTAATTTAAGCAGTTACGGCTTTCACTTCGCTAGACCCCAAAATTTTGTGTTATTTTGCTGCTTATTCAAGTCCAATCCTTGATTTACTAACTGTTCACATATGATTTTCAGATGCCTTCGAAGTAAAAATGTCTTCCAAATAATATGGAATCTACTGAAATACATTTCCGTATTGGGAGTTTGTGGCTATATGTTCTGCATAAGCATGGTAAATCTTAATTTAATGATTTTAATAAAGTGTAATATAGTCTGTGTTATTTGGCTCGGTGGTGTGACGCTGATGCATCATGCTAATCGCCAAGAATATGCTCGCCACTGCACCTCTGATTACCCTGTGAGGATAATTATGTGTGAGATGATTGTTGGCCTCTTTGCCACCGTAGGGTTGGTCACGTAACTGCTGATCGATTACAGCTTCCTCCACCAGGTATTTGAAACAAATAACTGACTAACTAACTGACATGGACTGGTGACTGGGTGAGAGGCCGTGGTTCGTCATATGATTAAGCAGTCTTATCGTCTTTCCTTTCCGCCGGCAATAAATAATATATCGGGGCTCCCGAAGTATGCGAACCAAGATGGCGGACATCGGAATGTAATATGTGTACTAGGTTAGGGTTAGGCTATAATTTTAGGTATACGGTAAATACTACGGGAGGCTCTTGGCTAGTCTTCGAACTGATAATAGGACTAAAATAAGGAAAATTGGAAAAAAATTATCGCCCAACCCTAACCTGTTACCCATGTTACGTTCCGATGTCCGCCATCTTGGTTCGCATACTTCGTGAGCACCAATAAATCCTATTAACTAGGTAATTGATATCCAACTCCTAATTTCTATTAAGGTTCCATTCAAGACTCTAATGACAGACAAAGGCTCTTGGCCAGTGTTGCAGAGGTGGCACGACACTTCAAATAAATATCAATTGGTACATTCATATGGATTGTTCCGTTCTATGACTGGGGTCGGAGGTCGCCCAGAAGTCATTGTAAAAGGAAGTCACCTAGAAAATGGGCCATGGCAGGTTTGTGATCTGTTTGGTTTTGCCAATACTGGGTAATATGTTAGACTCGTAATCAAAACTTGTTATCATATCATTATAGGAGATTGAATTCCAATACAAGCCAGGAAATACTTCAAGAAGTCTTCCGTGGATTGGTGAGTTTTTTTTCATTTAGTTGCGCCTTTTATATAGTGCAATGTTTTCCCAACTGGGGAGAAATTATGCTGTGGATTCGCTGTAGTATTTATTATTACTATAATACATATTTATGAACACGTATAAACTACTTAAAACTGTACAAAAACCTGAATGAGACTCACACATTTACCTAGCGAAGCAATCCCTTAAGACTGAACAATTGAGGTAGTTTTATGCATAGATAGAGGATTTTAACAAAAAAGGTAGGCTACACCACCATTGATAGGGTGTATATTTCTCTAGTTGTACATTAGGATATTTTTTTTCTATTATAATCGATTACTATTGTTTATTGCAATATTTTATGAAAATCAGAAAGAAAGTAGGTGTATGAGATCTGACCTTTGTTAGTTGTCCCTGTTATACCCCAATCAGATCTCCTAAGACTCCACAGATAAAAAAGATATTTATTATGAAATCATACTTTCAGTTCCCCATCAACCTAGACTGGACTGGCAGATGTGGTTTGCGGCTCTCGGACAATATCAACAAAACCCGTGGTTTTTAAGCCTTGTCGACAAAATGTTATCCGGAGAGGAAACTGGTAGGTTACTATTATTAGTGACTAAGGCGGGCATTGTCCAATACTTGATGATTTCAGAATCGAATATTAATTTCAAATTGAATCTTGAATTATTGGAAGATTGGCAATTAATTGTATGTTCATTTTTTTATGTTATGGGTTCTCCAGGCTCATAAATTACTGAAAACATAGAATCCATCACTCAGACAGATCGCTGAGCGTTCGAACATGATTCACCGATAACCCATCTATCAGTGTGCATTATAAAAATACAGATTCGGTAAAAAAATGACGAATTCACTTTGGCAAATGAGAAAAAAAACAAGATGGCGGCCGGCTATTCAAAATGCCCAGCCCTCTTGGTGACCAATCACAAAAATTTATAAAACAACTTCTCTGTAATTTTTAGTGGTCAAATTACTGGATAAGGACTCTTATCCGTTCAAAGAAACTCCTCCGAAATACATCAAAGCAGAGTTATATCATTACCACTTCACTCTCTTGACTAAAAGCGGCAACATACCCAAAGGGATTTGGAGAAGGAAAAAAGAACGCACATACTTACCAAGGGTGGATAAAAATGACAAGCAGTTCAGACAGTTTTTAAAGTTTCACAACCTGGATTCTAAGGCAAGTAGCTAATGCTCGGGCAAAAATGAAAATTGTTAATCAGGGATGACCAAACCGAATATATTCCCTAATTTCATTTTGAAATCGGAAACAGATGTATTTGCACATAATAGGGTAAATTTATAGAAAATGAGCTTTGTAATGCGAGAAATATCCATTTTAACACTGTCCGAAGTTAGACACATTATTGATATATTTATGGCGGCCCAAATGAATTGATACCAAGTTAAGATTGTATCGTTGATGGCCTTTCTTGATCCTGAACTTTAAATAATCCACAAAAATCCCTACAACACCTCACTGAAAATAAAATTTGAAGTCCGAACAACCGTCCACAGAAAAACTCTCATTACCATTACTTTGAAACGATGTTTTTTGTTCAACCTTTAGATTCTTAGTGTGTTATGAGCAAGTCGCTCTTCTGATTTTGTAGAGTAAAGGTGGTTTATAGAACGCCACCATTAAACAATAAAATTTTAATATATATGAATCATTTATTTGACAGAAATCGAAGAAAAAAGAAGAGAAAGGCACGGTGGTAGACATGATTCGATTAATAAGAGATTATTCTGAAATGTTGCCTGTTCATGTTCTGCTATGGTCACTGTGGTTTACAGGTAAGGAAGTTTATTATTGAATTTCACCAGGCTTCAGAGGTGTGCAACCTGCGGCCCACGAAACGAGTAATTTCTGAAATCTGTGTTGTAAGCAAGTTTACACATTATCACTATCAAAAAAAAAGCTGGATTGAGATCCCAATTCTCCAGCTCTGGTTCAGGGGTTCTATGGGCATGATCGCTACCGGGTTTCAAATTTAAAAGTATGAAAATCATTTTGATTTGATTAAGTACTGGTTAATTAATTATAATGTGAGATATAATATAGATTACTAGGAGCTGGAGGGAGGTTGGATGCTTGGATCCATCAAACTAGCTCATAACATATTCGTGGCTTTACTAACACGCCATCTGAAACTAGCCCTATACCCGATATGGACTGGACCGAAGTCTTCTAAAATTTGACGACATCTTAATATCAACCTAGTTTATGGAAAGTACAGTAATAACACAAAGCACTGATTTTTCACAGCTATGATCATCTCTGTATCAAAGAGCTACATTACGAGAAGATGAAGTAGAAAAAAGTATATTGCACTGGAATTGGAATAAATAACTGCCATCATCATCAATCATGTTCCTAGTACTGGTTTCTTTGTGTCTGTTGGATTTTCATAAGCTTTCAAAATATCTGTAATGAAAAGAATTGTTATTTCAGATTTCTTCAATCATGTTTCAAATTCAAATAAAATATATCTGCAAGCTCACCGAGTATTATTTTGTGCCAGGGCAATGTTACATAAGTCAGCTGAGTCTTTAGTGACGTTGGCATCCTCCCTTCTAATGGACTTGCAGGCATAGAAGTAGACTCTCCTAGAAATCACAATCAGTCAGTGCATTTGTACATTTCTGCACTGATTTGTATCGGTAGATAAAGCTAAAATAGTGTTGATGGGATTAACAGGCTTTTCCCACAAACAAACTCAGTACGATCACGGCAAGAAACTAGCATTTGCTTGGTATAGTGCAGCCAGTCCACAAGTTTTTATTCATATCCGAAGTCTGTATCTTGCTACACCAGATACATTCTGTTTTGTCGGTATTACGTTTCTTTTATATATTATTATAGTGCATACAATTCAGACTATTGCTCGAGGCTCTGTTCCACCAAAAGGTTGAAAACCAACAGTTTAAGCATACTAGACCCCTTCTTTACCTGAATCATCTCTATGTACCGCCGTTAAATAATTCGGCAACTTCTTGTGTAGAACAGTGTGATTGTACAAAGACTCAGGCTCCGATCTTGAACTAACTAGTGAAGAATTTTGCACAGTGGTGTCTTGGCCCTGCAGATTAGGATAGGATTTACATATTTATCTTGAGGAAGAGGAAAGGTAAAACGATTACTTGTTTATATAACAGTATATAACACCAATCATATGACGATTAAATTGAATGACACCAACCTTTTTATCATTCTTGTTGCTATCTTTATATAATTCTACTGCCATCTCAGCGTATCCTTTTCCAGATGGTCCTTTCATTTTAACAAATTGAGTTTCACTTGGTGGCTTGTATAATCCCATAGAAATCATGGATGCCCATTTCGTCGCTGTACCTAAACCTTCGGTCTATAATGCAGACACATGAACATTGAGTATATACACATATAACTATGTGGTTAGTAGATTTAGGGTCGAGTTGAAACTTGTACTTGTTTGGTGAGAATGTATTTTAGTTTAAAATCGGTGTTCAAATAGCAGGATAATACCGAGCCAGAAATATCACCTTGACTACAGCGGAAGGTGTATAAATATGTTCAATAAAAAACTAAAGTGAATATTAAAAGCCGCAAACAATATTATATAATAATTTATAATTGATATACTGTAATGCAATGGTTTGGAACCCATGTGCAAAAATTAAGCTATCTTTTATTGTCAGAATTTTATTAACTATAATGTATAACCTCATACTGGCAAAACAAAATTATCTTTTAAGTGTATCAAGTTTAATAATGGTGCATGGTGGATAGATTGTAAATTTGCGAAACCCTCGGGTGACGCGGGATCCAAGTAAAAATCCCAGACTTTGGTGGGGTCGAATCAGCTTGCGCCGAAATGTAAGATTATGGAAGCACAAGACTGTTGTTACATAAATTTACCTTTTTTTGGTAGACTTTCATCAAGGCATCATAGTTAACGGAGCCAAGAAAAATGACTGAAATGAACTCCATGTTTTTATCGTGAGCTATGATTTCTACACAGACCATCTCTCCTTCGCGAAGATGTAGATCTGTCCATATCTGTTATTGTATTAAAATGTTCAGCTGATCTGTAAAATACAGCTAATATATGATATCCACTGGCTGTCTAATGTGGACACCGCAGCTCATCTTGAGATAATACAAAAAAGAGTGGCTATGATGACATCGCATTCACATTCATTTTATTCCCTAATTCCTTAACAAATAACCATTGTTTTTGGGATGACATGACATATATATATATAAATAAGAATAATATAATGTACCTCGTCAAAGCTATCAATGGGAAAGAATATGTTCGGATAACTCAACTCTGCGGCGGGGCCTTTTGCATCCATGTCATGTCGGCTGGGAGAGGCGTACACAACCTAAATGCAGGTAGCAACATTATAAGTCTGCTGTATATAATATTAAATGCTATGAACATGCAGTTGTCTACAATACTAAATTCGTGCAATTCTGTCATCATATATTCGAGGTTAGATAGCAGAATCATACCAGTCCATGTTGGTTATGGACAGACTTGGCAGTGGAGAATATTTAAACATGATGCACCAACGGTCAGACAGAGTTTTACCATTCACACAATTCATACGCACTTGCGTTAGATGAGAGTTTTTTCAAGTTACAAGATATTCTACATTGAACATACTTGAGACACTTTTTTGTGAATCGTGACATCCTCTGGAGATCTTCTACTGCATATTGCACATGTTAACTTATACTGCAACTGCAATATAAAAAGAAAAAAAGTTTAGGATATATTAAAATTTCTATTTATTTCTATTACACCGTATTTATTCATCTTTACCTGTTGTAAAATAAGATTAAGATACAATGTTTCTGTCCAATCAAAAGACGGATCTCCCAGGCCTGGATTTTTTGTTGATTCTCTTCGAAACACCTTCACTTCTGCCTGTAAAATTTTGAGTGATTAGAAATGGTTAGAAGAATAGCTAGGAGGAAAAACAATTGAGTGTTTTCAATGATTGGGTAGGATTTACATATCCATCCCTGGGGAGAGGAAAGCCTATAACATGGCTTTGTCACATGATGTATCACGGCCTCTCGTCCGGTTATCAGTCCATATCAGATATGGAATTAGTTAGCCATCCGGTCGTCCGGTTATCAGTCCATATCAGGTATGGAATTAGTTAGCCAGTTACTTGGTTCACATGCACGGACTTGATGGTGAGAGAAGCGATAACCGACCAACGGTTACATGTCTTTTAATAAGACTAGTCCATCATGTCTTCCTCCACCACCATAGTTCATGCATCTGGTAATCAAATAAAACAACCATGTTAGCCACACGATTGTGCTAATTTATCAACTTTCCTCTCCCTCAGGATAAAAATGAAAACATGTCTCATTTATTTGACTTTTTTATCCAAGCCCAAGGTTTTATTAAGTAATTACGTATAAATTCAATAAAATATAGGTATCGAATATCATGACACATTTTACCCTTTCTTGATGCAGCATAGGATCCTTCTGTACATAAAACAACATATCATCGTGATGTGGATGATTGACATGTAAGAAATACTTCGCAAAAAGTTGAGTCCAGAATGCAATTGGTGCAACAGATACACATTCTGCAATTCAGATAGAAATGATGTAACATTCTCTGGTCTAATTAAACGCTAGAAAGTATAGGATTTACATATTTATCCCTCAGATGGCTTGATCATATGATGAACGCGGCCGAAATGGCCGAAAAAGCCGTAACCGACCAGTGGTATGTGGATCACCCTAAGGCAGCGAGGATGACGAGTCCAGCGATCGTCTTGCACATAACTATTCCCGCATGGAATTCAAACCTGTGAACCCACACAGGGTAATCAGAGGTGCAGTGGCGAGCATATTTCTAACATATAGGACAGGATTTACACACCAGGGAGAGGTAAGGCGATAAGACCGTTAAATCACATAGCCAACCATGACCTTTCATACAGGTTCCAGTCTATGTTGGGTACAATATGGGATTATTTATCCAGTGAATGAAATAAAAAAAATGCTAGGCTAATAGTAAAGAGCTATTTCTGTATTTGGGTAACTCAACAAATAATCCTGTAATCAGCAAATAAAATGTTGAATACTGTAATAAATGAAGAGCAGGAAAGTGGTCTCGTGTAGTTTCGTACCTAACATACTTCTAGTAGGCGTAGCATTTTTGACATGACAATCCTAACCCGCACCTGACTATGCCATCCAAAAATTATGTCACTACGACGTCACAATCACGTCATAGAGCTTGCCAAATACTCGTACGATCGCCCGAAATGGCATCGGCTCCGACGATAAAGAACTGACTAACGTCAGGAGATCTCTTTCCTATCGGGATCGTTGAGACGAGAAAACGAGAGAAATGGCTTTTCGATTTCGGGTTCTCGTCTGCGCGTCTTGGATGACAGTTCGCATAATTTGAAGGGCTCTATTGTGTCACTGTGACGCCGTAGTGGCGTAATTTTTGGATGGTGTGGTCGGGTGGGGGTTAGGATTGACATGTGGAAAAATTGTTATGCTACGCCTACTAGAAGTACGTTAGATACGAAACTACACGAGACCCCAGAAAAGTGCAGAATTTTTAAAAATATGACCCAAAATTTTTATCTACAGTAATAGCAGTATAGCCAGATCCTATGGACATTTGATGCACAGGCATGTGCAAAATCAAGCCAATGGATCGCTTATAACTTGAAAATGTGAGATACCGGTAAAAGATAATATGAATCTATGATCTCTTGCTTACCATCATCGGTCTTTTTATTATCATTTTCAACAATTTCTGCTAACATATTGAGAAAATGACTTGTGGAAGATGCGAAAGGATTTTCCGATTCTTGTAGTCCATCAGCCATGGCTTCAATAATGTACAGTGATTACTTATGTCAGTATGTCCTGATCTCTAAACGTCTCAAAAAGTTGTTTTCACTAGGCCGATTTGCTTTTTGATTGACATAAAATCACAAGACGGGTCGAATACTTGACCTTATGACCCCGATGAATTATTTGATGCTTGTTTTGAGTATTTAGCGTTTACAATTACTTTGATTCAAAAACTTATCACATCCTATTATCCCTGAAAATTTATATGAGTAAAAAAGTGGCTTAAGCGGTGTTTTAATTGTCACGATACCTTTGATATTTGACTGATTACCCAAAGTTAAACCGATTACCCAACCGTAAAAAATAATCGATGCTGGAGGAGCATTGAGGTGTATATAACTCAATGTGGAGGAGACACCCACTGTACATGATATTAAACCAAAATTGCCAAGAATCAATCATTTTCGTCCACACGGCTCAACTAATATTTGGTAATGAACAGCGCATCAATATTATTAGCAAAATAAAAAAATTAGATGTTTCTCTAATGCTGCCTGAACAAAATCCTTTTAATATAGTATCATAATGTAAAATATGTTTTAATAGCAAAAAATGATAAATTTCGACCCGCCGCCGGGATTCGAAAAATTTCGGGTATGCAGAAAATTGCATCTTTCCAATAAAAACAAAATACAAACATTTTAACGTTCGAACAAGAGGAAGTTAAAATAATTAAATTGTTCACATTTGCCTAATTACCCGATCCACCCACTTCTCAAGACTTCTAAGCAGTGGTGGAATTCAGCCGGTTCGCATCGGTCTCACGGAATTTTCTAAGATCAGCTAACCGGTTAGCATTACTGGTTACTGTCAATGTTCTGTTTGTAACAGAACCGGCTGAAAAATATAACTTTTGTGAAGAAACCAGCTGACAAAAAATTTGAATTCCACCACTGCTTCTAAGTATTAGCAAATAAATGTGTGAAGCATCCCAGGTACAAAACAACGTCGCAATTTCATCTGGTTTCAAGGCAAACTCTTGGCGCCGCTCTTCACACATGTATACAAATTTAACCTAATCACCTAATTCATTTAAACAAGTTAACCAACAACACTTTTTAGTTTGCAATTTCAAGCATAGTTTTTTCCAAGACGAAGTGCGGAATGTATAATGTAAAAACATCAAGGGGTATCTCAGATAAGCACAGGAGATGAGTGCTATGTAAAATATAGCGATGGTTTTAAAGAAGCGCGATAAAGATTTTCTCATGGCGTTTTGTAGCGGCTTCTTTCATATATGTTCACATTTTTATGTTGGAGCGAAATGACAAGAATTGAACTCAACGATTTTTGCATTGCACCTATTGTACACTGCGTCGAGAGCAATCAGGGCGACGATCTGCACAAAGTTTCCGTGATTTGGTTTAATATTGAAGCTTTGGTTTGGAAGCTAAGTTGCCATGTGATGTCATAATCGTGAGGAATAATTACAATTAAATCCTGACGCTGCAATAAATTAATCAGTTGTTTTGGGTGTGAAAAGCAAAATTCAAAATGAGTGAAAGAAGCGTATCGGATATCGAAACCGATGAAGAAAATGACCCTATCGATGGGAAAACAATCCAGAAAGAAAAGAATGAGCAATCTTCAAGCAAGAGCACCGAGGCGGCAGCCCCATTCATAAAACCAAAGAGGGGAATGTGGGGTGCGGCTGCCAAATTAGCTGTCAAGTCACAAAACGAGCCAGAAGCCGAAGAGTCACCCAAGAAAACACTCAAGTCGGTGGCAAAAAGATTAAATCGACAAATCAAAGCCATGACATTGATTAAAAGATGGACCCAAATGACATCTTTGGGACAATTCGCTAAAGACGAAGACCATTTGAATTATATCCGTGATGTTACTAAACAAACGGCAATCGAAATTCCCGCCCCTATAGAGCATTGCATAAATGAGGAAGTCTTGGGAATTCTACAAGTTAGTATAAACGAGTTCGGAGTTTCAAATTTTGCCAGTGATGCGTATAGTTAAAAACTAAGTCCAGTAGTCGAGATTTAGAATCTGACTCACTCAATTTCGAACACTGTAAATAACGATATATTTAGTTCAGTTTAGAGTTAGACGAAAATCTCAAATCGCCGCCATCTTGTTTCTTCTCTCTGTCCACCATAGGTCGACGTGAAAATTTCCCGATTTTTTTTATCGAAGCGATACCTTTTACAACGCAATCCTGACATATGACTATTTTGTTCCTTGCGAGTTATTGATATATATATCACTTTATTGCATTAACGCGAATTCAGTAAATCATGCTTTGAGAAGACCCAATACAATAAAAAGGCCACATGTGATTACATATCTCGTAGGCTATATACTCAAGATTCAATTCGAAAAAAGTATCCGATTCGATTCTGAAATCATCCGGTATTCGTAAATGCCCAGCCCTACTGTTAGGTGAAGAAATACGGGCAACGCGAACAGCTCGTGTGCTCTGTTGTATATTTCGTGGATTGTTGATGCAAATCCCATACTGAATATTTCATTCCGCTGTGAAAATCAATCGTGTTTTTACCATAGTTTATTTATCGCAGCATAAGTAAATATATATATATTTAGGCACTCCCGTAGTATATGTATCAGGTTAGGCCATAAATTTGTTCTGTTTTTCCATATTTTAGTTCTACTTCGAGTTCGGGGACTGTCTGTGTTAGCCAAGTGAATATACCACCTTGTCCACAGGTTTCAGTCCCTTCAACTTGATGTAAAGTATATATTTAAGTGTTTTTTTGTTTATATGTTTAAGGAAACACTAAAGCAGTATAAGATAGAGTTGGGAACAAACCACCCATTGACGCAAGAGATGCAAAAGAAAATACAAGATATGAAGGAAAAAGTTGTATCGTGTGTTCCGAAAGAGAGTCGAAGGGATGGAACATTTTTTCGTAAATTATCAAATGTGTTTTTGGGAGAATAAATGGACCTACTGAAGTATGCGCACCAAGATGGCGCACACCTGAACTCAGGTTGTGCGACATCTTGGTGCGCATACTCCAGGAGTACCGAATAAATATGTATACAAAAACCCAAACTTGTAAAAATATTCAACGTGCAAGTTACAAGAACCAACAATAATTTTCGTTAAGCACTGACATGATGGATTGCAAGTATGCGCGCGTGCATATTTCAAAGCTACAGAATTGTGATTCTCCATTCCTGATCATATCCTTGGGTGAGGTGGTGGCATGGGCGTGTTAACTTTTCTGCTTCCTGGGCGAGCTTCTGATAATATTGTCGCTTATACCCAACTTCAAAAATATTTTGCGGGAATAAACAAATTATAGATGTTGCGATACATGGAATATATAGAGGGGTAATTGAGATGGAAATGTTTTGCATTATTTTAATTTAAAACATCGGACTACAAGCAACAAAATGTGCTGGGCGACTGCCCCACTCTAGAAACGCCCCTGTGTGGTTGGCATGAGGCCAGATATACTAGTTAATTGTGAAGCTATCGAGCTCGCGAATTGGTCTATTACATTGGTCTTCAACCTTTTCGGTGAATTGGAACCACAATGAAACATTCCAAAAAGCTGGAAGAACCCCTGTGAAATTAAATATACATTTTTGTCATAAAATATGTCACGGAACACATCTAAACCAGCGTATTTGAGTACATTTATTCAATATAAATAAATAGTTCAACGGCGAATTCGAATTTTTAGATTGAACACAATTTTTCAGAAAGAAATAGTACACAAAATTTTTTGGTGCTCCCAAAGTATGTGAACCAAGATGGCGGACACCGGAACTTAGTATCAGATCAGGGTTAGGCCATAATTTTCCGTATTTTAGTTCTATTACGAGTTCGGGGACTAGCCATGTGACTCCGTTAGTTTTTTACCTGAAATTATTGCCTAACCCTAACCTGGTACACATACTACGTTCCGCTGTCTGCCATCTTGGTTTACATACTTCGGGAGTACCAATTTTTTATTCAGTTCTGGTACTGTTCCAAAAGTATTGATTAAACTTATTATGATCAAGTTCCCCTAAATTTTAACTTTTCTCTTCTCATTTGATTCAACTTTTCGAGCCATCTATTCTCTGCTTCTTCGTGTGTTATGTGCAACTGAAAATTTAGAAAGTAGAATAGTGACGTGACAATTACGTACGTACACAATAATCGTCTTTAACTATAAATTTCTTAATAAGATCTGTTGTGTATGATTGTACTCAAAACTTTTATTAATCTATAACGCTTTGCACAAAAGTTATGTTCTCGCTAGAGTACGACAACACGAATATGACAAAGTATTTCAGTAAACATGCGATTCTACTTCTTACATTTGGATGAGCCAAAGTCTTCGGGTCTCGGTCTTCCCATTTGATTGTTTTTTTAACCAACGGTTTATTGACTTCACTTATTTCCTTCTTCGCTTTCTCGTCAAGGGAAAGAATTGCACTATTTCCGAATATTGCCATTTCATGGTAGTCCTCTTGTTCAGCCAGATTCTAAAATGATGTAAAATTGAAAATTGGGGGGGGGGGGAAATTATCCCCATATATTCTTTTAAACGTGTACATAGGAACTTATGTAGGAAGTCAGATAAAAAAACAGAATATATATTTTTGATAAAAGTATGTTTAAAACATCTGCTAAACGCTCAAGTATCAAAAAATGTGCAAAGGTAAGGTATAGGAAGATTTTTTCTCAAAGGTCGTCTTAATTAATGCGTCATTTTGTCTTAAACTATGCTCGCATTATGAGAAGATGTTCTGAGATAAGAGTTTCTTCTGATAAATCGTACACCTTGCAATAAAAACATACAAGCAAACCCACCGATGGCCAAGAAGGCATCTTAGAAATTTCTTTACTTTTATTCGCGCGTGATGATGAAAAGTGCGTTGGCATGAAGTCGGAATCCTCGATATCTTCAATAACTTGAGCGCGTTCCATCTGATCAATGGCACTCTCAACTAAAATTAAAAGAATCATACGATGGGATATAGAAAACGCATGGTATTTTACATCCCAAAGCTGGAAACACAAATTGAGGTAAAAAAAAGCTATGAGGACTAAGAGTTTGGCTTGTATATATTGGATATTAGAGTCGGGGAAGGACGGACCGTGGCAGAAATTCTTCAGAATTTCAAACTTATAATAGGGGTAAACGATCGATGTCAAAATTTTCGACGAAAACTAAATAGGTCGACTAAGCAATCAGAACAGAATTGAAGAAAGCTCGATCAAAATTTATTTCACTCGGGTTCGGGGGAGAGATGGTGTTTGTTTCGATCCTAAAAAGTTGGATTCAAAATTTTTTGTCCACCAGTCGGAGTTTGGAGTCAGAATTGGGTGACAACTTCAGCCGACTTTACAGGTATGATTGAAGTACTATGCAATAATAGACTGATAGAAATTAATAGGTATTTGTAGAATATGTTTACTTCAATGTGTAAAAGCACGATGGCCCATGTTGATAGTGAATTATTATTATATAACAGGGAAACTAACACCATTAGCGATTATGCCAATAATTCCATAAAATATAGCGTTTTTAATTAGACAAGTAAAGATACGTTATGCCATTGTCTCACACATTTTCCAACCTATCATAGACAAACCACGTTTCCCAACCAGGGAAAAATTTTGTCGTTCTTGGGGAGAAATTTTGGTTTGTATTTGCCGTTATATTACTATTACTAATATTCTTAGGTTTTTATTATTAACATAATTCTTGTTTATGCACACATTATAAACTACCTAAACCGTACGAAAGCAGAAGTGCGACTTGCGCATAACACTAGCGAAGGAACCATTAAGATTGAATAAATAAAGTACTTTTTTTATACATTGTGAGGAATCAAAATTAAAAAATGGCGACGGGAGGAAATCAACGAAAAAAGTTGGGAATCACCGGAAAAACCTAAGAACAAGAAAATCAACGTTGGGGCAAAAACCTGAGATAAATAGAATCGAAAATTCAAATAAGAAAATCAACGTTGGGGCTAAAACAAGATAGTACCCAGCATCAGTCTCACTTAATACGAAACAGCATTTCATTTTAAAAAGTTGAAAAATAAAAAAATAATAATATTCTTTTGTAAAAATCCCCGCCAAAAAAAAAACATCTTTGCCAACGATCAAAATAAGAAAATGAGTAGTTATCCAGTTAGAGTTTGGGTTAGGAATGCATATTGCGCTGGAGATTCGAATTTTTAAAAACGTGGTTGGGTGTTTCTTCAAATCTCACATTTTTATATTATAGTGACAGTGTCTTTGTACAAAAGATCATAAAATTCAAATTGCGTAAATTGTCGCAATTCCACGAATTTCAAAAAAAAAAAAACACACACACGCGAAAAAATGCAACTCATATAAGGTCAAAATAAAGTATCCATGGTAACATAAATCCTCCCGCTGACTCAGACAGCATTTTAAAGAAGACAGGATGACAGTGGGAGATGATATCTCGTATTTTTAAGCGTACAATAAACGTCATTCTAATTAATGCGCACCTAGCTCAATAGCGGGGCTAATAACTGCGGAGCGCCTCCCATCGGGGCGAGCAATCAAAACGAATAAAAAGTTCATCCATGCGTGTACGAGAGAAGCCATTTATCAAGAGAGAGTTCTCGTTTTCGGTCGATACTGGTAAAAGAATGTTGGACTGTTAGGACAAGCTGCTGTCAGGGTTATACATTAACAAACGATCGGCCTTCCCAGAACTCATCTACGTCAAAATCTTTTTTTATTTCACTAAATCATAAAATATAATCATATTATTGACGACATGTCAAAATGAGACGCAGAAAATAAAACGTAATTTTTTGATATGACGCAAAACAACGTAGGTCAGTTTTTATTTTTAATTCTTATAGCATGTTTAAATACAAACCTAAGTGATTCAAGAGTCTTGCTGCACACTAACACAAATATATTTCTGTAACGTTTCGTCTGACCAAGGTCAGACTTCTTCAGACATACATAATTCAACTACAACACGAAAAGCAGTTACATGCATATTTAAACAATCATAGTAGAATTATAGGAGTCACGCATGTTAAATAATCAATAAAATCTGTGAATTTCTTGATTAAATAACAGCGGGTGGCCGAAATAAGTGTCATTGATGAGATCTCTCTCTTTGTTTTATATTTAGCAATTGAAGTCCAAATTATACAATGGTGTTTTATTTCTCAGTATTGTATAATGCAGACCAGAAAAGTTGTCTGTGTGTCAAATGTAATATAGTGATATTTTGTCTGTTATTAGCATATCTGGCCATGCATGATCCAATTCTGAGAAAAAAATATATTAGGTACAAGAATTGATTAAAACAATGAATGAAAATATCTAAACTTCCTTAATATTCATCCCTTGTGGCTCGTGTGTCCCGAAAAGATGAATGTAATGGGATTCCTTGTTCTTTCGATAAATGTGGTCATGAAATAGTTTTTCAATGCCAATGACACTCAAATCTTTAAGTGAATGTCCCGGTTGACTGAAATGGGCACCAACAACCAGATCTTTGTTTTGGGTTTTTATACTTCTAATATGCTCAGTTATTCGGTATTTTAAATGTCTTCCCGTTTCTCCTATGTATTGCATGCCACACTTTTTGCAGCTTATCAGGTAGATTACATTTTCCGAGTTGCATGTAACTTTTTGACGAATCCTTATTTCTGCTGTCTTTTGTTTGTTTGTTGCAATTTTCCTTTCTTCGGAATATTGGCAGGTACTGCACGATTTTCTGCCACATTTGAAAAAGCCTGGATTCTTTTTAACGGGAGTTTCTGGTTTCAATTTTGCTCTGACTAATTTGTCCCTTAGTGTGGGGCATTTACGATAGGCTAATCTTGGTGGTTTTGGGAAAATTTCTTTTAGTCTATCGTTGTTATCTAAAATGTATTGGTAATCTGAAAATATTTTTCGAAGGTTTGGTTGGGTCGGGTGATAGTTTGTGATGAAGGGAAGCAAAGTTTCTTTTTTGGTTTCAGTTTTTGGGATTAAAAGGAGTTTTCTGTCGAGTTCTTTTGCAGATTGTATTGCATCTTCAACTAAATTTTCTTTGTAGTTTCTCTTCGTGAGGTATGTTTTCATTATTTTTGCATGTTTATCAAAGAGCTCATTTGTTGAACAGGTTCTTCTTATTCTGATGAATAGACTTTTTGGAATATTTTTAGTGATATGTTTAGGGTGGCAGGACGATGGCGAAAGATACTGGTGCGAGTCGGTTTCTTTGCTGAAGATTTCCGTTTCCAATTTGTTGTTAATGATATGAACCTTAACATCCAAAAACGTAATCCAGTTTGTTGAGCATTCGAATGTAAATTTGATTGTTGGATGTAAAGAATTTGCTAGGGTAACAAATTCTGATAGTTTCTCTTTGCCATGTGTCCATATAAGAAAACAATCATCAATAAAGCGGCAATAGTACTGTGGTTTTAAAGGGGTTTTGTCTAATAAATTGGATTCCAGGTTTGCCATAAAAATGTTCGCATACTTGGGTGCCAATTTTGTTCCCATCGCAGTTCCCTGAATTTGAAGGTAATGTTGTTCGTCAAAAACGAAGTTGTTGTTTGTCAGGACTAAGTTGGCTGCTTTTGCTATCCAGGGGATTTCTTGTTTGTCTTCGCTGAATCTGTTGAGGTATTTTTCCATTGCTTCTATGCATATTTTAAGATAGTTTCCAAAAACACACTTTTGTAGAACATAGTGCCAACATAAAACTATTATTTGAAAATATTTATTTCCGATAATTTTAATATTCAATTAAACATCCATAGTTATCAAACTATCAAATACAAATGAAATTTTAAAGAAAAAAATTATTTCGATACAATATGGGTAAATACACTTATATCAAATGTTGAATTATCATAAAAGAAACCTTTTTGAGCAAAGTATTGGGGGAAATAGGAAAAAATAAAGTATTGGCAAAAAGTTATTTTGTAACCTTAAAAGACGATAAATTTCAGAAAAATTAACCTAATCAGCTGCATAACCGAACGTATCAAGGCCGCCATCTTGAAGAATGTACTCGAGAGGGTTACCGGATAATCCGAAGACAGCGTGGTTGTCGGATTAGGTCTCTTTGATCGGTGTGCAACGAAGCGTGAGAAACCCGCCGTTTTAACGCTTGGGCGACGACAAAACAAACCCGGAATCCTTGGACATTTCACCAAATCTCATGGGCCGTACCGATGTCTATTAGCGATTAATGAAAACATTTAAATATCGAACAAAATATTCAAAAATTCCGTGTTTGCTTACCCACAATGGCTCGTTAATGGTGCTAGAACTGACACGGGCGAACTACGGCTCGTTGAATAATTCAATTTGGGTCGCCTGATGCTGCCACAATCAAACTAAATCCAAATTTTGTTGTTTATAGCTAAAAAAATAACTCAAGGAACTTGTTGAAATTGCTATTAAATTTAGTTTTGGCACGAGGCTTATTGTTTTTGACTTCTGATTTTATACCACTGTAAATATTGTTCATAAAATGTAACCTTTTGCGACACACTCACAGGGCCAGTTTAAGTGGGCAAAATTTTTGGCCCCTGGTCTAAGCCTTGCCCACCTCTGTGCTAGAACAGTCATACAAGCAAATTCAGAATCTCGTCAGTCCACTCGCCAAACTAGAACTGACAGCTCATTTACGGTATAAGAATTGGAACCGGAACCGTCCCTGTGACCGCTTGTACACTCACTGCCTTGTTGGGAGTGAAGACGGGAAACATGCGGTGGTTCAGTGGTTAAAGCGGTAATTGTGTTGGCATCGCATCTCGTACTCAGCGCAAAAGCCGTAAATGACGAGAACTCACAGTAACATAACCATATATAAAACAAGAGTGCGATGCTCAAATATATGGACACCAAGACTAAAGCGAAGCAGTAGTCTGCCCTACCTTTTACAGTACCAGTGCCGCAAAAAACTAGCAAGAGAGTAGCACGAAAAAAGTCGCAAATC